AAATGGTAGGGCCCGCGTCGTTTTCCACCTGCCTCGACCTCCAGACAGGCGAGGGTGACTTGGTGGCGCCTACGCCGTTGCAGAAATGATCGCGCGCTGAGCGGCCGAGAGTGCAAAAATTACTGGCTTGAAACTGGTGTATCCCTCAACAAGTCAAGCCCTGTCAATCTGAAGACACAATTGTGATTGGCTAATACTATCCTGTATCCCATACGTGGGTGTATCCCTCTACAAAACAAATTCGGTAACCAGCTCCTGGGGTTAACGTTGGACAAGCACTGCCGAATGGCCAGGTTGCTCTCTACCTTGAGCTCAGCTTCGCACGGGGACAAGGGACATTGGTCACAGTGGATGAGTCCAAAAATGTAATGGCTCGCTAACAACGAACTGTAATGTATAGTGTACATTATGCTTTGCGCGTGCCATGCAAATCTTGCTGCCGTCGTAGCTGTACAGTACGTAATGGTCTTGCGAGCGTTGCAATGGACGACTGCACATTCCCACTCAAAATACGCAAAGCGGTTACCCGCCAGGTGGTGGGCATTGACTTGGTTCGAGCGGATGTCTGCCCTTGGCCAGCAATGACACAGCAATGGGCCGCTGCAGTGTACATGTATGCAGCAGTGTTTTGTGTGAGAGCGACATCAATATACATGTACATTCTCCCAATCGTAGCCAATATGATGCACACTTGGGAGGTGATATCGACAGCGGGGCCACGTTAAATTCCTATATTAGCCGTACAAAAACCAAAAACGGGCTGCTGGTACAGAAGTACGAGTGATACAGTAGAGTAGCGAGGACAGGAGAAAGCGCTTCGCTTGCTTGATGCAACAAAGCTGTGCAGCATCGACGGAATTTCTCGGTGGGGTCGACTAGCGTTCGCCTTGTTTTTCCATTGATTCGGAACTGGGATTGGCACGACACGCTTTTCGGAGTTAGAGTGCCGATGTGCACACTGTACACATGCGATAACCGGAAATTGAGTCCAAAAATGTAGTAGTAAGTGACTTTATTTGGTCTTGGCCATTAAAATCCTGGTGGTGGTCTTACTGTTTCTTCTTCTTCTACTGAACTTCGATCTCAAGTTGGGGTGGTGGCGGCGAACAAGCTAATAAGTTGGGCTGTGTCGGCAGCCGCATTGGTGAGATTCGGCTTTGAGAGACTTGAGGTAGAGTGCTCAGTTTAGTAATTTTGATAAATACATCTGGGCGTCTGGTGGATGAGATCGTGGGCTCGAGCGACGAAAGTGATGGCAGCAGAATGGAGATTGAAGACGCTGGCGTAGAGATGGAGATGGTCAGAGGCATTGGGGACGGTGGCATCATTGAGAAGGCTGAGGCTGTGGTCATCGCTTCCTCCGAGCACGAGTGGCAAGACGAGGACTTTGAAGATGGAACTTGTCTCTTGTCAGACTGCACCAACACGGCTCAAGCGAACGGCTTCTGCTACGCTCACGGCGGATATCAGGTGTGCTATGCTCTTGGTTGTAACCGGAGGGCTGCTGTACGAGCTTTTCATCGCAAACGCGCCGTATCCAGCGACACGAATGATCTGCACACTGCTGAATACGACGGTAATGGAAAGAGCGCGAAGAACCAAAAGGTGTGGGTCCAACTCGACTACTGCGATAAGCACTTGGATGAAGAGGAACTGGATGGAGATCACGCAGCCGAAGCATCGAGTCAAGCGCAGCCGCATGAGACCATCCGCGCTACCGATCGTCGTTATCGTCGCCACAGCGTGTGCAAGTGGCTTGGGTGTATGAAGTGGGTGATGAGAGATGGAGACCCGAGCGAGTACTGCGTCCTTCACCGAGCCCAAGACGGCAGCTCAGTGATCTCGAGAGGAAGTAGCGTGGCATCATTCACCCACTCCGAGGACGAGTCGAGTGTTGAGCAAGTGGAGGCCACGGAATTCAATGGCGAAAAGGACGTCCAGCGCGACTACAAAAGCCCCGTCCTCTGCAAAGAACCAGGATGCAGCAAGCAGGGATCTGTCTACGGAGACAAGAGGGGCTACTGCTTTTAACACGGCGGTGGCGTCACCTGCATCGTACCAGGATGCCCCAAGCAGCGTCAATTGAAGGGGCTATGCCGAGAGCAAGCTTTGCGTTTGTTCCTGCCGCCGACAGAAGCACCCCCACCACCACTCTTCCCCCTTGATACTTTTCTGTAGGTAGACCCGGAAAGAACGTATCTTCAGCGAAACAAACATTGCAGTGTAGTCTCAGGTGCTCGACCATAGCCTTCTTCATTGCAGCAGTGTAAAATGGTAGGGCCCGCGTCGTTTTCCACCTGCCTCGACCTCCAGACAGGCGAGGGTGACTTGGTGGCGCCCACGCCGTTGCAGAAATGATCGCGCGCTGAGCGGCCGAGAGTGCAAAAATTACTGGCTTGAAACTGGTGTATCCCTCAACAAGTCAAGCCCTGTCAATCTGAAGACACAATTGTGATTGGCTAATACTATCCTGTATCCCATACGTGGGTGTATCCCTCTACAAAACAAATTCGGTAACCAGCTCCTGGGGTTAACGTTGGACAAGCACTGCCGAATGGCCAGGTTGCTCTCTACCTTGAGCTCAGCTTCGCACGGGGACAAGGGACATTGGTCACAGTGGATGAGTCCAAAAATGTAATGGCTCGCTAACAACGAACTGTAATGTATAGTGTACATTATGCTTTGCGCGTGCCATGCAAATCTTGCTGCCGTCGTAGCTGTACAGTACGTAATGGTCTTGCGAGCGTTGCAATGGACGACTGCACATTCCCACTCAAAATACGCAAAGCGGTTACCCGCCAGGTGGTGGGCATTGACTTGGTTCGAGCGGATGTCTGCCCTTGGCCAGCAATGACACAGCAATGGGCCGCTGCAGTGTACATGTATGCAGCAGTGTTTTGTGTGAGAGCGACATCAATATACATGTACATTCTCCCAATCGTAGCCAATATGATGCACACTTGGGAGGTGATATCGACAGCGGGGCCACGTTAAATTCCTATATTAGCCGTACAAAAACCAAAAACGGGCTGCTGGTACAGAAGTACGAGTGATACAGTAGAGTAGCGAGGACAGGAGAAAGCGCTTCGCTTGCTTGATGCAACAAAGCTGTGCAGCATCGACGGAATTTCTCGGTGGGGTCGACTAGCGTTCGCCTTGTTTTTCCATTGATTCGGAACTGGGATTGGCACGACACGCTTTTCGGAGTTAGAGTGCCGATGTGCACACTGTACACATGCGATAACCGGAAATTGAGTCCAAAAATGTAGTAGTAAGTGACTTTATTTGGTCTTGGCCATTAAAATCCTGGTGGTGGTCTTACTGTTTCTTCTTCTTCTACTGAACTTCGATCTCAAGTTGGGGTGGTGGCGGCGAACAAGCTAATAAGTTGGGCTGTGTCGGCAGCCGCATTGGTGAGATTCGGCTTTGAGAGACTTGAGGTAGAGTGCTCAGTTTAGTAATTTTGATAAATACATCTGGGCGTCTGGTGGATGAGATCGTGGGCTCGAGCGACGAAAGTGATGGCAGCAGAATGGAGATTGAAGACGCTGGCGTAGAGATGGAGATGGTCAGAGGCATTGGGGACGGTGGCATCATTGAGAAGGCTGAGGCTGTGGTCATCGCTTCCTCCGAGCACGAGTGGCAAGACGAGGACTTTGAAGATGGAACTTGTCTCTTGTCAGACTGCACCAACACGGCTCAAGCGAACGGCTTCTGCTACGCTCACGGCGGATATCAGGTGTGCTATGCTCTTGGTTGTAACCGGAGGGCTGCTGTACGAGCTTTTCATCGCAAACGCGCCGTATCCAGCGACACGAATGATCTGCACACTGCTGAATACGACGGTAATGGAAAGAGCGCGAAGAACCAAAAGGTGTGGGTCCAACTCGACTACTGCGATAAGCACTTGGATGAAGAGGAACTGGATGGAGATCACGCAGCCGAAGCATCGAGTCAAGCGCAGCCGCATGAGACCATCCGCGCTACCGATCGTCGTTATCGTCGCCACAGCGTGTGCAAGTGGCTTGGGTGTATGAAGTGGGTGATGAGAGATGGAGACCCGAGCGAGTACTGCGTCCTTCACCGAGCCCAAGACGGCAGCTCAGTGATCTCGAGAGGAAGTAGCGTGGCATCATTCACCCACTCCGAGGACGAGTCGAGTGTTGAGCAAGTGGAGGCCACGGAATTCAATGGCGAAAAGGACGTCCAGCGCGACTACAAAAGCCCCGTCCTCTGCAAAGAACCAGGATGCAGCAAGCAGGGATCTGTCTACGGAGACAAGAGGGGCTACTGCTTTTAACACGGCGGTGGCGTCACCTGCATCGTACCAGGATGCCCCAAGCAGCGTCAATTGAAGGGGCTATGCCGAGAGCAAGCTTTGCGTTTGTTCCTGCCGCCGACAGAAGCACCCCCACCACCACTCTTCCCCCTTGATACTTTTCTGTAGGTAGACCCGGAAAGAACGTATCTTCAGCGAAACAAACATTGCAGTGTAGTCTCAGGTGCTCGACCATAGCCTTCTTCATTGCAGCAGTGTAAAATGGTAGGGCCCGCGTCGTTTTCCACCTGCCTCGACCTCCAGACAGGCGAGGGTGACTTGGTGGCGCCCACGCCGTTGCAGAAATGATCGCGCGCTGAGCGGCCGAGAGTGCAAAAATTACTGGCTTGAAACTGGTGTATCCCTCAACAAGTCAAGCCCTGTCAATCTGAAGACACAATTGTGATTGGCTAATACTATCCTGTATCCCATACGTGGGTGTATCCCTCTACAAAACAAATTCGGTAACCAGCTCCTGGGGTTAACGTTGGACAAGCACTGCCGAATGGCCAGGTTGCTCTCTACCTTGAGCTCAGCTTCGCACGGGGACAAGGGACATTGGTCACAGTGGATGAGTCCAAAAATGTAATGGCTCGCTAACAACGAACTGTAATGTATAGTGTACATTATGCTTTGCGCGTGCCATGCAAATCTTGCTGCCGTCGTAGCTGTACAGTACGTAATGGTCTTGCGAGCGTTGCAATGGACGACTGCACATTCCCACTCAAAATACGCAGAGCGGTTACCCGCCAGGTGGTGGGCATTGACTTGGTTCGAGCGGATGTCTGCCCTTGGCCAGCAATGACACAGCAATGGGCCGCTGCAGTGTACATGTATGCAGCAGTGTTTTGTGTGAGAGCGACATCAATATACATGTACATTCTCCCAATCGTAGCCAATATGATGCACACTTGGGAGGTGATATCGACAGCGGGGCCACGTTAAATTCCTATATTAGCCGTACAAAAACCAAAAACGGGCTGCTGGTACAGAAGTACGAGTGATACAGTAGAGTAGCGAGGACAGGAGAAAGCGCTTCGCTTGCTTGATGCAACAAAGCTGTGCAGCATCGACGGAATTTCTCGGTGGGGTCGACTAGCGTTCGCCTTGTTTTTCCATTGATCCGCTGTGGGGATACGCTACAGATGTAGCTTGAATGTCGTTCGATGACATCCAAAAACCTTCCCCAATCGACAGTTCTTTGAACTGCGAATTAAATGTTCCTGTGATGGTTTCAGATCGTTTGGGCATGGTCGAATCTCTGATGGAGAGTATGCTGGCCGAACTTTGGAGTTGGCAACCGAAAGATGCAAATTTGACGTGGCGAGGAAGCGAACAGGCTGTATTGGCAGTACTACGTGGTCGATCGTCAGATTGCACGATTAATCCACTACAATGGAGCGCTATCATCCATGGATCTAAAGCGGTGGAGGACGCCAAGAGGCTGTTCGAGACATTCAACAATCAGGTGGCCATCTATAACATTTGATAAAATGGTTCAGCACTCAAATATCAGGGGTTCTGGAAGAACAAGAGAAGAAGTACCTTAGCACGACACGGTGTATAAATCTAGGTATTCGGACGAGACTTTGGTGACAATCCACGACAGTCGTCAAGTGAAGAGAATTAGGATTCGCGTGGTAAGGCGGCAGCATTCTATCGGACCGAAACGAAGGCTGTGTCATGAACCTCGCGGCAGGAAATGAACATTTGACAAAATGGTTCAGCACTCATGAATGCACGCCTGAGGACATTTAGACAAAATGGTTCAGCACTCATGAATGCACGCCTGAGGACATTTAGATATTACCAAGTGATTACCATTGAACCGAAGGGTGGCCCTGGACTGTGCTGCGGGCAGCTTCAAGCTCTCAAGTGGCTGTATCTAGATCGAAACGAGGGCGGTATGGTAAGAAAAAAAAGGCATCTAGCTATAGTCAAGTGGGCGTCGCTGCCAGCAAGGGCCACCTGGAAGTCGTCAAATGACTCCATGAAAACCAAACCGAGGGACCGCAATGGATGGCGCTGTCTTTAAATGCAAGCTCGACGTCATCAAGTGACTACACAAGAGTCGTTTGGAAAGCTGCACCACTATAGCAAAACCTTCACGGTCCTGCAGTGATTATAAGCAATTCGGGTCAAGAGATGCACGAGTCGTGCAGCACGACTCAAGCGCTAGATCGCGCGGCTGTGGACGGAGATTTCGGCCGAGTGCTGTTCTTTAAAACTCAAAAAGCAAGAGCGACGAAAAGCCCTTTTTTCATCGGCATACCAGGTTCTGCCTTTCACGACTGGCTCACCGAACACTACCCCGATCTGCTGGAATCCTTACTCGTGCCCTATGCTGTTCAGTTCGTACATCGCCGATGCCGTAAAATGAACTTGCCAGTGCGATGTCAAACCAACAACGTCATTAGCCGGTGAACCCACCCCCTTCTTCCTCCTTTAACAAAGTGTGTGTGTGGTAAAGGCGGCGAATGCCGGGTGACGACGTCCATTCTGTTCGAATGGGTGAGAAGGCAATTGGGAATTGACGGTGCAGCAACTATCTTCTTGAAGACGACGACGTGACGATCTCGAAGCGAAAGTATCTTTTCCTCGAGGGGCAGAAGCACCGCGAGTTTCGCGCAACAAAAAAGCTTGGCCCACTCACAGCGTCCATCTATTAGTCGTTGGAATTCTCTTAGCGGTGAAAGTTCGAGCGGGCAGAGCCTGCAGCAGGCGATGTCGGGGGGCACAATGCCCCCTGGTACACATCGATGATTACCATCCAGGCTGACGTCGATGTTAAACGTGCTGAACAAGCGACGATACCTTGAAGTTGTGATGCACCGGACAGGACGCACCGAAGTCCTCTACATCAAGATGCGGTTCATGTTTTGCCGTACGCACGCTTCGGATCAACTAACAGCCACGCCACAGCAGCGACTTCTACGTGGCTGGGCTGCAGACCCGCGTGAAAATTGTGTCAAGCGTTGGTGGCGCCTTGCGAACGCGACAGCTGATGGACGCGCTTCCGGCTCAGATGCTGGACACAATAAGCGTCTGTATACTGGAGTTCATCGCGGACTCGTATCTCGGCAAAGGCGCTACACAGCGATAGGCGAGCATGACTCACGAGATGCTCCCAAGGCAAAGGCGAGCTCCCATGCTCTCTCGGTGCAGCACCTATCGACGATAGGAAGCAAGACCCCCGCCATGTGGAGCCATCGCTGGCATTACGCCACGTTCGACTCTGAGGTTCGCCTCGTTTCTGAAGCTCTGCGAGTCATCTCCGGATGGGAGCCACGCCCGATCTGTCTGTTGGGTGTTCATCTCCGTGTGCCTCCGAACGGATGCGCGGATACTCTTGCTGCTCGAACGGGGCGTCAAACGAGCGCCTGTGCACGGCACAGCATACCGCCGGCCGCGCTGGTTCAGGATCTTGTCGCCGCCCTCAGTTCCTCACTTTTCAATTTACTTTGCTTCCAACAAGCATCGTTCTCCACCCCCAGCAATTGCTACCTACACTCCCTGTCACTCGACGACACTCCATCGACAATGAACCTCACCAAGTTGGCTGCGTACCTGGCTGTCGTGTCCCTCGCCGTCGGCTCCTTCGCGGATGCCTCTGTCCCCACGACCGGCTACGCTGTTCGTCGGCTAGGAGCTGGCGGCGGCGTTTCGACCTCGACGACCGGAGTCGCCGCTGACACTGCGACGCAGCAGACGACCACGACGACAGACACTGCAACGCAGCAGCAGCAACAGCAATCTACCCAAGGCGGCCAGACCTCGACCCAGGGCGGCCAGACCTCGACAGACTCTGGAAACCAAGGAGGACAGTCATGGAACCAGGGCGGCCAGCACGGAGGAGACTCCAACCAGGGAGGCCAAGGCCAAGGCAATCAAGGTAGCGGCCACAACTGGGGCCAGGGCAACCAGGGCGGTGACGCTGCAACTACCCCATGTCCGAGCGACGATGCCAACCAGGGCGGCCAAGGCCAGTGGAACCAGGGCCACAACTGGGGTCAGGGCGGCCAAAACCAGTGGAACCAGGGCAGCGGTCACAACTGGGGCCAGGGCGGCCAGGGCAACCAGGGTGGACAAACGTGGACTGGAACCCAGGGAGGCGACGCTGCTACTACGCCGTGTCCGGGCGACGACGCTAACCAGGGCGGCCAAGGCCAATGGAACCAGGGCAGCGGCCACAGCTGGGGACAGGGTGGCCAGGGTAACCAAGGCTGGGGTCAAGGTGGCCAGGGCAACCAGGGCGGACAGACTTGGACCGGAAACCAGGGAGGTGATGCTGCTGCTACGCCGTGCCCAAGCGACGACGCGAACCAAGCTGGCCAAGGCCAGTGGAACCAGGGCCACAACTGGGGTCAGGGCGGCCAAAACCAGTGGAACCAGGGCAGCGGTCACAACTGGGGCCAGGGCGGCCAGGGCAACCAGGGTGGACAAACGTGGACTGGAACCCAGGGAGGCGACGCTGCTACTACGCCGTGTCCGGGCGACGACGCTAACCAGGGCGGCCAAGGCCAATGGAACCAGGGCAGCGGCCACAGCTGGGGACAGGGTGGCCAGGGTAACCAAGGCTGGGGTCAAGGTGGCCAGGGCAACCAGGGCGGACAGACTTGGACCGGAAACCAGGGAGGTGATGCTGCTGCTACGCCGTGCCCAAGCGACGACGCGAACCAAGCTGGCCAAGGCCAGTGGAACCAGGGCCACAACTGGGGTCAGGGCGGCCAAAACCAGTGGAACCAGGGCAGCGGTCACAACTGGGGCCAGGGCGGCCAGGGCAACCAGGGTGGACAAACGTGGACTGGAACCCAGGGAGGCGACGCTGCTACTACGCCGTGTCCGGGCGACGACGCTAACCAGGGCGGCCAAGGCCAATGGAACCAGGGCAGCGGCCACAGCTGGGGACAGGGTGGCCAGGGTAACCAAGGCTGGGGTCAAGGTGGCCAGGGCAACCAGGGCGGACAGACTTGGACCGGAAACCAGGGAGGTGATGCTGCTGCTACGCCGTGCCCAAGCGACGACGCGAACCAAGCTGGCCAAGGCCAGTGGAACCAGGGCCACAACTGGGGTCAGGGCGGCCAGGGCCAGTGGACCGGTAACCAGGGAGGCGACTCGGCGGCCGCGCCATGCTCCGGCGACAGCTCGAACCAGGGCGGCGAGGGTCACTCGTGGGGACAGTGGGGCCAGGGCGTCGGAGGAAGCCATGCAACGCAGAACAACGGTGGCGACAGCACTAACCAGTGGACTGGAACTGTGACTACACCGAACCAAGGCTCGGCTGGTGGCGACCACACTCCTGTCACGCAGGGTGGCGATTCGAGTGAGACGCCGTGCCCGAACGACCAGGGCTCGGCTGGGTCTCCTCCCGAGACCCCCTCTGTTCCGGAACCCCCTGTGACTGAAGCCCCGTCTACCGAGGCCCCTGCTACCACCGCGCCCCCGGCGACGACGGCCCCGCCGACAACGGATGCCCCCACTACCCAAGCTTCTGCGACCAAGACCGGCGTCACTCCTGCCGCCCAGTCGGACGATTCGACCACGCAGCAGTCCGCCGTTCAGTCTCGCCTTCGTCACTAGGCTCCGCGCTGATCCAAAGGGCCGATACTTTAGCTCGTCTTCGTTTGGATGATTCGGTTGACCAGCATCGCCGCCAACTGATACCGTAACCTTGCTTGTTGCCCATGTTTCAAAAATACAAAGTCTCGTTAATACGTTTGGCGTAGATTTAAAAGTACCGGTGCGGTTTCTAATGAACGTTCGCACACAAGATGAGCTGGTCAGCGGACTGCATGGCGATATTTCAGTGTGCTTCGAGCCAGCTTGCAGTTTCCTTCGCAAAAAAGAAAACATGGTCCGCCATAATATTGGAACGACTTGAGGATTGACATGAACTAACTGTCGGTGCCACTTGTGTGCCTTAATGTAATCCCGCTCACTGTTTTGCTCATAACTTTTTATTGGGCAATTAGTTTTGAGATGTAAACGCATATCTGAAGAGAGCGCAATCTCTTCTGTTAGCAGACTGTTTTACTGAGCTCTACAGTAAACGAGAGCTCAATTAGGAGTTGCTGACTATTTGCAAACCCATTCACGGCAGGACCAGTTATCTGCCGCATTTTATCTGTGGTTTTGTAAGGGGGACAAATCTCTTTTTGCTCTCATGACAGCACCGAAACAACCTGTACAAAATGATTTGCACCCATTTGAAATCGTATAAGACCGGATATACGATATCACAATATGGTACACAATATTATGTGATTTGTGTATAAATATAGTAAGATTTGTGCTCAGAGGCAGCGCTGCCAAAGCTTAGTGGTAAAGTCCTCGGATCATAACCGAGAGGACGGTGGTTCGATTCCACCTGGCAGCATTAACTCAACCAAAACACTAGTGGGCTAACTGTCAATTAGAGCATTAGGGGGCTGCCACAGAACTGCGAAAGCGACCGACGGCTGCCACCGAGTGAACAGATTGACCGCCAGTATGCTAAGTACCATGAGTCGGGTTCCCCTTCTGATAACGGTTTGAGATCGTCAAATCTCAAAAACCGGACATCACAGCGGGCCCAGGCATACAGAGGGATATCGTATCACTATAGAAAGTAGGAAATAAACAACAACAAAAATGAAGACAATGTGGTGGAAAATACCCCAGCAAAAGCTTTTTTCTTTGGTTATACTAAACTATCGCCTCCCACACAACTTTATCCTGCTGGTTTGCCTCACCGTGCTTCGACGCAGACTGGAACTGCAGCTGCTCCGGCACCGGAGACGGCACCCTCTTCATCTTCGTCGCCTTCGTCGCCAGCGGATGCTTCTTCGTCTTGGCTGCCTTTTTGGGCTTCTTCATCGGTTGTGCCATCGCTTCCAGTGTTTCCTTGGTCAAAAGACGACCGGCGACCGTTGCTGTCTTGTGCACCCGCTTCTTGGACGGCGGTAGCACGAGCACCTCCTTCTGCACGATATCCTTGATCCGGTGCCACGCTGCCAGCTTCGTAGATGCGGGGGTCCTGTTGCGCCGGAAATTGTCGATGCACTTGTCCATACGCGGCTTGGACGGAGGGAATAGGCCGCACCCAGCAAACCCCGCTTTGACGTTCTCACCCATCTTGCATCCTACTCATGCTGCGCTTGCCATCCGGATGGCTTCCGCTTCGTCGACCGAATTGCGTCCAGTCTCGCCAACGTAGATCTCGGTTAGGCGGCGTAGCTTCGCCTTGAACGACGAAAACACAGCGACATCCAGTGGTTGAAGCAGTTGGGTCGCGTTCGAAGGCAGCAACAACAGAAGCACGCCAAGCCGAGCTGCCTCTAAGCTGATCTCCACGGAGTAATGAGACGAATACCCATCCAGAATCAGGAGAAGAGGTCGCTGCACGTCCTTGGGCACGCTAGCCGAAAAAAAGCGCAGCCACTCAAGAAAGACAAATCCATTCATGAACCCGCAGCTCGAGGTGGTGACGGCAGCTCCGGGTATGGTGCAGCCATCTAGAACTTCGAGCTTGACTGTCAACCCCGGCAGCACGAAAAGCGGCGGCACCATGCACCCCGACGCGCTGCCACACGCGACCAGCGTGAGGTGAAAATTGAGCGCAACGTCTTGGTGCCAAACGTTCTTGGAGGCTCGAACCGCCACGACACGCTTGGAGCCCTTGTTGGTCTGAAACGCTGTTTCGTCCATGTTGAACACGCGAGACGCGTCCAAACGATTCTCGACCACAGCCTTGATCAACGAGCTAAACAACTGCTCGAGATCGCTCTTGGTCACAGCGTTGCGGGCCTTGCATACCGCCTGAGACGTTCGGGTTGCCAGCATCGGGTGTCGCCCCATGAAGCGGCGGTACCACCCGCCACCAACCGTTTGACCAGTGGCCATGGAGCTCATGGCGCCGGCTTTGAAGATGATCTCCTTGCGACTTGCGGGGTGACCGACCAGTTGGCACCCGACAATCCACTCGACCAAGCATGCCTCCGCTGGTTGCGAGAGCAGCGGAGCCGGGCCATGACGAACAGGTGCGCGGAAGATGCCCATTTTCCTCTTCGCGACCCATTTCGTAAAGTTCCGATACGGAATTGGGGTGCTGTCGCTGACACTGCGGGCGCTGTCGTCGGCGAGGACGCGCTTCACTGCAGAATTGAGGTCTTCGATCTCGTACGCGGGCATTGTCGAGGTGGTCGCTGCGGGGTTGGTGGGTGGTTTGTAGGCTTCAGGAAATAGGAGACTGAGCTCAAACGGGCGGGAAATGTGTCTTGTTCGTATACAGTTTGGCGAGTTTTACTGGCTGGTAGCGCTTACAGACTTTTTTACCAATAGGGTTCTTTAAAAATACTTACGGCATTCTAATTGGTTGAAGCTAAAATGGCACGGAACTGGCAGACTGCACGCGACTGGCACCGTACCTACAGGTCCAATCCGTTGAATCCGAGTGATTTAGTGAATGCGCAGCCGTTCTATCGATACAGTAATCTGCCCGAGTAAGGAACGCCTGATATATATAAAGACGCAGAATATATCAATTGATGTTAAGTTGAGTATACTTTTCCAATGTACTGGTTTAGTTATTTCAAAATGAACTGAAGAGCAGCTTTACCTACGAGTCCAGAATGATTCCAACAGTGGCGTATGGCCGAAGCACTAACCTTTGACCAGGCATCCTCGTACCACAACAGCGCTGTCAAATGGGTGGAGTGGGGGAGGAGGTGGGCTTGTGGGGCGAGGTGCAAAAGCAAAAGTGCGAGTCTACCACTACGGTACATGTAGTTTGAAGTCTAGTAAGATCGCTAAATGCGCGCCATTTTTCAAACGAGGGTGGAGAGCTGATGATTGGCACTGGATTTTTCACCTTAGTACCTCAGTACCTTGCAGTATCTTGCTCATCCCCCTATCGCCACATCGACTGGAAAATAATATTAAATATGTGAGGCTATTAGTTGTACACCCGTTCCTTATTCGGGCAGAATTCTGTAATACCTTCGTCACTAACCCAAAGGGCCGATACTTTAGCTCTTCGCAGACTATGCATACAAATTGTGTGTACACACTTCAAAAAAATAGCCATGTTTGAGCAATGGTTCCCAAAAACAAGGCGACGCATTTTCTTGCGGCTGGCGGCCCTCGTCAGCTCCCGCCACAGCTCCTCAGACGTCACTTCAGATAGATCATGGCCGGCAGCAACTCGGACGCATCGACGCAGCGCGTGGCCACGCAGGTGGCGGTGGCGGCCGCCGGCGCCGCGCTGGCCTACTACGTCGGCTCGCGCAGCAAGAGCGCGCGGCGAGCGGCGGCCAAGCGGCGCGCCCAGGACGTGGCCCAGGCCAAGGCGGCCGCGCTGCCCACAGACCTGGAGCGCCGCAAGCTCACGTCGGTGGTGGTGCGCGTGCCGGCCACGACAGCCAACATGGGCCCGGGCTTCGACACCATCGGCATGGCCCTGGACATCTGGACGGAGATCTCGGCCGAGGTCGTGGAGGACGCGAGCGTGGCCCCGGGCATCACGCTCACGAACGAGGGCGAGGGCGCCAAGGAGCTGCCCACGGACGCGTCCAACCTCGTGATCGTCGGCATCAAGGCGGCCTTCAAGGCCGCGGGCGAGCCGCTGCCCCGCCACCTCAAGGTGCACTGCAAGAACCGCATCCCGTTCGCGCGCGGCCTCGGCAGCAGCTCGGCCGGCATCGTGGGCGGCATCATCGCCGGCCTCGCGCTGGCCGGCATGCGCCTGCCCGTCCGTGGCCGCGAGGAGCTCCTGCAGCTGGTAAGAGAGACTCTAGTCTGTTGTTCTTGTATGAGTCGTGACTGACGCTGTGCTTGTGACCTTTTGCAGGCTTCGGAGATCGAGGGCCACCCGGACAACGTGGCCCCGGCCATCTACGGCGGCCTGCAGCTCGGCATCTTCGCCGACGACCGCTGGTACTCGTCGCGCGTGCAGATCCCGGACGGCCTGCAGTGCGTCGTGTTCATCCCAGACTCGACGGGCCCCACGAGCGTGGCCCGGGCCATCCTGCCGCCCGACGTGCCCCGCAAGGACGCCGTGTTCAACATCGGCCGGGCCGCCATCTTCGTCAACGCCTTCCGATCTGGCAACCTGGACGAGCTGCGTTACGCCACGCAGGACATGCTGCACCAGCCGCAGCGCGGTGCGGCCCAGTACCCGCACCTCGAGCCGCTCATCAAGGCCGCGCTGGGCGCCGGCGCGCACGGCTGCTTCCTCAGCGGCGCCGGCCCCACGGTGCTGGCCATCACCAGCGGCCGGGCCGGTGACATCTTCACGCAGCAGCTGGCCGAGCGCCAGGAGAACAAGGTGGCCAACGCCATGCGCGAGGCGGCCGCCGCCCTCGGCGTGTCTGGATGCGTGTTCATCACCAACCCGGACCACCGCGGCGCCTTCATCGTGCGGGCCGAGCCGCAGTTCTCGGACCGCTCCGTCGCGCGCTACGAGGGCGACGTCGCCGACCTGTAGAGTGCTGCTAGTTTGAACTTCGGCAGGCCCCACGTCTGAATGCTGTAGTGCATGGTAAAATGGAACGTTGATATGTTTCGCCCCCGATTGCTCGCTCTACCCCCATGATCCTTTCATTTGGCCAGTATGTGGCAGTGTGCAAGGTGCTGTTCACACCGTATCACCGCAAGGGAAACTAGGAAATGAACAACACTTTTTCACTTTCGGTGCTCGAAGGAGGGGCACACGTAGCGCCACTGCTCGTCGTGAAGCTAATTTTCCAGGCCAAGACCCAGTTCGCGTACCTTCCCCATGTCATCGACTCCGTTTCTTGCTTTTTGGACTCGTCAGTGGATCTAGGGCGTGTAAATTCGGGTCGACCCGCCTTCTGGAGCGCATTTGGAGCAGCAGCGAAGTCTACGCCACTGATGATAATGGTTCAGATTGTGCCCCCAGTGGTTCCTGGACTCGGAGGAACTTCATCCGAACAGACCGCCATTATCGGACGGACCAGTTTAATTCGTCCCTAGCGGAGGCTGTGCAGCTCAAAAAGCTGGAAATGGTCAGCGAAGCTCCAAGACTGCGAGATTACGGCCATTCCAGTCGAAGATTTAGCCAAGCTGGGGTGGATGGAGGGGCTACTATTTTTTCGGGACAATGGCAGCGGATTAATTAGCGGTCGAACCAGAGAGGGAAGACTGGGCCAACGCATTGAGTGGGATTGGGTGATGCGATCAGCAGCTTCTGGTGGCCACAGTGATATTGTGTGGTGGTTGTATGAAAACCTCCCGCATGTAAGACACTACCTCCTCAACAAAGCGGTTTTGAACGGGGACCTTGAATTGGCAGAGGGGCTTACTTCCCACGGAGCTCGATTTTGTCGTTATTTTCCAGACTACCTGGTGAAGCAAGTTGCTGCGAACGGGAGACTGCAGGTGTTTCTGTGGCTATTTGAACAAGGTAAAAATCGGTGACTTTGAAGGCTTATTGGAGGCTGCTGCGGGGAACGGGCATCTAGATCTTGTGCGCTGGCTGGTCGGCCAAAAACACTCGACCCGATGAAGCAACTAGATTTGGGCATTCCGTTGAAAAGATGAGGCTGGCTATTCATGCTGTCGCTGCCAATGGATATCTACAGGTTGTAGAATTCCTATGCGCACAGGTAGGGTTCAAGCACTTTACCAGGGGTATGCTGGTTGACGCTGCGAAGAATGGCCACCAAAGTGTCGTCAAGTGGATGTGCCAAAATGCTTCAAACCAGAATTTGATTTACCAAGATGGAAAACAACATTCGAAGACGATCACAGCGATGGAGGCGGCCGCTTCTGCTGGGCATCTAACAATTGCCAAGTATTTGCATGCACTCGATAAGTTTTATTCGTCCAGAAAGAGGAGGAGGGGCGAGGTCATACCGCGAGTACGACCAATTTGTACTAATGGAGCGGCCGCGAATGGCCACCTAGAAGTCGTCAAATGGCTACACGAACACCGACTCGAGGGCTGCAGTGGCCGCGCGATGGATGGTGCAGCTTCAGCGGGCCATCTAAATGTCATGCAATTGCTGTTCAAACACTGTTTCGAAGGATGCTCGATAGCTGCAATACTGTGCAGTGGCTGCATAGCAATACAAGCGCTGGGTGTTCGACAAGAGCGATGGGCGATGTTGTAAAGTGGCTACATGAATACCGAACGGAGCCTTAGATGGCTACACAAAAATCGGTCGGAACGTTGCACGGCTCAAGCGATGATTGAAGCGGCGAAGCAAGGTCGTCTGCAAATCGTGGAATGGCTTTACAGGCATCGATTGGAGCACGATCTAACTGCAGCTTTGGAGCAGACTGATACGATCGACGTGTTCCTCCTTCTGCATGATCGATGTGATGTAAAGTGTACCGAGAGTGCAGCTATAAGAGCGGATGAGGAAGGCCCACCGGAGATGAATGACTGGATCCTTGAGCACTACCCGGCTTTTCGAGAGGTGGTTGAAGAATACGAATGAGAATGGAATTCGGAGGGTAAACAACTCGTCTTTGGTAAAAATGTTAGATTCTTGAGATTATGCACCGAAGAAACACCAATCGAAGCTGCAGTGTGATCCAGTTGCGCAGGCACTGTATGAACTTTGAATTCTTCAAGAAGAACCGCGAAAAAGAGCAACGGCAAACGGCGCATCAATACACGCAATCAGCGCCAGCACCGCTCCGATTATGAGTGCCCCGGCTGCAGCTCCAGTTCCAATAGCGGTAAGTTGTTTCAGCCTTGCTACGAGCCCCACCCGCATTTTAGCCACCTCTTTACCGGAGAAAGCCACGCCATTCTTCTGCATCGTCTTGGACAGTTGAATCATATCCGGCTGCTTCGCCAGTCGCTTCATGCTCCCCGGGTTACTTACGAAGCTTCGAAGGATCTTGGGGTCCTTCTCCGCCGCAGTCCTCAGCTTGCTTAGACTCGAGCTGCGCTGCGCTGCAGTGCCGTGACCACCTCCGAGTTATTCTGCAGACCCTCGATCTTGGAGCTGAGCCCTGGGGACTTCTTGAATAGGTTGGTCACGCTCTGGATCCCTAGGGAAACTTCATCCTCTCCTCTTCTTCATCATCCGTTGATTCTTCATCAGTGGCGGCGATTTCGTCGACGAGAAAGCGGTGAGCGCTATTCATCGTCGCAACGGAGCTATTGTGCGCGACCGAAGCATCGATGAGCATTCCAATGGTGGCGATAACCAGGAGGGCCGCCAGAATCGGTAGCCGCATTGTCTTGGGAAGGATGTGATGAAGGTTTAGTCTGCGCCCTCGAGGCGTGATCGGAAAGTGAACTGACCTTTGGATAACAGCCATCTACCGTTGATGAGCAGGAGTTGGTAGTAGTTGCAACGAACCGGCTTCGAATCCGGCTGTGTGCACACAAGACAGCTATCGTGCACTTTGTCGAGTGGATTGCGTGAAAATGTCTGATCGTCTGAGCTGTAAGTTTTGAGGATGCTGTACCCGCAATCTGAAATGTATACGAGTGCAACGTCCAGTATGACGAATGGTGAAGAATGAGGAAGTGTTTGTTTAAAGCCAAATTTGCCACAAAGAGGAAGCGGGTTAATTAGAGAATGAGCGGTGGGAGCGGCGCGCCTCCTACTATTTCCCAGTTTTTTAATCGAGCGATAAAACGCCTATGCAACTACATGTACTTCAAAACTAAACTGCGTCCCATCGTGATGTCTTTCTCACGCCACCAATGCCACACGCGCAATCGACTATGAGCAGTTCTCGTGCTATCACGCAATACAGGATGAGCGATATCGAGTACTAGTACTGTACATAATTGCTACTAGGCGATACCAGCGTGTAAAACGTTTTCCTAGGCATTTAGGCGGTTTGCTGGGTGGAGCTCAAGTCTGAATTTTACCGCTCTCGATGAAAAATAGAAAATCTACCGAGCACCACTCAGAACAAATCACAGAAGAATCGCATTCTTAATAACACTTTCAAGTTGTGGGGTAGCATTCTGAACCTGTTATCAAGACATAAGAATTCAGTTCCAAGTAACTTGCTCAGAGGATTGCAGGGGTTAATGCAGTGATGAGGCAAGTGTACATTTGGCGGGTCTTAGGCGCGAAAATCTGTTGCGTATGCGAGCAAGTCTTGTGCTCCCAGTACTCTGTAAATAAAAATTGCGATTATCAATTGTAAAGTTTATCGAGGCTACCCGTCTCTCCTTCACAGGACGATTCGCGAATGAGCTCTCACGCAATACAGGCCTTTCACAGGATTATTTAAAAAAACACGTACTCCCGCGAAATCCAGGTCAGCAGTGTCAACCAAGAGTACCGTGCCTGCTGTAGCCTTTGGTACTGTATCGGGGTCCCACTCGGATCATTTTACGTTTTGCTCTCCAGCAGCCAAGTACCCAAGCACTACGACAAACCTCTATGCGTCAGGCAATCATCGCCATCTTCGCGACCGTGCTTCTGGCTGCCAGCAATGCTGTCTCAGCTCAGCTCCCCAAAGCGGAGTCAGTCGATACATCCGTTCATTCTCGCTCGACCATTGGTGTTCAAACCGACATCGTCGCCAAGCGATCCCTGAGGACCATCGACCCTCTGGACGACAGTGATGATGACGATTACAAGGATCATTAAATGTGTACCCATCGTTTCCGGCACTCTGACCCCTCACCTTTCGAAGTCGTAGAGACCGATATCTCTCCCTTCATCCCGACCGATCTCGCTATCGTATTGGAGGCCGAAGCACAGACCATTGTCACGTCGATGACGACCAAGTCTAGTCTGTGAAGCTTCACGATCGTGAATATCAGAAGCAAGCAAAACTGTTCTGGTGTGAAAGCTATACTGCCGGGTCGAGTTTAGCATTATTTGACAGATCGAGGGACTTACTTCGCAAGGAGTAAGTTCCTGTTCAGCAACAAAATAAAGAGTATTATGTATTTCGTAGTGCTGCACTATGGAGCGAAAGCATGCGGGCGGGGGGCATTTTTTTTAATTACCGCTGCAAATTCTTCCGTAAGCTGAAGGCGACGTAATGATTTGGTAATGTCTGTGTTGTACATGTTTTCCTGCTGTCTGCATAGTAGCGGGTACTAGTAAGCAACTTTGGGCTGAGTCTCGACACAATGCTATTCTGATACTATTCGGATACTTCAGTCGTCTCTCTTCAAGTTTCACTAACTACATCTAGTCATACACCTCCGTCACTGACTCATTTGAGTGTGGAGAAGCAGAGGAGCCATCGTACGGCTTGACCCCCGTTGCCTGGTCTCGCGCGGCCTGCTGGGCGCTACTATTCGTCGCCATACTGATGCACGGCGGGCAAAAGGCCATTTTGCGCTGAACCAACTGATCCTCCATCGAAATATAGCTCACTCGTTTGCGAATCTTGCACGAGGAGCACACTCGCCCGCTGCAGAGTTTACAGACACTCGGTCCAAATCCACGGATCTTCTTGGAGGATATTTTCCCGCAGATCACGCACTCCTTCTTCTCCTGGAGACTCTTTTTGTCCGGCTTGAAGGACGATACTTTCTGCTGCAGCAGCCGCGACAACTTCTTCATCTGGCCACAATACGCGAAATCGGTCGCAGTGAGCATGGCTCTGGCTGAAATCGGGACGAAGAGTAGCCGCATCGCCTTGCCTCCAGGGTCCACGACACAGGAAGTAAAATTGTCGATGACGTTCGTCTCAATCTGCCGGAAGAAGCTGAAAACCGACAAATTGCCGCGGATCATGCTCGACTGAGGGGTGGTCAGCGGGAATTCGATGGAGTGGAGCACGTTGTAGCCGATTCGCTCTCCGTTAGCGAGGTTCAGGTAGCCCGTGGCCTCGACATACACAAAGTCGCGAGGCTTGATGAGACTCTTGGGCTGCATGGGCATCTCAAGCTTCACCCACTTGACCCCGATCGACCGGAACGGGTCCTCTTCCGTCGGGTCCACTATCGGGCACAACATTGCCCCGTTGTCGACCTCGCCGATGTACGACGTTCGGATGGCCATGGCCTCATGGGTCGGGGTCACGAGGCCGAACATGAGGTCGTCCAGCTCGCCGACGAGCGTTCCAACGCTCAGCATCACTGCGAGGTCTTTTTCAACGTCGTCCTCCCCGCTCTTGCTCTTGCGCCGGTGGTTCTTATGGATACGCTCCGTGTAGACGTGCAGGTTGTCTTTGGACTTGACGTGCTCCCAGTGCTGCTCATCGACCTGGCGCTTGTCGACGACGACGAACTCTTCGTACTTCTTGAAATGGTCCTCGATGAAGCCGCTCACGAGGTCGATCAGGTGCTGCCGCTCCTTCTCGGACACGCGGACGTTCGGATACGGGTTTCGGGTTTTTATCCTTTCTCCCGACATGGTGGGGGTCGTCTTGCTTTGGCTGAGGAAAACGGCAAGTGAACCATATTCGGAGTCGTCGGTGGGGTTCACCCCGGTGCCAGCCTATCAATCTCCAATCGTTTGATCGGCTGGGACAGCACCGCGGTGCAATGCGTCGCGACGGAAGAACACGACAGAAGAGCTTACTTGGATTGTGAAGGCTTCAAGTCGAGTGTGGCGTCGTAACGAAGCGGAGGCACGCGAGCTGCTTTTTGCGAACAAGAGTTCAGGTAAGTGATGTATCGAAAACTGCGCACGAAAGAGAGACAGGCGACGAGATAGAGCCGAGTTGCAGGCAAGCGTGGCGAATTCTTGGCTGGTTTTAGTGCGAAGAACCTCGCGCTTTAGTACATGATACTTCGCGTTGCTCATCCGCAGCATTTGTTTCCCGAGGTTCGCGATCCTCAAGAAAATGATCGGTCACCCTCTTGGAAGCCGAGTTGGTCGGCCACCGGCCGGCCAGCTCACTACTGTACGCTGGCAGATTCCACAATCGCACCAAAAGTGGTGGCTTGCCTGTCCACAAGTGTCTTTTGTTGTGTGTGGGTTCAACTAGTACACGCAAAAAGCCTAGCGTACGGCGGGATGGATAGGTGTAAACGCTTAATGGTCTATCCAAAGTTACCAACTGGTCATCACTTTGGTCGCCTGTGTGTGCTTTTGCTAACGCGCTTTTTTGCTTCTCAGCTCACATACTAAGGTCTTCTGTCAGTTTCGTGCCGTCCTTCGAACTTGCGGACTTGCTGTGGCATAACTTTTCATTGAATTGTCCATGATTGCACCCGCTAAATCTGCGCGATTGGGCTGAATTTATGTACTTCACGCTGGTCCGTGTAAACTTTGCAAAACTTCTTGTTATTGTTTTGAAAAGCTTGTTGGTTTGGAGTGAGCTGCCAGTTTCCTGCCTCTTTTTGATAGCATTTTTATATGCTATGCAAATCCTTGGAGGCTCATCACCGGAAATTGCATGTGACGCTGGAAAAATCTACCAATAGACTACGAGAGTTTAACAAGGAGAAGATGCTAATTGGCTAAAACAAGTAGGCACGGAACTGGTTGTACACGCAACTGGCACCTTACCTTAAAAGAGGTTGTAACGCGTTCTGATGCTGACTTAGCAGTACATGCATTACGTCGGAAATGATTTAACTCGCAGCGAATACGAGGGAACCGATGCCGAGAACGATGAAATCGACCGACACCAACTCTGTCTTCGACCCGCAAAATGCAGCGGTAAGTATTTATATTCTCGATCCAAGATTGGGGACAGCAGTTGCTACTTCGACTCAATATATTCAAACACTTTATCCACTTTTAAAGTATGCCAGCTGTGGTTGTTATCGCAATTATATTCCTCAATATACGAAATGCCTCGAAGGGAGGAAACGAGGCACATCGTATGACTGTATGTCCCAACACCTCGCCTCCGATTCGTACTGCGACTATGTAACAGCACATTGGTCATGTAGCGAGAGCTTGAATGTTCCGGTGCAACGACGTCATCTCGGCATCTTGTGACGTCTTCAACGAACAAATTATAGCCTCGAGTACGTCGCTGGGCTAGATCTGGACAACTCCGAGCTGCTGGCGACGTAGCCACGGGGTTTAGTTTGCACCATGGTCCATACAACCCCAGCGCCTAAGCGTAGTAACACGTAGGCCTAAGCCTTTGACCACAAACTGCATTGCATTTATACTCATCCTGCTATGCTCCACAGTTCCTCACTAACTAACTATCACATCGGCTAGGTCAACTCCTCGTACGAAGACGCCGATGTGTCCACGAAGGAATACGCCGAGTGCATCGTGCCATACTCGTAGCCCAGTGCGTGATCGATCGCGGCCTCCTGCGCGTTCCAGCGGTTCGTCTCGATCATGCATTTCCCACAGACCACCACCTTGCGCTGAATCAATTGTCCCCCACGGGCGATGCTGCTGACGCGCTGGCGGATCTTGCACGAGTAGCAGACGCTACCGTCGCAGATCTTGCACGTGCCCTTGCCGATGCTTCCGATGGCATTGGTGGTCTTCTTGCCACAGACTACACACTGCTTCCTCTGCGTGTGGTCCTTCCGGACAATCGGCGAGTGACTCGAGCGATTGAGCTGCAGCATCCACGCGAGCTTCTTCATCTGTCCGCAGTACACATAGTTCGTCGCAGTGAGCAGCGTCCCCGCCGCCACAGAGACTGCGAGGCTGCGCATGATCTCGCCTCCAGGGTCCACGACGCCCCACGCGAAGTTCTCGATAACCTGTCGACGCTTGCGTCTGAAACAACTGAACACCGACATGTTGCCGCGGGTCTTGTTGGGCAGCGGCTTGGTCTGCGGGAAGTCGATGGAGTGCTGCAGGTGGTAGCCCACCCGGTCCCCATTGGGAAGGTACGTCATGCCCGTTGCCTCGATGTACACGAAGTCGCGGCTCTTGATGAGACTCGAGGGCAGCGGCACGTCGATGGTCATCCACTTGATGACGAGCGAGCGGAACGGGTCGTCCTTGGTGGGCTCCAGCACGGAGCAGACCACGGCGGCGCTCTCGACGTCGTGCACGTACGACGCCTTGACGCGCATGTCGTCCAGCGTGGGGCTCACGACGCCGAACATGAGGTCGTCCAGCTCGCCGACGAACGAGCCGGCGCTCATGACCACGGGCAGCTCCTTGGTCACGGCCTTGGCTTGCACTCGCTGGGTGGCGCTCAACGACGTCTCGGGCTGCATCCCGCGGCGACTGAGCTCCTTGCGGGTGCGCTCCGAGTACACGCGCAGCTTGTCCTTGGCCTTGACGAGCTCCCAGCGCCGGTCGTCCACTTGGCGTCGGTCGACTTGCGCGAACTCCTCGAACTTGTGGACGTAGTCGAACACCAAGTTTTCCACGAGGTCGACCAGCTCGAGTCGCTCGATGTCCGACACCCGAACCTCCGGGAACGGGCTGCGCGTGAAGCGGTCCTTCGGCATCGATCGAGGGCGGTGAAATCAACAACTGAGACCCTGTCGGAACAGTACGGTATCCTATGGGGTGTGATGCCACCCGCCACGATGTGTTTGTGCCTAAGCAGCGACCGATTTACACACAGCAGCTGTGGACGTGCCGCATCGTAAACGCTGCGAGCTGTCACCCAGGCAAGTGCACAGACAAGGGAGGGGTCTTATTCTACCTTCAACTTCTACAGACCCTACCGACAAGAGTGGCTTTGCGAAGGTTTTACATGTACTGTACACTTACGACCCGCGGAAAGCTGTACAGTATCGAATCTTCCTGTCATACCAGTCTGTCCATACAAAGTGGTGCACTGGGATAGTCGAGAGTGGCGTTGGAGCTGAGCTCCGAGGCAAATGAGCACGTCGCCAAGCCTGTCTAAGCTTACCTAGACTCTACGTGGACTTCTTACCAGCATTGCCGCCCTGCAAAGACACTACGAACGTTACGCTCTAAAACCTTTGTCGTATCGTAAATGCCGTCAGTTGTGCCCCATATGGAGCTGGGGAGCTCGATTTGTGACTCTCGACGCGACTCTCGGGTCGAGTCCCTCGCGCTGCAGCTTGAGTCAAGCCTTGGCAGTCCGTGACCTCCTCCGGACTCATCATGATGGTGCGGTGCGCGTGTCGATGCCTTTGCAGTTGTACATATATAGACTATATATGTATAGTTAACATTTTCTCCGGCCTTCAAGTGGCGGCCCAATACTTGCTCAAAATGAAACACTTTGACGAGTGTGGCAAAGCCAACGAGCTTGCCGGCGAAGATTGTGCCGAGTGCGATCTGTGTTCAATCTCACCCACTCGAGCCTCCACTCTGTACGTGTACACGAGTGCAAAGCTGTGGTTACCTGTTTGTGGTCACTTGGCGTTCATGCAGCCCCAGCGCTGTGTATCTTGACGATAACTACAGTACATGTATAGAACCATGCACACTGTACGAAGAACCCAATCTGAAGCTAAACAGCGAATGTTTTCGACCAGCTTGCGCCTGACACTACAGCAATTACAGCACTAATACGGGTTGCGGAACTCAGACAGCTCCCCAACTAATAACTCACTCACTCACAACCAAACTAGACCTAAATATCCTGCCAGTTTTCATACTCCTCAAGCACCGACGCGGAGGATTCCAAGAACGACATCTCGCAGGAGACTGTACATGCCACGTAGCTGCAGCCGTCGTCGCTCTTGCAGGCCTCGTAGACCGACAGTTGGTCCCTTGCGATCTCCTCCGCGTTCCACTGAGTGGCCTCGCCCATGCACTTGGCACAGACCACCACCTTGCGCTGAATCAACTTGCCCCCCACCACGATGAAGCTGATGTTCTGGCGGATCTTGCACGAGTAGCACACGCTGCCGTAGCAGATTTTGCACGAGCTCCTGCCAATGCTGCCGATGACACTGGAGAACTTCTTGGCGCAGACGACGCAGTGCTTCCTGCTCTCGGCCTTCTTGGCCGGGTAATCTACGGACGCGTGTTGCTGCTGCAGCAGCCACGCCAGCTTCTTCATCTGCCCGCAGTACACGTAGTTGGTCACGCAGAACATGGCTCCAGCCGCCACGTTCACCAAGAGGCTGCGCATGATGTGGCCTCCGGGGTCCACCGTGGCGCACGCGAAGTTGTCGATCACATTGCGGTCGAGCTGTCGATAGCACGCGAACAGCGACAAGTTGGCGCGGATCTTGTTGGGCAGCGGCTTGGTCTGCGGGAAGTCGATGGAGTGCATCAAGTGGTAGCCGACCCGCTCGCCGTCCTCGAGGTAAACTGTGCCCGTGGCCTCGATGTAGACGATGTCGCGGCTCTTTACAAAGCTGGTGGCCTGGAACGGCATGTCGTTCGACATCCACTTGATCACCAGCGAGCGGTACGGGTCCGTCTTGCTGGGTGTGATGACGGAACAGAGCACGGCTGCGTTGTCGAGATCGTGCACGTAAGAAGCTTTGAGGCGCATGTCGTCGAGTGTGGGGTTCACAACACCGTACATGAGGTCGTCCATCTCGCCCACGAGCGTGCCGACGCTCAGCATCACAGGAAGGTCCTTCGCTGCTGCGGCTTCTCCTTTTAGTCGCTGCGTTGCACTGAGGGAGTTGTCGGGCTCGATGCCCATGCGCTTGAGCTCCTTCCGCGTTCGCTCCGTGTAAACGTGGATGTTGTCTTTGGACTTGATGTGGTCCCAGCGCCGCTTGTCCACTTTGCGCTTGCCGACCTCCACGAACTCCTCGTACTTCTTGACGTAGTCGTCCACGTATCCGTCCACGAGTTTGATCAGCTCCTGGCGTTCGGCATCGGATACATGTACGTCCGGGAACGGGTTGTCGTTGAATCGGTCCTTCATAGTGTTGCTTGAGGTCGTACTCTCTGTAGAGTAAATTCACAACTGCGGGCTTGACGTGAGGCAGGCTTAGGCTAGTGGGTGGACTGGACTGGATTGATCGAGGGGGGACTGGAAGCAGTCGTTTTGCGTGGACTGCCATCTGACAAAGTTGAATACGCCACCGCTTGAGGCTCACCCAGCTGCAGCAACCCCGTGGTAAACTTTGATGGCAAGATCGATACAAGTGAGCGGCTCCAGGGTCTTATCTCCGCAGCAACCAGTGGGCTCAATTTGGACTGTACGGGTCATAAGACCGAAGAGCTCAGCCAACTTGATTACCCGGATAATCAAGAGGTCTTCAGTGACCCCACAACGGGAGCCGGATGCTGCGTACGTCACTTGCATTGAGCGTTTGTTCCACTTGTGCGCTTGTCTTCTCGTTGCAGCTAGCCTTTGTGCCTCAGGGCTCGAGCCAAAGTTTCTGGTATCTCGCCAGAAACGACGCGGTCTGACCACCAGCGCACGGAGCGTCAACTAGTGTGACTAAACCTTATCGTGCTGGAGCTGGTAGGCATACGTCTTGAGCCTCCGAGCGGCAGGCCCTTTTGTCATATGGACCATCATCTTTGACAGAGAGCTTATTTTGAAGTCCGACCTTAGGTAGAGGGTTCTCCTTTATGGTAGTTGGAACGGCCTAGATACAGCACGATGTGCTACATGAACTGGTGAGAACCACTAGCTTGTCGGGGTCGTCGCACGAAATGCAGTCCCCACACAAACTTGTCAACTATTATTCCACGTGTAGTTGGGTGGCATTCAAGAGAACTTGTTGGACGAATAGCTTTGGCTACAAAGAGATGGCATGTGCACGGATTGGAGGCAGTCGCTAACCTCCGGACAGCAGAGACCGTAGCCCCGTAATCGTTGGTGGCAGAGTTTCTCGTTCCCCCCATACCAAGATGACGGCCTTGAACATCGTTGGATTCGTATGGCGTATCTTTCACAGTCGTACATCGACGGCAGAAACAAATCGAGGGGTATGTGTGGTGCCTGCACGATAACTCACGTCTCGGGTTTTAACCGCTGAACGCACGGAGACTGCAAGAATGAAGAAGCGTCCAAGTATCGAGACGCTTTACAGCCACCTTTATACAGCGGCAGCCTCCACGTACGTCGGATTTTATGGCTCATTTTCGGTCGTGGCGTCGGCATAGAATAGGATGAGCGTGCTGCATGATGTGGGGATCAAAGTAAGACTTGACATTAAGAGATTACGAAGCAGCCGCGCGTTGGCACGCCTTAGGCGTGAACCCTGAGTGAGGTGTGGAGGGTTCGCGCGGCAATGAGGACTTGGAGCTGGTTGGTTTGGCGAAGGGAGAATTGAGAATGAGCTTGGGCGACTTCGACTAGTTGCTGGGTCGTCTCAGGTGTACTTTAAGCGCTGCTAGAGCACGATAAGAGTTGAAGACGACCTTGAACCCGATTCGTGCCTCTCACTCTTGAAAAACCTCTTTTCGCCTCCGTCCAAAAGCATCATGATTCGACGTAAAGACTCCACCTGCGTAGTTCAGTTGGTAGATACATGACCATTAGCCATATGCATCTCGGGTATGGCTCACAAGGCTGCTGCGTCAGATGGAGACGCGCAGATGTGTTTGTGTGATCTTTTCTTGAGCGTTAATGAAGACTGCAGGGCCTGCGCTGTATGTTGTTGAGAGACATAGAGAGAGCACGGTCGGAAGCGCAGAACGAACGAGCCTATGTAGCACGCGATAGCAAAGCTCTACCCGCTCTCAATCCTGTCGATTACAGCGATGGTGCTTCTCCGCCACCTCCCGAATACAATAGATCGATCAAATAGGAAGCGCTAACACTTGGGTGTGCTCGGAGTTTCGCTAGAACTGGGCCGCTCCAACCGCAGACTTGGCTTTTTTGCAGTACTTTACCACGTCTAAAAGAAGGCATTTTTCTTTTGGTGGAAAGTGACGCCACATTTCGAACCTCCGCATGCTTCAGAAGGCCCTCAAGCTTCTGGTTGAGCGCAGGATTTTTATGTGTTAAAAGTTTCTTAATTGAAGGCGGGGCTCGTATCGTGGAGTGTAGTGGTTTCAACATTTTTTTGGCTGCAGAGGTGAGATGTGTTCACTTAGATTAAACTAACGAATTCTAATGCACCTTGATCGTCCTACGCCCATAAGTTGCTTCGACATTGGGAGCAATCGATGCGGCGTTAGGTAAGTACAGTACAATAGCGTGAAGTGTGATTGGGTGTGATGATACTGTCTTTCTACTCATAGATTCCCTACGCGTTCACCTTACCGCACCGTCCAGTATTTTCCGGTACCAGAAGCTCCGTTGTCAAGGTGCACAGTCCCGCGTCAACTGTCATCGACGCAATGCAGTTTAAGTGGCTTACGAACACTGTTGATAAGTTTTGCGTTTCTCCATTTATTATTTTTGTTATTTTCCAGAGCCGTCGACGCCCCACGGCGTTGAAAACACGAGCAGTGTGTGTTGTTGAGCGCAGTAAACTATTGTCATAGCGCCTGAATCTTGATCTGCGTGCACTGCAATTAGTACACGACTACGACGTATCTTAATAATGTTGGAAATTTCTTTCGTAATTATCGTGCCTGACCCTCTACACAGAATACTAAAGAGGAAGGCGCGGCCACATGAACAGAGGTGCTCAAATATCCTTTTTCCTGGTTATAGCTTTCGTGCCGAACGATAATGACGAAATCAGCAAGTCCGGTATATGCTGGTGGGAATGCAAACGTGTACTCCAAACGTAGTGTAAGTTAGCGGGCCCATTCAAGCTACATTCTTTTTGAACGCACTGTTACCAAAAGGACTACGAAATTGTTGCTGCTCGATAGTTCGCGTATAGACCAATGCAAAATACTGTATCCTGATACAGTTAGGTCTGAGCCACGGCATTAACGAAATGTCGAGTCGTTGAAACCACTGCAGTTTACGGATGCTTTTAATACATTTCTCAATCTCCATCCTAGACCGCAAGCCAATTCTCCAATGCGGCATTGCATCCGATCATGCATTCAACCGTTTTGGCGTAAATCCTGGCAATCCTTGTTGTTGAAACGTGCCCCGCTGCCTCGGTCCACGATTCGACTCAAATGAAGGCCCAGCAAATCGGCTCACAACGCTTACTCGCAGACGGGATCAGCACTAGAAATCCCGTAGCGACCAATGGCAAGCCAGTGAAGGAAGAATATGCAGAGAGAATGAAGATTTCGACGCCGTTCAAGCAGTAACCTTCTCAGAATATCAGTCCGAAACTCGAGAATCTACCAAAGAATATATAGGTGATCCCAGCGCTACAGCGGCGCCCGAGATTGACCAATCTCAACACCGACTCGAACACTAAAGAGATCACGCGCGGCCCAGAGAGCCTGAAGAAACTGGCGAAGCAGTCGGACGTCGTTCAACTGTCCAAGACGTGGTCGAAAAATGGCGTCAGTCTCTTCCAAAAGGAAGTTCAAGTATTCGAGAAGCCTTAGCCCCTCACAGAAACCGCAGGACCCGCTGCAGCCTCATCACTTCCATTCTACTAGTATATAACGAAGTGGTTATCGCTATCGCCGCCGCGTTCGCTGTTGCTTCTTCATCTCTAATGCATCTCAGAGGGGAATTCTTCATCTCCGGAGGACCTGTATCGGACAATTATCACCAAGACGACGACTGCAAATTGCAATACCAAGGATACCTGTAGGGATGTTTACGGAATAAACATGTACGTAATGTATTACAGAATAAATATGTACGCAACTTTTTCGCATCGTGCACGGGAAGCCAGAAAAGTTGGAGCGAGCCAACCTTATAAGATAACTTCAATGGTCAGTTGCCAATTTACCCGGTAGCACTAGCAAGTCTCGGATATGAATCTCGTAATCGTTGTTTTGGCTTGGCTCACGCTGCTCTGCTCTGCCCTTGGTGGCACGATTAATCATGACCAAGTTAAGCCCTTCGAGAAGGCTGCGATCAAGTACAAGCCTTAAGACGGGTGCGAATCGTTTCCAGCCGTGAATGCTGCGGGTGAAACCAGTGGCGGCCTCCAGGGAACGAAAGGAAGAGATGGCTGCGGCAAAGCACCACTGGGGTCCCAGGTATACGGCCGATCTGGATGGTATCAAGACAAATGGGCCATAATGTACGCGTGGTACTTCCCGAAGAACTTCCACGGGAACGTACTTGACTACGAGGCGAAGAAACGCCACGACTGGGCGAGTATGGTGCTGTGGATCGACAATCCTGCTATCGAAACGTCAAAGATTCTCGGCGCGTCGTTATCCCAGCAGAATACGGAAGAACCTTACCAGAAGATGGCAGAACTTCACCCGATGTTCTTTGTCGGCGCCAAGCAACACGTAAATGGAACTGAACCCCCACGATACTACCGTCGCCGCTATCAGTCACCGACATACATTTACGCGTATACGGCGGGCTCCAATGTAACCACGAGAGTTACCCAGGCGTTCGGGTATCCTGAAAAGGGCTGGAACAAGTTAGAGGTTGCGTACGGAGACAGCCAGTCACAGGATCTCATCATGTGGGAGCAACTTACAGATGCAGCGCGCGAGGGCCTCAATTCGGCAGATTTTGGGGATTGTGAAGGTTCCTTTCAACGAGAAAAACTTCCAAGAATCGCTGAAACAAGCGTATCCGTTTTAGATCGGAGGTTGATGTTTGCATAACGAACTACAATCTGGCGGGAGTTAAGGGCCAAGTTTCAACCGCTTCACCTAAGGCATAAGTAGCATTGAAATCCTAGCTACTACAGAGAGAAAACATGGCAATAAATAAAAAAAGCAGTCAATTGAAAGTTGTGTTTGCTGAGAAATTGGCCTACAAAACGCGTCAAGGTCGCTGTATCCGTTCGTCTTTAAACGGATAAAGGATAAATATTTGGTCCTTTCAAGTAAAATTTTATGGAGTTCGTTAGCGCTTCCCAATTTCCAAACAGCCCGCGACATTTATGTATGCTAGAGGGAAAGCTGCTACTTCTGTTGGTCTGCGAAGGAACCCAGTGTCAGTAGATGATGGGGGAAAGCTCAGCGGTGCATCAGGGCGTACTACAGAGGAGAGAAAGTCGTACACCTACGAGGATGCTATTCCGGAGCCGTGTTGGCTGCTCGTACATATACTTCGAAGTATTTTGATAGTTTCTTTGTTTCAGAGCTGTTTCGCTGAAGAGGAATCTGCTTGTCTTGCGTAAAGGCAGCGGTACAAGCTTGGATTAACAAGTACAGAGCTGGGGAGAGCTAGGGGGTGACTCAGAACAGCATCCTGATCAAATGCTTAGCGAACGCCTACGTTTTTTATTGCCAGAGACTCGAGTGGAGAGTGCCCGTAGATTGCGGCCAAAGCGTTGTGAAATTCATCGCTTTGGCCGCTATCTTGATGTTTACAGAATTTTCCTTGTAAACATGAAAATTTTGCGAATTTCGTTTTCGCAAAAAGTCACCGTCAAGACATCTCCACTTACATATTTTCCTTGTCCTCTTTCATTCCTGCGTGCAGACGCATAGTTACATGTATAGCAGGCAGTGTGTTGGCAGAAAGAACCACGCACGGTGCGTGACGCACCAAAAGGTACAGTCGAAGCGATGGACAAGCCGCCGCTCTCGTGTGATTGTGAGCCCAATCCGATGGTGTACCGGTACAGGATGTACTCTCACTTCCGACACCTGTCAAATCTAGTATCCTTTACAATTTGATATCATCGTTAGCAGGGCTCACAATAAATCGACGCCAAGCATTGAGCGGCTCTCAATCAACCGCAAGCCGCCGCCGTCGCGCGCGAAGCTTGCGAGGCTTACGAAGATTCTGAGTGCAGCACAAGGGACGCGGAAACGTGTCTCTTGGGTGCGGAGGTATAGGGGGATGGGGTGCTGGCAGGTAGGCATCGTCTTCGCCGCAAGAACGGACAGAAGGGCTTTAGGTAGTAGACAGAGGAGCAGTTAGCCCGCGCCGTGGGCCCCTCGGCCTAGCGGCAAGTAGTGGGGTGAAGTGAGAACATAGGAGTAGAAACGACAGAGGAAGAACTGGTAGATGAAGCCGTGAGAAAGCGCTGGCGTAGATAGTAAACCAGCGTCTATAGCTTCCTACTAGTGCTGCAGCGCAGATAGCATTCAGCGAGTGTGGATGAGCTCAACCACAACAGCTCACTCACAACTTCGTCTCATAGTTAATTTATCGCTTGCGCTATCATTTTATTGGGGTGCTATGGCCGCTGGGGCTCACACCGATGAGCCGGTGATCAACGAACGGAGCGGCGACGTTGGTCGCCACGCCAACTTGGTGCTGGTGCGCTCATACATTAGAGAACTCTAAAGTTCTCTATTGTAATACCTGCTAACTATTTATGTGTGCATGAAAAATACACGCCAGCTGGTGTCGGAAGTGGCAGTACTACCTGTAACTCGAGCGGGCACATGGACTTGGTCCCGTACCGCCGACAAGATCAACTCCGTTTGCGGCTCTCACGAAGCGGGCTGTCATAAAGCGGGCACGTTTTGAAGATCCGGAGATTGGTCACAGCGAGAAGGCCACAAGGACAAGTACCGAAATTTGTAGGACTGGAGAAAGTCGTCGCCGGCGCCTTTCCTGACTCGGTACCTACAGGGTCGGTCTTTACATGTTCCGACTTCAAAGCTTCTCCAGCAGGACATCAAGGGTAAATGAGGGTGAATCGAGACATCTATCACGAACGTGGCATTCCTTTGCATACTGTAGTATGAAGCGAGCATCTGACAAGGAAGAACACCGAGAAGTAGCATTCGAGACGCTTGCAAAATTAATATGAAGCGCAGCGCCAGCATCGGATGCGTCTCTGAAACTTTCAGACTGAAAGCCTGCAAACTCGCAGTCACTCGCGGGAATGGGGCGGTCAATTGGAGGAATCTATCAGTGTCAGGTCTCTAAGGTCCAACATCAAACACCGCCAATATGCACCCCAACCGCAAGCGTCTCGAGCTCGACACGCCACCTCCCTCATCTCGGTGATCGTTCAGCTCTTCCGCTCTAATCGCCACTCCAACAGATTGTTCTCTCTTGAGACCCAACCTGTGGCTATCGTTCCGAGCAGTCTGCATGGATACCATATCCATACCAGCAGTTTGGAGGCGACAAATTCAACACCTGGTGTTGGCCTGATACATGTAGCGTTTGCCCGTCTATGGCGCCTTGCCTGACCGATGCCACGTGCGTCCCGGTCGTGGAGGCGGAAAGCACATCTTGTAGGGAGCTCGGGCTCCCTTTACAGAGGCCAGCCTATCCTCAACTGATAGATAGGCTGACGTCTGCAATGAGCTGCACTGCAGCACTGGAGCAGACAGTCACTCGCTTTCGCGGCACTGCGTCTCACTTGCAGATTTTCGCACGGGACGGAAGGAACTGTAGTGTAGGAGCGTTGCGATGCCTAAGGACCGATTCAGCAGGAACCCGTACCCGGACGTGCGCGTGTCCGAGGAAGAGCGCGAGCACCTCATCGACCTCGTGAACGGCTGCGTGCAGAGCCACTTCCACAAGTACGACGAGTTCGTCGTGAATGCCAAGCACCAGGTGGACGAGCGACGCTGGGAGCACGTCAAGTCCAAGGACGACATGCACGTGTACACTGAGCGCGCCAACAAGGACTCGGTGAAGGACATGGCCAGCATGCTCAGCGTCGGCACCTTCGTGGGGGACCTGGAGGACCTCATGTTCGGCATCCTCAACACCACACGAGACGCCATGCGCGTCAAGACCGCGTACGTCGGGGACATCGACAACGGCGCCATCCTGTGCCCCGTGGTGGAACCCACCGACGACGAGCCGTTCCGGACGCTCACGATCAAGTGGATGATCGCCGACTCGTCCAGCAGCAAGTGCCGCGACTTCGTGTGCATCGAGGCCACCGACATCCTGCAGCTCGACAACGGCGAGCGCATGGGCTACCACGCGCTGCACTCCGTCGAGTTCCCGCAGACCAAGCCGCTGCCCATGATCATCCGCGGGAACCTGTCGTCCGTCAACTTCTTCCGACCAATCCACAGCACTATCATCGACAACTTCGGCTCGTGCTTCGTCGACCCGGGCGTGAAGGCCATGCGTCGACTGTTTGTATCAAACACGGCCAAGACGATGCTGACGGCGACCAACTACGTGCGCTGCGGCCAGATGAAGAAGCTCGCGTGGATGCTGCAGCGCACCCCGCCGTCGTCCAAGCTGCGCGACGAGACGCAGCACAGCAACGCGTGCGTCATGTGCGGCCGACACAAGAGCATCCCCGGCATCAAGAAGAGCACATGCAAGCTCTGCCACGGCCGCGTGTGCTACAGTTGCAAGGTACGGGAGCACATGAGCTTCGTGTCGCAGGAAGGAGAGCTCGTGCAGCACAAGATCACCTTCTGCTCGCTGTGCATGAGCAAGGCTATTAACTGCAGCACCCAGGAGGCCGCGAGGGACCAGACCATGAGCTTCCGCTCGTGCGGGAGCTCCTCCACCTTCTCGGAGACCACAGTCCTGGGCTCGACGTTCGCAGACTCCACCTACTCGGCATCAAGCATGTCGGAGAATTCCTTATATCAATAATTATGAGTTTATAAGACCGTGAAACTTGCCATGTCGTTCAGAGTTACATGGGACAAACTTTACCTTTCATCGTTCTCCGCATGCGGTGGAGATCTCCATGTGCTCCACCAAAAGAGGCTGTATCTGAAAACCTCTCATCGCTTATATGCTTCACTTTTGGCTTTTGGGGCGCTTATTCACTTAAATTTGTATGAAAACAACAAAGTTTGCCCGAAAGCAGAAGGGGTAGGCTCGCGAAGTACAAAATAACATATATATTTTGTAAAAAAACACATTTTGTTTTTTCAGGGTTTTTCGGTAGCTGCTTGAAGTTTACCTTTGGCATGCTTCTAGGATTCCATACTGAAAACAAGTGGGGCGTCAACAGATCATTACACATAGACGGTACATTATATTAGTGTTTCGCACACACAATTTCCAGCCGAGATGAGCGAGGGTTCTTAGCGGCACGGGCGCTCCCGTGGCGCGTTATGGAGTATGCTTCCTTTCGCCTTCTGCTAGGTGCATCGTCCGTTGGGCGGCTGCAGCTGTTGGTGGCGTGTTGCCATCATCCGCCGCTGAGCCTGTCCAGTTGAACTCCCCATCGCCCAGGCACTTCCCGGGACAGTTCTTCCTGGCGAGTGTACATTGCTGCAGTGGCTTCCCACTTGTGGCCATCAGTCTGCAGTACTGTAGTGTACTGTACTGTATGAGAGTTCGTGAGTAAACTTCCAAGCAAGCTGCCACGCACGCGATCCACCCTATCAACGGATGGGGAGCGCTGCCCCCAAACTGCTCAGTCAAATGCTCTGTAGTGCCATCTGCCGATCGCTCGAGGCTCGGGCTCAGTTGCCGATTTCCCCTATCGGACGCACGTAGCAAGGAGGACACTGTACCAACGCAACATGGGGAAGGATCGGTTCGTCAACGCCAATCCGTATCCGGACGTCCACGTGTCGGAGGAGGAGCGGCAGCAGCTCATTGAGCTCGTGGACGGGTTCGTGCAGGACTATTTCCGCAAGTACGAGGAGTTCGCGACCGTCCACAAGCACAAGGTGGACGAGCGGCGCTGGGAGCACGTCAAGTCCAGAGACAACATCCACGTCTACACGGAGCGCACTCAGAAGGTCCTCAAGAAGAACGGCGTCCTACTAGAGCCGGATGAAGAAGCATCGCCCGAGGAAGTTGTGGTCACGGAGAAGGAGCTGCCGGTTATGCTGAGCGTGGGCACCTTCGTAGGCGAGATGGACGACCTCATGTTCGGGGTTGTGAACCCAACGCTGGATGTCATGCGCATCAAGGCTTCCTACGTGCACGATCTGGATAGTGCAGCGGTGATGTGCCCCGTGGTGGAGCCCAGCGAGGAGGAACCGTTCCGATCGCTTGTGGTCAAGTGGATGACGATTGATGTGCCGCTTCAGTCGACCAGCTTGGTCAAATGCCGAGACTTTGTGTACATTGAGGCTACAGGGATCCTGCATTTCGCTAATGGAGACCGAGTGGGCTACCACTTGCTGCACTCCATCGCCTTCCCGCAGACCAAGCCGCTCCCGAACAAAATTCGCGGCAATTTGTCGGTCTTCGGCTTCTTCCGGCAGATTGAGCACAATGTTATCGACAATTTTGCGAGTGGAATTGTCGATCCAGGAGGCGACATTATGCGATTCTTGTTGATCCCAACCGCAGCTGAAGCTCTGCTCTCAGCAACGAACTACGTGTACTGCGGACAGATGAAGAAGATCTCGTGGATGCTGCAGCGCCGCCATTCGGCCTTTGCGCGGCAAGGCAAATCCCAAGTCAAGCAAGAGTGCGTGGCTTGTGGCAAGAAGGCCACTCATAAGAAGTTGCGAGGAATTGGGAGGAGCACGTGCAGACTGTGCTACGGCTGCGTGTGCTTCCCGTGCAAGGTCCGCAAGCGCATCAGCTTCATCACGCTGAATGGCCACCTTATCCAGCGAAAGATCACGTTCTGCGCAAAGTGTGTGAGCACAGCGACCAAGTGCGACGCTCAGGAGGCAGCTAGAGATCAAGCTACGGGCTACGAAGCGTATAAGGCCCTCTCCACATCGTCTCAGTCCAATACCATTGAGTCGTCGATGTTTGAGTAGCCAAGACAACACTGGCAAAGTGGGTCTGTGTAAAGTGCGGAGAAATGTATAAAAGAATTGGCAGTGAACACTATGGTTGTTGTATAGTCTTCTTGTTTCGTGAACTGCTGGATTTACAAAGATGTCGTTGTATCGGGAAGAAGAAGCACCCACCGATCGAGTCAGTGAGCAGAGAAGCCTGCAAGTGGTGGAGCGAGTGCTCAAGAGTCGAATAGAAACTACTGTGGCTGCGATTATCTGGTGGTTCTTTGTTCTTGTGCTCGATGACATGCTAAACGACGCGATCGAAACCTCGTGTCCCTTTCAGGAAACTTCAGTCCACCCCACGCTGGAGCTGCTGGATCGCATTTGGCAGAACTCGCGTCTTCTTGTACTTTGTATGGCGTTGACAATTGCCCGGTTAGTCCACAAACAGGAATTTTCGCAGTGCTCTACAACTAGGGTCCCCGATTTCAAGAATGACACCCTAGTACCCAAATGCCCAGAAGTGTCGGTTCTCATAGCGTGCCTTCTTGGAACGAGAGTGAAGACGACGGACAAGTCGATGGACATGAGCGTACGAGATTGTAGTACGAAGTGTAGGTTTGACATGTGAAGGCAAAGTGCTAAGAAAAATGGTAGATAGAATAGAATAGGAAAATCAATAACTTCTCATATCACTCCACTCACTCACGCTGCCTTGGAATAGCTACAGCGGACGTTCATCAATGGGGGAGACCAAGTCCAATAGAGGACCCAGCACTGCAAACCACCGACATCCCGAGTCAATGAATGAAGTCGAATACGATCATCAAAGTTATTGAGGTTGTCTATTCGGAAAGTCGAATAGAAAAGAAGGTACTATAGAAATGATCCTGTATAAGTACGGTCTTGACCTACCATTGAAAAACACGCCGCACACTATTACTTCAGACGAACCATACGGCTCAGACTGCATAGCTTCTACAGCGATAATTCGCTACTTAGACATGTACCCGCTACGTGGTACAGTTCGTTTTACGCACCATCAGCGTGCGCAACATGTATTAATAATTGAACTCTTCGCAAGACCAACAACAGCAAATGCAACCCCTCACAATGTGGTCAATGTGAAGATGTGAGGCTCACATCTTCACATTGACCGCTAGCTAAGGCGCCTAACGCAGTCATCACTCACTCATCGCTAACAAGTGATTGTAGCTATTCGGCCCAAAGGAAATGCCGTAGGTGTTGGTAGAGCTTGGTCAATGAGAGCTGAAGATGTCCAAGGAGAGAGTCAAAGCTTCATCGTCGTCGATGCATGCTCCATCTAGTTTCTTTCTCCTGGTCATTCAAGCAGCAGCTGCAAGAGCGATGCCGCCCACGACTGCCGGCACCGCAAGAGCCACAATGACCAGCAGAAATTACCCCCACCTTGGTGTGGACTGCTTGGTGCCCTCCGATCTCGCTATATTTGAAAGGTTCTGCTCGACTGATTGTTCTGATCCTGGTTGCTGGGGGTCTTTGGGCACCGGCCTCGGAGAACTGAAGCATACACACACCGTTTGGTGGCAGCCACCGTGTCAGCCGTGCAGTTGGTTAAGCTGCCGGGCTTCATTGAAGATGGTCACTTCGCTCTGCTGCTGCGTAGACGAACTGCTACCAGCACTTATAGTAGCAAACACACGTAGCATTAAGCATAGCTACCTCCGCCACTGTAGAGCAAGTCACAACCGATGGTTTTAGTACTTAAGTGCCTGTTCATCCACACTTCACGACAAACTCGACGCTGCAAACGCGCTTTATGGCATCAAGTGAGGCGTTTGGTGACTTGACCGGTTTCATACCAACAGACGGCCACAGCTATGGATGCTGCGCTGCTTCCACGAGTGAGCGCCATGAAGCGATACTGAACTGAATTGTTTCAACAGAGCAGAGCTTAGAGAGCTCCATAGCGTAATGCACTGTGAATGTTGCGACCACTAATGATCGCCTACATGTCTTCGAATGGTTGCTGGGCTGCTATGAACGAAGCTGCTGCAGCCGGCACCTCGACGTAGTCGGGGTAGATTCAGCCTGGTGTTCCTTGGATTTCAGAGGCACCGACAAAAAGGTTGCGCTTTTCGACGGCGCAGCATCAAATAAGCATCTTCAAGTTGTCCGGCTGATGGATCGGAGGGGTGTACGGTATGGTGCCGTCACGGTGTACAGGACACGGCACTGGCGTGTTTTAGCTTTTATCTACCGCGGCTCTTCGTCGGTGATTTATACCCGCGCACACGTGCAAGGATGACAGGTGTCTGGTATGCTGGGAAGAAGCAGTATCAGCGCACAGTCAGCGAGGCGATGAGCATGATGAAAATCAAATCCACCAATACAGTCGAGCATTTCCAGAAATAGTTTTTCACCGAAGTTAGACGCCTCTGTTTCTAGATTCTGGTGTATCAAATATGGAATGGTCCATCTGCCGAGTGATAAGTTGAAGACATGAGCGGGCCGGGCATTCGTTCGCTCCTTTCCATGATCCCTTCACCGACGCTGCCCCCAGAACTCATACAACGCACTCTATTCATCGCGCTGTACAGTACAGTACCACCGCGTCCAAACCTCGGACCATCCGCTTGTTGACTGCAGTCCTTCTGACCCCGGCGGGATGAGAGTGACCACACCAGGTGCGTACGTGCGCGTTGGTTATGCACGTTACGGCGAAGTTGCCCTGTCACGCGCAATAACCAGAATTCGGGGTGCCCTGCTGGACCGAGCGATCACACCAGGCCGAGTCGCGCGTGGTAAACGCAAATGTACCGAGCTTTAGGCCGCCACAAACGAATTCGCACCCCAGTGAGCACACCACAACGGAGACCATGGGCAAATCTACCTTCACTACCAATCCGTACCCCAACCTTGCTCTGTCTGAGACGGACCGTGAGAGGCTCCTGCAACTGGCGGAGGACCTGATCGTCGACGTCTTCCCCAAGTACGAGTCCTTCGTGGTGAACGACAAGCGCGAGGTGAAGAAGGAGCAGTGGAAGGTCATCGGCACCGACAAGAACATGCGCGTGTACGTGGAGCGCAAGGGCTGGAACGAAGACACCGACGACGAGAAGGATCGTTCAACTCCAACCCCAGAGGCCGACCCGAACGACTCCTGGTTGAGCAAGATGCCGGTTATCCTCGCCGAGGGCACCTTCGAGGGCCAGCTGAACGACCTCATGTTCGGCACCGTGAACCCCACGCAGCAGATCATGCGCGTCAAGGCCTCGTACGTCAAGGATTACAGCGACGGTGCGGTGCTGGCCAACATCATCGTCCCCACCGCTGAAGAGCCCTTCCGCTCCGTGTCCGTCAAGTGGAACCAGATCAACCTGCCACTCAACCAGACCGGGTTGATACAGAACCGCGACTTCGTCTGTCTAGAGGCCACCGGCATCCTGCACTTCGCTAACGGAGACCGCATAGGCTACCAACTGCTGCAGTCGATCGAGTTCCCGGAGACTGTGCCGACACCTGGGACCATTCGAGCGAAACACCGAGCCATTGGCTTCTACCGGCAGATTGGCCCCAACGTCATCGACACGTTCGTCTTCGACACAGTGCACCCTGGCGGCAAAGTGTTCCGGTCAGTGGCGCTTGAAGCCTCAGCCAAGGCTCTGCTGTCCACCAACAACTACGTCATCTGCGGACAAACCAAGAAGCTGACCTGGAGACTGCAGCATCGCCAAGCTGAGACCCGCATGAACCGCCACCGCAGCAGCACCCGCAATATTCTCGCAGGCGACCGCATGTGCACAGTTTGTTCGCGGAATCTGGCGCCTGGGAGCTTCGGGTTCCCCACAGTGGGGGCTCTGGGCAAGAGCTCGTGCAAGCTCTGCATGAACCCCGTGTGCCTCAAGTGCAAGCGCCCCAAGGCCATCAGCTTCCTTACGCCTGACGGGAAGCTGCTGCGCCACAAGATCACGTTCTGCGTCATGTGCATCAGCGAAGTCACGCAGATGGACGCGCTGCCAGCGGCCCGCGACCAGGCTGAGGGCTACCAGGCCTACAACGTCATGGCGTCGCTCTCCGGGTCAGACATTCTGTCCGAGGACGGCTTCTGTTGAATGCTCAAAAAAGTGCTTCTTGTCGGTTCTTCACGTAGTCATCGTTTTCATGTCACTTGTTGCTTCTAAACTTGAGTTATTAGCCTGTTCACTGTTTATTTCCTGGTTGGTAGATCCCTTCGTGTATGAGTATTTCGAGTACTTGCTTCACCTGGACACGGCACCATTTTCATACTGCCAGCACTTTGACAGATGAGCTGGACAACTTGAAGATGCTTATTTGATGCTGCGCCGTCGAAAAGCGCAACCTTTTTGTCGGTGCCTCTGAAATCCAAGGAACACCAGGCTGAATCTACCCCGACTACGTCGAGGTGCCGGCTGCAGCAGCTTCGTTCATAGCAGCCCAGCAACCATTCGAAGACATGTAGGCGATCATTAGTGGTCGCAACATTCACAGTGCATTACGCTATGGAGCTCTCTAAGCTCTGCTCTGTTGAAACAATTCAGTTCAGTATCGCTTCATGGCGCTCACTCGTGGAAGCAGCGCAGCATCCATAGCTGTGGCCGTCTGTTGGTATGAAACCGGTCAAGTCACCAAACGCCTCACTTGATGCCATAAAGCGCGTTTGCAGCGTCGAGTTTGTCGTGAAGTGTGGATGAACAGGCACTTAAGTACTAAAACCATCGGTTGTGACTTGCTCTACAGTGGCGGAGGTAGCTATGCTTAATGCTACGTGTGTTTGCTACTATAAGTGCTGGTAGCAGTTCGTCTACGCAGCAGCAGAGCGAAGTGACCATCTTCAATGAAGCCCGGCAGCTTAACCAACTGCACGGCTGACACGGTGGCTGCCACCAAACGGTGTGTGTATGCTTCAGTTCTCCGAGGCCGGTGCCCAAAGACCCCCAGCAACCAGGATCAGAACAATCAGTCGAGCAGAACCTTTCAAATATAGCGAGATCGGAGGGCACCAAGCAGTCCACACCAAGGTGGGGGTAATTTCTGCTGGTCATTGTGGCTCTTGCGGTGCCGGCAGTCGTGGGCGGCATCGCTCTTGCAGCTGCTGCTTGAATGACCAGGAGAAAGAAACTAGATGGAGCATGCATCGACGACGATGAAGCTTTGACTCTCTCCTTGGACATCTTCAGCTCTCATTGACCAAGCTCTACCAACACCTACGGCATTTCCTTTGGGCCGAATAGCTACAATCACTTGTTAGCGATGAGTGAGTGATGACTGCGTTAGGCGCCTTAGCTAGCGGTCAATGTGAAGATGTGAGCCTCACATCTTCACATTGACCACATTGTGAGGGGTTGCATTTGCTGTTGTTGGTCTTGCGAAGAGTTCAATTATTAATACATGTTGCGCACGCTGATGGTGCGTAAAACGAACTGTACCACGTAGCGGGTACATGTCTAAGTAGCGAATTATCGCTGTAGAAGCTATGCAGTCTGAGCCGTATGGTTCGTCTGAAGTAATAGTGTGCGGCGTGTTTTTCAATGGTAGGTCAAGACCGTACTTATACAGGATCATTTCTATAGTACCTTCTTTTCTATTCGACTTTCCGAATAGACAACCTCAATAACTTTGATGATCGTATTCGACTTCATTCATTGACTCGGGATGTCGGTGGTTTGCAGTGCTGGGTCCTCTATTGGACTTGGTCTCCCCCATTGATGAACGTCCGCTGTAGCTATTCCAAGGCAGCGTGAGTGAGTGGAGTGATATGAGAAGTTATTGATTTTCCTATTCTATTCTATCTACCATTTTTCTTAGCACTTTGCCTTCACATGTCAAACCTACACTTCGTACTACAATCTCGTACGCTCATGTCCATCGACTTGTCCGTCGTCTTCACTCTCGTTCCAAGAAGGCACGCTATGAGAACCGACACTTCTGGGCATTTGGGTACTAGGGTGTCATTCTTGAAATCGGGGACCCTAGTTGTAGAGCACTGCGAAAATTCCTGTTTGTGGACTAACCGGGCAATTGTCAACGCCATACAAAGTACAAGAAGACGCGAGTTCTGCCAAATGCGATCCAGCAGCTCCAGCGTGGGGTGGACTGAAGTTTCCTGAAAGGGACACGAGGTTTCGATCGCGTCGTTTAGCATGTCATCGAGCACAAGAACAAAGAACCACCAGATAATCGCAGCCACAGTAGTTTCTATTCGACTCTTGAGCACTCGCTCCACCACTTGCAGGCTTCTCTGCTCACTGACTCGATCGGTGGGTGCTTCTTCTTCCCGATACAACGACATCTTTGTAAATCCAGCAGTTCACGAAACAAGAAGACTATACAACAACCATAGTGTTCACTGCCAATTCTTTTATACATTTCTCCGCACTTTACACAGACCCACTTTGCCAGTGTTGTCTTGGCTACTCAAACATCGACGACTCAATGGTATTGGACTGAGACGATGTGGAGAGGGCCTTATACGCTTCGTAGCCCGTAGCTTGATCTCTAGCTGCCTCCTGAGCGTCGCACTTGGTCGCTGTGCTCACACACTTTGCGCAGAACGTGATCTTTCGCTGGATAAGGTGGCCATTCAGCGTGATGAAGCTGATGCGCTTGCGGACCTTGCACGGGAAGCACACGCAGCCGTAGCACAGTCTGCACGTGCTCCTCCCAATTCCTCGCAACTTCTTATGAGTGGCCTTCTTGCCACAAGCCACGCACTCTTGCTTGACTTGGGATTTGCCTTGCCGCGCAAAGGCCGAATGGCGGCGCTGCAGCATCCACGAGATCTTCTTCATCTGTCCGCAGTACACGTAGTTCGTCGCTGAGAGCAGAGCTTCAGCTGCGGTTGGGATCAACAAGAATCGCATAATGTCGCCTCCTGGATCGACAATTCCACTCGCAAAATTGTCGATAACATTGTGCTCAATCTGCCGGAAGAAGCCGAAGACCGACAAATTGCCGCGAATTTTGTTCGGGAGCGGCTTGGTCTGCGGGAAGGCGATGGAGTGCAGCAAGTGGTAGCCCACTCGGTCTCCATTGGTGAATGCAGGATCCCCGCGTAATTGTAGAAACTACGAGCTTTGCCAGGTTTTGCCCATTTAGAAAATTCAAGATAAATCGAAAGCTGACTGTACAATAACTATTGTATTGTTCCACTAAAATAATGTTGTTATTTAGGGAAGTCGTATTGCGATTATTACGGAGGAATGACATCTGCAAAACACTTTTATTATTATTGACCGGCCCTGTATGTAACGTACTTCTCTGGCTCACCTAAGAATCGACATGTCTATTCTGTCGAAGATAAATAATAGCTCAAAAAGAAAGGTGAGAATTGGTGACTTTGCTTTATACTATTGACCGCTTAAAAACAGCAGAGATATGGAGAACAGAACAAATTTCGTAAGCCCAATTTTGGGTAGCATTAGTTTTTGTTTTACAAAATGGATACAATTTTTAGCGATAGTATACTATACAGTTATTATTGGAAAACTCGATTCGCTGTCGAAAAAATGCTGTGTAACTTGTTGCGGTGGCAGGCGTGCGGATGTCGTGGAATTTGTCTAGATTTTAAGCTTTTCATAGGCAATTTCGTGGATTCGCACTCTAATCAAACTTTTTGTACCCAATCATGTGGCTGAAATCGTATATTTAACCAATCAGGTAATGGGGTTAATCTGAATTGCCGATTCTTTAGTGGACAAGAGAAGTATACACACTGAAACGTCTGAATCCTACCAGCATGACGAAATTTCAAGGCGCATGTACACAGGATCACTTTTATAGTACCTCCTATTCTATTCGACTTTTCTACATTACCTCCAAGGCGTCGATATCGACGCCGTTGAGCGCATCTCCGTCCACCAGTTTGCGTTGTGCGAGTACGGAAGCTGGAGAATTCTACGACACGATCGAGCGCGCTCAGTCCTGCGTACTGCAGGTCGGCGGAAAACGCCGCCGCCTCAATGACGTTGACGACGACTGCGACGTGAGTGAGTTTGCCGACACAAACGAGATTGCCCCCGTGCCCCAGCGCACATGCCATACGCCTCTAGCTCCTCCCTGCCTCAGTTCTGGCTGTATATCTGCACAATGCGCCGCGCTTTGAGTGCACTTCATTCACGTACATCGCACCAAGCTTTGCTTCGCTGTTGTGGTTCTGTGACTCACATGACTGCCGCACTGTCTTCTTGGACGGATTCTCAGCCGGGTGCGCGCGTGACAGACCCTTCACTACGAGACTGGTGGCCGCCCTTCTCCACTCTCTCGCGAACGCAACTACTATGATAACACTACCGATGTCGACAGCACTAGCGGTAGAAGCATCAAACCTCGCCGTCGGTGCTGAAGATACGACCGTTGACGTTGCTACTCCCGCCGCGTCCGTTCCGACCCCTCAATCTCCCCCACGAAGACCCTACAGAACTACCATCCTAGCCTTCATCTCCGCCTACCGCAAAAGCCTGATAGATTTAGCACCCTGAAAGACTTGGCAGAGGTGTTTTCATCTGTAGTATTCAGAGCTGGCCAATTAGTGCACACCTCATGTATTAACCCACCTTGTTTTGGTGATTTTCATACATTATGTACCTACACAACTACTTCCATAGCGGAGACCATCATAACCGGCGAAGAGCTTGGTGGTGGCCTGAACGGAGAGAATGAGCCGGCCTCGAAGAACGCAGCTTGGATAGTCGAGGCAGCGATAGTTCCAAGTGCGTGCGAGGAGCGTCGCGACGTTCCTAGGCTTTGCGTGGCGGTGGGCGGTGCATGTGCAGTGCGCTGTAACGGGCCGTTAGATTGCTTTTAAAAGGAGACATGTCTCCCACATCAAGCGGCTGAGCCGCCGAGGTACAGCCGGCAGTAACTACACCGTGTAGATGCCCATTTCAGCAAGCCGTTGCCGTACGGCAGCACCTTTGTGCACTTTGAGGCATTCCAGGATGAGGACGCTTGGGCCGCTCACCTCTGCCTATCCACTCGCGCATGACACGCTTGTCAAACCACGCCTTCGTTTGATACGAAAACGTGGCGTTCCCCGGCTCACAGTAGGTCGTCACTTCCGCGAACACGTCGTTGTTGGGCTCGCCCGCAAACACAAAGTGCGGCGGCAGCATGCGGCTATCCGCGCACGCGAGCAGCGCAACCGTGCACCGATAGCTGCCCTGTCCGCCTCCAACAGCAGGAACACGAGTAACTCCGACGAAGTCCACCGTAGTCTTTGAGCCCACATCACAAAAAACCGCAGTCTGGTCCGTGTTGTAGAGCACGTAGGGTGGCGGAGTGGTCGTTGCAGCATAGACAAAGTGGTCTATCAGCACCTTGGTCACCTCGCACGCGAACGCATCTCACAGCGCTATTAACTCCTGCAGCTGCTTGCGCCCCGAGTGGGAGATACGTCTTTTTGTGAGGCCGTTTCGCCGCATGAACTTGCTGCACCACGACTTTCGTGCGGTAGCCGTTTTCCCGTCGAGGAAGCCCGGAAATAGCAGCATACACTGCGCAATGATGCAATCCATGGGCATGGTCCGTTCTTCACGCCGCTCGTCTTTGATTCAACCGCTCAGTTCTTCCTCGACACATACGGATGGCGAGATACGACCACTACCGCCTACGACCAGCTTCTTCGCACGCTTCTTGTACTCAACGGCCGATTTCATGGCGTCGTAGTGATGTTCCCAGTACTGTAGCGTAGAACGCGAGAAGTCTTGGCCCGAGCAAAAGGTCACTCGGGTCTCACCCGACGAAGCGAAGGCTCCCCGGTCTTGATCTTGAATTCGATGGTATGGGCGAGCTTGATGCGGCGAGGAGGCATTTTGTCAATGGCACCAAATGATGCAGCCATATTTATTTACCTTGTTTTGAAATGCGCTTACGACTAATCACCTCTATACGTAATTCCTATTGGCCAATGAGCGACAACCTTCAATTTCTGAAAGACTTGGCACTCGGCAAAAATGTTTTAGAGAAGGGTGCCAAATCTATCAGGCTTTTGCGGTACAACAGTGCCGTTAGGGTCCGCCGGAGCAGCGGTCACCCTCGCGGTAGGGAGGATCCCTTTCGCGAAACGTAGTCTTGACTCGAGTGGCGACCCAGATTGCCAATAACTCAAGCAAGGTGAAATTGACCTTTACTCCGTGAGATTTCTGCCCAACAAATCGCTACACGTATAAGACTAAGGCCCCTCCCTCGTTATCCAACCCGCCCAGCGCACCGGTAGCAGCATCCGACCCCGTTGCACAGATCCGAACTCTGCAGGTGTGTGGTAGGCCTGCCACTTAGAAAAGCGAGCGTCCGAAAACCACGTATTGATAATGTGCTTCGCGCCGCGTTTGAATCGGGGCACAAGGGACTAGCACCATTCCACCATGCGATCAGAAAAGCGCGTTTTTGCATGTAGCATTTCTTATCCGGAGCAAAGTGCAGATCACAAAGATTGCGAAAAAATTCAATTAGCGAGATATCCCATCCAACCCATTCTCATCTGCATGTCTATGCATCTTTTGAGTGACATGAAAACAGTACATAAGCACTGTGCTTTCAGGTAGCTCAGGTGCACACGCGTTGTACTGGGCTTTGTCTGCATCCATCATGGCAAGTTTTGAAGCGGATCTGAAACTCGCTCAATACTACACGCTTCAGAAGCGCTAGACGCCATGAGATGTCTACGCCTCTGCGCTGAGATGCGCAGTAGTAAACAATCGGTAGGAACCCTCCAGCACCATCCGAGATACCCACACCAAAAACAGGATACTTACGCTTCACCACACTATGTGTACTATCAAGTGCACCAGAGTGGTGAGGTCAGGATCGTTTTGAACAATGATGTAGCGTTCCATGAGGTGTATACTTGTTAAGGCAATACGAAAGGGGTACACCTCCGATCCTGTGCCCAACAAAGAGCGTTTCGTGCCGTCCTCCTCTTTAGAATCACAGAGAACTAGCAAATTCTCTGGTTTTTATCCAGAGTCCATGGGTGGATGCCACTGAGGTGCCATTATTCTTGCATCAAATACCTGACCAATATGATATTTATTGCTGCTCCCATATGCAGTCGAGATTCCTGTTATATTAAATAACCTGCTCCCTAATCAATTTATGCTGCTGTGTTGACCCATCCGGTTGAGATTAAGACAAATTACCTATTACATTTGATACTCCCTAATCAATTATATATACCTGCGACATCTAATTTATCTACCGCTCAAGCAACATCCATCCGATTTTTTTCGCTCGGTCAACATGCTGACGGGATCCCGCCTTGAAGTGTTCCAGTGGTGATGATTTCGGCATCGCTTTACACTATAACAACGACGATGTCGATCCCACCGTGTGCTGTACACGCAATAATAAGAGCTCATTCCTACAATTACGTCGCAACGTCTGCTTTGATGAGCGAGTTCATCGACCCCCAGAGTTGTTGTGGTTAATGGAAGCCGTAATCGAGTTTTCGTATCGAGCTGCCGTAGCGGCTGGCGCCATAGCCTTTTTTGGCGAGAACCCGTAGGGTATCAACACTCGTTCATGGCTGAAGAGATCGGGGGGGGGGGGCTAAAGGAGCTGCGAATGCATGCATATCCAGGAACACAAGTTGAAATACGCCCACTTCCCAAAAAGCGATCACGAACCAGGAATGCCATACTTTCGTTCTATATCTAATTTTTCCTCGTGAAATTGATGCAGCGACAGTACATGTACATCAGGCAGCCGAAAAAAATTGGGGGCGCCAAAAATGGCCAACTAGAGAATTGGGCTGGATGTGCGCCTGAAAACGGTATGCAAGTCCGTTGAAGCAAACCAAAATCGCTCGGCTACAAACCTACCAATTAAGACATTAGTTCTCTAGACAAACTGTACTAACCTACAGGATTATCCGAAAAACGTGGGGGCCAAGACGCAAGCAGCCTAAAGGTTAGCCGCGCCACTCGGAGTAGGACATCCCCTGCAGCTTGTCAACATAAAGGCCGCAGCGATCATGGCGTAGATTCTAGCGCGATCTCCTGTGCTTCAATCGTAAGAAGTGATCGTGTATTCCTAACAAATTCATTCTCCGTGTAATCCTAAGGAAAGTTGTATGAAAACGCAGAGAAAATGATGAGTGATCCAGACCACAGGCCGTTCCTTAGAACTAGAGTATCGATACAACTGAGTGCTCAGTTCAGCTTTTTCGGTCGCCGCAGCAGCAATGCCTTCCCCCCGTGCTCACGATAAAAACTCCGCTGGTGTGGCACCGAACTAGCTGGACTTACCTCGCTGCAGAACAACCGAACGGGCCGACACTCAGACAAAATGCCCTCATCTGCACGTCGTCGTGCTAGCTATACTTGTCTCTCGTAAGCTAGTTGCCGTGCCGATGCTTTCATACACCCATAGAGCTGCATGTATACTGTATAAGATACTATTATCACCTAGCGATCTCTTCGTATCAGCGCAACATACATGGTCCGCGCAATTAGATAGCACCACTGCATCACGAAAACCATCTGCATACAAACTAGAATAGCGGGGTTCTAGGTGCCTCCTTTTAGTAAAATTCATCCTTGGCCGGCTGGGCTGTCCAAACTGAAGCTCTACTCCTAAACCTGGCATCTGTCCAAGTAAGCGTAGCGAGCGTTTAAGGTTGGAGGACCGCGCGGAGTGCGTAGCATAGTGGTAGTTTAAATCAGTATAACTCATGGCTACAAATCTACTACTAAGTACTTAGTAGTACTTGCATAGCTTTTTACAAAAGCTACCAAGCTGGAGTAATTCCTCCTTATATGCCCAAGAGCAACGTAAAATCCAGAGCTCTTCCGGGCAGAGCACGGCTTTGTCCACTGGAGCTCGACTTAAATCTTCACGAGCCTACATTGCGTGCATACGAATATACATGACTGGAGCCATGCTTCAGATCTCACTCCATCTTCCGACCACAAGTCGTTGTCCGGGCACACAATCAAAATTCCACGCGTAGCGCACACATTTGAGGGCGCAGTGACCGCGAGGCCGCAGCAACTCCATCACATGTCGCGGTGCACGGGGGCCGCTGATGCGGTGGTCAAAAGTCAAAACACCTTGCAGGACCAAGGCCCACGCGAGGGCAAGGGTCTCCGTGTGTTTCGATGCAGCTGAAATACCAAGGGGGCGTCGCAGAGGAATGTCGACTCGGAGGACTTTGTTCACAGCGAGGGCACTCACGACGGCGGGCGTAGCAGCGACTCTCGATCTCCACTTAATCGCCGAAGTCACACGCTGGCACCACACACTCCAATTCACATCTCCACGTGCGTCACAAGCGTAAATCTCCATCATACTGCACGAACCGGTCACACTTAGAGCGTAACCCGGGTCAATACAGCTTCATCGTTTCAGGTCACAAGTCGGTTTCAGGGCTTGGTCAATCACTTCACAGGCTTCAGCGGTCTGCTTCGGGGCATATGCGTCTCAAAGGATGCTACACGCTCGGGTGGTCATCTCCTGCCTGCATCGCCTGGAAGGGGGCTCGCGCTCTAGCTCCCTGGTTAAATTCATACAGGAGGGCACCGCAGTTCAACTGAGTAACTGGCAGTCATTCTGCTTCTCTGTAGCCCTTCCACTTGACGAGATACTCGCGGGTACGTCGGGAGGTCCGAGTGCGCTTCTTCCAGCGTAGATCGAGGATCTTCTCGACCTCGTACTCATCGTTGGCAGCGTCCGGCTCCCAGCTGTTTTCAGGAAGCAAGGCAGTATCGAAGTCATCATCTTCATCCACATCAATCTCTTCAGCTGGGCGTTTCGGGAACAGCGCGCGCGGTTTCAGCCGGCTCACATGCACCCAAGGGTTCACGCGATAGCCAGTGTCTTTCACTTTGAGCTTGACCCTGAAATCGTCATGGACCTCTTCAATTCGGAATGGTCCGTGCCACAGGTGGGCAAGCTTCCGACTCAACCCTGGTTGCACCTTGGGTATGTAGAGCCAGACGGCATCGCCTTCCTTGAAACCAGCCTTGAGACGCTCCGACAACTCCACCCACTTCTGTGTCTGGGCTGCTGACCGAGCGCGCTTTACTTTTCGCTGCAAGTCCTCAGCACACGCCTGCGCGTAGCTGTAGTCTCGCTGCAGTTTGCGGCGCCACTCGTACGCGGTGCGTTCCTGGACACCCGAAGGTTTTGGCCCCAGCATGGCTGAAACCGTCCCTTGAGCGTCCCAGCCGTGGACCAAATAGAACGGAGTGTCAAGTCGAGTCGCATCGAACGAAGTATTCAATGCGAACATCAAGCGTTCCGCGTGCTCGTCCCAGTCGCTTTGATCAGACTCGACGATGTAGGCTCGGATGCTTCGCACCACAGTCTGGACAGACCGCTCCTGTTGGCCATTGGCTTGAGGGCGATATGCCAAAGTCGCGCGTTGCCTGCTACCCATCAGCTCTCTGAAACGCGTGAAGACTTCGCTCATGAATCTCGGGTCTTGGTCATGGCGCAACATTGAACTCGCACCAAACCTCATGAAGACCCGTTCCTCGTACGCCTCGGCGACATCTTGGGCTGTGGTCGAACTCATGGGCTTGCACATCACATACCCAGAGAACGCATCTTGGAACAGCAAGAGAAACGTGTTCCCACGCTCCGACTTGGGCAGGTGCGTTACGAAGTCCATTGACACGACCTCAAACGGACGAGTGGGTTCAATGTTCCCAGGCGAAGGTCCAGGATTAGGCGGTCGTCCCTTGGCTGACGCGCAGTCAGTGCACTTTTTGACGAAGACTTCGACATCATCATACATCCGGGGCCAAAAGAACTCAGAACGCAATTTTTCATACGTTCGAGTGATACCCTGGTGTCCGCCTTGATAGTCCTCATGCGCGTAGTGTAACATGTCCGGGCGCAAGTTTTCTGGAACCACCAACCTCAGCTCTGAATCCTTGTTGCGCGGGCGTTCTGGCGTCGGAGCACTTAAGCGATACAGGACCTCTCTCGAATCCAGGACGTACTGGTCGGCATACTTCGCAATCTTCTTGACCTGATCATGGGAAAGCTGGCCAAGTTCTCCCTTCAAGTAACTCTTGATTCCCATCAGGAAGGCGTCCCCGTCCTGATGTGGCTTGATACGCCTCCATCGTTCAGCCTGATACTCCAAGGACCCCATGGGCTCACGTTGCTCGTCGTCCTCCCTTGAACGCTGCCGAGTCACTGCAGTCAGGACTCGTGCGGCGAAGGTAAGCGGGCCTAGATCAGCACCCGAATCCTCCAGCCGCACAATGTTCACCGTTCCAATGTCTTCGGGTTCAGCACCAGCACCATGACTCTCCGGGTTCGGAGTGGCATTCGGCTTCATGACCTGTTCTGGGATCCGTGAGACTACCTGTAGGTCCAGCAGCTCATCCGCGTCCTCGACTGTCCACGTTTTGCCAAGTGCCAACGTCTTCGATGTCAGATAATCAGCAGCCTGGTTGTAGAGGCGCTTGGCGTGAACCAACTGCACCGTCTTGAACTTAGCCCTCAGCACTTCGTACTCCGCAAGCCTTCGCTGCAAGTTAGGCTGATGGCAGTTGATGAGACCTCGTGCCTGCTGGATCACGATCCTCGAATCTCCAACCACGACCACGTCCTGAACCCCGCGCTCAGACGCTAGTTTCAGGTCATTGAGCAATCCATGATCCTCTGCGTCATTCACCGTCACATCTTCCAGCATGAATCCATGTGCTTCCAAGACTGTCCATCCAGGCAACTGCCACAACACACATCCGCAGCTCCTTGTCGTGTAGAAGTCTTGGCCGCACCATCAAAGCTTAGAGCCACACCTTGGTAGTCAGCTTCAAGCATCTCGATGCTGATCGCAGGTGGAGGCTTGATTTGTCCCTTGGCTGGAATGAGCCCTTCAGCAATGGCATCCAGGTGCTCTCGGGGCGTGATGCGTGCAACTAAAATCGCGGCTAGACCATCCTCATCGCGCTGAACTCGGGACCCGCGGCGAAAAGCCGCTGCGCGAGCAGCAGGAGTCGCTCGTGCTGCGCCGCAAGTTTGACATCCACAAGACCGATGAGCGCAAGAACTTGCACATCAACGACCTGATGAAGAACCACGATAAGGCCTTTACGCAGATCACGAACTACAACAACGACATCACTAAGGGCAACCTATGGCTTATCGCCTCGCTCAAGAACGAGATCGCCGTCATGAAGAAGAAGGCAGCGGCCAACACCAAACCCCGTGCACGACGTGTCGCAGAAGAACAAGTGCCTTTTGGACACGCTGGCTGCTGCGATCCAGGAGGTGGAGCACCTCCGACACGAGCTCAAGGACGTGCAGAAGAACAAGCTCTCGCTGCGTAACGCCAAGGCGCGGCTGATGTATCTCGCGCAGCAAGTGCACGACCTTAAGCAAAGGCAGGCGGAGCGCACAACCAAGTACCGCACCATGGAGTCGGACCGCAACGTGCTTTACGACACGTTTGAGCACGCGATACAGACAATTCCCAAGGAGGGCGAGTGCAAGAACCTCATCCTGGAGCAGTGTCTCTACGCCATGGACGACCAGCACGCGCGTAAGGGGGCTCAAGTACAGGAGGTTCTGCTCGCTGCTAACCTCGACCTTGTGCAGGCGCGGCGCGTGATCGAGACGCTTGGCACGCTCCTGGACTCGAAGAACACAAAGATTTGCAACCTGCAGTACAACGTAGCCAAGGAGAGCAAAGCCTACAATGATACACTACGGACGTTCACAGAGAAGTTGATACAAATTGGCATCCCAGAGGAGGAAAATTGAGCTCTCGGCTTCAAACGGTTGACCTCCAACTTCATTACAGGCCAAGCGGGCCTCATAGCGGTGGGGTAGGTTTGTACTCAGAGTCTTGATTCCTTTTATCAAATAACATGTAGATTCGCGTCCATCGAGAACGTGTGGCGTAGTACTTGTTTGTTTTAGTGACGATGCAAAGCGTCAGTGTAGCTTCTGACACATTGTAGCAGCCACTACATTCAGCGTAGTGCACCCTGATTCTGACGCACTGCAGCAAAATAATGTATCACGAGCACAACCAGTGTTGAATAGGGAATATACTGTGATTTAGTAGCAAACAGCGATCTTAAAGCTAGTACATGTGCCATAACGATATGTATAGTCGAAAAGTGTGTGGAATAGTCGAACGTTGCGTGGTGTTTGGCTACTTCACTGTGGTGAAACGCTCTGTTTGTGTGGACACCTTCTTTATGTACCCGCAACGCACAGACTGTGCGTTCCCTCGTGCTTATGCGGATGGTCTACCTGTGGTGGTACACCGGCCTCCGCCGTGATCCTGTACTAGGCTTGCGCCTAGGCCCACTGTACTCGCATCCGTCATGGCTTTCATGTGCAACCGAAAGTTAGGATAGATGAGCAAGTGAATGGAGGCATGGATTTCTTTCACCCACTCGAACGCTCCTAGTCGACGTCCTTCCTTTGTAGTTTAGTAATCGGCGCCACCATGGATCCAAATCCTTCATCGAATCGCCGGATGTAGCTAGTCCAGCGAACAAACCACTTGGTTTCGACTGCGTCCATAGCTCTGAGAAACTGTTTCACAGCCGACTCTAACCGCTGTACGCCGCCACTACTGAGCTTGTTGTCCAAGTACTCTATGGACCGAGCTGTCAAGCTACTCTCCTCCAATTTCAGAGCCGACCCAGCCCGATCCAGCCGCTCTAATACGTTTGACATCTCGACCACGTGCCGCTCGATGTTGCCGCGCGGAAAGACCACAGTGTCATCTAGGTAGGCTATACACGTTACCCAGGTAGGTTCTCGTAATACCCCATTCATCATGCGCTGAAAGGTTAACGACGCGTTCGGCAAGCCGAAAGGTACGTGGATAGACTGATAGAGCACATTTATTTTCATCACACAAAGGCGTTTCACTATTGCCAAGCTCGCCCAACCACTGACCAACTCTGTTCGCGTCCAACTCGACGTTCATGGACAAAATGGTCATGTTCTCATCCACGGACACCCAGGTGCCAAGTTTCTGTTTTTAGTGTGGGTAGTTTCGCCGCCTTATCGCTGCTATTGATCGCTGGAACCCATGCACGCCCATTGCGTGTCGTCTTGACCGTAGCCGCGCCCGGGTAGTGCGTGGAATAGAAAGCCCGCGCTCACCATCTACCGCCGCTACAGATACTTCCCCCAGTTCACTGCGTGGTCCGCCCTCCATGTACTGCTTACCATACACGCCATCGACAATCTGGCGCCAGTGCAGCTGCCATGGATTTTTACGGCCATCGCTCCGTCGTCGTATTCACTCTCATTGCGGTTGAAGTCCATCGTTGTTGCTCGCTGATTTGAATTTGTTTGTTCGGCACTAAAAATCTATTTTTCCGCGCTCAACCAGAGGCGCTGTTGTCATCGGTTTCCCCAGATAAAGCTCGGAACTACCTACCAAGATCCAGGGCAGTAGCAGGCAGTGGCGGGGCCTGTCGGTAACTACCATTTTGCAAGTCTCCGTTCTAGATTTAGACCGTTCTAAAAAATGGGCTCGTTTTGCCGGTGAGCCCACAGCAATTCTACTTATACGTCCGATGGGGTGTAGCTTCCATAAGTATTGTACATGCGGCTCGGCCAGCACAACCAAAACTAACAAGACTACGTTCAGATAACTATGGATTGCAACAATCCCCACAGACTTTACATTCTAGAGATCAAACTCAAAATCATGAACAAAGTTCAGGAATAATTTTGGCGATCTGGAAGAGGGACCCTACGCCCAGTACAAAGCAGACCCAAACGGTTTGATTCCAATGTTTCAGCAAAATTACCAATATCGAACCAGAAACCGCCGGTATACTGTTTTGGCGCTTCGTTATTGTAACTGATTGATCCTTCCTGGCGGGTTGGGAAGTACATGGTTTGGAATTACGTTGTTGGAGGTTTAGATGGTTCAAACCCACCTGTGTTTCATGGCTGAAATCTCCCTAGATTCAACTATCCTCAAAGTCCCCATGTACATTGTTTCTTAGACTGTCCCCCACAAACGAATGAGCGCTTTCTGTACTTTACTACTAGAACGATGGCTCATAAGAACCTGAATCAGCTTGCACAACATCACTGGCTGTCCTCGTGTCCGTGACATCATACACACACGTAATCTTCAACTCGGGTCGCGCCTCATTCACCAACTTTCCTCTAGACCACAACTAGCCGTCAACCACGGCCAAACCACTGGCATCTGCCCATCCATACCTAAAGTCCAGCCAACGCACCCACCAACGCTGTAGTAAACGCCTAAGAGATGAAAACAGGTCAATTCTAACAGTTGATCATGGGTATGATGGACAAATAGGTCACACATCGGTAAGCTTAAGGGGTAACATCCACACAAGATACACACGAGATAGAGGGTAAATTGCGCGCACGCGTGCATTAGAATGGGCGCAAGGTGCGTGTAAACGAAATCGGTTTCAAAGCCAATCTGTAAGTACTTTCGCGCTTTTATGAAACGAACGACGGTCCACTTCTCTAGCCGCCTGTTCAGACATCATACATCATGTTTCCTCAGCCCAAACGACAGTACACGACACCTCCCTGAGCTTCTTCCGTACTCTGTCAGTGCGCTCCGCAAGATGACACGACGACGGACCAAAGCTGCTTCTCTATCGACGATCAACCCATGAACGACGAGTCAGACGGCTGACAAGGATGACGTAGACGACATGGGTGGCGTGAGCGATGGCGTGGGTATCGATGAGGGTACGAACGGTATGCGAGAATATGAGCGACGCAATAGCGTCAAGGACCTGGAGTTACCAACGTTTACGCTATCGCCGAAGGTCTCGGTGTCCGCGCGGATAGACTACGTGAACTTGGCGCTGAAAGAAGCTGCGGAGTCGAGATGCAGGCGCAGGTTAAATAAGTCTTTCTGATTCATCTCGGCAACAAAATCATGAAGAATCGGCCGAGGGGTGGCCGAGTGGTGGGTCGACATGGACCGCCAGATGCCTGAACAGAAGAGGACATAGTCCAACATGAAGAAGGACCTCTTGTGGTGTTGTGGGGTTTGGGGAAAGTTGGCAGCCGAGTGGCGCGCCTATATGCGTTGATGATGCCCGGAGAGACGCACGCCCACTTCGCGGCTGGTCTTCGAGATGTAGTCGGTCGAAACAAGGTTAGCGAGCGCGTTTTACTCACGCATCATTCCTGTATTAGATGGCCAAGAAGCTGGCCCGCCGAGATCCGAAGCCGCGCATGCACGGGAAGGCGGTAGCCAAGGCGACGGAGATCGATGACTAGATGGACGTGGCTCAGAGCATGATTGATTTCTGTCGTTCCGATGGGAAGTACGACGGGAGGCACCAACGTGATCTCAGTAACTAGTTGCCGCCGGAGATTGTCGCAGGTTTGGACAGCGAGATGGTGCAGTCTGAGGCGGAGCACGTAGCTCTCTTCACTAATTCTCAGGGCGTCTACGACGCCTACTCCGATTCGTGGGGTCCTCCGCCTGGCAACGTCTGGAACGGCAAGTATTAGTACGAGCCGAGGAAGTCGGTGTGGAAGACGGCGCCGGAATGAACGACGAGCAGTCTGCCGAAAACGAAGACGGCGGCTGTCAAACCGTAACCGAAAATGGAGATGGTAGTGTCGAGCGCTGAGGAGGCGGATACGAAACCGCGGCGTAAACGCGGTGAAGCAAGCTGTGAACGAAAAGCGACATCGACAGGTTCCCCGCGAGATTTGACACGTGGTGAACGAGGAGAGGCGAGTGACACGCCCTACAAGCTGGTCGTTACAGTGTCCTGTGGACCCGAAGTAATGATCGGAATCTGCTTGGTGATTACGCATGTGAGAGCACGGATGCCGAAGCAAACGCGGAAAACGACGCGTACCTGGAGGAGCTCAGACAAAGGCACAAGCAGCCTCGGAAAACAGTAAACGGACGTCGTAGACGGGTTATGGCGTCCGGATCTGGCCGAACGACCCCGATGAGGACGGACGAACGAGGATGAATAAGAACAGACGGCGACATCGACTGTTTCCGAGCGAGCTGCAGCAAGTAGCGGGTGGATGGCGGGGTTGCGGCCGGTGGACATTGCGAACAAGAACCGCAGGCGAATTAGGGCGGGGTCAGGGCTGCCGATGAATGAGAACATGACGAGTGGGTCAAGGGATGAGAAGTCAATGACGACGACGTCGAGTACGTTGGCGCTGACGCCGGGCTACCGACAGCCATGATGGAGGTGAACGATGTACAGCGGAGTGTAAAGATCGACAGCTTTGTTCGCTACACTACAGCGGGCACTGAGTGGATGGTGCGCGGTGACTAGGGGGATACGAAGACACCAGTTGTAATGGGCCTACTTTGGCTCACTACTTTAGCTTTCACGTGTGCGCAAGTGTGTGAGGAAGCGTAGCTTAGTTTAAACTAGAGTTAATTATACTCGGACCTCCGAGTATAGATTAATCTAAATAAACGATCCAAATAATGTTTTTTGGGTTAAAATGAGAACTGCTATTTTTGTTTTATGCTTTCTGACTTCCTCTAAATGTATAGATAAATGGAATTCGTCGTGCAAAGTGAACGAAACAAAAACTAGAAATATTTCTATGCTATTTCGATACAGTTTCTATCGGCAAGAGTCGCAGTTTAAGTAACGATGGAAGCTCTCGATGCTCGCGTTGAGCAAGTGCTGGGAAGTATCACCTCTGACAACACCAAGTACATCTACGAACTTTATCTCGCTTCATAGAGTGGCTCTACGAGAATACGGAGGCGGATCGACGGCAAGTCCTGTTTACTAGTACGTTTCGTGAGCTGGGTGCAATTAATGGGGAGAGTATCGCGCAGTGGTTCTCTATCGTCCCTTTACGAAGCATTGTCAATCTAAGTGTATTAAGTACTATGGAGTGTATGCGCTACTTGACCTCGATGGAGCAGCGTGGTGTCACCGGAAAGTCGACTTTTGGAAATGTTCGCTCGGCGATGGTGTACCTTCACACTCAGACAGAGTCCTCGGTGAATGCTACTGCAACGATGCACACCGAGCTTTACACATGGGGTGGGGGCTTTCATCAAGTGCCAAGAGAGTTTGTGCTACCCGCAAGAACCGTTCGCGTTGTGTGGCAGCAATGGTGTGCTGGGCAACCGCCACTAGAGCAGCTATCAAAGCACGATATGGCTTCAAGACTACAAAAGATCCGGCTTGCAGAGCTTCAGCGGCTGATGCGCTTCGTTGAAGCACTTCTGACGAGTGATGAGGTCCTGCGAGCGCACAGCTCTCTCGATTCGGCTGGCCTTCTTTTTGAGCAAGTAAAGAATCGTTTACCGTTCTCATCGACGTCGAGTAAAGGACGAGCGCGTAGACTTGACCAACTATCGTGGAGAACACTCGCCCGTGAGCATGCAAGGCACAGCTCCAGCTAGACTAGCTACCATTACGTAGGTGAGTAGCGGTAAGCTTACACAATACACATTTACTTCGAAGTGGTAGTGTTTCTACTTTCACACTGTGTACCAAATGTGCGGCACAATATGCTTCGTGCAAACTGCACGATGAATTCCACTACATTTTGCATTATTGACAGATTCATTTGATTTTTGTATATCTGGCATTTTTGCATTCGTGGAATTCGCCGGTCAATTTGCACCCCGAATTCTATACGAAGTGGCAGATTCTCACGGCGATTTCCGTAGAAGTAATATTCTAGGTTAGGTATCTGCCAACGGCTGGTTGGCAGAATTCTCATGCTATGCATGTCGCTCATTGGCTAAAATATGCTGCTTTCAGCCAATAGGAACCCTAAGTCTCTATGGACCACCCGTCGTGGTGATCGTAAATGTATGTAGCCTTTGGTGTGTCTACACCAAGGTCGAGAAAATCTTTCGAACCTCTAACAGACGTCGTGTCTGTTAGAGTTACAAGTGACTGTAACCACTTGTGCGTGTAAACCTGTTACACCAGTGAACTATGCGGAGGACATCCGTGGCTCCCTCCTGGATGTTGTTGATGTCTAGCGGTTTGGGTGCATCAGTGTGGTCGATGATACGATCCAGACTGCTGTGCGTCGTGGACGGATGCACGGACGAGCCCCTCGTCGGTGTGAGGGCACGTTCCTGATCGCAAGGCATACAAAACAGAAGTAGCGCCGGGGCTGATGGGCGTGTCGTGTCGAGTGGGTGTCAACATAAATGCTACACAATGGGGTTCGTGATACAAACACAGTAATATCTGCCCCGTTTCTAGAATTTGAATGTTCTAAAAAGTGTCCGGTGAGCCTTGCGTGGATAGATCTGTAGACTAGGCGAGCAGCCTGATCGGAAAAATGCTGTCATCACCGTACAAACCGAAGCTTACAATTTACTATCGCCAAAGCGGAATTGATTCAATATATTTGACAATAAACCTTACATGCACCGACACTGGACAACACGATGGACGTAGCTCCCCATCCACCTAGAAGGCGCAGTAGGCTTGGAACCCCACGGCCTGATCGCTCGCTGCTTCCATCGCGCTCATGCGGTTGGAATACTCCACGCACGTCGTGCAGAACGCGATCTTGTGCCGCAACAACTTGCTGTCGGGCGAGAGGAAGCTGATGGTCTTGACCACCTTGCACGCGGAGCACAACCCATTCATGCAGATCTTGCACGTGTCCTTGAAGCGCCTGGCCCGACCCGACCGAAGATCGCGGCGGCAGGTCATGCAAACGTGTTGGTAGTGCGGCGCGGTCGGGACGTTCTCCGCTCGTCGGCGCTGCAGCAGCCAGGTCAACTTCTTCATGAGCCCGCACTCGACGTAATTCGTAGCCGACAGTAGAGCGTTGGCACACACTGGTAGAACCACCGACTCTGGTAGGTTACCGCCCGGCTCCACCGAGTCGAAGCAGAACGTGTCGATGACGTTCGGCGCGATCTGCCGGAAGAACCCCGTGCAGTTGTGCTTGGCCCGAATCACATTAGGCAGGGGTTGAGTCTTGGGCGATTCGATGGAGTGCAGCATCATGTAGCCCACCCGCTCTCCATTAGCGAAGTGTAGAATGCCCGACGCCTCCAGGCAGATAAAGTCGCGGTCGTGCAGCAGACCCGTGCGGCTTAGGGGTAGATCGATCTGGAACCACTTGACCGTGACCGAGCGAAATGGCTCCGAGGCAGTAGGCGAGACCAGCGTGGCCAGCACGGCGCCGTCGCTGTAATCCCGCACATAGGACGCCTTGATGTGCATGATGTCCGTCGTGGGGTTCACCGTGCCGAACATGAGGTCGTCCAGCTGCCCTTGGAACGAGCCGACGCTGAGTACCACGGGCTTGACGCCGCCGCTGCAGTCGTCGATGGGCACCGGGCAGCACCCTGTCTGGTTGCGCCGCATCGAGCCCCGGGTCGACTTCTTGGCGTAGATGTGCAGGTCGTCCTTGGACTTGACGTGCTTCCAGCGCGCGAGGTTCACCTGCGAGTTGCTCATGACGTACGCCTCGTACTTGCGGAACGTGTCCTCGACCAGGTCGTTCTCGATCTCGAGCAGCATGCGCTGGTCTCGCAGCGTGAGCAGCAGCGTGTGGTAGGGGCTCATGTTGAAGCGGTCCTTGGGCATCGTCGACGCCTCCGGCGGCGGGCGAGCGTATTGCGTTGTGGTGGACAAGGCGGCGGTGCGCCCCACTTCTGCATGTGAGCTACCGCGGTGCAACAAGGCCCGGCCGGACTCAATACAATGCTACTCAAGTGCAAGTGTGAATGGAACAGTTTGTATGGGGCGCGTCGATATTTGAGCCCCTCTCATGGCGCAGGCGACCAGCTTGCTGGCGTACCAGCGGTTGAAGCTCCGTGCTACACTCTTGACGCCCTCTTCACCGTGGTTTAATGGCAGCGCTATCGCGGAGATCGGGACGCGAGCGCGGCGGGAGCGATGACTGTCGCTTGATGGCAGCCGCGCTGCCGTTCTGCTGATACCGCCGTGGCCACGCTGGCCACCACGGGAGACTCGTAAAGCACGCCATTTGATGCCGCGACTCCCATTGTGATGCGCGGGACGCCGCCGGGACGAGAAGGACCCTTCTCGATGGTCTAGAAGCGATCTGTAGGGGCTACAGATGATGGCGCGATGTGTAAGAAATCATTCCAACCAACATTGAACAAGTAGATACTACAATGCTCACAATTAATAGCGAAATTTTGTGCTACGATCGACAGCCAGAACTAGGCACCTCTCTTCCCACGCACGCGCAACTCTCATGCGCTCTGGTCACAGACCAACGCTTAAAACGGCAAACTATTTCAAAATTGGCCTCGAATGTCTCGGCTTCAGTAGCGAGACAGCGGAGCAACACCTATTTTTGCCTGCTCCAAATTCGTGTCGGTGCAGCTGGAGAGTTCGTGGGCCACGAGGGCCACACAAGAAAACCCGACTGCATTGGCGTGCATGGCAGTTCTTCCGCACGGCCATGCTGGTCCTGGATGCTTGGACGTGCCAGTACCTTGTGTTGACCTACGTATTTCTCGCGCCTGGATGGAATTTTTCGAGATTATTCCCTGTTGGCAACCTTTTTTTCTTGATCTTGGTCTTGCCAGCCACGTCTATTCTTCGATGATGATCAAGTCGCGCCCAAACGTAGTATATCTACAGCTGACGTCGGTCTCGACATCGATATCCGAGGTTGAAGTATATTCCTGAAATGATTATTTTGCCAGGCTAACTTCTTTTTTTTCTGAAAAATGTCATTAGTGTTTGTGGTGGCAATTTGCTTCTGGTGCTTGGCGTGCTCAGGTAGCTTTTGCAACTTGCTGGCTGGATGGAAATGGGAGTTTCCGTGTACAGAGTTCCGCTGTACGCGAACACACATCACTTTTTACGATTTTTGAGGACCAAATACAGCGTACGTCAACTATCGAGGGCTACTTAAGCTTGCTGTTGTCAGCTTTCCAGCTGCTAGATCGCGTACGATAAGGTTGCATATATATATATCATTTGCTGTTTGCAGCCTTATATTATACTGCGAAGTGCAATTATTTTATAAAACCACGGCAACATACATTGCTGCCGTAGTTAATGGGAACCGTTGATTCACACGTTTGGCGAACTTCTTGGAATTCCAAGTAGCTATTCAGAGTCAAGGGTGCTAGAATTGAAGTATCTGATCGTACTTTTTACGGGTTTACCCGCAAGAAGCAAGAGGTGATAAAATAGCTCAGTAGCCACTTGGCTTTGCGTTGCCGTGGTCGCTTCAACTACCGAGGCTATTCACGGTGTTCTAAGTTCGCCAACTTCCGCTTCATCTGATCGCGTTGTGCGTCAAGTCAAGTTTGTCGCTATTTTGAAGGTCAAAGCAGTATTACTACTTCGTCCAGGCAAGAGGCACAAGGTCAAAACAATGGTCACCCAGCACGACATGGACGATATCTCGCGAAAATTGTTCAACCCATTCATCCTTGTGCTCGACGCGTGGACCTTCCAGCACCTCGTGTTGGTGTATTACCCACGTCGGAAGGAATTCCGAGTATGGCTTCTCGTGCTGGCCTCCTTTATTGGCTTTGCAACGCACTTGTATGTGTACGACGACCACGACACAATATCCATGGCCAACACTGTATCCAAGACATGCCTCCAAATGACATTCATCATCCAGATCACTATCATCGGTCGCGATGTTTGTGTCAAGGTCAAGCTTCTGTCCATTCGCTGGCTCACTTATATTGCGGAGGCTTTAGTCGTGCTGGGGTGTCTTCAAGTGCTCGCTTCTTTGCTGGAGATAACTGGTGTGAGAAGTAGGGGCACAATCCACTTGCTCGGCAATATCCTCGAGACCATCTCGCTGGTGTTCGTGCTGGTGTTTCACTTCTACTACTTGTCGCTCTCTCGCGGCTGCCGTCGACTGATAACGGAGCGCAAGTTCGAGATCCTTCTGTACACATGCTTCGCCATCCACGAGTTCCCGTTCATGCTGCTTGAGCACCATACTGGCGTCACGTGGGAGTTCGCGCAGGGACTTTGCAACCGCGTGGTACTCGCGGCGTGTATTTTGCAGAACATCCGCAAGAAGGCAGTTCCCAGCGGTGGCAGCTCCGCCGTCTTCAAGAGCAAGAGGAGCTCCATCCTTGGGTCATTTACGTCGGCGCGAGGGTCCTTCCTAAAGCCGAAAGCAAATACCGATACTCAAGAATCACGAGCCATCTCCTACTCAAGTGGAACTTTGATGAAGATTGTCCCAAGGCGCAGTTCCGGCCAGCCATTCCCTGATATCTCAAAAATTGCGGTGATCTCCGAAAGGGCCGAGAGTCAACCGAAAGTTACCACTTCAGGAGAGGAAAAATAAAACCCACGAAAAATGGTTTATGCCCGCGACTCTTCTAACAATGTTAGCGTATTCGTGCTGGGTTATCTCCACAAAAATCTTTCTCCCAATCGATAGCATACAAGCCTGGTAGGTGTTATTCAGTATTTGCTGAGTGTTTTCGCAACGTGGACAGACAAATAACATACTTGAGTAGTAGACGTAGTGCAATAGAGCTGAACCGCATAGGACACAGTATGCATTCTATTCACGCCAGTCTGTGGTTTTAGTATTTCTGTTCTGAGTTTAGCTGGAAGGAGATTCCTGTAAGCAGCGTCGCAGCGCCGAATCTATTCGTAGCACGAAAAACTGCGATGCTGTTCATCGCCTACACGGACTGACGGAGTTATTAGAACCAGGACGATCTTAGTTTTACAAATTCCTCGGTCGGGTTGCAAGAATAAGCACATCGTTTCCCTCTCCATTCCTGGGAGGGTCACACACTGACCATTTCTTCATTTCGACGGCGTTGGACAGAAAGAGCGTTTTATAATTTGTGTTCCCTGCCCGGCCATGGCCTTCACTCAAGAGGGCATGGACTCCATCTCCAGATCGTTATTCCTCCCGCTTATGTTGGTGCTGGACGCTTGGATGTTTGAATACTTGGTGTTGGTCTACTATTCAAGATGGCGAGACGTCCGTGTGCTTGCTCCTCTTCGCGGATCTGCTCTCCTTCATGACCCACGTATACTTCCACCAAGACCTCGACGTCATGCTGGCTTTGAACGGAGTCTCCGAGACCAGTCTGCAGTTGACTTTCCTCATCCAGATCACCATCATCGGCCGTGCGGTAGGTCGCAAAGTGAAGCTTCGGTCCATCGCCCGACTGACTCGCGCCGCCGAAGTTCTCATCTTGTTGGGGTGGCTGCACGTATTTGTCTCTATCCTCGAGGCTTCGGGCGTGAGCACGCACGACCGACTGCACTTGATCGGGAACGTGTTGGAGTCTGTATCGCTCATCTTCGTGGTGGCCTTCCGCTTCTTCTACTTGTCGCTGTCTGGTGGCTGGCAACGCGTACAGTGAGAAAAAGCTCGAGTTAGCGCTCTACAGCGCGTTCGCTCTCCATGAAGTTCCGTTCTCCCTTCTGGAGCACCACGCAGGCGTGAAGAACGAGTTTGCTCAGGGAATATGCAACCGCCTGCTCATCATGGCCTGCATCCTGCTCAACATCCACCAGAAAGCGCGTCCAAGAAGCCACGGCAGCTACAAGAGCAAACGCGAGTCTCTCACGAACAATCGGGGGTCAGTCGCATCGTCGAGGGGGTCCTTGATCAAGGTGCCTACGGGAAGGCTCAGCGTGGACATTCCAACCTCCTTGGTGTCGTCTCGAGCGTCCTTCACCTCCTTCCACACGACCACAGTCAAGCACAACTCGAATCCAGCCTTGTCAGGGTTCCCCGACATCGCCAAAATTGCGGTGACTTCGATCCAGCAAAGTGGTGATGTACTGGAGGTATCGACCAGTTGAGCTAGATCAAACAGCATTCCAACATCACAGCTCTTGCAGTCCCTGTGTCACGATAACTAGCTATTGTCCTGGCAAATTGGTTTGTTGTGTATTCCTCTATATGCATCTACTTACCGTGCAGCCCGCACTGCTTAGACAGTGTCAGGCAGCAGATAGCGCTTGCCGATCTTGCGGTTGTACTCCAAAACCTGCGCGCGCACCTTGCGCTTCTCCATGAGCTTGTGGCGCGTACCCGCGAGCAGTACGGCGTTCGGGTCCTCCGGAATGAGGTCGGTGAACACGCCGTAGCGCTCGGTGAGCGCGCGGATCTTCTTCAGGTGCTTCTCCTGCAGCTGCAAGCCCAGCGCATCGGCGTCCTCGAGCGTGTTGAGCGCGCGGCGCATCAGGCGCTTCCTGGCGTAGTGGTCCACCAAGAAGCCGAAAGTTACCTCGTCGGGCTCCAGGTCGCCGTTTTCAATCTCCGAACGCACACGCTCCAGCAGCTTCTCGGCTTGAGTTGTCCGCTTGGCACGCACGTACATCTGCATCATGCTGCGGTACGAGAACTTGTTGGGCTTGAGCTCGAACTTGGAGAACGTCTCGTCCAGGAAGACCTCTGCCGAGCGTAGACGCAGCGCGTTCGAATACACCGCCAGCATGGAGTTGAGCGTGATGAGGGACGGCTTGAGGCCCTTCTCGAAGGTCATCTCGTGGAACCGCACTTCCGCGCGCTTGATGTTGAGCGTCTGGAACTTGCCAAAGTCCTGCAGGTCCATCGGCGTGAGCTCAAAGTCCAGCGATTCTTCGCTGTCAGCGAAGAGATGGTCGTCCTCCTCGCCGTAAACCTCCATACTCCGCTCCGTCTTGACCAGGTCCGTCGTCTCCGCCAGCATCTCCTCGTGATCGGCCTTGTCCTTCTTCCGCAGCTCCTCCACCTGCGCGAGGGCCTCCGGACTCAGCTTGTAGCTCTCCCCTTCCTCCTCCTCTCCATCTTCGTCAAAGCGTCCGTCGTAATTGGCGTTCTTCAGCGAAAAAGTCTCCTTGCCCGGGCGCGTTAGGTCCACCTCGTTGCCCTCATCATCCCACTCGAGCGGCTCCTGGTAGATCGGCTCTGGCGGGGGAGGCGCCTTCTGGTTGCGCGGGGCCTTATCCACAATGGACCTGATCTGCGCGCGCGCGTACACGTTGAAGAGCGTGTTGTACACGAACTCGGTCATGGGCACGTGGTGACGCTCCATGTGTCGGATGATCTGCTCCGCCTGGATAAAGTCGCCGTGCTTGGCACACGCGTGCAGCACCGTCGTGTACGAGTACAGGTCCGGCACGTAGTCGTACAGCTCCTGCATCTCGTAGTAAAAGTCGATGGCCTTGTGCGCGTAGTAGTGCGACTTGGCGCACGCGTTCATCAGCGTGTTAAACGTCACCAGGGACGGCGTAAGACCGCACTCCAGCAGATCCTCGAGCAAGTTGAGCGCGCGCTCCACGCGGCCTTCGCGCGCGAATCCGTTGATGAGACAGCTGAAGGCGATCTCGTCCGGCTCCGCCACGTGCGTCCGCATCAAGTGGAAGGTCTCAAAGGCCTTGTCCAGGTCCCCCTCGGCAATAGCCGCGTTCATGAGAATGGTAAACGACGCGCGGTCCGGCACGAGCCCCGCCACCTGCATCTTCTCCATGACATTGTACGCCCAGGACACGCGCCCAGCCTTGGAGCACGCGCGCATGATGGCGTTGTAAACTGACACGTCCGGCAGCACTCCGCGCTCCTTCATGCGCCCAATGACGCGCACAGCGTGCGCCGCCTGGCCGTCGACTCCTAAAGCTGTCGCGTACAGCATATACGACTTGGCGTTGGGCGGGATCACGTGGGGCACGCTCTCCAGCGCGTCCATGAGCGCCAGCTCCGTGCAGTCCGAGGGCTTAACCGGTACCACGGTCTTGTCCGCGGCAATGGGCTCGAGGTTCTTCTCCATCCTGGTTAAGAGCGCGTTGGCCTCCTTATACAGGCCCTTGACAGCATACACGCGCAACAGAAAGTTGTAGTCGTTGACCGCCAGCTCGTGTTGCACTTGCCCATCCCCTTCAACTTCAACTTCAACGTCCGCCCCCGAGGCAGCTGCGGCCGCGCGCTGTGTCTCACCGACCTCCTTCATGATGTCCGGGTCGGCTCGCGCGATGGCGTTGAGCTTGGCGAGCGCGTCGAGCTCGTCCACGTCCTCGAGGCTCGGCTCGGGCTCGTACACGTAATCGCCCAGCGGGCCGGACTTGTCCATGTACTCAAAGACCTCGTCCAGCTCCTTGTTGAGCTCCTCGTTGCGCTCGAGCGCCGCCCACTCCTTGGCGTTGCGCGCGTTGGCGCGCTCCCCGGCCTTGAGGTCGCGCATGCGCTCGAGGTGCGAGCGGTGCGGCGCCGTGTCCTTCTTGAGCTTCTGCTTCGTACTTAGTGCGGTGTGGCTCTTGTTGCCTTTGCTGCGGTTCCAGCTCGACGTCTTGACCACGTGGGCCGACGCGCCGCCCTTGCGCTTGAGCAGCACGGGGCTCTGCGAGACGGCGCGCGTCTGAGATGGAGGAGGTGGCGAGAGCAGCGCGCCCTGCAGGTGCGAGGCGGTGGCGGCCGCGATGGGCGCGCGGGCGGAGGCGGCGCCGCGCGCAGCCGCGGACGCAGCGACGCGCAGCAACGCGGACATGATGGCGAGTGCGGAATGACAGGCAAAGCTCTGGTGGCGAGCGGCTCGACTAGAGGCTCGGATTGGTACAGATGGTACACAAGATGGGACAGATCAAGGGATGATCGGTTAAGTACGAAACAACTTCAGCTTGTGTTAGCCAATGAGAGCCCCTATCGATCTTGGTACAGGAAGGTGGCGACAGGATCAATGTTAGGGAGCGAGCATGATGCTGCTTGGTCTGCACTACAGTGCCCCTCTTTGTCGTGGGACCGAGGAGGGAAGTCAGGCAATAAAAGTATCAGCACACGAACGCGCATGGTTGCTTAGAGTGTAGTTCCTTTTGAATAGCACACGAATCGCACGTGTATGGCTGTTCATGAACCTCGAAGAGGTATTCCAGGCCAAACTCAGCTCAGCCAAGATGGAGATGCTATCGACAAAAAGTCCTTCCGATAATGCAGCCTCGCCCACATGTAGATTCGAATATACTCTTCGATGTTTCATTTAGCACCCGGACAGCGTGTCTAAGACCGCTTTCACGTGCAAATACGGTCTGTACGAATGGTTGGACCATGGTTGCTTTCATTGTGTGTGTGTTCCTTTGTTTATGGTTGACTGAGCTATTCAATTGCTTTGTGTTATTGCTACAAGTATTCGGGTGTAGTTGATAGTTCACCTTGAAGATCTTTGTCCATTTGCCATACAGTACAGATCCTTACAGCCATGAACTACAACATTAAACATGCACATGTTAAAGTTACTCTACAAAGAATTCGCTGACACCGCTGTAGCTGGTGGCACTAAAAGTATCAGCAACAGCAACACTTACGAACTAGATGCTACCCGTGCAAATAATTGTACTTGAAGTAAAATAATTTAAGGTGTACTTTAAGACTGCAATGATTTGGTATCTTTATTCACTCGTCCACGACATAGTCAAGATTGTTCCCGGTTGGTAATTGGCGGGTGGATGAGGAGGACAAGCCCACGGCAACCTTGTTGACATTTCGAGCGGACCCGGTAACATTACGCGCGGACGCAGATCGAAAGAATCGAAGACTGGGTGGACTTCTGGCGAAAGTGCTCCCGCCGGCCTTGGATGTTTCTTCCTCTGTCGCGTTGGACGGTCGACCGCTTCGGACGCTGAAGCTGGAGCGGCCACTGCGACGAGCCTTGTGGATCACGTTAAGCAAGATGCACGAGACGATCAGCAGACGCATGAAAATTCCCTGTACGAACTCCCACGTCAACCCCGTTAGCTCCTCGAGGAGAACGAACGGAGATTCGTGCATCGCGACCATCATATAGAGCAAGAACTCCATCTTCCGCTTGACTATCACGCGTCGAAACCCTCCGGACAGCGATAAATAAAAGAAGCGGAACACCAGCACGAAAGTGAGAGAGATAGTTTCCAGTATATTCTCCACTCCATGCAGTTTGCCTCCCGTTGGTAATCCAGCAATCTCGATTATAGAACCGAGTATATCCACCCAACTCACGAAGATTAAAGTCTCTGCAGCGTACGTGAACCATAAAATGGAGCGAACTTTGACCTTTTTAGCGACATCTCGACCGATAATGGTGATCTGGATGATGAACGTCAGCTGCAGACACGTCTCGGAGATATCGTTGAACTCGCTCATCGTCTCAAACGTCTCGTGCGAGTAAATGTGCGTGATAAAGGCAAGGAACGACGCGACTAGCAGCATTTTGACTCGAAACTCGCGACGCCGTGGCCAATACACAGAGATCAGATACTGGAACACCCAGGCATCGAGCACCAGCACGATCGGGAGGAAGATCGCCCTCGATAAGTCTTCCATTTCCTCCTGAGTGATGGCCAATTGAAGTTGATGAGTGTGCCGATTTGAGTACAACAAGTGATGCTCGAAATGGAAATGCGATCAGTTGTCGCTGTCGCGTGTGTTTTGGTTTGGCGCACAAATAAATAATAGCGAATGGCTGTTACTGATACTGACCGCTTTCTTGTCTGTCCCTGAATAGCGTACATTTGCTGCCTGTCCCCAGCTCTTTGTAGCAACGAACTAATCCTAGGTTGGGCCAGGACGTGAGGCATCTCATGTTGAACATGGTGCATTTTAGCGACGAATATGCATGTTTTTCTTCGCGCTACGTTTGGCGTTTGGCGGATGCGGGGCCTACGAAGATTTTCTTCATGCTGGCAGCTTTGGCTATAGCGGTGTTGAACTTTAACTTCCGAACTAGCGCGGGGATCGTTGCTAGCGTTAACAGACTGGGCGTATTCCCACCGGGCTCTGGCATTTCTTCCTCGCGCCCGGTTGACCGCATCGCACTTCGAACGGTCATGCTGGAGCGGCCACTACGTCGAGCTTTATGGATCACGTTGATCATTATACACGCGACGATCAGCACGCGCATGACGATAGCTTGTACAAACTCCCAGTTCACACCTGTTAAATATTCCAGTAGAACGAACGGGAGTTCATGCACTGCTACCAATAAATAGAGGGTGAACTCCAATTTACGCTTCGCCAGCACCCGTGCAGCTCCACAAGACAGCGATAGATAGAAGAAGCGAAAGACCAGCACGAACGCGAGCGAGAGAGACTCCACCCAATTCTCCAGTCCGTGCATTCTCGTGCCCAGATTGACGCCCGCGACTTCGAGCGCAGTCTCGAGCACGTCGATCCAACTCGCGAGGATCAGCACCTCGGCAGCGTGCGTGAAGTGGACGATAGAGCGGAGCTTGACTTTCTTGGATACATCGCGACCGATGATCGTGATCTGGATCGTGAACGTCAGCTGCAGACACGTCTCGGAGATGTCGTTATATTCCCACAGCGTCTCGTACGTCTCGTGGGAGTAAATGTGCGTGATAAAGGCAAGGAACGACGCGACTAGCAGCATTTTCACTCGGAACTCGCGACGCCGCAGCCAATAGACAAACACCAGGTACTGGAACACCCAGGCGTCGAGCACCAACACAATCGGGAGGAGGATTCCCCTCGACAAGTCTTCCAGTTTTTCTTGCGTAATAGTCATCCAGCTTCACCGTGGAAGGTTCCACGGAACCTAACGTGGTGGTCGATATGGTTGACGTTAAGTAGCTCTGCGAGTGCTGTCGTCATGCATAACGTGCTTGGTGCTGGCAAATGAATAGCGCATGCTGCGTCCAGCTACCATTCTAATCAGCCATGCGCTTTGGGTCAGAACTTGAGGCTGAATGCGTAAGCCGTTGATCACAAGGCTGTGACGGTATTCCTGTGTCCTTGTCGATGTGGTGTATTTGCACGGAATTCGTAGCTGAGCGAGACGGTATTTTAGTTAAATAAAAAATAATGGTGGTTGTTTCCGATACTACAAGGTTTGGCGCGTTCCTTCACCGTATCGTTGGGGGCGCCGGTCCAGTCACGCCGATCTTCATGATGTTGCTGGAAGATCTCGCACTTTTCACGCTTCTCCCGCTCACGACGCTCTTGACGCCCTTGTTCAATGTGCTCCGTATTGAAGTGACAACAGTAGAAGACATGGGAACCACCGCGTTGAAAGATCGAGGAGAGTGTGCGCCACTATCCTCACCGGTCGAGGGGATGCCGCTGGTTGCCCCACGAGTGTTCGCCGAGCTCTGCTTGATCTTCTTGTGTAAGTTGAGCAAGATACAAATCGCTATCGTTCCGCGCATGTAGACGCCTTGCACATACTCCCACGACACTCCAGTGAGATGTTCGATCACTACCATCACGTCTTCATGCGTCGCCACGAGAAAGTAGAGGAACATCTCGAGCTTTCTCGCCTCCAGCACCTTCCGGAAGCCGTTTGAGAGCGACAGGTAGTAGAACCGGAAGACTGGAACAAAAGTCATGGTCAAAGACTCGAGCACATTCGAGGCAATGTGCATCTCGTCCGTCAGCTCGTACCCCGCAGCCTCGATAGCCGAGGCCAGCATGTTGAGCCAGTCCAGCACGATGAAGCACTCGGCGATGTAGGTGAAGACCGTGATGGAGCGAAGCTTGACCTTGGCTCGGACGGCGTGGCCGATGATGGTGATCTGAATCAGGAACGTCAGCTGCGAACACACCTCGGAGATGTCGTTAAAGGACAACATCGTCTCCTTGTCTTCATGGAAGTAAACGTGCGACGCGAAGCCAATGAACGAGGCCAGCAGCAGCATCCGGACGCGGCGCTCGTGCCGACGCACGTAGTAGACGGACACGAGGTACTGGAACATGCCGAAGTCGATCATGAGCATGATTGGCATGAAGAGGGACCTGGAGATGGCGTCCATGCCCTCCTGGGTGAGCGCCATGGTCGCTTAGTTGGCTTCTTTACAGAGTTGGGAATGGGTAGGCTACAGTAGACTGAATGGAGTCTGCGGAAGTTTTGTTCGGGTATGGGAAAGGATGGTACAGATGACGCACCTGACCTCGTGTGCAACCCTCGGGGACTGAGGCCGTTAGCTTACTTGAGCACGGACGGACGGGCACGTAGGTAAATGCATTTGTTCCTCAACTTCTGAGCGATTTTGGCCTTAATTTATCCGGAGAATTCGCAGTACTTCATGGGTATTCGTAGGTGCAAGGGGGTTTCAGTTTTCAACTGCACAAGACCGGCAGTCCGACGTCCATCCATCCGACTTCGTTTTATCGCGTAGGAACATATCAACAAGCGGGGGCTGGACCCAGCGCGCCACACCTACAGTTTTGGAGTTGCCTAGACATGACAGCATGTATCTACAATACTCCGTAGTAGTTGATTTAGTGTTGTTGATCGTCAAAGTTGCTGGGAAGCTTGCACGCTATTCGGCAACTCCAAAATAACGGCGTGATCCTACAATGTGAGCTTGCAAAAAGCTACGAATGAATGCAATTTCGCTGCGCAGATCCAAGGAAGCGGATGCTGATCTGTTGACTTCCTATCTTGTGTATGCTCATGTTAAAATTCCTGCAGAAACGTTTATTTTTATTGTAGATGTCTGGGTGCTTGCTCTGTGCGAAGTCTATGTAGCAGCTACTCTCAAGGTCGAATCAACTATTCTTTTCTCCGAGTCACCTTCTTCTTAGTTCAGACCCGTATCAAACCGAAAAGCTTGTCACCCTGGAAAATATTCTTGATCCACGATACCGCCTTCTGCGTCATCTTGTACTGGACGAAATGCGTCGCCACGAAACTAAACAGGCCCCGTTCCTCGCTGCCAGAACCAGACTCTTTCTGCTTCTCCAGTTGTCCGAAGTCGTAGACCTTGGACGGATCCGTCGGTGTCGACTCCGAGACCCGCGAGAGGCAGCAGTGGCCCTTTCCAACTCTGAAAACTCTCAGTCTCATTTTCCGATCTCCCTCCAAGCGACCAAGACCCCCCCCCCCCACCCCCACCCGCACCCACTTCCCTCCAAGATGCGCGTTACCCAAGTCCTGCTGGCGACTTGCATTGCTCTCGCTCTGAGCAGCAACGACCTCGTATCTGCGAGGGAAGTTGGAATGAAGCTGAAGAGGACTCCTGCGATTTTCTCCTCTGAATCCGAATCCGCGTCTGAATCCGAATCCGCGTCTGGAACCGACTCCGAGTCGGGCTTGGCGTCGCTGCCCGCTGTGGAGGAGGGGGAGGACGACGACAACGACATGTTCGTGTACAAGGTGCCGTTCGTCAGTGGTAATGTCACCGGCACGATGGTGATTACCATCGACAAAAACACAGGGATTCCAATCTCATGATCGAAAGTTGCCAGAATACGAGGAAACGCGTCTACAGTGCACTTTGGTTCACCACGAGATGCTGGTGGAGAAAAATTGACAACTATAATACTTAGTGTTCCTGGCGACGGCGGTTCAGCAGAATATGAGCACCAACAGCCTGACGCATGTGACCTATTTGGCATTCTCCTCAATCCGATAACATCGCGGAACTGGGAGAACTGTACTGTACTGTGTCGCAGCGCTCGAAAATGCATGGCCGACAGCTCTGTTGTTCGCGTTCAGCGACTGGTCTGCCGCTCTTGACTGTCTTTTGACTGTCGCGTTCGCAAGTACGAATAGATTGCGCCTTCCTGAAAATTATCCAGAGAGAGAATAATACCTAGGTAATACAGCATGCTCGAACGAAACCGAGACCTTTTGATGATTCAACTACGTAGTAAAAGCTTTCCGAAACTCACGCGATCTTCCACGCTTCGGAGCTCTAGCATTTAAAAAAAAATGGGGCGTCTCCTGAATCGTAAAGTGGGAATGCTGGCCCATCTCTAAAAACATCCTCCTTGTGCAGAAGCCTGGTAATACAGGTAGTTTACGCGCAAAGCAGCCCATTACATCGCTTTGACAAGGCGACACGATCAATGCGATTTGTCTGCATACAGGCTACTTCCTATAAGACTAGGATTTCAGAGTTGCTGCGTTTCGAAGATCAACATACCAAATCTGCACTTCGTAGTCACCAATCTTTATGCTGGACGAAATGTGTCGCGAATCGACGAGGACCCGCTCCTCGCGATCGGATTCATACACCTTAGGTGGATCCGTCGGCGCCGAGTCCGAGACCCGCGAGAGGCTGCTCTTGACGACGACATTACCGAAGGTAATAACCATCTTGCCGGTGATGTTGTCACTGATGAACGGCACCTTGTACACGAACATGTCGTTGTCATCATCTCCTGCAGGCGGGCGCCGACGCCGAAATCTGATGCAGATTCGGTTCCAGATGCATACTCGGATACAGAGGAGATAATCATTCCAGCTTTACTCGCAGGTTGCTGTTCAGAGCGAGGTCGCTTGGATAACCCGCATTTATTGGTAAGAAGTGGAGGCCTTGGTCGCTTGGAGGGAAGTTGCATGTCAGGTCTTAGTCAGTAGATGGCTGCTCGGAAATTCCAAACTCGTGATCGAAAGTTGCCTTCAAAATACGAGGAAGCGGAGTGCGTGGACCTTTGGTTCACCATCAGATGCTGGCGAAAAAAATGACCTCATGCCAACGCCGATTGCCTTGAGATTGTGTTCACGGACTAAATAACTGCTGCATCGTTGCATCGCTCTGCAGCTCGCTGGCGTTCAGACAGCCCAAGGACGAGAAGACTCAAGCTCAATCCCGAAAGAAGGCAATAACAGCGTCATTGTGTTGTTTCTCACGATGAGCCTGGGTAAACGTCAATCTGGGACGGTCCAATAAGCCAAGGTAATGGGAGGCGAATGCTGCGAGGCTGCGATAGTTGCTGGCTGAGTCGCGAGCTCGAGCTCAGTTTAACTTTTTGCTGGTACGAGAAGAACAGGACCTGGCGTAGTGAGCAAGTATGAGAGCCGCCTTCGCTCGGCTGCACAGGGCTCGTAACATTCGTGGGAACCCAGCCATCGTGGAGCAGCCGGAGGTGCCGGTGCCAGTGCCGGCAGGGCCGAGAGACCATCGGAGCTTCATTTGGGTCTCCTCACGCGACGCGGAGATCTACCCGCTGGTCTTCTGCGTCTCGGTTGGCTTCGTGATCGGGACGTTCAGCCTCGTTCGCCACCTGATGTTGAACCCCGACGTGAACCTGAGCCGCGACCGCCGCGAGACGCCCGCCTGGGAGCGCTACAAGCCTGAGGAAGGATCAAAGTTCTCGCGCAACCGCCACCACTTTGCCAACCTCAAGCCGAACCCGGTCAACCAGTTTCCAGAGGCGAAAACGCTGCAGGAAGGGGCTGACGAGCCGTTCTCCGAGCACCTGTAAGGCTCATCCAGGGAGAAGCAGTGTGGACGCACAACTTTCGTAAGTATAGGATTGATAGCGAAGCCTGTGAGAGAAGTTAGTAGGATTGACCGGTTAACACGCAATCGACTTTTTAAGATACTTATGCCAATTCCATTTTACTCATTGTCATTGACCAGCACCTCCGAGCCATTCTGCAACACAAGAGGCAGGCAGACACAATCAGCACAAGGCATAATATACATCGCATAGCCCATTTGGGAAGACGCACCTGCATTCCGTAGTAGCTGACTTCTGCGCTGTCGTCGTCGAGCAGCATCGGCATGCTCTATTTGACCAAGCCAAAGAAGTACAAGAAGTATTCAACGTCAGACACAAAGTATTGGCACGAACACATTGAAAAGCCAGCCTTCTCACCCTTGCGTCGCTGCGAAACGACAGCACCTGGGCTGGAACTGCCACGCCGAACTTGGTTTCGATCAGGAGCTTCAACTGCGACACCTTCATCTGCTGCGGGATCTTCTTCACCAACGGCTCCAGCGACGTGGCCTTCATGGACATGGGGACGATGCTGACCTTGATGAGGCTGGACGCCAGTTTGCGCGGGCCGGCAGCTGATGCAGAGTCGAGACCGACTCCACCGCTCTCGATGGAGATCTCGGGGTACAGCTCACGCAGCCGAGCGTACCGCGGGTGAGCTGCTAGTACGCGGTCTCGCTCGCTCTTGTCGTCGCCGATCACGGCCAGTTCGTGCAGGACGCGCTTCAAGTAGAGCTGCTCCGCCTCCTGGCGCTCCTTCTCGCGCACGGGGCTCGCGTTGAACACCGCGATCCGGTCCGTCCGCGCCACGACCAGCAGGCGAGCTTCCCCCACGCTCATCTGCGCAGTGAGCGGGTTCTTGGTCAGTCGCAGCGTGTCCAGCAGCGGGAAGGCGTTCAGCGCGTCGATGGACGTCCACGAGTCCACCAAGTTGCCGCTCAGCGACAACGTCCGCAGCTTCTGGAACGCCACAGCAGCCGGAGACTTGAGGTCCGCGTGGGCGACGAGCGTCACAATGCGGTTGTCGTTCAGGAAGAGCTGCGTCAAGTTGACGAACATCCCCCCAGCCACCTGCCGCACGCGCCTCCAGGAGCTCAAGCGGTTGAGACTCAGATCCAGCAGCTCCAGCGTCTCCAGCCAGCCCGCACCACCCTCAAACTTCGTCAGCTGCTCGTCGTCGTACTCGTTGTCCACTAGATGCAGCTGCTCGAGCCTCGGGAAGTGGCGGGTCACGAGTCTCCCGACGTCCGGCCACGACAGCAGCGTCTGGTTCAGCACCAGCACCTTGACGTTGTCGAAAACTCCCTCCTTGTCATCGTCGTCGTCCTCCCCCTCCTCCACTTGAAACCTGTTGCCACTGAGGATCAGCGTCTCCAGCAGGGGTAAGTTTTTGACAATGTCCAAAATGTACTTCCACGAGCCAAACAGGTTCCACGACAGGTCCAGCTCCGTGAGCTTGGGCGTCAACGTGCCAAGGCTCTCTCCTTCGCCCAGCCCCGCAATCTGACAACCAGACAGCGAGATCTTCTCGATCGTCTGCAGCGTCTGCTGGGTGCTGAGCTTTTTGACGCCCACGAGCTCGATGGGCTTCTCGCTGCCCAAAGTGGTGCCCACGCCGCCCGCCACCGTCACGTCGGACCCACTGTCACCACTGCCGAAAGCCGTATCTTGGCTGCCGTAGCGCTCCTGAAGCCGCTGCAGCAGCGAGCTGTGTTTTTGACACGACTTGTCGAAAACGGACATCTTGGCGAACGAACACTTGAAGCTCAGCACGCCGTCGACTTTGCGACCCGCGGGCCCGGGGAAGTGCACGACGCGCCGGCCGTCGGGCAGCTCCACGCTGCCGTCGTTCTTGCCGCGGCCCCAGGCGTCCCACTCGACGCCGTAGTACAGCGTTGACGCGTCCTTGGCCGTCGCCACGGGACCCACGTAGCGCACGGTGCCACGCGCACCGGTCGCGTCCTCCACGCGGTCTCCGACGGCGTGCGCAGGCGCAGCAAGCGGTGCCGACGACGTGTCCATTTCGCGGATGTGTTTTTGACGGAAAAGACGCCAAGTAAAAAATACCCGTTTATCGTCAATACTTTGCCAATAAGAGTAGGCATATTTGTCATACATATTACGCCATTTAATTGCAGTACTGCATACGGGTTTGGGACAGAATCCGTATACCGATAGGTAGTCATGTCTTCATCGGCTTTCCTGCAAGGATTCGCGAGCAACTACTCCAGTTAGTGCATGTATATCTTCATTGAGTACTGACGTCCATGAAGGTGTTGGTGATGGTTATCATTAGTTTGCTAACTGCATGCTTACGTTCAAAACTCTATACAAAGTCGGCTGCGAGCGCATGTCGATCAGCAGCCAGATCCTCCAGCGATGCGCATGCACGAGGTCGAGTCGAACAGACTCAGCACGTTGGTCATGATGATCCAGAAGAAGGCGAAGACGAGGTAGCACACCGTCAGCGTGCCGAACAGCTTGCTCTTGCCGCCCTGAGCCTTGAGCGCGTGCACCTCCGACTTCTGTCGAGGCAGCCAGACCACGATAGTCAAGCGCACGTAGATGCCCTGAGCGTACTCCCACGTCACCCCCGTGGCGTATTCGAGCGTGATGAACAAATGCTCGTGCGAGGCGACGAGGACGTAGACGAACATCTCCAGCTTGCGCTCGCTCAGAACCTGTCGGAAGCTGCTGGACAGCGACAGGTAGTAGAAGCGAAACACCGGCACAAACGTCAACGTCACGGACTCGAGCACGTTCGAGAACAGGAGCAGTCCATCGCCCAGCTCGACTGTGGATGCGAGCATGTTGACCCAGTCCAGCACGATCAGAGCTTCGGCAGCGTACGTGAACCACGTGATGGACCGCAGCTTGACCTTGGCGCGCACCGCGTGGCCGATGATGGTGATCTGGATGAGGAACGTGAGCTGCGCGCAGGCCTCGGAGATGTCGTTGGACGTCAGCATCGTCTCGACGTCGTGCTCGAAGTACACGTACGACGCGAAGCCGATGAAGGAGGCCAGCAGCAGCATCTGCACGCGTCGTTCGCGCCTCCTGGGGTAGTATACGGGGACCAGGTACTGGATGCAGTCACCGAGAAGAGTGACAGGATCTGGCATGAAGAACCGGAACGCGAGACGGCGTCCATTCCGTCCTGGGTGATAGCCATGACTACTACAGGTACGCCCAAAACTTCCTCATGGACTTGCGCGGCACCTTCTCCTCCGTCACGCAGAACCAGCAGAGCGGGATCGTCACGAACGAGAAGGCAGCGCAGACGCCCATGATGGCGTTGAAGCCCATGGTCCAGGAGAAGTCGCCGCCGTAGTCCGTCCCGTTGAGTCCGAGCCCCGTCATGAACGCCGCCAGCACCATGAAGACCTGGCGCGTAGCAGACACGTGTGCCTGCGTTGTGCCTGTTTACTCCTTCTGTTGCGCATGATATCCCAACCTCAACAAGAGATCCTGTGAATACGACGAGGGAGAACTACGGTCGACCATCGGACGCACGAACAACGAGGAGCTGTACATGTATCGGGGATGAGGTGGGGTCGCGACGTTCGTCGGTCCTGATGAACAACTCGTCTCCACACACACTCAGCGTAGGAAGCACCGCAGGAGTGTCACGAGCTCTGGCATGGTCTTGATCGAAGCGAGGCCGTCCGCCGTCGCTTGCTTCGAGTCGATTGGCTTGGCGCCACGCGCTTTCACGCCAACTTCATCAGTCGAACTTCGACTCGATGGTGTCTCGCTTATCCCCCGCCATCGCAGCCACCATGTGCCAGTGACGCTTTTGTCGGGGGTCACACACTGGTTTGTATTGCACGCCAGGCTCACGCTGCCGGTCGAGTCATCCGTTTTGCGTGCAGTTTACCCTCTCTTGCAGGGTCGAGCTGTCTGGACGAACCATTTCCCCGTTAATTCAGCGATTAACGACGCCTGAATCCGAGCCCATCGTCAGGACATCCGCGCTGTCCACCATCCTGGCGATCCAGTTGGGTCGAGGCACGCGCGGGTCACCTTTCACTGTGCGCTGCCAGCGGAGGATGACTGACACGTATCCCAGGGTCGAGTGGACAGTCGACACTGTCGACTAGGGATCCCTACGATGGTCGACTGTCTCCAGGAAGGTCCACGGTCTCCGCTACGCTGCGATCGACTGGCGGCGGAGTCTACCGGCAGCTGCCGCTGTGTGGCTGGCACTTCTCGATTTGCAGGCTTGCAAGTATGAGGGCATCGGCTGAAGTTCCAAGCACCCCCGAGCCGACCAAGCTGGCTCTGGAATCTCCTGGTGTCGACTATGAAGCAGTGAAGACGCCGGTTGACATTGAAGGGGGCGCGCTCGAGCCTGGAGGCGCGCCGTCAGTCTTCTCGTGGCAACACGTTGGTCTGCTCGCCCACATTGCGTCCGTCGGCGTCGTATACGGCACGCTATCTGGAGTCATCTACGCCGTCTTAAATAACTACCTTTACATGTCGGCCGTGCTTACAGCAACCGCGCAAGCTCTGGTGAGACTGCCACGAGCTCTGCGCTTGTTCACCGCCGTCTTCTCCGACTGCTACCCCATCTTCGGCTATCGACGTCGGCCGTACCTGATCATGGGTTGGGTGCTCACGTTCGTGTGCTGCTTCTTGATGGCAGTGCTGCCTCTGGGCGACCCGTACTACGGCGATCCAGCGCTAGCCGACATTGACGAAGACGAGCTCACGCCCGAGCAGCAAGCGCTGATCAACTACGACGCATCTGACAAGGGCATCAAGCTCATCATCTTCTTCGTGTTCGCCAACCTAGGCACGGTCATCTCGTTCGGCGCCTCGGACGGCTACATGGTGGAGTTGGCACGCCGCGAACCGGAGGCCATTCGAGGCACAACGCAGGCACACGTGTCTGCTACGCGCCAGGTCTTCATGGTGCTGGCGGCGTTCATGACGGGGCTCGGACTCAACGGGACGGACTACGGCGGCGACTTCTCCTGGACCATGGGCTTCAACGCCATCATGGGCGTCTGCGCTGCCTTCTCGTTCGTGACGATCCCGCTCTGCTGGTTCTGCGTGACGGAGGAGAAGGTGCCGCGCAAGTCCATGAGGAAGTTTTGGGCGTACCTGTACGACCTGGTGCAGCACCGCGTCATGTTCCAGGTGATCGCGTTCCGGTTCTTCCGCCAGATCCTGTCACTCTTCTCGGTGACTGCATCCAGTCCCATTCAGAGCACGTGGGCCAAAGTGACGCCGTTGAACGAGGGCATCTCCGAGATGCTCTCGTGTCTCGTGACGTTCGTGTCGCTGTGGATCGTGCGTCGCTATGGACTGCACTGGAGCTGGAAGGTCGTCGTCATCGTGTGTCAGTTCGGCGTCGTCTTCGTGGACGCCTTCCCCACGTTCTTCACTATCTGGAACGTGTACCGCAGTCAGTGGTTCTGGTTGGGTGTGCCGCTGCTGGAGGAGTTTCCTAACAGTATCGGCGACTTCATCGCCACTCTGTTCGTGGTGGAGGTCTGTGATAAGGGCAGCGAGGCCACCGTTATGGGCTTGATGATCACCATCTCGGCTCTAGGCACGCCGTTTGCGACGGTCCTCTACAAGACGGTGGACAGCTACTTCGAGATCGAGCGCAAGTTCATCGTCAAGGACGACCACCACGTGCGCTCGCAGGTCATGTACGCGTACCTCATCGCCTACGCGTGCAACCTCATCTCCGTCATTTTTGTGGTCTGGCTGCCTCGACAGAAGTCGGAGGTGCACGCGCTCAAGGCTCAGGGCGGCAAGAGCAAGCTGTTCGGCACGCTGACGGTGTGCTACCTCGTCTTCGCCTTCTTCTGGATCATCATGACCAACGTGCTGAGTCTGTTCGACTCGACCTCGTGCATGCGCATCGCTGGAGGATCTGGCTGCTGATCGACATGCGCTCGCAGCCGACTTTGTATAGAGTTTTGAACGTAAGCATGCAGTTAGCAAACTAATGATAACCATCACCAACACCTTCATGGACGTCAGTACTCAATGAAGATATACATGCACTAACTGGAGTAGTTGCTCGCGAATCCTTGCAGGAAAGCCGATGAAGACATGACTACCTATCGGTATACGGATTCTGTCCCAAACCCGTATGCAGTACTGCGGCAGCGTATGTTGTATCAATACCAAAGGCGTATGAAACCAACATAACCTTTGACGATAAACGGGTATTTTTTACTTGGCGTCTTTTCCGTCAAAAACACATCCGCGAAATGGACACGTCGTCGGCACCGCTTGCTGCGCCTGCGCACGCCGTCGGAGACCGCGTGGAGGACGCGACCGGTGCGCGTGGCACCGTGCGCTACGTGGGTCCCGTGGCGACGGCCAAGGACGCGTCAACGCTGTACTACGGCGTCGAGTGGGACGCCTGGGGCCGCGGCAAGAACGACGGCAGCGTGGAGCTGCCCGACGGCCGGCGCGTCGTGCACTTCCCCGGGCCCGCGGGTCGCAAAGTCGACGGCGTGCTGAGCTTCAAGTGTTCGTTCGCCAAGATGTCCGTTTTCGACAAGTCGTGTCAAAAACACAGCTCGCTGCTGCAGCGGCTTCAGGAGCGCTACGGCAGCCAAGATACGGCTTTCGGCAGTGGTGACAGTGGGTCCGACGTGACGGTGGCGGGCGGCGTGGGCACCACTTTGGGCAGCGAGAAGCCCATCGAGCTCGTGGGCGTCAAAAAGCTCAGCACCCAGCAGACGCTGCAGACGATCGAGAAGATCTCGCTGTCTGGTTGTCAGATTGCGGGGCTGGGCGAAGGAGAGAGCCTTGGCACGTTGACGCCCAAGCTCACGGAGCTGGACCTGTCGTGGAACCTGTTTGGCTCGTGGAAGTACATTTTGGACATTGTCAAAAACTTACCCCTGCTGGAGACGCTGATCCTCAGTGGCAACAGGTTTCAAGTGGAGGAGGGGGAGGACGACGACGATGACAAGGAGGGAGTTTTCGACAACGTCAAGGTGCTGGTGCTGAACCAGACGCTGCTGTCGTGGCCGGACGTCGGGAGACTCGTGACCCGCCACTTCCCGAGGCTCGAGCAGCTGCATCTAGTGGACAACGAGTACGACGACGAGCAGCTGACGAAGTTTGAGGGTGGTGCGGGCTGGCTGGAGACGCTGGAGCTGCTGGATCTGAGTCTCAACCGCTTGAGCTCCTGGAGGCGCGTGCGGCAGGTGGCTGGGGGGATGTTCGTCAACTTGACGCAGCTCTTCCTGAACGACAACCGCATTGTGACGCTCGTCGCCCACGCGGACCTCAAGTCTCCGGCTGCTGTGGCGTTCCAGAAGCTGCGGACGTTGTCGCTGAGCGGCAACTTGGTGGACTCGTGGACGTCCATCGACGCGCTGAACGCCTTCCCGCTGCTGGACACGCTGCGACTGACCAAGAACCCGCTCACTGAGCAGATGAGCGTGGGGGAAGCTCGCCTGCTGGTCGTGGCGCGGACGGACCGGATCGCGGTGTTCAACGCGAGCCCCGTGCGCGAGAAGGAGCGCCAGGAGGCGGAGCAGCTCTACTTGAAGCGCGTCCTGCACGAACTGGCCGTGATCGGCGACGACAAGAGCGAGCGAGACCGCGTACTAGCAGCTCACCCGCGGTACGCTCGGCTGCGTGAGCTGTACCCCGAGATCTCCATCGAGAGCGGTGGAGTCGGTCTCGACTCTGCATCAGCTGCCGGCCCGCGCAAACTGGCGTCCAGCCTCATCAAGGTCAGCATCGTCCCCATGTCCATGAAGGCCACGTCGCTGGAGCCGTTGGTGAAGAAGATCCCGCAGCAGATGAAGGTGTCGCAGTTGAAGCTCCTGATCGAAACCAAGTTCGGCGTGGCAGTTCCAGCCCAGGTGCTGTCGTTTCGCAGCGACGCAAGGGTGAGAAGGCTGGCTTTTCAATGTGTTCGTGCCAATACTTTGTGTCTGACGTTGAATACTTCTTGTACTTCTTTGGCTTGGTCAAATAGAGCATGCCGATGCTGCTCGACGACGACAGCGCAGAAGTCAGCTACTACGGAATGCAGGTGCGTCTTCCCAAATGGGCTATGCGATGTATATTATGCCTTGTGCTGATTGTGTCTGCCTGCCTCTTGTGTTGCAGAATGGCTCGGAGGTGCTGGTCAATGACAATGAGTAAAATGGAATTGGCATAAGTATCTTAAAAAGTCGATTGCGTGTTAACCGGTCAATCCTACTAACTTCTCTCACAGGCTTCGCTATCAATCCTATACTTACGAAAGTTGTGCGTCCACACTGCTTCTCCCTGGATGAGCCTTACAGGTGCTCGGAGAACGGCTCGTCAGCCCCTTCCTGCAGCGTTTTCGCCTCTGGAAACTGGTTGACCGGGTTCGGCTTGAGGTTGGCAAAGTGGTGGCGGTTGCGCGAGAACTTTGATCCTTCCTCAGGCTTGTAGCGCTCCCAGGCGGGCGTCTCGCGGCGGTCGCGGCTCAGGTTCACGTCGGGGTTCAACATCAGGTGGCGAACGAGGCTGAACGTCCCGATCACGAAGCCAACCGAGACGCAGAAGACCAGCGGGTAGATCTCCGCGTCGCGTGAGGAGACCCAAATGAAGCTCCGATGGTCTCTCGGCCCTGCCGGCACTGGCACCGGCACCTCCGGCTGCTCCACGATGGCTGGGTTCCCACGAATGTTACGAGCCCTGTGCAGCCGAGCGAAGGCGGCTCTCATACTTGCTCACTACGCCAGGTCCTGTTCTTCTCGTACCAGCAAAAAGTTAAACTGAGCTCGAGCTCGCGACTCAGCCAGCAACTATCGCAGCCTCGCAGCATTCGCCTCCCATTACCTTGGCTTATTGGACCGTCCCAGATTGACGTTTACCCAGGCTCATCGTGAGAAACAACACAATGACGCTGTTATTGCCTTCTTTCGGGATTGAGCTTGAGTCTTCTCGTCCTTGGGCTGTCTGAACGCCAGCGAGCTGCAGAGCGATGCAACGATGCAGCAGTTATTTAGTCCGTGAACACAATCTCAAGGCAATCGGCGTTGGCATGAGGTCATTTTTTTCGCCAGCATCTGATGGTGAACCAAAGGTCCACGCACTCCGCTTCCTCGTATTTTGAAGGCAACTTTCGATCACGAGTTTGGAATTTCCGAGCAGCCATCTACTGACTAAGACCTGACATGCAACTTCCCTCCAAGCGACCAAGGCCTCCACTTCTTGCCAATAAATGCGGGTTATCCAAGCGACCTCGCTCTGAACAGCAACCTGCGAGTAAAGCTGGAATGATTATCTCCTCTGTATCCGAGTATGCATCTGGAACCGAATCTGCATCAGATTTCGGCGTCGGCGCCCGCCTGCAGGAGATGATGACAACGACATGTTCGTGTACAAGGTGCCGTTCATCAGTGACAACATCACCGGCAAGATGGTTATTACCTTCGGTAATGTCGTCGTCAAGAGCAGCCTCTCGCGGGTCTCGGACTCGGCGCCGACGGATCCACCTAAGGTGTATGAATCCGATCGCGAGGAGCGGGTCCTCGTCGATTCGCGACACATTTCGTCCAGCATAAAGATTGGTGACTACGAAGTGCAGATTTGGTATGTTGATCTTCGAAACGCAGCAACTCTGAAATCCTAGTCTTATAGGAAGTAGCCTGTATGCAAACAAATCGCATTGATCGTGTCGCCTTGTCAAAGCGATGTAATGGGCTGCTTTGCGCGTAAACTACCTGTATTACCAGGCTTCTGCACAAGGAGGATGTTCTTAGAGATGGGCCAGCATTCCCACTTTACGATTCAGGAGACGCCCCATTTTTTTTTAAATGCTAGAGCTCCGAAGCGTGGAAGATCGCGTGAGTTTCGGAAAGCTTTTACTACGTAGTTGAATCATCAAAAGGTCTCGGTTTCGTTCGAGCATGCTGTATTACCTAGGTATTATTCTCTCTCTGGATAATTTTCAGGAAGGCGCAATCTATTCGTACTTGCGAACGCGACAGTCAAAAGACAGTCAAGAGCGGCAGACCAGTCGCTGAACGCGAACAACAGAGCTGTCGGCCATGCATTTTCGAGCGCTGCGACACAGTACAGTACAGTTCTCCCAGTTCCGCGATGTTATCGGATTGAGGAGAATGCCAAATAGGTCACATGCGTCAGGCTGTTGGTGCTCATATTCTGCTGAACCGCCGTCGCCAGGAACACTAAGTATTATAGTTGTCAATTTTTCTCCACCAGCATCTCGTGGTGAACCAAAGTGCACTGTAGACGCGTTTCCTCGTATTCTGGCAACTTTCGATCATGAGATTGGAATCCCTGTGTTTTTGTCGATGGTAATCACCATCGTGCCGGTGACATTACCACTGACGAACGGCACCTTGTACACGAACATGTCGTTGTCGTCGTCCTCCCCCTCCTCCACAGCGGGCAGCGACGCCAAGCCCGACTCGGAGTCGGTTCCAGACGCGGATTCGGATTCAGACGCGGATTCGGATTCAGAGGAGAAAATCGCAGGAGTCCTCTTCAGCTTCATTCCAACTTCCCTCGCAGATACGAGGTCGTTGCTGCTCAGAGCGAGAGCAATGCAAGTCGCCAGCAGGACTTGGGTAACGCGCATCTTGGAGGGAAGTGGGTGCGGGTGGGGGTGGGGGGGGGGGGTCTTGGTCGCTTGGAGGGAGATCGGAAAATGAGACTGAGAGTTTTCAGAGTTGGAAAGGGCCACTGCTGCCTCTCGCGGGTCTCGGAGTCGACACCGACGGATCCGTCCAAGGTCTACGACTTCGGACAACTGGAGAAGCAGAAAGAGTCTGGTTCTGGCAGCGAGGAACGGGGCCTGTTTAGTTTCGTGGCGACGCATTTCGTCCAGTACAAGATGACGCAGAAGGCGGTATCGTGGATCAAGAATATTTTCCAGGGTGACAAGCTTTTCGGTTTGATACGGGTCTGAACTAAGAAGAAGGTGACTCGGAGAAAAGAATAGTTGATTCGACCTTGAGAGTAGCTGCTACATAGACTTCGCACAGAGCAAGCACCCAGACATCTACAATAAAAATAAACGTTTCTGCAGGAATTTTAACATGAGCATACACAAGATAGGAAGTCAACAGATCAGCATCCGCTTCCTTGGATCTGCGCAGCGAAATTGCATTCATTCGTAGCTTTTTGCAAGCTCACATTGTAGGATCACGCCGTTATTTTGGAGTTGCCGAATAGCGTGCAAGCTTCCCAGCAACTTTGACGATCAACAACACTAAATCAACTACTACGGAGTATTGTAGATACATGCTGTCATGTCTAGGCAACTCCAAAACTGTAGGTGTGGCGCGCTGGGTCCAGCCCCCGCTTGTTGATATGTTCCTACGCGATAAAACGAAGTCGGATGGATGGACGTCGGACTGCCGGTCTTGTGCAGTTGAAAACTGAAACCCCCTTGCACCTACGAATACCCATGAAGTACTGCGAATTCTCCGGATAAATTAAGGCCAAAATCGCTCAGAAGTTGAGGAACAAATGCATTTACCTACGTGCCCGTCCGTCCGTGCTCAAGTAAGCTAACGGCCTCAGTCCCCGAGGGTTGCACACGAGGTCAGGTGCGTCATCTGTACCATCCTTTCCCATACCCGAACAAAACTTCCGCAGACTCCATTCAGTCTACTGTAGCCTACCCATTCCCAACTCTGTAAAGAAGCCAACTAAGCGACCATGGCGCTCACCCAGGAGGGCATGGACGCCATCTCCAGGTCCCTCTTCATGCCAATCATGCTCATGATCGACTTCGGCATGTTCCAGTACCTCGTGTCCGTCTACTACGTGCGTCGGCACGAGCGCCGCGTCCAGATGCTGCTGCTGGCCTCGTTCATTGGCTTCGCGTCGCACGTTTACTTCCATGAAGACAAGGAGACGATGTTGTCCTTTAACGACATCTCCGAGGTGTGTTCGCAGCTGACGTTCCTGATTCAGATCACCATCATCGGCCACGCCGTCCGAGCCAAGGTCAAGCTTCGCTCCATCACGGTCTTCACCTACATCGCCGAGTGCTTCATCGTGCTGGACTGGCTCAACATGCTGGCCTCGGCTATCGAGGCTGCGGGGTACGAGCTGGCGGACGAGATGCACATTGCCTCGAATGTGCTCGAGTCTTTGACCATGACTTTTGTTCCAGTCTTCCGGTTCTACTACCTGTCGCTCTCAAACGGCTTCCGGAAGGTGCTGGAGGCGAGAAAGCTCGAGATGTTCCTCTACTTTCTCGTGGCGACGCATGAAGACGTGATGGTAGTGATCGAACATCTCACTGGAGTGTCGTGGGAGTATGTGCAAGGCGTCTACATGCGCGGAACGATAGCGATTTGTATCTTGCTCAACTTACACAAGAAGATCAAGCAGAGCTCGGCGAACACTCGTGGGGCAACCAGCGGCATCCCCTCGACCGGTGAGGATAGTGGCGCACACTCTCCTCGATCTTTCAACGCGGTGGTTCCCATGTCTTCTACTGTTGTCACTTCAATACGGAGCACATTGAACAAGGGCGTCAAGAGCGTCGTGAGCGGGAGAAGCGTGAAAAGTGCGAGATCTTCCAGCAACATCATGAAGATCGGCGTGACTGGACCGGCGCCCCCAACGATACGGTGAAGGAACGCGCCAAACCTTGTAGTATCGGAAACAACCACCATTATTTTTTATTTAACTAAAATACCGTCTCGCTCAGCTACGAATTCCGTGCAAATACACCACATCGACAAGGACACAGGAATACCGTCACAGCCTTGTGATCAACGGCTTACGCATTCAGCCTCAAGTTCTGACCCAAAGCGCATGGCTGATTAGAATGGTAGCTGGACGCAGCATGCGCTATTCATTTGCCAGCACCAAGCACGTTATGCACTCGCAGAGCTACTTAACGTCAACCATATCGACCACCACGTTAGGTTCCGTGGAACCTTCCACGGTGAAGCTGGATGACTATTACGCAAGAAAAACTGGAAGACTTGTCGAGGGGAATCCTCCTCCCGATTGTGTTGGTGCTCGACGCCTGGGTGTTCCAGTACCTGGTGTTTGTCTATTGGCTGGAGTTCCGAGTGAAAATGCTGCTAGTCGCGTCGTTCCTTGCCTTTATCACGCACATTTACTCCCACGAGACGTACGAGACGCTGTGGGAATATAACGACATCTCCGAGACGTGTCTGCAGCTGACGTTCACGATCCAGATCACGATCATCGGTCGCGATGTATCCAAGAAAGTCAAGCTCCGCTCTATCGTCCACTTCACGCACGCTGCCGAGGTGCTGATCCTCGCGAGTTGGATCGACGTGCTCGGGACTGCGCTCGAAGTCGCGGGCGTCAATCTGGGCACGAGAATGCACGGACTGGAGAATTGGGTGGAGTCTCTCTCGCTCGCGTTCGTGCTGGTCTTTCGCTTCTTCTATCTATCGCTGTCTTGTGGAGCTGCACGGGTGCTGGCGAAGCGTAAATTGGAGTTCACCCTCTATTTATTGGTAGCAGTGCATGAACTCCCGTTCGTTCTACTGGAATATTTAACAGGTGTGAACTGGGAGTTTGTATAAGCTATCGTCATGCGCGTGCTGATCGTCGCGTGTATAATGATCAACGTGATCCATAAAGCTCGACGTAGTGGCCGCTCCAGCATGACCGTTCGAAGTGCGATGCGGTCAACCGGGCGCGAGGAAGAAATGCCAGAGCCCGGTGGGAATACGCCCAGTCTGTTAACGCTAGCAACGATCCCCGCGCTAGTTCGGAAGTTAAAGTTCAACACCGCTATAGCCAAAGCTGCCAGCATGAAGAAAATCTTCGTAGGCCCCGCATCCGCCAAACGCCAAACGTAGCGCGAAGAAAAACATGCATATTCGTCGCTAAAATGCACCATGTTCAACATGAGATGCCTCACGTCCTGGCCCAACCTAGGATTAGTTCGTTGCTACAAAGAGCTGGGGACAGGCAGCAAATGTACGCTATTCAGGGACAGACAAGAAAGCGGTCAGTATCAGTAACAGCCATTCGCTATTATTTATTTGTGCGCCAAACCAAAACACACGCGACAGCGACAACTGATCGCATTTCCATTTCGAGCATCACTTGTTGTACTCAAATCGGCACACTCATCAACTTCAATTGGCCATCACTCAGGAGGAAATGGAAGACTTATCGAGGGCGATCTTCCTCCCGATCGTGCTGGTGCTCGATGCCTGGGTGTTCCAGTATCTGATCTCTGTGTATTGGCCACGGCGTCGCGAGTTTCGAGTCAAAATGCTGCTAGTCGCGTCGTTCCTTGCCTTTATCACGCACATTTACTCGCACGAGACGTTTGAGACGATGAGCGAGTTCAACGATATCTCCGAGACGTGTCTGCAGCTGACGTTCATCATCCAGATCACCATTATCGGTCGAGATGTCGCTAAAAAGGTCAAAGTTCGCTCCATTTTATGGTTCACGTACGCTGCAGAGACTTTAATCTTCGTGAGTTGGGTGGATATACTCGGTTCTATAATCGAGATTGCTGGATTACCAACGGGAGGCAAACTGCATGGAGTGGAGAATATACTGGAAACTATCTCTCTCACTTTCGTGCTGGTGTTCCGCTTCTTTTATTTATCGCTGTCCGGAGGGTTTCGACGCGTGATAGTCAAGCGGAAGATGGAGTTCTTGCTCTATATGATGGTCGCGATGCACGAATCTCCGTTCGTTCTCCTCGAGGAGCTAACGGGGTTGACGTGGGAGTTCGTACAGGGAATTTTCATGCGTCTGCTGATCGTCTCGTGCATCTTGCTTAACGTGATCCACAAGGCTCGTCGCAGTGGCCGCTCCAGCTTCAGCGTCCGAAGCGGTCGACCGTCCAACGCGACAGAGGAAGAAACATCCAAGGCCGGCGGGAGCACTTTCGCCAGAAGTCCATCCAGTCTTCGATTCTCTCGATCTGCGTCCGCGCGTAAAGTTACCGGGTCCGCTCGAAATGTCAACAAGGTTGCCGTGGGCTTGTCCTCCTCATCCACCCGCCAATTACCAACCGGGAACAATCTTGACTATGTCGTGGACGAGTGAATAAAGATACCAAATCATTGCAGTCTTAAAGTACATCTTAAATTATTTTACTTCAAGTACAATTATTTGCACGGGTAGCATCTAGTTCGTAAGTGTTGCTGTTGCTGATACTTTTAGTGCCACCAGCTACAGTGGTGTCAGCGAATTCTTTGTAGAGTAACTTTAACATGTGCATGTTTAATGTTGTAGTTCATGGCTGTAAGGATCTGTACTGTATGGCAAATGGACAAAGATCTTCAAGGTGAACTATCAACTACACCCGAATACTTGTAGCAATAACGCAAAGCAATTGAATAGCTCAGTCAACCATAAACAAAGGAACACACACACAATGAAAGCAACCATGGTCCAACCATTCGTACAGACCGTATTTGCACGTGAAAGCGGTCTTAGACACGCTGTCCGGGTGCTAAATGAAACATCGAAGAGTATATTCGAATCTACATGTGGGCGAGGCTGCATTATCGGAAGGACTTTTTGTCGATAGCATCTCCATCTTGGCTGAGCTGAGTTTGGCCTGGAATACCTCTTCGAGGTTCATGAACAGCCATACACGTGCGATTCGTGTGCTATTCAAAAGGAACTACACTCTAAGCAACCATGCGCGTTCGTGTGCTGATACTTTTATTGCCTGACTTCCCTCCTCGGTCCCACGACAAAGAGGGGCACTGTAGTGCAGACCAAGCAGCATCATGCTCGCTACCTAACATTGATCCTGTCGCCACATTCCTGTACCAAGATCGATAGGGGCTCTCATTGGCTAACACAAGCTGAAGTTGTTTCGTACTTAACCGATCATCCCTTGATCTGTCCCATCTTGTGTACCATCTGTACCAATCCGAGCCTCTAGTCGAGCCGCTCGCCACCAGAGCTTTGCCTGTCATTCCGCACTCGCCATCATGTCCGCGTTGCTGCGCGTCGCTGCGTCCGCGGCTGCGCGCGGCGCCGCCTCCGCCCGCGCGCCCATCGCGGCCGCCACCGCCTCGCACCTGCAGGGCGCGCTGCTCTCGCCACCTCCTCCATCTCAGACGCGCGCCGTCTCGCAGAGCCCCGTGCTGCTCAAGCGCAAGGGCGGCGCGTCGGCCCACGTGGTCAAGACGTCGAGCTGGAACCGCAGCAAAGGCAACAAGAGCCACACCGCACTAAGTACGAAGCAGAAGCTCAAGAAGGACACGGCGCCGCACCGCTCGCACCTCGAGCGCATGCGCGACCTCAAGGCCGGGGAGCGCGCCAACGCGCGCAACGCCAAGGAGTGGGCGGCGCTCGAGCGCAACGAGGAGCTCAACAAGGAGCTGGACGAGGTCTTTGAGTACATGGACAAGTCCGGCCCGCTGGGCGATTACGTGTACGAGCCCGAGCCGAGCCTCGAGGACGTGGACGAGCTCGACGCGCTCGCCAAGCTCAACGCCATCGCGCGAGCCGACCCGGACATCATGAAGGAGGTCGGTGAGACACAGCGCGCGGCCGCAGCTGCCTCGGGGGCGGACGTTGAAGTTGAAGTTGAAGGGGATGGGCAAGTGCAACACGAGCTGGCGGTCAACGACTACAACTTTCTGTTGCGCGTGTATGCTGTCAAGGGCCTGTATAAGGAGGCCAACGCGCTCTTAACCAGGATGGAGAAGAACCTCGAGCCCATTGCCGCGGACAAGACCGTGGTACCGGTTAAGCCCTCGGACTGCACGGAGCTGGCGCTCATGGACGCGCTGGAGAGCGTGCCCCACGTGATCCCGCCCAACGCCAAGTCGTATATGCTGTACGCGACAGCTTTAGGAGTCGACGGCCAGGCGGCGCACGCTGTGCGCGTCATTGGGCGCATGAAGGAGCGTGGAGTGCTGCCGGACGTGTCAGTTTACAACGCCGTCATGCGCGCGTGCTCCAAGGCTGGGCGCGTGTCCTGGGCGTACAATGTCATGGAGAAGATGCAGGTGGCGGGGCTCGTGCCGGACCGCGCGTCGTTTACTATTCTCATGAACGCGGCTATTGCCGAGGGGGACCTGGACAAGGCCTTTGAGACCTTCCACTTGATGCGGACGCACGTGGCGGAGCCGGACGAGATCGCCTTCAGCTGTCTCATCAACGGATTCGCGCGCGAAGGCCGCGTGGAGCGCGCGCTCAACTTGCTCGAGGATCTGCTGGAGTGCGGTCTTACGCCGTCCCTGGTGACGTTTAACACGCTGATGAACGCGTGCGCCAAGTCGCACTACTACGCGCACAAGGCCATCGACTTTTACTACGAGATGCAGGAGCTGTACGACTACGTGCCGGACCTGTACTCGTACACGACGGTGCTGCACGCGTGTGCCAAGCACGGCGACTTTATCCAGGCGGAGCAGATCATCCGACACATGGAGCGTCACCACGTGCCCATGACCGAGTTCGTGTACAACACGCTCTTCAACGTGTACGCGCGCGCGCAGATCAGGTCCATTGTGGATAAGGCCCCGCGCAACCAGAAGGCGCCTCCCCCGCCAGAGCCGATCTACCAGGAGCCGCTCGAGTGGGATGATGAGGGCAACGAGGTGGACCTAACGCGCCCGGGCAAGGAGACTTTTTCGCTGAAGAACGCCAATTACGACGGACGCTTTGACGAAGATGGAGAGGAGGAGGAAGGGGAGAGCTACAAGCTGAGTCCGGAGGCCCTCGCGCAGGTGGAGGAGCTGCGGAAGAAGGACAAGGCCGATCACGAGGAGATGCTGGCGGAGACGACGGACCTGGTCAAGACGGAGCGGAGTATGGAGGTTTACGGCGAGGAGGACGACCATCTCTTCGCTGACAGCGAAGAATCGCTGGACTTTGAGCTCACGCCGATGGACCTGCAGGACTTTGGCAAGTTCCAGACGCTCAACATCAAGCGCGCGGAAGTGCGGTTCCACGAGATGACCTTCGAGAAGGGCCTCAAGCCGTCCCTCATCACGCTCAACTCCATGCTGGCGGTGTATTCGAACGCGCTGCGTCTACGCTCGGCAGAGGTCTTCCTGGACGAGACGTTCTCCAAGTTCGAGCTCAAGCCCAACAAGTTCTCGTACCGCAGCATGATGCAGATGTACGTGCGTGCCAAGCGGACAACTCAAGCCGAGAAGCTGCTGGAGCGTGTGCGTTCGGAGATTGAGAACGGCGACCTGGAGCCCGACGAGGTAACTTTCGGCTTCTTGGTGGACCACTACGCCAGGAAGCGCCTGATGCGCCGCGCGCTCAACACGCTCGAGGACGCCGATGCGCTGGGCTTGCAGCTGCAGGAGAAGCACCTGAAGAAGATCCGCGCGCTCACCGAGCGCTACGGCGTGTTCACCGACCTCATTCCGGAGGACCCGAACGCCGTACTGCTCGCGGGTACGCGCCACAAGCTCATGGAGAAGCGCAAGGTGCGCGCGCAGGTTTTGGAGTACAACCGCAAGATCGGCAAGCGCTATTTGCTGCCTGACACTGTCTAAGCAGTGCGGGCTGCACGGTAAGTAGATGCATATAGAGGAATACACAACAAACCAATTTGCCAGGACAATAGCTAGTTATCGTGACACAGGGACTGCAAGAGCTGTGATGTTGGAATGCTGTTTGATCTAGCTCAACTGGTCGATACCTCCAGTACATCACCACTTTGCTGGATCGAAGTCACCGCAATTTTGGCGATGTCGGGGAACCCTGACAAGGCTGGATTCGAGTTGTGCTTGACTGTGGTCGTGTGGAAGGAGGTGAAGGACGCTCGAGACGACACCAAGGAGGTTGGAATGTCCACGCTGAGCCTTCCCGTAGGCACCTTGATCAAGGACCCCCTCGACGATGCGACTGACCCCCGATTGTTCGTGAGAGACTCGCGTTTGCTCTTGTAGCTGCCGTGGCTTCTTGGACGCGCTTTCTGGTGGATGTTGAGCAGGATGCAGGCCATGATGAGCAGGCGGTTGCATATTCCCTGAGCAAACTCGTTCTTCACGCCTGCGTGGTGCTCCAGAAGGGAGAACGGAACTTCATGGAGAGCGAACGCGCTGTAGAGCGCTAACTCGAGCTTTCTCTCACTGTACACGCGTTGCCAGCCACCAGACAGCGACAAGTAGAAGAAGCGGAAGGCCACCACGAAGATGAGCGATACAGACTCCAACACGTTCCCGATCAAGTGCAGTCGGTCGTGCGTGCTCACGCCCGAAGCCTCGAGGATAGAGACAAATACGTGCAGCCACCCCAACAAGATGAGAACTTCGGCGGCGCGAGTCAGTCGGGCGATGGACCGAAGCTTCACTTTGCGACCTACCGCACGGCCGATGATGGTGATCTGGATGAGGAAAGTCAACTGCAGACTGGTCTCGGAGACTCCGTTCAAAGCCAGCATGACGTCGAGGTCTTGGTGGAAGTATACGTGGGTCATGAAGGAGAGCAGATCCGCGAAGAGGAGCAAGCACACGGACGTCTCGCCATCTTGAATAGTAGACCAACACCAAGTATTCAAACATCCAAGCGTCCAGCACCAACATAAGCGGGAGGAATAACGATCTGGAGATGGAGTCCATGCCCTCTTGAGTGAAGGCCATGGCCGGGCAGGGAACACAAATTATAAAACGCTCTTTCTGTCCAACGCCGTCGAAATGAAGAAATGGTCAGTGTGTGACCCTCCCAGGAATGGAGAGGGAAACGATGTGCTTATTCTTGCAACCCGACCGAGGAATTTGTAAAACTAAGATCGTCCTGGTTCTAATAACTCCGTCAGTCCGTGTAGGCGATGAACAGCATCGCAGTTTTTCGTGCTACGAATAGATTCGGCGCTGCGACGCTGCTTACAGGAATCTCCTTCCAGCTAAACTCAGAACAGAAATACTAAAACCACAGACTGGCGTGAATAGAATGCATACTGTGTCCTATGCGGTTCAGCTCTATTGCACTACGTCTACTACTCAAGTATGTTATTTGTCTGTCCACGTTGCGAAAACACTCAGCAAATACTGAATAACACCTACCAGGCTTGTATGCTATCGATTGGGAGAAAGATTTTTGTGGAGATAACCCAGCACGAATACGCTAACATTGTTAGAAGAGTCGCGGGCATAAACCATTTTTCGTGGGTTTTATTTTTCCTCTCCTGAAGTGGTAACTTTCGGTTGACTCTCGGCCCTTTCGGAGATCACCGCAATTTTTGAGATATCAGGGAATGGCTGGCCGGAACTGCGCCTTGGGACAATCTTCATCAAAGTTCCACTTGAGTAGGAGATGGCTCGTGATTCTTGAGTATCGGTATTTGCTTTCGGCTTTAGGAAGGACCCTCGCGCCGACGTAAATGACCCAAGGATGGAGCTCCTCTTGCTCTTGAAGACGGCGGAGCTGCCACCGCTGGGAACTGCCTTCTTGCGGATGTTCTGCAAAATACACGCCGCGAGTACCACGCGGTTGCAAAGTCCCTGCGCGAACTCCCACGTGACGCCAGTATGGTGCTCAAGCAGCATGAACGGGAACTCGTGGATGGCGAAGCATGTGTACAGAAGGATCTCGAACTTGCGCTCCGTTATCAGTCGACGGCAGCCGCGAGAGAGCGACAAGTAGTAGAAGTGAAACACCAGCACGAACACCAGCGAGATGGTCTCGAGGATATTGCCGAGCAAGTGGATTGTGCCCCTACTTCTCACACCAGTTATCTCCAGCAAAGAAGCGAGCACTTGAAGACACCCCAGCACGACTAAAGCCTCCGCAATATAAGTGAGCCAGCGAATGGACCGAAGCTTGACCTTGACACAAACATCGCGACCGATGATAGTGATCTGGATGATGAATGTCAGTTGGAGGCACGTCTCGGACACAGTGTTGGCCATGGATATTGTGTCGTGGTCGTCGTACACATACAAGTGCGTTGCAAAGCCAATAAAGGAGGCCAGCACGAGAAGCCATACTCGGAATTCCTTCCGACGTGGGTAATACACCAACACGAGGTGCTGGAAGGTCCACGCGTCGAGCACAAGGATGAATGGGTTGAACAATTTTCGCGAGATATCGTCCATGTCGTGCTGGGTGACCATTGTTTTGACCTTGTGCCTCTTGCCTGGACGAAGTAGTAATGCTGCTTTGACCTTCAAGATAGCGACGAACTTGACTTGACGCACAACGCGATCAGATGAAGCGGACGTTGGCGAACTTAGAACACCGTGAATAGCCTCGGTAGTTGAAGCGACCACGGCAACGCAAAGCCAAGTGGCTACTGAGCTGTTTTATCACCTCTTGCTTCTTGCGGGTAAACCCGTAAAAAGTACGATCAGATACTTCAATTCTAGCACCCTTGACTCTGAATAGCTACTTGGAATTCCAAGAAGTTCGCCAAACGTGTGAATCAACGGTTCCCATTAACTACGGCAGAAATGTATGTTGCCGTGGTTTTATAAAATAATTGCACTTCGCAGTATAATATAAGGCTGCAAACAGCAAATGAAAAATATATATGCAACCTTATCGTACGCGATCTAGCAGCTGGAAAGCTGACAACAGCAAGCTTAAGTAGCCCTCGATAGTTGACGTACGCTGTATTTGGTCCTCAAAAATCGTAAAAAGTGATGTGTGTTCGCGTACAGCGGAACTCTGTACACGGAAACTCCCATTTCCATCCATCCAGCAAGTTGCAAAAGCTACCTGAGCACGCCAAGCACCAGAAGCAAATTGCCACCACAAACACTAATGACATTTTTCAGAAAAAAAAGAAGTTAGCCTGGCAAAATAATCATTTCAGGAATATACTTCAACCTCGGATATCGATGTCGAGACCGACGTCAGCTGTAGATATACTACGTTTGGGCGCGGCTTGATCATCATCGAAGAATAGACGTGGCTGGCAAGACCAAGATCAAGAAAAAAAGGTTGCCAACAGTGAATAATCTCGAAAAATTCCATCCAGGCGCGAGAAATACGTAGGTCAACACAAGGTACTGGCACGTCCAAGCATCCAGGACCAGCATGGCCGTGCGGAAGAACTGCCATGCACGCCAATGCAGTCGGGTTTTCTTGTGCGGCCCTCGTGGCCCGCGAACTCTCCAGCTGCACCGACACGAATTTGGAGCAGGCAAAAATAGGTGTTGCTCCGCTGTCTCGCTACTGAAGCCGAGACATTCGAGGCCAATTTTGAAATAGTTTGCCGTTTTAAGCGTTGGTCTGTGACCAGAGTGCATGAGAGTTGCGCGTGCGTGGGAAGAGAGGTGCCTAGTTCTGGCTGTCGATCGTAGCACAAAATTTCGCTATGAATTGTGAGCATTGTGGTATCTACTTGTTCTATGTTGGAGACAATTCCTTGGAATGATTTCTTACACATCGGATATCAATACTCTACTCACGAATTGATCGGTCGGTTGTGCTAACCACAACGCGATAGGACAGTCTTCCACTGACAGCTACCTTGGTAATGTCTGGGAATGTAGGGGTTTCTCGACGTGAGAACAGCTTCCTGGTCAGATTCTTGATACTGGACACCCGGCCTCGAGCTGCTACCACGGAAGAGTCTCTCTTGCTATTACCCGTGTGACTTGTACGACTATTCCCTCGAATTTTGTGGCGCAGATTGAGGAGAATACACGTAACGACCAACAAGCGGTTGACTATTCCCTGTGGGAACTCCCACAATACACCCGTTTTTTGCTCGAGTATCGCGAACGGGAGCTCGTGCAGGACAAGCAGCACGTACATGAGAATCTCCAGCTTGCGCTTGGTCAATACATTGCGAAAATCGCCCGAGAGTGACAGGTAGAAGAAGCGGAATACGAGCCCTCTTTCAACGCGAAAGAGCGCGTGAGACGGTGGAAACTGATCGAGTGGTTACATCGTGACATCGGCCCCGCTAATATCAGTGACAAGCCCCGAAGTGGAATCATGCTGGAGCTGGTGATCAACGGTCGACTAGATGCAGTGAAGTGGTTCTACACAGAGTACTCGAAGAACCTGGCGATCAACTTGTTTTGGAACTATGATGAGGATGAGGACACATACTTCAGCGTACTTGATGCTGCAGCAGAACACGGACACTTGGGTATCGTGAAGTATCTGGATAAGGTGTGTAAACTGGTGACACCTGAAGAGAAAGCCAAGCGTGAGGAGCTCTCTAACATTGACTACAGTGATCCTGATTGGGAGTTTGAGGTGGAACAGTCGAGCGTGCCAGGATGCACGACTGCTGCCATGGACAAAGCCGCCAGCAACGGACACTTGGACGTAGTTTGCTACCTTCACAACAACAGGACTGAAGGCTGCACGACGGAGGCGATGGATGCAGCTGCTAGCCATGGACATCTCGACGTCGTGTGCTGGCTTCACAATCACCGAATGGAAGGTTGTACAGAGGATGCGATGGATGAGGCAGCACTTGGAGGCTATCTCTCTGTGGTTCAGTGGCTTCACAGAAACCGAAAAGAAGGCTGTTCATCTGTCGCGATGGACTTTGCAGCGATGCGGGGGCACCTGGATGTGGTTGAATGGCTGCATGACCACAGATCCGAAGGCTGTACTACGCATGCCATGGTTCATGCAGCGAGGCAAGGACACCTACACGTCGTCGAGTGGTTGCATGATAATCGGAGCGAAGGCTGCACTTCTGAGGCTATGGAGCTCGCTGCAAGGGGAGGCCACCTACACGTCGTCAAATGGCTTCATGAACACCGGGATGAAGGCTGCACGACAGACGCAATGGATGGGGCGGCAGCCTCTGGCCACCTCGAAGTCGTCAAGTGGCTACACAGCAATCGGTCAGAAGGTAGCACGACCAGCGCCATGGACGATGCTGCGAGGAATGGCCACTTATCAGTTGTTCGGTGGCTCCATGAGAATCGTCGTGAGGGTTGCACAGCGCTGGCAATAGGCAACGCAGCTCTTGGCCGACACTTCGAGGTCATGCTGCTGCTGCACCGGGTGCGAGATGAAGGTTGCAAGGTAGTAATGACGAAAGACGATCTGCTCATGTCCGAGATCTTCCAGTGGCTGATGGTCCACTACCGCGATGCGATGTTTGCGGGGTTACAGGCAGCGTAGATTTCATGTGGTAGTCTAGGATGCATGTACCGTACTCACAAAATAAATGGGTTGCGACGTTCTTGGTGTAAACCTCACTCCATGCCTGCGCCGAAACATACCTACACACTACCGTACTGACAAACAAATAACGCAGGCAACAAGATAACGCGAGACAATACCCATTACGTCGTGTTAGGATTTATATCTCAGAGGTCTACAGTACCCCGTTTGGAGTCATGTTGACGGTCGCTCGTAATCATCAATTGCCCCAGAAGAAGAAGAAAAGGTTGATTAACTAGATACAGTAATCTGCCCGAGTAAGGAACGCCTGATATATATAAAGACGCAGAATATATCAATTGATGTTAAGTCGAGTATACTTTTTCAATGTACTTATTTAGTTATTTCAAAATGAACTGAAGAGCAGCTTTACCTACGAGTCCGGAATGATTCCAACAGTGGCGTATGGTCGAAGCACTAACCTTTGACCAGGCATCCTCGCACCACAACAGCGCTGTCAAATGGGTGGAGTGGGGGAGGAGGTCGGCTTGTGGGGCGAGGTGCAAAAGCAAAAGTGCGAGTCTACCACTACGGTACATGTAGTTTGAAGTCTAGTAAGATCGCTAAAAGTAGTGAGTTCCAGCACAAAACCCAGTCAGTTTTTTTTCTCCCCGTAATTTACTAACGAGAACAATCGTAGAACGTTCTCCGCGAAAGAGGGAAAAGGAGGTAATTTTCGACGATGGAACCAATAAGTACCTTCTGGTGCGAAGGAGGTCTCCTCCTCACCTACAAGCACCACATATAGCAACACCAACCTCACACGCATCAAATGATCATTTCAACGACAACACCTCTCGACTGCTGAGAGTGAAAGGACGCATCCGATGCAGCTCAAGTAGGTTTCAAGTCCTCTCGGTATTGGAATAGGGCTCTTTTGTGACACCGTTTCATCACGCCTTCATTTCCCGCTTAGGTACGGTACCAAAATCTCTCCCTCCCCTTCTCTCTCATTCGAGAATCTGCCGCCTGGTGGAAAGATGGTCAAGCTTTTCTGTGCTATCGTTGGCGTGGCGGGAAGCGCGTTCTCGGTGCGAGTGGACGAGAGCGACTCGGTGGATGACTTGAAGGTCATGATCAAGGCGAGGAAGCCCGACACGATCAAGGGAGAAGCAGACAAGCTGCAGCTCTTCCTGGCGAAGGAGGACGAGGGCCGCGGCCCGTGGCTGACGCATCTTGACGTGCTGGAAGGTGTGAGTGACACTAGTGGCTACAAACATCTACAGTTTACAGACGCGGAGTTACGAGATGTTGGCTGGATGGTGGAGATCTGGGCGAAGTGAGTCGTGCAGAAAAAGCTGCTGGAAAAGGTCACGTCCACGTGCTGGTGGTGGTTCCGGAGGGGGCAGTTGGTTCAGCGAGCGAGACTTCCAGGATGGATCAAGTGGTCCAAGAGGTGCACGAAATTCATGCGCAAACTGTGCTGACCAAGCGCAAGACATATGTCCACTCGAAGGTGGGTTCGACCGAGTACAAGGAACTTCTGGACGCCTTCAACATTAAGGTGCAACCTGTGCGTAAAGCTGCTGCTAAGTGGGGTGAAGTCAAGGGGTTCACATGGGACATGAAACTCAGCGAGGAGAAGCAGAAAGATGAATATCGCGAGTATGTTGACAGCAACATTGGCGAGCTTCTCCAGGAGGAGAAGCTTTGCGTGTTCGGTGTGGAAAATACGACAGATATTCTCCGAGTTGTTGTCAACGGCTCCAACATTGAGCTCCGGGGTCGCACCGCTCTTCTCATACTCAGTGATATCGTCATGGAGAGCGCGGATTATGCGCTGGACTTGCCTGAAGTGAAGATGCTGATTGAAGTGAAGAAAAAGGTTGAAAGACAATCTGTCTTCCAGGCGATGTCAGAGCTAATTGCTCTGGCTCTGCTTGCCGACGACCCAGTGGTTGCACTGCTTACTGACTTCAACGGCGATTGGCGATTCTTCTGGGTCGCCGGGAAGGAAAACAATACCACTTGCGTCAACAAAGTGAACATTACGAATCCAGGTGAAGCTTTCGAGTTGATCAGGCAGCTACTGAAGCCTACGGATATCATGACCCCAGTGCTTCAAGACCCTGTGAAGCGCCAGAAGTTATCCCGGGTGTTGCCGTCCATCAGCGAGGCCAGTGAAAGTGGCGGGATTCGTGAGAGCATCGAACGATACTATGACATCGCCAGTTGTTTAGGCCCCGACTTGGACATGGCGCGTGCTGTGGCTAGACATGTCACTCGATCTATTCCCACGTTGAGTTATTTCAGCTAATTCTTGCTTTGGCATGCTGCATTAATAATTTTTTTATTCTGATAATATAAAGTTAATAATATACAAAGATGACTTACTCTCCTGAACAATACCAAGCTAACAAAGAGCGCATGAAGGCAGCTCAAAAGCGATACTACTTGAAGACGAGAGAAATTCGTATCGCTAAGCAGAAGGAGTACGAAGCGAGGAATCGTGAGCATATTCGTGCCCAAAAGCGTAAATCCTATGCAGCGAAGAAGCAGTGCGAACCTAACAGTGAAACCGAACTTAGCTAATTAATTAATTAATTTTTTTGAATTTTGTATCAGGGTAGATATAAAGGCGATCTATTCTGACATAAGATCCAAAAATTATAAAGTCGATCTATCCTGATATTATATAGTCGGATATATATAGGAATATGTTTGCATACGAGTTAGAAGGACTAAAGCGATTAAATATTCACCCAATCAAATGGGGGAGTAGCTATCGAGTCAAGATCCGGGGTAAAACCGGTAGAATGACATATATTAGCAATCTATCGCGCCCCAGCAATCAGAACACGAGCGAGACGGACTCCAGCACATTCCCGAAGATATGAAAGGCTTCACCCGAGATCATTCCTGCCGCGTCCAGTATGCACACAAGCACATTCAGCCACCCGACCAGGATAAACCCCTCCGCGACGTACGTGAACCAGAGGATAGAGCGGAGTTTGACCTTGACGGTGACTGCGCGGCCAATGATAGTGATCTGGATGATGAACGTGAGCTGCAAACTCGTCTCGGAGATGTCGTTCATCGCCAGCAGCATGTTGAGGTCTTCGTGGAAGTAGAGCTGCGTGGCGAAGCAGAGGAAGGAAGCCAGTAGCAGCATGCACACTCGAATCTCCCGTGTTTTGGCGTAGTACACTGATAACAGGTACTGGAACACCCACGCGTCCAAGACCAGGATGATAGGGAGAAAGATCGCTCGCGCGGCGGAGTCCATGCCTTCTTGGGTGATCGCCATGCCTAGCCTAACGGGGATGTGGAACTTGCAAGACCTTGTGAAGCGTGTACTCGTAAATAAGGCTGTGGACACTTGGGAGTTACATCCATGACAACCTGGCTCCGTGAATAGCGAGAATAGGCCCACCGCTCGAAATACCAACTCGACGCCACACCTTCACCTCCAGTTTCTTCCTGAATCAGGAATCCTGATAGCAACGGCATCAGGCAGCCGATTAAATTTTTCGGTCCTCATCAGATCCAAGCTCTTGTCTTATCTGTAACGAGCCTCTTGCAATCAACCTCCAGCAACCAAAACCACATTTCGGGTCGGAACTTGGATACATATTCCCGTAACGATGAGATCAACAGCAATGTCCATCAAACGATGAGGTGAATGAGCTGTACATGTACACTCGGCGAGAGAACGTCACGGCTCAGATATCCCCAGCCGGTGAAGTGTGACTGCTCCGCCACTGACAGCAAACCACGCCTCGAGGGTCACCTCAACGAAGTGAGCGTGATGTACACTTGCCCTCCGCTCTGGTTTCCTGCAGACCGATCATGTGAAACGCGAAAAAAGCGCAGTGAATCTCCGCTCGCAGCAAGCAGAAGTGTAGAATTATTGCTAGGAGCGTTTGCTTGGTAAGTTAATGTCTCGCCGCTGTTCGTCGACTCCTGTCGTGTTTGTCCTGTTGAACGTCCCCATCGAAATGACCCCCACGTCAAGTTGTGGTCCGACGACTAGAACATTGCCACGATCCGATCCGCCCTCCGCGTTGAAGCCAGCTTCAATGCACGAGGAGCCGGTGGACGCGGCCCCATCCCGAGATGCCCCGATGGATAGGCCGGTCTTTTCTTGTCGAGGTCCGCTTCGTCACTTTGAGCTTGGCTCCATACATTTGTCCCGTCCGCTGCGTTACAGCACCCCTTTGGTCGCATGGTCTCTGCTATCGCAACAAACGGTCTCGGTTTCCCGGGGCTTTGCTTCGTAGAAGCTCGAGAGGAAGACGAAGATGGTGTCCGTGCAAGATCCAAGTGGCCGCCCTTGACTCGACAGGGCAGGGTCCGGTGTGAGCAGACTCTGGCTCTGCTTGGTCCGACTCGCTCGACTGCCGGGCACTTAAGCTTTCTCAGAGATTAACGCACTCGTAATAGCTCCGGACAGGGCGAGACGAGATGTGGGCGTCCAGCAGCATGATCAGCGAGAGTGGCTGCAGCTCGAGGGGCGTGCGGCTCGACGCCGACCCCAAGCAGAGGCGACTAACCATTGCGCGCGGGACGGACGACATGGACTCTTCTGTCCAGCTATCGGACCAGGAGATCGTCACGGACCTGTTGGCGACGCTACCCAAGCTCAAAGCTGCCGTGGAGGACCACGAGAACAGGGCTCCGAACTGGCTGCGGAAGTCGAAACACGGTGACTCCGTCGAGATCTACGAACTGTTGCCGACTCGCGACGGTAAGGGCGACGACATGGATATCGTCCACTCAGTGGTGGCGACGATCGAGATTGAATGCCATTTGAACGAAGTACTTAACGTGCTCACGAGCCACAAGACGAACCACGATCTGGAGGCATCGATGCGGGCCATTATTCCGAAGAAGAAACTCCGACAGGGTGAGGTACTGCTTCAGCCTCACGCTACGACGCTGGACGGCGCTCCGATCAGGAGAACTCGAGCCACGGAGAAGTCCTCGCGTGGTGGGAAAGCGGTGAGATTCGATGATATTCCGGAGGATGAGGAGCAGGAGGACGAGGAGCGGAAGGTGCTCGTGAGTGTCAGCATGACGCGCTTCAAGTCCAAACGCAGGTTGGACTTGCAGGGGCGACTGCGCAACCGCCACCAGCGTCTGCAGAAGCTCTGCCTCGCGACGCTCACGCACCAGTTCATTGGTAAACAGCGCGCAGTTCACATCATCAAGACGCTCCCTCGATCCGTTCACGATCAGCTTGCTCCGATCGAGGAGAAGCACCAGAGCCGTTCGGTGCTAGGCAGCGGCCTGCGCGGCCTTGACCATATCTCAATCGGCTTCGACATCCAAACTAGGACTGTCCACTGCATCGGCGCGCGCGGTGCGGCGCAGTCGACGAGGATTATTGCACACGGGTACGCGTCCGTCACAGCCCCGGAAAACTTCGGCCAGCAGCAGACGAAGACCATGAGGAATTACAGCCCTTCGGAACTGGCCCAGTACCGCTCAGCTCATGTGAACGCTGAGGCCAAGCACGTGATTGAACTATTAACAACGTCGCTGCTTCAATTCGAGCGCGTGATTCGCCGCCGACGCCTCGGTCTGCAGACATTCATCAAGATGAAGGCTAGTAGCAGCGATCGGCAGGGTTTCCAGGCGTGTGAGGTGTGCAACAAGGGCTTCTCGCTGCTTCGACGCGAATTCGGCTGCCAACTGTGCGGCCACGTGTGCTGCAGCGACTGCTCCAAGCTCTACGAGGTGGAGCAGGTCGTCGGAGAAATCGCCAAGAAGCGGCTGTGCGTGCGCTGCATCACCAACGTCGACTCGTGCATCTTCGAGGACGAGGACTTCATCGCTGCGCTGGGTCCGGCGGTGATCGACGACGGGGAGGACTCGGACTACGACTACGACTTCGACGAGGACGAAGAGAAATATGACTTCGACCGCCGCGGTGAGAACGACACGTACGCGAGTCTTGGATCCACCGTGGCTTGCTCCGAGGTTGACAGTGGAGGCAGTCCCGACGACGTGTCCGCGGAGCTGTACCCTGACAACGTGCTAGAGCGCTCGATGGCGCTGCAGACGCTCGATCGGCTGGTGAACTCGCAGGTCAACGCCAAAGGGAAGCAGACGCTGTTCGAGCGGTCTCGCCTCACGCAGTCGCAGTTGTACCAGTCTCAGCTGGCCCAGTCTCGCCTCACGCAGTCGCAACTGAGCAACTCGCAGTCGAACTTCCAGCAGTCTCAGCTCACTCAGAGCCAGCTCAGCAACTCGCAGTCTCGACTCACGCAGAGTCAGCTGAGCAGCTCGCAGTCCAGCTTCCAGAAGTCCCGACTGACCCAAAGCCAACTCAGCAACTCGCAGTCGCAGTTTGACCACTCGCAGTTCAACCAGTCCCGCCTGAAGCAGGCGCAATTCGACGAGTCCATCGTGGCGCAGCTCCGCGCCGACGTCGAGGACCACCTGAAGCGAACACTGCGAGCCACGCTACGCAACACCAAGAGGGGCTTCGCTGGCGCCGACGAGTCGATGTTCTCCATCGCGCCGCTGGAGCGCGACTATCAGCTCGAGTTTGACGGCAGCCAGACCATGTCCCCCGCACACCCGCTGCCGCCCAAGCCGCTGCCCGTGCAGGAGCGGAGGAGACTCGAGTACGTCATCGGCTCCGGCGCGCTGAGTCCGACGTACGACCGCAGTGCACTCAACATGCTGGGCCAGATCGCTGCGGCTCACCTGGACTGCCCCATCGGGTACATCACCATGATCGACCAGTCTACGCAGTACGTGGTGGGGCTGCACCCCGGCAACGCCATCGGCATGTCCATTCCCCGAGAGGAGTCCATGTGCTCGTACACCATTTACCACGAGCGTCCGCTGGTGGTCAAGAACGCATTGAACGACGTCCGCTTCAGCCACATGGGCTTCGTGAGCCAGACTGGACTGCGGTTCTACGCGGGCTTCCCCATCCGCGCGCCTGACAGCGCCGTGGTGGCCACGATCTGCGCGGCCGACTATAAGCCGCACAAGTACATCTCGGCCAAGCAGTACGCCGAGATGGAGGCGCTGGCCGAATTGGCCAGCACGCTCATTATCACTCCCGACATCGAAGTCAAGGCGGCCAAGCGGGAGCCGCAGCAAGCGTTCCCGCGGTGGTAACAAGGCTTTATGCGTTCGATGTCGAGGCAGTACACGCGTTGTAGTAGTACGCACTATCTAAATGGAATCTAAATGTGCTTAGTGAGAACGCAGTTACCCGTAAGCTTACCTTCGATATGCAAGCTGCTGTACGTGTGTCAATGCATTGAGCAGTCACGCTTCACTTGCTGGGGGTATCTGGGCCGTGACGTTCTCCCACCGAGTACAGCACATTCACTTCATCTTGAATCTCATACTTGTACTTGCGATAAATTCAAGTTCAAGAGGTTCGTTTCGGATAAAACTGGGGTGTGGACAATTGGAGAAGCGAGAGGTGAAGCTGTGACATCGACTTGTATTTCGAGCGGTCTATTTCTCGCTTTTCGTGGAGCGACGAACTCGTCGTGGATGACCGTAACGAGAGGCATACACACTTCACCGGGTCGTGCAAGTTCCTCACCACTCCAGATCGTCAGGCTGCAGAGAGTGATATACTTGACAAACGACGGCAACCACTCACGAAGGTATGGAGTCCACCTCGCGAGCGCGATTATCCTGGTCTAAGGTGCTTGTGTGTTCTAGAGCCTTATATCAAAAGACGGGAAGTACGACTGGCTGTTGGCTTCATTCATTTGCTGCACCTCTTAGCTGTACTTCCACATGACCTCAACATGCTGTGGCGATGGGCGACGCGTCCATAACGGGTTTGAAGCCCCCTTTCAACATCCAGATCATGATTATTGGCCGCACAGTCAAAGTATAAGAAAATCATTTCTACAATCGGCTCCGACATACGAACGAGTATATGGATGAATATAGTAGTTTTTCCGACAGATAGCTTAGTAGGATTGTACAGAACAGGAAATATATGACGGCCTGACCAATCACACAGTCGCTATTCACTATTTTCATCCAATCAAATCACACAGGGATAGGTTTTTAGTTCCGACAGCTTCTGACAAATATTTGTCGGAAGCGAGACGCAAATATGTATATGCACATAGTGAAATACAGTCAAGTACGTACTTTTCAAATATGCTCATGATTACAACAACTAGGCAGAAACCTATTTTAGGCCCGGAGCTCTAGTCAGTGGTGGTCCTCCGCACATACACACATAGGCACTTTGAAACGGCAGAAGCGCCAGACAAAGATCAGCATGAGTCTCTCTGCACTCATCCCTGCGAACACGCAAAAAGCGCGCACCACAGGGATTGGTGCTTTTGAGCGCATGCTAGAAGCAGAGAATGTGTCTATGAATGTCATTCAAGCCTGTGTGCGTGGTGACAGTTCTGGCAAGAGCCTTTCTGCCATTATGGACCGCTTTGGCTACTACCTCGCCACGTATGAAGGTAAGAAAGGTAAGTTGGCGTCTAACACAGCCATTTCATACTTTAGAAACGTTATGCTTTGATTTTTCGATGAGCATCCTCATCTTCGGGTTCCTACAGAGTTAAACCTGCTAAAGCAAGGCAAGACTTTGGAAAAACATTGCTTGAAACGGGACAATGGGGGATTTACTAACAAAGCTCCGCCTTGCACGAAGGCGGATTTAAGGTCACTAATTCACTATGTCTACAGCACGGCGTCTGTCGCCACCGACTACGAAGATGCAGCGCTCGCGTGCCTCATGTGGCACTGTTTTGGGCGCTCCTCGGATCTCGGCTATATCAGCAAGCAGCACATCACAGTGTCAGCGGACAACGTTTTCTACGTACGCATGCTTCGTGTGAAAGCTACCGAAGAGCAAGGCCTCCCCCTCGTACCTGACCGCGACGACTTCCTCACCTTCCCCCTGCACACGCTGGCCGTTGCTCTGGTGATGCAGGAGGCGCCCTGTGTGTCGCTGCTGAGTCAACTTCCCGCTCTCGCTACCACCGCTGGAACCTCGCTCGACGCAGGTGCGCCTCTGCACGAGGTGCTGCGGGTCAGCGTCGCGGATAGCAGCGACACCGCGGCGGCCTCGGAAGCGTCCCTGTCGCCGCCCAGCACCGCTTCCCTGCTCCCCACACCAAGTCCGCCCAGCTCCAACCCGTCGCAAGCCACCACCGCCTCCCTGCCAGCTCAGCTCACAGCTTCAAGTCCCGCGAGGAGCAGCCTCGGCCGCGGTGAGGACGGAGTCCAAGCGTATGTCAACCGCTTTTTGAAGCGGGTGGCTGAACCCGCCGGTGCCACCAGCAACCTGACCTCGCACTCCTTTCGCCGAGGAGGTGCCCAGCACGCCAACGGAGACGAGCGGCTGGCAGCGCAGTGGATCTTTGACCGCGGGTCATGGGATATGACCCGCACGAACAAAGGCTTTGTTTATGTCTTCAACACCCCCCGCGAAGACCGAAAAGTCGCCCGAGTGCTGAGGGGCTGGAGCGCCGACGAAACCCCGGTCATTGCGGACGTTACAGCGCTGGACCATGGGACGCAGGAACGCCTGGCGCGCTTGGAGGAGCTGCTGTTCGGTTCCTGCATTGGACTGGCAGACGCAAAGCTACACGTAAGTCGCAAGGTTATCGGAGTGCTGACGGCGTACCAGATCAAGTATTTCCCGCAAGTGAAGGCGCTGGCGCCCGACACGCTGTTCGTTGCGCGTATCGAGGAATGCTTGGGAGCGGCTGATATCCCGGTCGCCGACATGCTGTCTTGGTCCATGGCAATCAATACGTCTGCTGCTTCGAGTCCTGAACAAGCACACGAAAAGTCGGAAGCAAAGAGCAACTGCTGTCATGCTGGGTGTCACCATTTGGCTGTCATTAGCGAGCTTATCGAGAGCAATCGGCTCATGTCTGCGCGCCTCCTCGCACTGGAGACGATCATCCTAAAGCAAGCGCCACCTGTGAAGCGTATTGAAGAAGCATAAGAAGAGCAAGCGTCGTCAGAGCAAGCGCCACCCGCAAAGCGAAGAAAGAAAGCTGCTACAAACCTGTCCTCGCTGTGGTTCGAGTGGTACACGAGACCGCCCCGTGTCTGGGACTCGAGCGACCGCCAGAAGAAGTCCGACTACCGCCTGGGCGTTGCGTACATGAAGCTCTTTCTTGACGGCGGATTCGTGCTGCGCGAGGATGCTGTCGACTTCAAAGATCTTGTCTTCGAAGTAGGAAAACGAGCGGAAGCAGTGGTCCTTAGGTTCTTGAGCGAACAGGGATCCCGAGCAAAAGGAGCTGGCAGCGTGCTGCGCGAGATGCGCAAGCTTCATCGGTCTGGTGCCCTCGACAGTCGCATCGTGGCGTATCAAAGCCACCTCGCCCTGGAAAGGATCGTCGACCCAGCGCCGGCTGCAACCCAAAACATACTACAAGTCGTCGGACACGTGTAAGGCACAAAGTTCGGGGCAAATACATATATTCATGAACAAATACAAGACAGTTAGCTTACGAACGCGCAGATCAAGGCCATGACCATCCTGCCAACCATCGCCCAGAGACCGTCGGGCACTCAGTGCATTGCTCTCCATCCGCTCGTCGCCGCTTGCCCGGACCCAAACACTGTACACCTTGGAAGGCTCCCATCAATCGTGATTGGCGACGGCGGGCTTCGATCCCGCTCCTCAGGGCAAGCCCTGCGCTGATCCATTGAGCTTCGTCGTCGAGGGTGGAGCCTCCGGCTTGGCTTGCGGTCTGGGCGGTTCGGCTTAAAAAATCTAGACTGAAGCCGCGGGGCCTCTGTCGGCGTTGCCTCCGAGAGCTTGACTGCGTGGCGCTTTTCTATTGGCTTAATAAAACCTCATTGAGGTTTTTAAACGAGTGGCTCTGGAAGAGAGGGTCACTCTTGTGAAGTGTAAATATCACTGTTTAAAGACAATCAACCCAAATAGTGGACCCACCACAGGATCCTGGCTCTCATTAATGAACTTGCCACCTCGAGAGCACATTGCTCCGAGTCGATTTTGCGCCTAGATGCAAATTGCCGTTTTTCTCGGCCCACAGGCCTCAAGAGGGCCTCTAGTAGAGGCGATTTCCTCGCGGCTGTGAGCACCGCATGAAAGCTGACAAGAATCGGTCAAACGGCCCCCTAATCCTAATTTACCGTACATAATATCTAATTTCCGATTTTTAACTATTTCCGATTTTGCACTGGCTTTGACCAATTGCCTACTTGTCGGAATATGTAGGGAAGTCGGAACCGTCATGATACACCAAATCCTCGACGGGTAAAAAACCCCGGGTTTGCACCGCATTGTTGATCGAGTACAATCCACAGAGAGAATATCTCTCGGATGTACCGCTCTGATTCTCACACATTGGACCGCCCCTAGTCCGTCTACCCACAATGGATTGCATCTCTGTTCGTGGAACGTCTAGCAAATCGCCGGGCGTGAAGAGAGACGCGCACCAAAAAAAACTCCCCACTCTTACTTAGCACTGACGTGAAATCGCTAGCAAATCGCCGGCGGGGTGAGCGCAAAAGCAAAAGTGAGAAGGACTGCATCGCTGCATCGAAGGCGACGAGCGCTAACCAACCGTGTACATTTCAATGCTTTTAATACAGTACAGCCAGATGAACTCTCGAAAAATGAGAAATGTATTACGTTTTTGTATGTTACGCAGCGCTAATGCTGCTGTTTTAATAACCAACATGCAAACGCTTAAGTTGGTAATAGCGGCAGAATTGCAGGTGTCAGGCCGTAACAGCCTGACACCTGCAATCCAGGATTTGCTCTGGCACTGTTGGAGCAGTGGCGCATTTGATTGCTATACGCCTGGGCACCATGCCCGATGTGCATGATGTGTCTGCTTATTTTTTAGCCAATCCCAGCTTGTAGGCACTCTGTCGGCCGATGTCGGCACCGTCATGGTATGGATGAATATAGTGGTCTTTCCGACTGATAAGCGAGCAGGATTGTTTCAGGCTTGTCTTCACCTGAATTACAGCCTATCATATCGCCTGGTGTGGATATTTTAGCCAATCGTCTGCATTAGGGTTAGGTGAACGCGTTTCAACACTTTCCGACAAATATTGGTCGGAAGACTGGCCTAAATATGTATATGCGTATACAAAAATCAAGTACAGAAAATACTTTTTAAATAGTTTTGCCGTTCTGACAACTAGGATTATGTCCTAGAATAGGACGGAGTGAAGTTTTGATTGGTGTTCATTTGAAGATGGCGATCAAGTCCGAGAGATGAAGCCCCCACATGCACGCAGTCGCGGCGAAGGGCAAGGCAAGATGACCATGACGGCGAGCGCGTTAAGCGTTCCACTGCCACAACGCTAGCTCTACACGCATGAAGCATCCGTCGACGTGGCGTCACACGCAGCCGTCGGAGGACGGGTGAGCTTGCTGCAGTACGCCGAGGTTAGCTGAGGTGGTGCTGAGCGGGGGCAGCTACGCGAGTGCGGAGGATACGGTGAGCGAGATGATCAAGCGTAGGAAGGAGCTGCAGAAGGCTTTCGCGGCTGGCGACGTGGCGAAGCTCATGGGCGCGCGCCGCCGCATGGAGGGTCACGAACGCGTTCACACCCGCGGAGGACTGCGAGGCTCCTTGCCAAGGGCACGCACGGAGCAACAGCGCATCGCCGCTGTCCGCCCATGATCTGTACCTTGGAGCTGGACACGCCGGCGCTGCAGCTGTCTGTGCTCGTTCGAGCAGGGGCATGCTCCGCGTCATGGACGACCTCCTCGTGACCACCCAGACGCTGGACCCGCTGTCGCACAAGTTCCTGCCGCACGAGGCTGACGATCTGAACGAGAAGCTGTCGAAGGAGGTGAAGGTGATGAAGGCGACGGTGACGTCGTGCCCGGCCGGCTAGGCTGCAGGAGGTGAACCCTATCTGCACGGCTGTCGTGTGGGCACATCACGGAGGACAGCTCGGTCACCTGTACATCATGACCCCGCTACTCGAATCGTTCAAGGTGCTGCACCAGTAGGTCAAGATGGTGAAGTCTCTGCCGCGCAGGATCGGATTGCCAATAGTGGCAGACTAAAAGGCGGAAGTGGTGATCGCGGTGCTGCATGCCTCACAGCTGGCACAATAGCTGAGGAGGCGGTGATCGTAGATTGGTGATCAAGGTGATCAATAATATATGTAGCTACCCTTGCACTTTATCATCACCTAACTTTTATTGCATGTAGCTGCAAGTACCCTGCCATTTTCTTCTTCAGTTACCTTTTTTACTCACGGTAACTTTAGTTTGGTCAATAAATCCTAGATGTCGGAATATGTAGGGAAGTCGGAACCGTCGCGATATGGCGAGTGCACTGCTCACAATCATCATAGTTTTGTGTACATATAACCAACGTGAACTTGGCACATGAATTATACAATTCGAGTGGAAAGTCAAAGGTTAGACCAACGCTGGAAACAGCGAACTATTTCAAACTCGATCTCGAAAACTACGACCTTATTAGCCAAACTATTACGCACGCCGAAAGGAGTGGCGAGTGACGCTCCTCTTGGTCGCCTCTTACGTTGGCTTTGCAACCCACTTGTATGTGTACGACGACCACGACACAATGTCCATGGCCAACACTGTGTCCGAGACGTGTCTCCAACTGACATTCACCATTCAGATCACCATTATCGGCCGCGATGTTTGTGTCAAGGTCAAGCTTCGGTCCATTCGCTGGCTCACTTATATTGCGGAGGCTTTAGTCGTGCTGGGGTGTCTTCAAGTGCTCGCTTCTTTGCTGGAGATAACTGGTGTGAGAAGTAGGGGCACAATCCACTTGCTCGGCAATATCCTCGAGACCATCTCGCTGGTGTTCGTGCTGGTGTTTCAGTTCTACTACTTGTCGCTCTCTCGCGGCTGCCGTCGACTGATAACGGAGCGCAAGTTCGAGATCCTTCCGTTCACGTGCTTCGCCATCCACGAGTTCCCGTTCATGTTGCTTGAGCACCATACTGGCGTCGCGTGGGAGTTCGCGCAGGGAGTTTGCAACCGCATGGTACACGCGGCGTGTATTTTGCAGAACATCCGCAAGAAGGCAGTTCCCAGCGGTGGCAGCTCCGCCGTTTTTAAGAGCAAGAGGAGCTCCATCACCACCTCGCTTGCGTCGTTTGCATCGGCAAGGGCCCCTTGCCGATGCTGCGGGCAAAATTTAATCATTGCATTATTGCCATTAATTGCTGCCAATTCGTGCACGAACCTGCTCCACCGTGTTGACGTCCCACAAGTCGCGGTTGTACTGCAGACACATCAGCATCTCGAGCATGGTGGGGGAGAGACTCTTCCGCACGTCTGTGAGCACCAGCTTCGCCGCCGAAAAAAAGCGCTCGTACTCGTTGGACGTCGGCGGCACGTAGGCGACGTCCACGTATTGCGAGCGCCTCGGTGCCTTCCTCTTCTTGAACGCCGCCTTGACGATAGAGCTGTTGCCGTCCTCCCGCGCTGGTGCCCATTCAAGGGTCGTCGATCTAAACTCGGCACACGCCGACCGTTCCGCGGCCGTCAACGCCTCTTCGCGCTGAAGCTTGACGAGGCCCAGTTCTAAATGCGGGTTGTTGACGATCGGAGCCGTTGCGGCCAGTCGTGACTTGAGTGCAGGGTACTCCTTCACCCCCTGGTCAAAAAGACGGTGCACAGCAGACAAAGTTAGCGTAGACCTCTGTAGCTCTTTGTGACTCCCTCGAACTTCTCCAGGTCCTTCTCCAACGCCCTGGCTCGCTCGTGCTCGGCGCGCCGCAGCAAAAGCGGCTGTACTTCGTACTTGACCAGAAGGTCATGGCCCAGCTTGATTATGGCGGGCTGGAGCTTCACATAGCGCGCCACCATCTCGTACGTGCTCGACCACCTGGTGTCGTACCTCAACAGAGGCGACAGATGGGAGACGCGGCGAAGCAGAGCGCGGCCCTTGATCGTCCGGAGCTTGGTCATCAGCGCGTGCACCTTCGCAATGAGCTCGTCCTCGGTCTTGAGGAAGTCCTTCACCGCCAAATTGAATCTGTGGCTAGCACATCCAATGAAGGGGATAGCCCCTTCCTTCCGGCCGATGCATTGGTTCACAGAGCAGTTGTCTCCCACCATGAACTTCACCGCGCTCCATGGCTTGTTATAGCGAGACAGCGTGTCAGCGATCAGGTCGTACTGACTCTGCGCACCCATGTCTTCCTCGACCTCTACTGGAGCGAATGTTAACAGCAGGAAGCGGCGCGATGAGCACTCGAGATCGTCATAGTACTCGTTGTCAGCGCCGCCACCGGTAATACCGGTACTGTCGCTGCCGAATACCGCGAATATCGCGATGTAGTGACGACCACCACTGGTCCACCCGTCTAGAACGAGGCCGAACGATGCAGGGAGCTCGCGAGCGACGCGCAGCTCTAGCAGCTCGAAAATCAGCACGATGTACTTGGAGAGGGTGTCCTCCGACACGAGAGAGAGGGAGGCGTTGAGGCGCGTGAGCCGCCGCTCTACGAACGCAAACGGGAGGCGGTCGCAGACGACCCACTCGAGCCAGCGGTATAGGTCCCTGGTCCGTGTGCTGACGAGGTGTAGGCGCAGCGGGTTCTGGCGGCGTGACGCCTCCTGGGCCTCTAGCTCGTAGTTGTCGTGGTTGCGCCGCAGGTGGCTCAGCAGGTTCGTGTAGCCATTGCCCTTCTTGTACTGCTTGTCGCAGGATGTACAGTTGTAGAAGCCGTTGCCGACATCGGTGAAAAGCATGGAGCAGATTTGGCTGCTCGTGAGGACCATGGTGGACACGTGGGGCGAGGGGCTTGGGCTGTGAGGGGTGAAGAAAGCAAATTTGCTGCTGAAGGAGCCTCCGCTGCGAGTGGTGCGGTGAAGTGGTGCCAGATCGGCGAGTGGTTGGTGGTGGACTCTTCGGCGGACACTGGTGGCTGCAACGAACTCCATCTGAGCAATTCAAATACGAATTGTGTGTAATAAAAAATAAATTGAGGGTCTAAAATTAATCATTGAATTAAAGTATTCGAATGTATTTTTATGAGTATTATTTTTTCGGGTGCCTTGGCAAGGGGATCGTTCCTGAAGCCGAAAGAAAATACCGAAGAACAGCAATCCCCTCCACCCCTCGCACGAAGCGGGTCTTTGCCGAAGCTCGTTTCAAGGCGCAGTTGGCGCCAAGCCACCCCCCGGGGGTCCCCCGATATCGCGAAAATTGCGGTGATCTCCGAAAGGGTTGAGAGTCAACCGAAAGTTACCACAACCAGGGACCGGGATAGCATTAAGATACTGAATTGAGTGCGCTCTTCTATCCATGCCAATGGTATTCCTAACTTTTCGGTGCAAATGGCTACATCCACTTCAACTTGAGGGCTACACCAAAGTTACTGGGTTACACAAAAGTATGTACCCTCGCAATACCCCACTATTAATTTCGGACACTTGATCATGTCGGAGGCGGCGCAGCTCGACGCCTTCCTGGCGGCCATGACGCAGTACTCGCCGACGGTGCCGGAGGAGCTGGTCGAGTTCTACCTGCAGCAGGCGGGCTTCGTCACCAACGACGTGCGCATGTGCGTACTGTAACCCTGCGCGCCTTCTCTCTAAAACGCACCCTAACGACTCCTAATTAACCGCTTAATTAATGCTACAGCACGCGGCTGATCTCCCTGGCGGCCCACAAGCTCCTGCTGGACGTGACCCACGACGCCATGCAGTACCTGCGCATCCGCTCGCAGTCGGCGTCGTCGGCGTCATCCAGCGCGGCGCTGGCCGCCGTGCAGAGCGACGGCGCCTCTCCCACAGGCAGCCGGGCTGTGTTGACTATGGAGGACATAGCAGCCAGCCTAAAGGAGTACGGCGTCAATATCTGCAGGCCCGAGTACGTCAGCGACGTGGCGGAGGACCCCGCGGCCTAAAAAATAGAACGAGATACGCTCTCATTCTAAGACAAAATGGTGTACTTTTAGGTCGGTAGGTTGAGTTTTTGAGGATGTTTTTGGTGGTCGAGTCACTTTGGGTGAGCTTTGGGCTCTACAGCTCTTCGTGCTCGTCCACGGGCACCTCCTTCTCGACGACTCTGCGCTTCTTGCCCTTCTTCTTCTTGTCCTTCTTGAGATCGGCGCCCGCGTTCTTGACAATGTCGTCCATGAAGTTGGTCTTCTGCGGGTCAGTCTTGAGCGCCTTGGGGTACTTCTTGAGCAGCCGCAGGAACATGGTAGGCTCCTGGCCCTTGTACTTCTTGAGCAGCGCGTCGATGGCCTCGTCCTCGAGCTCCTCCTGCGGCGCGCCATTCTCCTCGAGGAAGTACTCGAGGCGCTCGCGTGTGGCAGCAGCCGCGTTCTCCGTCGGCACGCACTCACACGCCTCCTTCTGGGCCTCCTGGTAGGCCGGGCAGGCGATCATCTAGCAGCAGCGATACCGTATAACGTCAGTATCCTCCGCAGGAATTAAAGAGTATAGTGTGGGTACTGTACGCACATTGGCGCCGATGTAGAAGATCTTGGCGGTCGAGAAGCACTCGTCGCGCTTGGCCGGGTCTCTGATGGCCTTGCACTGGGACTTCATGCACTTCTGCAGCCGCTTCTCGCAGTTGGCCTTGGGCATGCCGCATATGCTGTAGCACTGCAACCATCAAGAAAAAAAAGGTTTAGGATACATGTACAGATCAATCCTAGTTTTGAGCAACAATGCTAGGCTGGAGCTTACGGCGTCGTGCCAGTTGCAGCACTCCTGGAAGTCCGTGGACGTGGAGATGGGCATGCCGGACGTGCCGCAGCCATTGGCCGTGAACTCAAAGTCCCTGCGAACGGGGCAAATCAATTAATTGAGGTTAGAACGGAGAGTGTAACCATGTTGATGATGGCTGCTTCACGCACTTGGCTGGGGTCACCGCGCGCTTGGGGCGGCACGTGAAGGGCTCGCACGGCTGGCTGTAGCTGGTGAGGTCCGGGAAGTCGATGGACGCGGCCGCGCAGCCCAGCGACAGCGCGCACGAGAGCAGCAGCGAGCGGGACAGTACCATCGCCGATCCGTGGGGTCGTGAAGTGAACAGGTCCAAGCCGTCCTGCCACGTGGTTCAGCCTCGTGCAACTTCTAGGCCCTCAGGATAGTGTACTTTACACCAGGTGCAACACTGTGAAGTTGTGCAACATAAAGTTGTAATTCATGTTGCACAACTGCGATTGCAGCTACTGTAGCTTTTCGAACTCCTTTGCCCCTGTGTGGTGCAGGTTGAGTGGCAGGTGTACTGTATGATGTACAAGCTGGCGACTCGGGCATACATGTACCATCCAAGCATCGCGTTTCCCCCAACTCGAGCCGGTAAACACTGCGTCTGCGTCAACCTGCGACTTTGCATGCACGAAGTGTTACAAGCACCGCATTCTACTCTGTCGTGTCTCGCGACGACACGTGCGGGAACAACCTCAACTCGCCAAACAAGCCCGTCTCAAGCATGTCAAGCTTTGGAGGGCTCAGGCTGAGCCGCTCAGCCCGCGATTTCGCGGTGTCGACAGTAGAGGACCTGCAGCAGATTCTGCTCGTACTGTGGCTGCCCCAGTCGCCCACCTTGAAAGCTCAGGTATCCTGTCTACTAGCGAGACCTGCATCGCGCCATCCGATCCCGCTTGGCCATTTCGCTAGTCTTCCGTCTTCCGTCGCTTTGGTGGTCTCTCGTGAACATCTGTCATCGAAAAAGGTCGAGCTGTCAGCGCACGCCAGCATCAGCACTCAGTCGACGTATCATTTCGTGTCAACGTGGTCGACAGCAGTTGCTTTAACGTCCCGGGACCCGCTTCACATGTCAAGCATCGCACGGGGTCCGCTTGATCTCGTCGAGCTCACCACGACACGCAGTTGCAAATCTGACCGGCAAAGGCGACGTCGAAGTTGTGGTCGACTATTCCAACGCAGCGATGAGCAGTCGAGACCAGTGGAGCTCCAAGGACCCGTGGTGCTTCCCGCACACCCCTGATAACCAGACGGGCAGTGAATCCGCGGCGTCCGACTACGACTACAGCGTGACCGAGTCCGGCACCCGCTCCGTTGCATTCGGTGAAGTCGCCAATGGGTTGGTGGTGCGCAGCACGAAAGATTTCCGACAGACGCTCGTGTTCTCGGACCAGGAGATATGTGACGACATCCTGGCGACGATCCCGAAGCTGCATTCGGCTGTGCTTAGCGGCTTGAAAGGTGCGAGATGGAAGCGTCGGACTGTTAAGGCGGGCGTGCAGCTAGCAGAGATGGAGCCGAGCTACGCGCCTGTAGACCCGGACGACGACCTTGACATCCTCCACGAGACGGTAGCCAAAACCGAGCTGCGCTGTCACTTGAACGAGGCGTTGAGTGTGCTGCTCCACCAAGACCCGGAGACCTACGACACCACTATGAAGGCGTTGTGCGGAAAGAAGTTCAAGAAAGGTGAGGTGCTATTCCACCAGCGCGTCGCCTTCGGTAATAATTCTCAAGAGCAAGCACGAGCTCCAGTGGGGGAGAATGGCGATGGTGAGGCCCCGCAGCAAGGCGTGATCACTGTAACTTCGGCGACGCTGCGTCCTAGCGCTGCCTTGCAACTTCAGCTGCAGTCCCGTCATAAACACACGCAGCAGCTCGTGTTTTCGACTTGTACGCACCAGTACCCCGGCAAGAACCGCGCCGTTCACGTGATGAAGACCGTGCCCAAGTCTGTCCACGACCAGGTTCTTCCTAGTTCAGAGCGTTCGTCTCTGCGCCGTCAGATCGACCACATCGCCGTCGGCTTCGACCTGCAGTTCACCCCGCGTCCAGGCGGCAGCAGTCACCAGACCACCAGCATTTTCGCTCATGCGTACGCCTCTGATCGCCCGTCGTCGGCCTTCCGCAACGAAAGTGGCAAACACCGAGCTGAGTCTGTGACCAAGAAGCGTGAGGCAGCGAAAACGATCCACGCGTCGGACTTGGGTCGCCGTCGCGCGGCTTTGATCAACCCGGAGGCGAAACACGTCATGCGTGTGCTCACCGAGTCGGTGGTGCAGTTCGAGCGCGTGATTCGCCGTCGCCGGTTCGGCTTCCAGTCGTTCATCTACTTCCCCAAGGAGTACGCGGACCCGCTGCTGGAGAAGCGCTGCTCGATCTGCACCAAGACCTTCCACTTCTTCCGGCGCGACTTCTACTGCCAGCTATGCGGGCACATGGTGTGCGGAGACTGCTCGCAGCTCTACGAGGTGGAGGCTCGCATCGGAGAGATCCGCAAGAACCGCTGCTGCGTTCTCTGTGTGGTGCGCGTGGACGCCTGCAAGTTCGACGATGAAGATTTGTTACCAGCACTGGGGCCCATTCTAGTTGAAGCACCACCCGATGCCTGGGAGAGCTCGATCTCCAGCTCCACAACTACGACCAACGAAGACGATGACTCGGACATGGACGACCTCACCGGCCAGCTATGTTCAGAAGACCCGGAGACGCGCAGTCGCGCGCTGGAGATGCTTGGCCGGTTGGTGGGGAGTCCCGCGAGCTCAGTGTCGTCCTCTTCGAATCGCAAGCTGGTGAAGCTTCCGAGTAGCGGCAGCGTACGAAGCCATGCAAGTTCAAGCAGGAAGAGAAAGAGCAGAAAGAAGACGCAGTCACAGCGCGTACTTGAGAGCGTGGAGAGCCACGTGACCCAAGAGCTGGCCAAGTCGCGGCTGAAATACACTATCGACTCCTGCGAGGTGAACGACCGTACCAGGGACTACAAGTACGAGTTCGACGGCTCGAAAGTCGCGAACGAGAACCACCCGCTGCCGCCCATGCCCGACGTCCAGAAGGATGCTCGGCGCGTCGACTTCATTAAGAAATCCGGCGCATTGACCCCCGACTACGATCGTTCGGCGTTGAACATGATCGCGCAGGTGGCGGCCGAGCTGCTCGCGTGTCCTATCGGCTTCGTGTCCATGGTGGATGACGAGCAGTTCCACGCCATCGGCAACTACAACCTCCCCGAGGAAGCGCACCACCTGCCTCGCAATGAGAACATGTGCATGCACGCCGTGTATGCGGAGAAGCCGTTCGTGGTCAAGAACCCGCAGCGCGACATGCGCTTCGCCCAAATGCCGTGCGTAGAGGACCTAGGCGTCAAGTTCTACGCCGGATTCCCTTTGCGAGCACCGACTGGAGAGGTCGTGGGGTCATTGTGTGCTGCGGACGGTGTTGCACACAACAATATCTCGACGAAGGACTACGCAGCGATGGAGACGCTGGCCAAGCTGGCGTCAGACCTGTTAGCTCCTAAGACGAACACCAACCCACCAATTATGGCTAACTAAACGAGCGATGGTACTTCACAGTTAGGTTTTTTCATAAAAAACTTCAAACCATCTCGATGTATGATTGGTCAAAGTACCTCTATGTACCACACTTCATTAGACAAAACTCTAACATCAGTGATTTGTATGCAAAAAACCTCAAACACGATTGGCTGTTTTTCTTGCCTTGGAATATTCAACTGTTTACGACATTATATCACAGGAATAAACTCTCTTTCCGCTTTCTCATGTGTATTTCCAAGTTCTAATCTGATCATTTTTGATGGCGCAGCGAATTTAAACCTCACACCTGTGGAAACGGATTGTTTAAACGGCCCGATAACTACCTGAAAGGGCGGGAAAATGGATTTATCAAAATACTACGTGATACACCAGATCCAGAGCTTAAATTTAAGGGCGGCTACAGCTCTGTTAGAGCAGTAGAACGCAATATATAGTCTGATTAGAGAACTGTTAATTCTTTAGCGGACCGGGAAAGTAAATTAGAGATATATGTGTCCAGTTTACATTGAAAAATTGATTGAGATTTGCCGTCACGCTACAATTTTGATTGTTACAATATAGGCATTGAATTGTATTCTCGTGGTTTGTATAGGGGTCTGTATGGACCATTTGATTGGCTACCCACGCACATACCGTTACCAAGTCAACTGTCTTGTACAATACAATACTAAGTAAAATCATTGCAGCCAATTTTCTAATTGTAAATGTTGACCCCAATTTTATCAATAATGGTATTGCAATTTTTATTTATGCAACGCATGAGATACACCGTGTGTCTGCATTGACTGGTGATGCATCGACAGTTTTCTATGACTGTCGGTTCTCCGGTCGAGAGCGGTGTCAATTCCTGCTCTGCATCACTCGGTAGTTAATATCCATCACGTGGCAGCATTATATAGTTCGAAGTTCATCCCAGCCTCTTACAACTAGTAGTATTAATATTGAGCAAGCTACTAGCCCAGGTTTTGCAAAACAGGTATTATTCAGGTCTGGCGACAGGTATTGTCCAGGGATAATTTATCCCGTTTTTTATTACCGTCATTTCAGCTTTTGCCTCAAAGCCACCAATTCGAGGGGGGCAGCTCCAGCCACGTGGCATTCGACGTGCGGCGGCTGCTCGGCCCTGGAGACCCCAGCATCATGGCGCGCACCCCCAAGACGGCCCATATCAAGGCGCGGCAGGAGGAGGAGGCACGCAGGAAGGTGACCAGCGCGCGCAACAGATCGCAGCGATCACAGGCGCTTCAGGATGCCCGCGACTCACGGGCCACGCAGTTCGGCCCTCATGCGACTGCAGAAGGCGACTCATCCACTGGCGATGAAGAGGAGAAAGCGGCCGAAGAGGAAGAAGATGTCGCAGAAGAAGAGGAAGAAGATGATGATGAAGAGGTAGAAGACGCCGAAGATGCAGACGAAGAGGAAGACGGAGATGAAGAGGTTGAAGAAGATGACGAAGATGAAGAAGAGGACGCGCAGAAGAAGAAAAAGAAGAAAGGAGCTACCAAGGACGGGCAGCGCCAAGGAAAGAAGCGCACCGTTTCCGACGTTGAAGACGAGGACCTGGTGCACGTTCTAGCGTTCAAGGCCCAGCATGACTCGTGGCCCCTGCTTGATGTCAGCCTACAGGAGTACATGGATGCGACGCGACAGAAGATCGTCATCGCGGAGGTCATCAACGTGACTCGCCGCAACGCAGACTTGCGTAAGCAGGTCCGCTTCCGAGGGCTTCCTGACACAGAAATTCCTCTCGTACCCGACGAGTGGGAGCCCTATCAGCGGAAGTACATCTGCACACACGGCTGGAAGGAGCGTGAGAGATCGACGGGGAAGAGGACGTCGCGCAAGCTCCGCCGAACTGAGTGTCCGTTCCAGATGCTTGCACAAGTCGGCCTTCGCCGAGATGGAAAGTTGGGCATCGTCATGAAGCGAGAAGTCTACAGCCACAACCACCCCGTTTCCGACGACATCTACAGGTCTTACCCAGGTATTTGCCAGGTTCCTGCCGAGTCTCCGCTCATGCCCGGAATCGAGCTCCTGGTCGACACCCAAGCCAGCACTTCCTTCTTATCTGCCACTTTCATGTCATCAAGTGGCTTCATGAAACCATCAAGAAATCGCAGACCTATGGAGCCTACGAAGCAGACGTTTTGACGCAGATGAAGCACACCATCACGAACATGACATACTCCAGAACTGAGGAAGACTATGTGCGGCATCGGGATGAGTTCAAAAGTCTGGCCTCGCGGAATGGTCGTGTGGAGCTATGGGAGTATTTCGACAAGAACTGGAATGCGTGCCGAGCGATGTGAGTGATGGCTTACCGTGTCGATTTGCCACACTTCGGCAATCACACGAATAATCGTGTCGAGAGCCTATTCGGTAAGCTGAAGCGAAAGCTGAAAGGCCATCTAACTATGCGCGCTAGTCTGGAGGTGCTTCTGGAATATCAGCGCCGCAAAGAAGAAGCCTATCGGTCCAAGGTCGGGATGCCGGGTACCCTGAGAGACGCCTCGTACCCTGAGGAGTTGAACGTCGCTCTGGGCATGACCACAAGGTGGGTAGCAGCTGCTCTGAAAACACAATTTGATATTGCTACGAACCCCGGGGTTGACACTGTGCAGGCCATGGGAAGAGCTTTCCTTCCTTGTGCACGCGCGCGACCAGTCTTCCCCCGAGGCGAATCGATACCTACGCTTTCAAGGACAATGGCGCTACGATCACCGTACAAAGCGAGGAGAACGAGTATCTCCTCGAGAAGGAAGGCTGGGTGTGCGACTGCGAGTTTTCGCAGACTATGAAGCTTCCGTGCAGACATGCAATGGTCTACAGAAAAGTGTGTGGAAGCCCCTTCATCATCCCTTTCTCTTCCATTTCGCCCAGGTATGTCCAGTTTTTCTATGAGTCTTGACCAGGTGTTATCCAGGTATCTCGTTTTACCCATGTATTGACCAAGTTTTTACCATGTTTTGTTATTGATGTGCATGAATAGGTGGTTTGGACAGAATCGCATCTCGCAACAGGACTTGATGGAGGTGGAAAATCCGTTAGTTGCTAAGCTCTACAAAGGGCATCCAGCTGCGAGCGCTGGCAGTTTGAGTGAAGCCGAGAAGTATCGGCGTTCGCAGTAGGCGTTTGGTCGAACTAGCAGCGAGCTTGTCCGATGCGATGACACTGTGTTCGAGTCTGCAATGAAGCAGATTGATAAGTGGTGGTACGACTTACGTCATGGGAAGTTTCCGCTGGTGCAAGCTGATGCAGACTTCGTCGACGATTCGGGGCCCGATCAGGTTGGCGCTAGTGGTGGCGGGGCCAACAGTATTAGCAGTGATAGCCACGGAGGCGGTGGAGGTAGCCCAGGAACGGGGGGTACGAATGGTCGTCCTAGTGCTTCTGGTGGAGAGGATGCTCACGAAAAAGGACCAGATGATGACGAAGACGAACCCCCGACACAAGTGACAGCCTCTGCCCAGGAATCGGTGCAGCCAGGCAAAGGCTCAAAGGTTCGACTGACAAACAAGAGGCGTGTCGGTCGACCACGGTTGAATCGTGCTCAGATGAGAGGGAAGGCAGCATTGGCGCTGAAAGAATACAACAATGGAATGAAACTCAGAGCTCTACTACGAGATAAGGACGTGACGGAAGTGGCAGCAACGCTGGAATTGATTAAGCCATGTGTCCGCGAGCTCAGCTCGTTTTTGACTACGCATGAAACAAAGAAGAAAGGTGACGGAAAATCAATCCAGTGGATGTCGGACACGGAATATATTTGCGAGGTTGTGCGCTTCCGACTACCGGAGTCCGTCGTTGAAGACGCTCTAGCTGAACTGAGAGGTGGCTTGGCAAAAGGTCCATACACACCGCTACATGGCTTTGGCTTCGACCTGACCTACGCAGACCTTTTCTGCTTCAGAGACTCCGCTTGGCTGAACGACAACGCCTTGCGGGCGTTTACCGTGTTTCTGTCTACTTACAAGAACAACGTGACGGCGATGGTTCCTCCTCTTAAGAAGGGTAAGATGGGGAAGCACATACTCGCACCAACGTCGCTGGACGAGGTTGCTAGTGGTATTGAGGCGCATGCTCTTGTATTTATGCCGGTCGATTTTGGTGGAGTTCATTGGGGATGCATCGTAGTGCACCGTGAAGCGCGGCTAGTGAAGACGTATGACAGCATGGGTGGGGAGAGAAACAAGAAACGGCTTAAGAAGATGGCAAACGAGCTCCTTGCAGGCCCCCTTGAGGATGAAGCTTACAGCGACATCAAAGTGACGGAGCCGAAGCAGACAGATGGCGATAGCTGCGGGGTGTTTGCGTGCCGTCTATTGTGGACGTGCGTTGACAGCGAAGTGCCAAGTGATGTGTCTCCCAGTGGCGTCACCAAGCTGCGTTGGGCAATGCTGCACACGATCACCACGATGAAGCGTAGCTAGACAGTGAGCAGCAGCGAGAAGTGAATCTAATGGATAATACATGGACAACTTTGTTTGCAACCTGTAAGAAACCTGTACGAGTAGATGGGTACACAATGATTGTTTTGAAGCCATTATCATCTCGTGTGGTTCCGATTGATACCAATCGATGCCACTTCGACTTTTTACCGAGTAGTGCACACATGAGTTTACCAGGTTTTCATACCTGCAAACTACCTGGACACTGAAACTAGAAATGAATGGCTAGAATGCATCCGACACAGCCTGTAGGCCGTCATTTTCACTTTTCCTCAAGTACTATGCACATGAGTTTTCCAGGTTTTTAACCTGCATTAACTGTTCTGGTAATTTAATCATCCTTGTTTAAATTACTTTCATCTGATAACGCTCATAATTCATATACCTGGATATATTGCCGTTTGCAGATATTTTGGCCAACGCATGCTTATTATCTCGTTAATAATCTCGATTTTAATCCAGCCAGCTCTTAATTAAGTCCTAGGTCTGATTTATATATCTCGCCAGTACGGTCTAAGATCCAAGGCGCTTTTCTACGACTTGGAAACGCAGAAATGCCATTCTAGACGGGCCAAACCGAGTTTCTGGGCCTAAAAGCGGCCCCCAGCAAAGCATAAAGCTAAATCAGCCCTCGCCTATCTCGTGTCCACTCATTAAGAGACAGGCGTGGTCTATTTTAGAGGTCTATTTTAGAGGGCAAAGTATTTGCAAGCGGCAATAACCTGGGGCATCACCTGGACAATACCTGCAGAATCAGAAATCTGAGTATTTTTCTAACCTGGGAAACCTGGGCGCGTAGGCTGTCCATTAATATTATTTATCTTGTAATATCCCTACGGTACATGTAGAATATTTTTGCCACCAGATCTGGGCGTTCAATCAATATGCAATCTATATTTCCACAGTCCTGTTTCATTGTTGTGGAGGTACTTGTACACGCATCGTATTAAGCTTAGCACGCAATAGCTAGCTACATGGAGCACCTCTGTGCTTGGCAGATGACTTCTTCAGCACCGAAGAACCGGCTTCTTCGGCGCAACAAGTTCGGACGCCAATGTCGCGAGTACCTCCATCGTGGCGTAGTCCTTGGTCGAAATGTTGTCATAAGGTACGGCGTCTGCAGCACACAGTGATGCCACCACTTCGCCGTTGGGCCCGTGAACCGGAAAGCCCGCGTAGAACTTGACGCCGAGGTCCTTGACGCACGGCATCTGCGAGTAGCGCATATCGCGCATGGGGTTCTTGAGGATCAGGGGCTTCTCAGCATAAACTGCATGAATACAGACGTTGATAGTGCGTGGTAGCGTGAATGCCTCCTCCGGCAGGTTGTACGTGCCGATAGCGTGGGAATTGTCGTTGTCCACGACGGACACGAAGCCGATGGGGCAGTTCAGACGCTTGGCCGCCACTTGGGCCACCAGATCCAGCGCTGCATGGTCGTATTCGGGCTGGAGGACTCCCATCTGCTCGATGACCTCAAGGCGTCGAACCTCCTTCTTCGGCGCGGGCATGGGAGGCATGGGGTGGTCCACCGCTTTGGTCTTGTCCGCGCGAACTCGAACATGTAGTCGCGCTCCTCAATATCCGCGATGACGCATTGATCCAGATTACTGAAGCGGTCCTTCATCACGCGGAGACTCTGGCTCAGGTAGTTCTCCACACCCTGCGCCACTAGTTGAACCTTGCTGACATTCTTGCGGCGTTTGCTCTTGTTGTGAGCCTTAGCGCGCTTCGCATCAGGACTCACAAAGTCGTACTCGTGAATGGAGGCCACTGGGTTCCCCAATTGCCCCAAGAAGTCCAAAGCGTGCGAGTTCTGGCTCGGATCGTCCGAGTACAGCTGCTCCGTTAGCTCCTCGACATAGCTCGAGTCCGACGTCATGGACGCCGTGTCTCCGTCTCCCTCCATCGCGTCTAAATGGTACTTGTCGTCGTTGTACCAGAGAGCATCGTCCACTGCAACCACAGCAGGACCCAGTGCCTCCAGCAAGTCTTCATCATCAAACGTACAGGAGTCCACACGGTGCACACACTGCAAGCAGCATCTATTCCGACGGAGCTCCCCCACGCGAGCCTCCACCTCGTACAGTTGCGAGCAATCACCGCAGGCCATGTGCCCACACAAGTGGCAGAAGAAGTCGCGACGGAAGAAGTGGAAGCGCTTGGCGCAAATGGAGCAGGCCTTCTCCAACGACAGATCGTCGTACCCGGTGGGGAAGTAGATGAACGTCTGGAAGCCGAAGCGGCGACGACGCACCACGCGCTCGAATTGACGCAGAGACTTGGTCAGCACGTTCAGCACGTGCTTGGCCTCCGGGTTCATGATAGTCTCTCGACGTCGCGCTAGCTCAGCAGGGGTTACCGATGTTGCATCACTGGACTTGGTGCTCTCTCCGAACTGCGTTGGGAGCGTAGGCGACGCGTACCCATGCGCGAAGATGCGCGTGACGTGGGTGTTGCTACCGGCAAAACCTTGGCTACTATGAGTGCTCTGGATGTGAAAGCCCACGCTCAAGTGATCGACTTCGTTACGCAGCGCAGTTCGGTCGGACCTTGGGATCAGTTGGTCGTGTAACTCTTTGAGCAGCGTCTTCATGATGTGGACGGCGCGGTCCTGACCCGGATACTGTTGCGTGAAGGTGGAGAAGCAGAGCTTCTGCGTCTTCTTGTTGGTGCCTCCCAGGTCCACGGGCATCCGCGGACGCAGCGTCGCGACATTGACGCCGATCAACGCCTGCTCCGGAGACTCCTCCTCCTCTTGTTTCTCCATATCCAAACGTGACGCCACCACCGACTGGCGTCGCAGCTCCGACGACAGCAGACGTCGCTGGCTGAAGAGCACGTCGCCCTTTTTGAATTCTTGCCGGCCAGCGCCTTCATGGTGGACTCGGGCGTGATCAACACATTTAGCACCTCATTCAAATGGCAACGAAGCTCCACCTTGGCGACTACGGCGTAGGCGATGTCCCGGTCTTCGTCCACCGCTTGATCCCCAGATGCCGTGGAGAGCTCGAACAGGTCGACGCCGTGACGACGGTGGCCCTGCCTCCAGCGACGACCGTACGTGTCGCCCGCGACTGCCATGTTGAGCTGGGCACCGTCGCGACGATGTCGTCGCAGATGTCTTGGTCGGACATGACGAGCTTGTCGCGGCCATTGGGGGCCGTGACCACGAGGCCGACCGGGGGTGCGCCATAGTACTCGCTGGCGCCGTATCGAGAGCCCATAACGGAGACTGAAGGTGAAGCCACCACACCGCAACTTGCGAAGTGAGCTTGTGAGAAGAGGCTAGCATGAGGATAGAAATTGACGGGGCATCGACCGATGTGGGGTGGTGCGTGTTGCGCCATTGACACGTCAGGTGGTGGTGGTGCAATTTGTACTATACCTGGTCCCTTGGCTCCAGGAAACTTTCGGTGTGAAGTTCACACTCGACTTCACCGGTAAACGATCAAGTGAATACCGTAGATCACTTCCTGCGCAGGCCAAGATCCACGGCTTCAACACTGAGGTTGCGTGTCGTTGGTAACCAACCTGGTTGCAAGCGTGCGAGCTCCTTCGTCCCACCGCGTTCAATATTCCTACTTACTGGGTTCTGGCAGCAGTAACGAGACGAAGTTCACCTCTTCGTGACCTCATGAGCGATATCTCGGCTTGAAGAGCTCCAATCGCACCCACGTACGCAGCCTACTACAGTAGCAGGTAAAGTCTGGCCACATGCGCAAGTCCCTCGCAAATGGACGACCGAAGGAGGCATTCGCGAAATTATCGTCGCAGTTCCATGCAATCAGTTCCGACCGGAGCTCATTGTACCGAGTGCTGAAAAAGGGAAATTCCGAACAGGCTCGACGAAATTGCGGGGTACCAACCACTGCATCTGCTTGTATGGAAGTAACATCACATTCTATCGCCAGGAATTTATAGTTTTGGTTGCTGAGAGCGTTCATTCGAGGGTGCACCTAGAGGAAGACCCGAGGGATCTCCTTCTCCCAGTTCTTCTCGAAGAAAACCTCGTCGTTCAGACGCACGATCATGCGGTCTTTAAGGAAGAATGAGTTCGCGTCGGAAGCCATAGAGTTGTCCGTCTCCACCTTGACCTTCCACGGCAGCACCGGGTGCTCAGCGAAGTCGGTGCGTTCCAGCTTGAGGTCGTCGATTTGAGTCGCTGCAGCCACTTGGTCGGCGAACTTGGCCAGAAGCTCACTGTGGACATTTGACGGCAGTTTCTCGTACGTGAGCGTGCGCTGGATGCTGACGCGCGGGCGGAGGCACTGCGGGTCGATGGTGTACGTCTTGGTGGCTGTCTCCTCCATCGCGATCCCTTCGTCGACCAGCAAGTCCTTGCCTTGATCTTCTTTGACCACGAGTTGCTGCATGGGCTGAGACGAGTCCGTCTCGGACAGAAACAGCGTCAGGTTGCGCTCCAGCGGCAGCGCCTCCCGCAGTGAAATCGTGCGTGACGGCGTTCCCGCATCCAGCGGATACTCCTCCACAGGACACTTGGCTGCATTATCACTCGGAGCAGGACCCTCGGGCAAAACAGGGAGCTTAAGCACATTGGCCTCAGCAAAGGAGACCTTGAGCTCCACTGGCTCGGGGGACGGCCACACCATGGGCCAGTAGTTGGGCGTGAGCGAGAGCACCAGCGTGTGGCCGGCGCGCAGTGTGTACGCGCACGCGTTGAGTTGCCATGTGACTCGAGTCCCCACGCCAATAGGCATGTGCTCCAACTGCTCGAGCTTGTGGCCGTGGCGGTGGCTCAGATTCTCCACGCCACGCGTGATCAGCGTCGACTTGCCCGAAGGAGAAACGTCGCTCAGACGCGCCATGATGAGCGCCTGGGGCTTGTCGGACTTGACGAACAGACTGATCTCAGGCCGACCGACGATCTCAATGTCTTCTTCTAGCGGGCCAGTGGACCAGGTCGTCGCTATCGCGTCCTCACTCGCTTGGTTACCCGGCATATCCTCACCACCAAACGACAGCCACTCGCCGCTCCACGCGCCCTGCAGACTGTTCAACGCGATGGGACGTTCGTTGGAATTGGGCTGCTCAGCCTCACCCCGGAGCTTATAACCCCCTTCACTTGAGCAGTAGAACGTCACCCACTTCTGTTCCAGCTTGTCGACGTCGTCCACGCCGCACCACTTGCCAGGGTACTCTAGAATTCTGGCCGTTGGGTTCTCGATCTCGTCCTTGATGAACAACTGCAGGTCTGGGAACTTGGCCGCGGCCTCGTCCATCTTGCCGTTCAATGAGTGCTCCCACCACTGCCGACACATTTCCAGGAATCCGATCTGAGGCCCTGGTGTCGCGTGGTTCGGCCAGTTGTGACTCCACGGTCCGATGACGCCTTTGCTCGGCGAATTCTTCATGCCCTTGACCATCCGCGCCACCCCGTTGAAGTACCCGTCGTTCCAGCCGCCGATCTCTAGCACCGGACACGTCACCGTGTCGTACGACTCGCAGATGGATCCGTGCTCCCAGAATTCGTCTCGAGTCTGGTGCGCGAGCCACTCGTGCAGCCACGGGAACTGCTTGCCCAGCCTCTCTCGCCATCGAGCCTTCCACTCGTCCTCCCAGCCCACGGTCTCTGGCGCCATGGGCAACCCGTTCAAGCTAAACATGACGGTAGCCCAACTCAACGCCTCAGAGCCCAACACGGCTCCTCCCATGTAGTGCACGTCGTCTGCACTGCGGTCGTCAATGGAGTAGAGCGACACCACACCGCGTAGAGCGGGTGGAGCCATTGCAGCCAACTGCAGCCCATTGAAGCCTCCCCAGCTCTTGCCGAAGACACCCACGCGACCCGTGCACCAGCTCTGAGCCGCGAGCCACTCGATGACCTTGACCCCGTCCTGCAGCTCCTGCAGCGTGTACTCGCCATAGTAGTGGCCCTCGCTGTTGCCGGAGCCTCGGATGTCCACGCGCGCCACTGCAAAGCCGCGTTGCGCCAGCCAGACGTGGTTGCGCGCGTCCCGCGTGGACGTCCAGTCCGACTTCCGGTACGGAATGTACTCGAGCACGACCGAGTACTTGGTATCAGTAGTGGGGGGCTGCGGCAGCCAAATTCGGGCGGACAAGCGCGTGGAGGCGTCCACGGGGATCCACACGTTCTCCAGCACGCGGACCTCGCTGATAACGGTTGGCGCCCCCGCCATGTTTGCTTGCTTGAGAGGTATTAATACCGTTGCACTGAATGTGGTCACTGACGTTGTGATGTGCAAGGAGACGCATCAATCAAGGGCATCAAGCACAAAGATGTTGCAGGTTGTCATTGAAACGAGGGAGATGGCATTCTTTTGAGATAAATTTCGCTGGCGAAGATAATTATGAAAACAGCCCTGTTGTGAAAAACTTTACCGGTATTACTGTAGGATAAGTAGTATTTGGCCGGACACCCGACCCCTAGGCTAAGCTTGCCACCTCGCTGTAGCCAATCAGTGAATTTTTGTTATCATTTGAGGCTTAATGACCTATTTTGCATCCAATCGTCGCTTATCAGGGTTAGGTTTATTCCGTTCCAACTTATTTCTGGAATTGTTCGGAATTTCCTGCTTCGCGCAAATAAGTAACCATACAAAACTAAATATGTTTCTCGTTCTTACTGATAAGTGCAATACCTGCCGGATGTAGCCACATTCAGGCTTGCCCATGACTGACAGCGAGCTTCTCGTGGTCTCGACAACCGTCGCTGGAAGGTTAAGGCCGACTCCAACACGCAAAACGCTGTAGACCGCTTCTGTGGCCGAGTAAACGAAAGGCAGAATAAGCTTAGTAGATAACTAATGTCCTAGATGATCATCGAACTTCCGAGTTTTGCAAAATCCTGTAGTCTCTACTGGATCTAGCTACGCATTGTTCGTCTCGACCGTCCACGTTGGGCTGCATCGCCGCCGCCTCTACTTCACGTCTTCTCCTGCTTCCGCTCGGACTGCGCGGCACAGCACAGCACCCGGGTGTGTATGGTGCCGAGGCCAGCGTCTCGTGTAGTCCAGCCCACTCCGCGCGCGCCTGCTCCTCCTCTGTGACTTGTCCTCCTGCCCCCCCTCACCCTCCTGCACGTACAGCTCCTTGACCTTGTGCTCCAGCTGTGCCAGCAGCTCCTGCTCTTGGCGGGAAGGCGCCACCTCGATGGAAAGTTTCCTTGACCTTACTCTCGAACTTCACTTGCTTCTTCGTCGTGACTGTTGTAATGCGATGCGGGTCGCGTCATCGCTCCGACCTCGCTGCTCACCGCGCTCACCGCCTTCGCCGGCACCGTCTCCTTCGTCTCGGGCGGCGGACGCCGCTTGGAGCGGGTGACACTGACGGCCGGCCTGATAGCAGCAGCGGCGCCGACGGCACCCGCGGCCAGGCCGTTCACTTTGCTGCCGTCGAGAGCGACGTGGTTTGACGTCACGGTCGCGTCCCTCGTCACCCCCGTGGTCCTCCGTCGGCCGCACTTCACTCAACGCGCAGCCCCGCTTGTCGCCGTATGTGCCTCGAGCTTCTCCGTCTTCTCTTCCTCCTTCTCACATGCCTACTCCTTGCTCGGCACCACCGCCCTGTGCGCACTACTCCTGTAGCGCCTCCTGCCTCACATCGCGCTCGCTATGCGCTGCTTGCGCATCGGCATCTGCCGCGTCGCCTCCATGGCGTACAGCTCGGCCTCGACGGAGAGGCTCCTCGGGCCGCACGGCGTCACTCAGCGCCTCGAAGCTACTGATCATCCACTCGTCGCGCCCGCCTCCTCCTTATGCTCGCGCGGTCACGTCCAGCTCGCCCGCCGGAGCGCCTCCTGCCGGTACTGCGCTCTGCGCGTTCTTACTCGCGATCACGCTGAAGCTGTGGCCACCTCCGATCACCGCTTCCGTGTCGCCGTGGTGAGGCACAATAGCATCTACGCCCACGGCGCACCGTGACCTGTCTTCTTCCTCGCGCTCCAGTCCACTCCTAGCCGCCTGCCATCCGTCCCTACGTCATACTTAAAAAAACTGAACCGAGATATTTACAATAGCCCGATTTTCATATCTATCGCCGTCCGGAATGAATAAGTGGGCGCTGATTGGCACAAGTGATTTTATGTTTCGCCAGTGTGTCTCTATTGCAGGTTTGACAGGTTTCCGGATTCCGGTCCGGAATCTGACAATTACTGTTAGATGGAGATTCTCCAGTCGAGAACCAGGCAGCAAATATGCATGGTACTCGGGAGTACCTACATGCAGTGGTCTACTACATGCATCATAGTAGTAGGCAGTAAATTAGTTCGTAAATACATGTATTGTGCTTTGCAAACGTTTGGTCGTTTTGACTCGGAGCTCTCCTCGATTTATCATTAAGTCGAGGTCGATTTTATAAAACGAGGTCAAAGAAAGGGACAGATCGATCTATTTAGGACGGCTAATAACTCGATCTACGACAATCCAAATCAGGGCTCGAGGTCGATCTCCTGGTGGATCTGGGCAGACGAGATCGATCTACGGTAAACCGATCCCTTTTGCGAGTACAAAAGCGCAATTCGAGGTCGATCAAAGTAAATCAAGGTCGTCCATGCTACCGCCTCTGTTTTGTGCCCTGATTTGTGGACCGGCCATCCTCGATCTAGGCCTAAAACGGGGCGAAATATTATCTGCAAAGCACAATATAACATACACAGTAGTTTCTTGTGAGTAATGGAAGAAGACGCAAGTTTTAAGACACAAAGTCGCGCATTGCACGAGGAAGATCTCAAAAAATTAGTATAACAGTTCATTTGTTGTTTGTAAAAACCCGCGTTGTTCATTGCCCTGCAACGTATCTCCTGCGCCTAGTTCGCAGTCGCGGCATCTACTAATTCGGTTAGGAACCTGTACATTTTTTTCTTATTCGTTTTTTTATCGACCACAATCAACTTATGTACACGCAAACTACTTGGATAACTACTCCTTTGCTTACTTGTTGTTTGAGTTTTTCGCTTCAAAGTTAAAAGAAAGTAATACAATAGCACAATATCGCCTAGGCATCTTCATACTGACAGCTCAATCCTGTCACGTCCTAGATGTTCGTGTCGATCGATTCATCGCCCAATCCGCCTTAAGGGTGTCGTACTTAGCCGCCTGGCCATTGATCATCATCTCCACCTTCTCCAGCGTTTCAAAGTCCATCTGCACCAGCTTGTGCACGAGTAGATACTTAGGGCCTTGTGCGTCAGGTCGTGGTGACCCACCACTGGTGGGGGTGATTCACATGAGATAAATTCTGACTGGTTACCCGGGCCCCGTTGGTCCCGGGGGGCAGTTCGTAAGAAAGGTTAATTCTGGTGTACTAGTTGCGTCTACCGTAGGTGTTGTGTATTGTGTGTTAGTCGCAGAAAGCGAGCATACACATCATTACAAGACGGGGGTCTAGAGCTCGGAAGGGAAAAACCTAAGTGCGTAGGATATGTTGCGGCAATGTTGTATAGATTTCGTTCAGATTTCCATAAAAAGGCCAGTTCTAGACAACTTATCCCCGACATCAACTCCACAGGTTTTCGATTCTGACGGAGGGCATACCCCCCCCCCCCACACACACACAATGCTGACTTTATCGGAGTCACTGGCCGCACACTTTGGATTAGAACGTTTGTGTGAGCACGGCTTCCTCGCAGTAAGCTTATCAGGTGACGCTAGTGGACTCGACGTTATAACCAACAACCATGTGGGACAACTAGATTCCTTTATTTTCCAATTGAAAAAAATCACAAGCGACTTGGGCGCGCCCCACTTGCGGCGCGCCACTCGCAATAACAAAATATCTTCTCTGAGCTTACGCTTGATTGGCTTGAGTGGGTCGGTCGTGATGATTTCTTGTTCGTCTTCCCCTTCGTCTTGAATTGATTCCAAATCGTCCAAATGAGGATGGTCGAACGTGTTGAGCTGCTTCTCCTTCCTTTGACGCAGGGTTGAGTGGAGGCCGCTGTCAGCTCTGGAATAAGACGCCTGCCGTTTCAACGGTATCGCTGCTTTCTTGGACTGTGTAGATATTGAGGACAGTGATTTTGCAGGTGACGGTGCTTCGCCATCACCAGGCTGCTTACGAGACTTCATACCGTAGGACACGGATTCATCATCGCTGCTGTAGATGAGATCATCCCCGTCAGCCGCCTCCGCTACTCGACGCATAATTCTTCGTGTCAGCGCTCTTTGGCGTCCTCTTCATCGCTCTTGCTGTCATCGTTTGGGTTCCACATTGCTGTACGGTAAGGGTTATCCGTCACTGTAATGGAGTGCAGGAACGTTGGCTATTGCGAGAACCGGAACGTGCTGTGGATCTGGATTTCCCCGACTTTAATGACTTGAGCTGGATCGAGGTTCGCAGCGAGTAGATATCTTGCAGTCGGGCGCCTTTACGCACGTGCTGGTAGACTCTTCCAGCGTGACTTTGTCTTTTAGCACGTCCAACGTGTCGCATTCTGCAGTACCAAAAATCAAAGTGAAGACCAAGTTTCGCCACACTAAAGGGTTAATTATGCACCTGAAGACTCAAGCGCAGGCTGCTTCGCCTTCTTGCCCTTATACAAGCATCCAGTTCATGTCCGTTCTCCTGTTCAGTAAATTCTAAAATGGCATTAAGCGAGCCGGCCCCGCTCGGATCGTGAACATACCTCAATCTAAAGGGCTTCTGACCTATACCTTTTCTCTTTGTCGTCAGGGGACTCCCCCAGTGATTGAAAAAAATGCATTGGCAAGCATTGCAAATGTACCGTACCATTGCAATATCGACGCCAATGTTACCTCTCGGTAAAATCGTGTCATGCAGTATTGCCTGAGCTCCCAATAGAGTATTGCAATGCTCCAGCACTATCCAATACCGTATTTTCATACCAGCTGGTTACCGGCTAACCATTGCTACTAACGTTTGCTACCAGGTAGCGCTACCAACCATCGCTGCCAACCATCACTGCCAACCATAGCTAAGCCCAAAGTCTTTATTTCCGTTGCTTCCATCCTCACTTTCAGGTTAACTCTCCGACTAGAAACCACTTCCGCCACAACTGCACGTTTGGCACGCACTCGAGTTCCAGACGTAGCTCGATACTACTTAAAGATCAACCCCGCCGGTGGCAATCGTGCCTACACATGCGACAAGTGCAAGACCACACCTATGAACAAGCTGGTCACGGGTTACACTAATCTGCGAAGACATTTGACGTCGTCCATCGGTGTCGACTCCAACGAGAAGACACGGCTGCACACAAGAGCCAAACCAACACTCTGTGGTTTCAAGTGATCAACTACGTGCGTGAACGTGAGTACGTAGTATTCAAATGGGTCACGTGGCTGGTCATGCGCGACATGCCCTTCTCAGAAATCGACAATGATCTCACACGCGAGTTGGCGGGCATGCCGAAGTCTGCGCACGTGTCAAGCCGCTCTATCAAGACGTACGTCTACCCCTTATTGAAGCTACCATCGCGGCTGAGCTGCCGCACAAGTTTGCCGTTATGTTTGACGGCTGGAAGCATCGCACGACGCACTATGTTGCCGTCTTCGCGGTGTACGTCAAGGACAACGAGAGCAAAGGGGTGCTTTTGGGAATTTCGCCTCCACTGGATTGTTGTGATTACACTTCGCTGTCTACTCGACGGGGCCCCTGCTACGAGTCTCATGGCCTGCGCGTGGGTGGCGCGTGCCTCTAGGGGGCGGTAGTTGAAGTGGAGCGACTGATTGGCGGATCATCTGGGGTCGCGTGGATATGATTGGACGAGACGGTTGAAGTCGGATCAACAGCTGTGATTAGCATGGGATAATCACATGCATTGACGAGACAGCCGTGTCCGTCCCACTGGATTTGAGTATGGACCGTGCCCGTCCCAATCAAGTGTGTCCGTCCCGGGACACTGTGATTGGCCGACGGCCCGTGCCCGTCCCACTCGAGTGTGACCGCTGCACATGCATATAGTTAAATGAAGTCAAACGAGGGAGACACTAGGAGAGCTACAGGAGTAGGAAGGAACAAGCAGAACAAAGACAACTAACTCAAATAAACTCACTTTCTGATTTCCTTCCTTCTGCTCACATCGACTACAAGCCTCATTCGCCACTCTCAATTGGTTATGAGCCCAAGCTACGCGGACACCGTCAAGCTCGTGGAAGACAACTACTTCCACTGGGAGTTCAACATGCGGGTGAAGCTTTCTCGCAAGGGACTGCTGCCCCACATCATCAGGGCGGAGTTCGACCCGGTGAGCAACCGCACCACGGTCGTATGGAAAACCGACGATCTGAAGGCCCTTGGCGTGATCGCTGGTGACGTCAGCCTCACGTTCCAAGTCTACATCCGTGGTGCAATGACTGCCATGGACGCATGGACCATGCTCCAGGAGCAGTTCAACCGGAACACGATCAAGAACCGACTCCTCGTCACCAAGAAGCTGCACAACATCAAGATGGGGCCTGGTACGCGGCTCGCAACGCATGTGGACCGATTCAAGGAGCTCGTGCTCCAGATGGAGACGATTGGTGAGCCTCTGGACGAGACTCGTTAGTTCGTGCTCCTGCTCGGTAGTTTGACGGACGAGTACCGGATGATCAGCACCGTGCTCGAGAACACGCCGAACATGACGATCTCGTACGCGATCCAAGCGCTCTCTGATGTTGAAACCTCAAGTGGCTCGTGGACTCCGGTGCCAGCTCGCACATGACCAGCGTCCGGGACAAGTTTGTGTCCATGAAGGAGCTGAAGACGACGGTCCGCATCACCATCGCGGACGGTACGAAGATCGACGCGGTTGCAAAGGGCACCGTCGGGTTGAAGCTGATGGGCGGAACGTCGGTTACGCTGTCGGATGTGTTATACATCCCTGAAGTTGATGGAAGCCTCATCTCGGTTGCTAAGCTGGTCGAGAAAGACGTCATCGCGCAGTTCAGCGAGGACAAGTGTGGCTTTCGCTATGGCGACGCTACCGTCATGGAGGCCAAGCGCTGTCGAAACGTCTACAAGTTGAATACAGTGGGGGACGGCATCTCGTAAGGAGCCATGGGCTGTTGTGCACGCCCGTCTCGGCCACATCCCATTCAAGCGCTATGAACAGCTGCTGACCATGGCAGAAGGGGTGTCTCGCGTTACGAATGGTGTCACTAGTAACAACGGCTGCGCAGGCTGCTGCATGGGCAAGATAAGAGCCGACGACTATCCCCGACACCCGGAGCAGCTCGTCAAGAGTGCAGGCGTACTGGATTTGGTGCACACGGACGTGATGGGTCCGATTCAGACCAAGACTCCCGGTGACTGAACGTACGCGGTGGCCTTCATTGACGACTACTCACGCAACGTGACGGTCTACTTCATGAAGGCCAAATCGGAGGTGCTGTCCCGGTTCAAGATCTTCAAGGCAGCAATGGAGAGCGGAACGGGTAAGACGATCAAGCGCCTGCGTTCGGACAATGGCGGCGAGTACACAGGAAAGGCGTTCAAAGCCTACCTCGGCCGCAACGGCATCAAGCATGAGAAGACGGTGCCGTACACGCCTCGGCAGAATGGATTGGTTGGGCGCATGAACAGTTTGGTGGAGATGGCGCGCTGCATGCTCTACGATGAAGGAATCGACAAGAAGTGGTGGGCAGAATCTGTCAACACGGCGGCGTGGATTATCAACCGGATCCCCAACTCAGTGAATGTGAAGACGCCACATGAAATCGTTTACGGGACACGCAGCTGAAGAACATGAAGGTGTTCGGTGCACTTGGCTACGCGCGCATTCCCGACGAGAAGCGCCGCAAGCTGGATGCTAAGGCCTTCAAGTGTCGTTTCGTGGGCTACGAGGACGGTGTCAAGGGATACCGAGTTCTCAACGCGGCGATAGGCAAGGTGCACATCGTGCGCACTGTCAAGTTCATGGAGACGACGAGTCTGCAACACGTGGTGCCCAAGTCGACGACGAGGTCACAGCTATGGAGCCTAGTCACGGTGGATTGCAACCGGAGGAGTCGAAGCAACTCGTGCCAACAGTTGCTGAAGCTGGTGACGTGATCCCACTTCAACGCGACGCGGGTGTAAACGATGCGATTGTGGCATACGGTTCGACCGATCCTATGATTACCCGGTCGCGAGCTCGCCACATTGACGAGACAACGGATCCTGAAGTGGCAGGAGCCCGCAAGACGCAGGTGGTGGCGCCGTCGACAACCAGCACGAAGCCACAGAAGATGACCCGAGGCAGAGCCCAGGTGCGCGAAGCCCAGCTCGCCATTGAAGGTGGCCAAGCGATGGCTGCAACGGAGGAAGTCCCACGGACGTACGAAGAAGCTATAGCAAGTGCGGACCGAGTGGAATGGAAGCGAGCGATTCAAAGCGAGTTGAAGTCTCTTGTCGCCAACAAGACTTGGAAGCTGGTACCGAGACCAGCCCACCAGTGGCCGATCGGCTGCCGTTGGGTATTCGCGTTGAAGCGCAACGAGAAAGGGCAAGTCATTCGGCACAAGGCCCGTCTCGTAGCCAAGAGGTATTCGCAACGACACGGCGTGGACTTCGAAGAGACGTACGTGCCGGTGGCTTACCTGAACTCAATCCGTGCCAAGTTGGCGAAGTGCGCCGCGGATGGATTCGAGATTGAGCAGTGTGACGTCGACACTGCGTTCCTGTACGGCAAACTGGAGGAGGAGACCTACATGGAGCTGCCTCAAGGACTCCGAGACCTGTTGACACTGGCTGAAACGGAAGGTGAGGACAACGTCGTATGCATGCTGCTGCAGAATTTGTATGGACTCAAGCAGCGTAACCAGACGATCGACACTCACCTGAAGCGGATGGGGTTCAAGTCCGCCGACGCTAACCCGTGCATCTATACACGCGGTCAAGGTGACGACGAGTGCATTGTGTGCCTCTATGTGGACGACATGCTGTTTGCCTCGCCGCAGAAAGATGTCAGTGCGTCAGTGAAGGCTGGGATCGCGGAGAAGTTCCGGATCAAGGACCTCGGCCGCGCCCGTTTCATTCGCGGGATCGAGATCGACTACGACATTGAGGGAAGAACGCTACGCATCAGTCAACATACGTACGCCGAGTCGATCATCATGAAGATTGGACAGGAGAACGCGAAGACGTGCTCGTCTCCGGTGGAACCAGGTGTGCATCTGACCAAGGCCAACGAACCGCAGGCCGAAGACGACAAGTCCAAGATGAAGTCGAAGCCCTATCAGTAATTCGTGGGCAGCCTAATGTACCTGGCGTGTGGGACTCGTCCTGACATCGCGGTGGCCGTCGCCAAGCTGAGCCGTTTCCGGGAGAACCCTGGCCAGAAGCACTGGGACGCAGGGATTCTGGTCGTTCCTTACCTGGTGATGACCAAGGACGTGGGCATTACCTACGATGGACTACTAGGGACGGAACTCGTCGCCTACTCGGATGCGGACTGGGCCGGCAACCGTGACAACCGTCGCTCCATGAGCGGTATAATGCTCATGATGTGTGGTGCTCCTGTGGTTTGGCGCTCAACGTTCCAGAAGACTGTCGCGCTCAGCTCAACGGAGGCCGAGTACATGGCGCTGAGCGAATGCGTGAAGGAGTGCGTCTGGATGCGCCGATTGCTGAAGGACATTGGTGCTGAACAAGTGGGGGCTACCGTGATCTACGAGGACAACCAAGGTGCGATGGCCCTGGAAAAGAATGTCGGTTAACAAGCTCGCACCAAGCACATCGACATTCGCTACCACTTCCTTCGTGAGAAGGTGGTGAGCAACGAAGTCGAGCTGGAGTACATCGACACCAAGAACCAGCTCGCCGACTCCATGACGAAGGGTCTGACGTCGAAGACGCTATGCCACTTGATGATGCGGAGCAACGTTGGCCCCAAGCTCGAGACATCAAATTGAGTGGGGGTGTTGTGATTACACTTCGCTGTCTACTCGACGGGGCCCCTGCTACGAGTCTCATGGCCTGCGCGTGGGTGGCGCGTGCCTCTAGGGGGCGGTAGTTGAAGTGAAGCGACTGATTGGCGGATCATCTGGGGTCGCGTGGATATGATTGGACGAGACGGTTGAAGTCGGATCAACAGCTGTGATTAGCATGGGATAATCACATGCATTGACGAGACAGCCGTGTCCGTCCCACTGGATTTGAGTATGGACCGTGCCCGTCCCAATCAAGTGTGTCCGTCCCGGGACACTGTGATTGGCCGACGGCCCGTGCCCGTCCCACTCGAGTGTGACCGCTGCACATGCATATAGTTAAATGAAGTCAAACGAGGGAGACACTAGGAGAGCTACAGGAGTAGGAAGGAACAAGCAGAACAAAGACAACTAACTCAAATAAACTCACTTTCTGATTTCCTTCCTTCTGCTCACATCGACTACAAGCCTCATTCGCCACTCTCAATTGGTTATGAGCCCAAGCTACGCGGACACCGTCAAGCTCGTGGAAGACAACTACTTCCACTGGGAGTTCAACATGCGGGTGAAGCTTTCTCGCAAGGGACTGCTGCCCCACATCATCAGGGCGGAGTTCGACCCGGTGAGCAACCGCACCACGGTCGTATGGAAAACCGACGATCTGAAGGCCCTTGGCGTGATCGCTGGTGACGTCAGCCTCACGTTCCAAGTCTACATCCGTGGTGCAATGACTGCCATGGACGCATGGACCATGCTCCAGGAGCAGTTCAACCGGAACACGATCAAGAACCGACTCCTCGTCACCAAGAAGCTGCACAACATCAAGATGGGGCCTGGTACGCGGCTCGCAACGCATGTGGACCGATTCAAGGAGCTCGTGCTCCAGATGGAGACGATTGGTGAGCCTCTGGACGAGACTCGTTAGTTCGTGCTCCTGCTCGGTAGTTTGACGGACGAGTACCGGATGATCAGCACCGTGCTCGAGAACACGCCGAACATGACGATCTCGTACGCGATCCAAGCGCTCTCTGATGTTGAAACCTCAAGTGGCTCGTGGACTCCGGTGCCAGCTCGCACATGACCAGCGTCCGGGACAAGTTTGTGTCCATGAAGGAGCTGAAGACGACGGTCCGCATCACCATCGCGGACGGTACGAAGATCGACGCGGTTGCAAAGGGCACCGTCGGGTTGAAGCTGATGGGCGGAACGTCGGTTACGCTGTCGGATGTGTTATACATCCCTGAAGTTGATGGAAGCCTCATCTCGGTTGCTAAGCTGGTCGAGAAAGACGTCATCGCGCAGTTCAGCGAGGACAAGTGTGGCTTTCGCTATGGCGACGCTACCGTCATGGAGGCCAAGCGCTGTCGAAACGTCTACAAGTTGAATACAGTGGGGGACGGCATCTCGTAAGGAGCCATGGGCTGTTGTGCACGCCCGTCTCGGCCACATCCCATTCAAGCGCTATGAACAGCTGCTGACCATGGCAGAAGGGGTGTCTCGCGTTACGAATGGTGTCACTAGTAACAACGGCTGCGCAGGCTGCTGCATGGGCAAGATAAGAGCCGACGACTATCCCCGACACCCGGAGCAGCTCGTCAAGAGTGCAGGCGTACTGGATTTGGTGCACACGGACGTGATGGGTCCGATTCAGACCAAGACTCCCGGTGACTGAACGTACGCGGTGGCCTTCATTGACGACTACTCACGCAACGTGACGGTCTACTTCATGAAGGCCAAATCGGAGGTGCTGTCCCGGTTCAAGATCTTCAAGGCAGCAATGGAGAGCGGAACGGGTAAGACGATCAAGCGCCTGCGTTCGGACAATGGCGGCGAGTACACAGGAAAGGCGTTCAAAGCCTACCTCGGCCGCAACGGCATCAAGCATGAGAAGACGGTGCCGTACACGCCTCGGCAGAATGGATTGGTTGGGCGCATGAACAGTTTGGTGGAGATGGCGCGCTGCATGCTCTACGATGAAGGAATCGACAAGAAGTGGTGGGCAGAATCTGTCAACACGGCGGCGTGGATTATCAACCGGATCCCCAACTCAGTGAATGTGAAGACGCCACATGAAATCGTTTACGGGACACGCAGCTGAAGAACATGAAGGTGTTCGGTGCACTTGGCTACGCGCGCATTCCCGACGAGAAGCGCCGCAAGCTGGATGCTAAGGCCTTCAAGTGTCGTTTCGTGGGCTACGAGGACGGTGTCAAGGGATACCGAGTTCTCAACGCGGCGATAGGCAAGGTGCACATCGTGCGCACTGTCAAGTTCATGGAGACGACGAGTCTGCAACACGTGGTGCCCAAGTCGACGACGAGGTCACAGCTATGGAGCCTAGTCACGGTGGATTGCAACCGGAGGAGTCGAAGCAACTCGTGCCAACAGTTGCTGAAGCTGGTGACGTGATCCCACTTCAACGCGACGCGGGTGTAAACGATGCGATTGTGGCATACGGTTCGACCGATCCTATGATTACCCGGTCGCGAGCTCGCCACATTGACGAGACAACGGATCCTGAAGTGGCAGGAGCCCGCAAGACGCAGGTGGTGGCGCCGTCGACAACCAGCACGAAGCCACAGAAGATGACCCGAGGCAGAGCCCAGGTGCGCGAAGCCCAGCTCGCCATTGAAGGTGGCCAAGCGATGGCTGCAACGGAGGAAGTCCCACGGACGTACGAAGAAGCTATAGCAAGTGCGGACCGAGTGGAATGGAAGCGAGCGATTCAAAGCGAGTTGAAGTCTCTTGTCGCCAACAAGACTTGGAAGCTGGTACCGAGACCAGCCCACCAGTGGCCGATCGGCTGCCGTTGGGTATTCGCGTTGAAGCGCAACGAGAAAGGGCAAGTCATTCGGCACAAGGCCCGTCTCGTAGCCAAGAGGTATTCGCAACGACACGGCGTGGACTTCGAAGAGACGTACGTGCCGGTGGCTTACCTGAACTCAATCCGTGCCAAGTTGGCGAAGTGCGCCGCGGATGGATTCGAGATTGAGCAGTGTGACGTCGACACTGCGTTCCTGTACGGCAAACTGGAGGAGGAGACCTACATGGAGCTGCCTCAAGGACTCCGAGACCTGTTGACACTGGCTGAAACGGAAGGTGAGGACAACGTCGTATGCATGCTGCTGCAGAATTTGTATGGACTCAAGCAGCGTAACCAGACGATCGACACTCACCTGAAGCGGATGGGGTTCAAGTCCGCCGACGCTAACCCGTGCATCTATACACGCGGTCAAGGTGACGACGAGTGCATTGTGTGCCTCTATGTGGACGACATGCTGTTTGCCTCGCCGCAGAAAGATGTCAGTGCGTCAGTGAAGGCTGGGATCGCGGAGAAGTTCCGGATCAAGGACCTCGGCCGCGCCCGTTTCATTCGCGGGATCGAGATCGACTACGACATTGAGGGAAGAACGCTACGCATCAGTCAACATACGTACGCCGAGTCGATCATCATGAAGATTGGACAGGAGAACGCGAAGACGTGCTCGTCTCCGGTGGAACCAGGTGTGCATCTGACCAAGGCCAACGAACCGCAGGCCGAAGACGACAAGTCCAAGATGAAGTCGAAGCCCTATCAGTAATTCGTGGGCAGCCTAATGTACCTGGCGTGTGGGACTCGTCCTGACATCGCGGTGGCCGTCGCCAAGCTGAGCCGTTTCCGGGAGAACCCTGGCCAGAAGCACTGGGACGCAGGGATTCTGGTCGTTCCTTACCTGGTGATGACCAAGGACGTGGGCATTACCTACGATGGACTACTAGGGACGGAACTCGTCGCCTACTCGGATGCGGACTGGGCCGGCAACCGTGACAACCGTCGCTCCATGAGCGGTATAATGCTCATGATGTGTGGTGCTCCTGTGGTTTGGCGCTCAACGTTCCAGAAGACTGTCGCGCTCAGCTCAACGGAGGCCGAGTACATGGCGCTGAGCGAATGCGTGAAGGAGTGCGTCTGGATGCGCCGATTGCTGAAGGACATTGGTGCTGAACAAGTGGGGGCTACCGTGATCTACGAGGACAACCAAGGTGCGATGGCCCTGGAAAAGAACGTCGGTTAACAAGCTCGCACCAAGCACATCGACATTCGCTACCACTTCCTTCGTGAGAAGGTGGTGAGCAACGAAGTCGAGCTGGAGTACATCGACACCAAGAACCAGCTCGCCGACTCCATGACGAAGGGTCTGACGTCGAAGACGCTATGCCACTTGATGATGCGGAGCAACGTTGGCCCCAAGCTCGAGACATCAAATTGAGTGGGGGTGTTGTGATTACACTTCGCTGTCTACTCGACGGGGCCCCTGCTACGAGTCTCATGGCCTGCGCGTGGGTGGCGCGTGCCTCTAGGGGGCGGTAGTTGAAGTGAAGCGACTGATTGGCGGATCATCTGGGGTCGCGTGGATATGATTGGACGAGACGGTTGAAGTCGGATCAACAGCTGTGATTAGCATGGGATAATCACATGCATTGACGAGACAGCCGTGTCCGTCCCACTGGATTTGAGTATGGACCGTGCCCGTCCCAATCAAGTGTGTCCGTCCCGGGACACTGTGATTGGCCGACGGCCCGTGCCCGTCCCACTCGAGTGTGACCGCTGCACATGCATATAGTTAAATGAAGTCAAACGAGGGAGACACTAGGAGAGCTACAGGAGTAGGAAGGAACAAGCAGAACAAAGACAACTAACTCAAATAAACTCACTTTCTGATTTCCTTCCTTCTGCTCACATCGACTACAAGCCCCATTCGCCACTCTCAATTTGGACGAGAAGATCTATACAGCGAAGGCTCACCGAGATTTGCTCGTCTCGATCTGCGGGGTGTACGGTCGGTCGCTGGCCGACCTTGTCGTGTTGATTGGAGATAACAGAACCACGAACAAGGCAACCGCCACTTTGCTATGTGTGCCCCTACTTGGGTGTGCCTGCCACAATCTGAACCTTGCGATTACGCAATTCATCAAAGACTAGCCGAAGGCGAACGCCGCCATCGACAGTGTGACCTCGTTAGCGTCTAAGGCGAACCATTTAAAAGCAGCAGCTGCGCTGCGCGAGCTGACCGACCTCATCGCGAGACGAAACAACGATACCCGATGGTCGTCGACGTACCACATGCTCAAGCGCTTCTTTAAGATTGAGCCCGAGCTGAGGCAAGTACATGAAGTGGAAATGCTTCGTCGGACGCAGCTACAGGTGCTACGAGAGTTGATGCCCACGTTGACCAAGTTCGACTCCGTCATGGTTGGGTTGCAGACAACAGACGTCACGCTAACCGCAGCCCGAACCACGACCGACGAGATGCTGGAGGAGTTTTTCGAACTCGCGCGCTACATGGCGCAGGATGCGCACATCGTCCAAAACCCGGTGTTCGAGTCCGCTGTTATGAAGGTACAGATGGACAGAATTGGCGAGCTCTCGGAAGCTGAACGAGCGGCGGTGAAAGTATTTGAAGTTCCGGACCAAGCCCCAATAAGGCAGGCAGTTCAACTGGAGGATTGTGACTACTACAAGGAGCTACAGGAGCGCATAAAGCTGAAACGGCAACGAGTCACGGCGTACGCAAACTTGTGTTTTCTGCTCGGTACATCAGCCTTGGTAGAGAGGCTATTTAGCTCTGCCAAGTGCGTGATGACGGAAAGTTGGAACAGGCTGCGTGCGGTCTTGTTCGAGGTGAGCATGTTCCTGAAAACAAATAGGTCATTCTGGGACAGTCGACTTGTTGCGGAAGCTGTAAAGCGTTTCCACAGTAGTGATAGCTAGAACACACCATCGGCTACTATCAAACAGGCAATTTTCCCTGCGTTCCAATCGAGTATTGCTATATTGCTTGGGTTTGCAGTTGAGTATTGGTATTGGCTTTGCCATGCCAATAGTGTCCTGCCGTTTAATTTTTTAATCCGCAATAAAAGCCACGATATTTTGGGAAGTCACTCCCCTAAGTTATGTGTCCAACACTAGTGAATCCCCATACAAATGCTGAGATAAATCGACCCAATACAAAAGTACGTCATTCGAATGCATACAAAAACCCATTTCAACACAAAAGTCAAGTAAAAGGTTATGGCGATACCGGTATCTGACATCAAACAGGTAGAAACGACAGTTATTTTTAGGGATCACAAGCTATGAATTAGCCTAACGAATCGGCAACAGTATCAGCTTTTCATTGGTATTTTACTTGTGTGTAGATCAATAGTAATGGTAACCTCAACGGTAAACCGTATAATAACCCAGGGTACGAACGTCGCACACCGCCCCAAGATGTGTTGTCAAGACTGATGTGACGACGCCTCGCCAAGCGACCGTGTGACGCGAACGCGTCATCAGTGAGGTTGGCGTGACCTTCACTGTGTTGTACCGCAATCATTCAGGTGATTACGGGACGATGATTACGTCACGGTGATTACGCCATGATTGTGGGTACAGGATTGTGGGTACAAGATGGGCATCGACGTGGCGTTCTCTGATTGGATAAGGTAACTGTGTATCCAGTAGAGAATCCAGTAGGGTGTATCCAGTAAGAGGTATCCAGTAGCAGGCTTAGAGGTAGCACGCGGTTGCGAACTAAGGACCTGAATCGAATCACTTTGCATTTTGCCAACTACTGCTCAAGTGCTCTTCCTTTTGGTTATGAGCCCAAGCCCCGTCTTCCCTGACCAAGACCCCGACTACGCCTTCGCCATGGACGCCGCCCCGACCGCGACCGCCCGCATCAACAAGTTCGACGGAACCAACTTCCACACATGGAAGTTCAAGATGCAGATGGTGCTGGAGGAGCGCGAATTGTGGGAAGTGACGAGTGGGGAAGTGAAGCTCGAGCAGTGCACGACCGCGGCGGACCAAGCGACGTTTCGCAAGAAGTCGCGCAAGGCGCTGGCGATCGTCTGTCTCGCGATGGAGGACTCGCAGCTGCCGCTGGTGCGGTCGGCGAAGGACGCGCATGATGCATGGTCAAGACTCGAGGGACACTTCGAGAAGAAGAGCCTGGCGAACAAGCTCTTTCTTCGTCGACGGTTCTTCACGACAACGATGGACGAAGGTGATGATGTGCTGGAGCACATTAACAAGCTCAAGACGCTGGCGGAACAGCTCGACGCGGTCGGCGCTCCGGTCAGCGAGGACGACTTGGTGATCACGCTTCTTGCCAGTCTGAGCGAGTCGTACCAGTTCCTCATCACGGCGTTGGAATCGCGTTCCGACACGCTGACGTGGGAGCTCGTGACGTCTCGGCTCCTGCACGAGGACATGAAGCGCAAGGAACAAGGTGGCGGTGCTGACGGAACCGCGCACGCTCAAGGTCAAGCGTTCATGACAAGCGACAACGGGAAGCGCAAGGGACGGCAGGCGCAAGCGCAGAGGACGAGCGCCTGTCACTACTGCGGCGAGCACGGACATTGGATCGCCAAGTGTCCGGTGCGGATCCGCGAGAACGGGGAGCGGCAGAGGCCGCAACGAGCGAACGTCGCGCAGGTCGAAGATGACTCTGGCGACTTCCTCTTCTCGGTTGGTGGCGACACGGGTGCCTCCAAGCTGAGCGGCATGTGGCTGGTCGACTCAGGTGCGACGCAGCACATGACGTACTCGAAGGAGTACATGAAGAACTACAAGAAGATCTCTCCGGTGGACGTGCATCTGGCGGACGACGGCGTGGTTCAGGCGGTGGGGAGCGGCGACATCGTGATGTCGATGCAGACACCGCGCGGCATGAAGAAGGGTGTGCTCACGGGTGTGTGGCACATCCCGAAGCTGTCGCGCAACCTGTTCTCCGTCGGCCGCTTCACCAAGGACGTCGGGCCAGTGACCTTCGAGAGCGACGGGTGCTTCGCGGAAACGAAGGGTCTCAAGTGGAAGCTCGGCGCTCGCGAAGGCAAAGGACTGTTCAAGCTCTGCATGACGCCGATGACGCCTGCTGACGAGGCCAATGCGGCAAGCTCGAAGAATCGCCAAGGGGACACCACGTCGTACCTCTGGCACCTTCGACTTGGTCACATCGGCCATGGTGGTCTCGACGCCATCGTCAAGAAGGGCTACGGCACTGGCATCCCAATGACGTCGGTGAAGCAGTGGGAGGTGTGCGACGGGTGCGCACTCGGCAAGCAAACGCGAGTAAGCTTCATGAAGTCGTCGCCGAACCGTGCGAAGCAAGTGCTGGAGGTGGTCCACAGCGATGTGTGCGGTCCGATGCAGACGGCGACGTTCGGAGGCAAGCGCTACTTCGTCACGTTCATCGACGACAAGTCGCACTTCTGCGTGGTGTACCTGCTACGGAACAAGTCGGAGGTGGCTGCCAAGTTCGCTGCGTTCGTCGCGTTGGCTGAGACGCAGACCGGCAAGCGAGTGAAGATGCTTCGGAGCGACAACGGCGGCGAGTACACTTCAGGTGCGATGGCCAAGTTGTGTGCGGATCGCGGCATCGAGCAGAAGTTCACGCCGCCATACACGCCTCAGCTCAACGGAGTGGCCGAGCGAATGAATCGGACGCTGGTGGAGTGTGCGCGCTGCATGCTGGAGCACGCCGGGTTGTCGAAGGAGTACTGGGGAGAAGCGGTGATGACGGCCACGTTCCTCCGCAACCGGTGTCCGACGCGCGCCATCAGTCACGACAAGTCGCCGCACCACGTTTGGACCGGCAAGAAGCCTTTGCTGGCCAACCTCAAGGTGTTCGGGTGCCACGCGTACGTGCACGTGCCGAAGGAGAAGCGGTCGAAGTTTGACGCTCGGTCGGTGCGCTGTCGTTTCCTCGGGTACTCGGAGCACGAGAAGGCGTATCGGTTCGAGGAGATCGAGAGCGGTCGCGTGTTGGTGAGCCGCGACGCGCAGTTCATGGAGGATGTCTTCGACGGTGGGAGACGCGACTACGCTTCGAAGGAGGTGTTGGTGGGTCTTCCGACAGATGATGATGAAGACACCACGGATGAAGAGACTCAGTCCGGATCAGACGAGAACAGAGAAGAAGCTGCGCGGAATCAAGACTTTGAACCCGGCAGCAAGCGACACCCGCGCACGCAGTCGCTCGAGGAAGTCGTGGAGGTTCCGAGTGCCAAGCGGTATGCGGTGCCGAGACGACAGCAGCCGCTGGACGAGATGTCTGCCGCAGCACAAGAGAAGGAAGACTTCGAGGCTGCGTACGTCGTGGATTCAGTGGGAGAGATGCCGACAACATTCAAGTCGGCGATGGAATCCAGCGACGCAGACAAGTGGAAAGAGGCGTGCGACTCGGAGGTGGAGTCGCTCCGCAAGAACGAGACGTGGATCCTGGTGCCACTGCCGAAGGGACGCAAGGCGATCGGCTGCAGATGGGTGTTCCGCGTGAAGGAGAACCAGTCTGGAGAGATCGAGCGGTTCAAGGCGCGATTGGTGGCGAAGGGGTTCTCGCAGAAGTACGGCATCGACTACGACGAGACGTTCGCGCCGGTGGCCAAGTTCACGTCGATTCGGGTGTTGCTGAGTCTGGCGGCCAAGTACAAGCTCACAGTGCACCAGATGGATGTGAAGACCGCGTTCCTCAACGGCTTGTTGGACGAGGACATCTACATGGCGCAGCCGGACGGATATGTGGACGGAGATCGACCCGACTACGTGTGCCGGCTCAAGCGTTCGCTGTACGGCCTGAAGCAGTGCCGCGGATGTGGAACAAGACGATCGACGAGTTCATGTTGAAGCTGGGGTTCAAGAAGTGCGAGTCCGACCACTGCATCTACTTGAAGCGGGACAATCACGACATGATGTTCGTGGCACTGTACGTGGACGATCTGGTACTCGCCAGCAGCAGCGACGGGATGCTGAAGGACACGAAGCAGGCGCTGAGTGACCGGTTCGAGATGACTGACATGGGCCAGCTCAAGTACTTCCTCGGTATGGAGATCGAGCAAGATGTGGCGACTGGGAAGGTGTCGGTGCGGCAGACCAAGTTCGCGAAGGACATTCTCGAGAAGTTCAAGATGGATGAGAGCAACCCTGTGAAGACACCGCAGGATCCGGGTCTGAAGCTGACCAAGGCCATGTGCGAGGGAGGCTGCAAGCACGACGAGACCATGGCGAATGTTCCGTACCGGAACGCCGTGGGCTGCCTCATGTATCTCATGGTGGGGACTCGTCCGGACCTCGCAGCGGCAGTGGGAGTACTGAGCCAGTTCGCAGCGGACCCATGTCCGACACACTGGCAGGCGCTCAAGAGGGTCTTCCGCTACATCCGAGGCACGAAGACGCACGGCCTCGTGTTTCAAGCGAGCAGCGAGGACGGACTGCAAGGCTACTCGGACGCGGACTGGGCCGGCGACATCGAGTCTCGACGGAGTACGAGCGGCTACGCGTTCATGATGAACGGCGGATGCATCAGCTGGCGAAGCAAGAAGCAGCGCACGGTGGCGCTCTCGTCGACGGAAGCCGAGTACATGGCGCTGTCGGAGGCCACGCAGGAGGCGGTGTGGCTCAAGGTGTTTCTGTGCGAGCTGGGCGAGATGGCGAGCGATGAAGCGGTGAAGATCTACGAGGACAACCAAGGCTCCATCGCGTTGGCCAAGAACCCGGAGTTCCACAAGCGCACCAAGCACATCGACATTCGCTACCACTTCGTGCGCGAGAAGGTGGAAGACGGTCAAGTGGTGTTGCAGTATGTTTCGACACTCGACATGCTGGCGGACATCATGACGAAGCCGATCGCGGCGCCGCAGTTCGACGCGCTCAGGACGAAGCTGGGCATCGTGGTCGCTGACGAGTCGAGTGGGAGTGTTGTCAAGACTGATGTGACGACGCCTCGCCAAGCGACCGTGTGACGCGAACGCGTCATCAGTGAGGTTGGCGTGACCTTCACTGTGTTGTACCGCAATCATTCAGGTGATTACGGGACGATGATTACGTCACGGTGATTACGCCATGATTGTGGGTACAGGATTGTGGGTACAAGATGGGCATCGACGTGGCGTTCTCTGATTGGATAAGGTAACTGTGTATCCAGTAGAGAATCCAGTAGGGTGTATCCAGTAAGAGGTATCCAGTAGCAGGCTTAGAGGTAGCACGCGGTTGCGAACTAAGGACCTGAATCGAATCACTTTGCATTTTGCCAACTACTGCTCCAGTGCTCTTCCTTTTAGATGAATTCTTTTGTCTGAAAATTGACCCCAGGAGGGGAACAGCACCACGCATACTACAGTAATTCTCGATGTTTGAAGGCTATGTATTAGCTGATCCATAGCTACAGTGTGACCAAAGAACCGACGTGGTACCGCCTTCTAGCTCATTGCATGCCGAATGTTGGATCTCACCCGCTTCAATCGCTCATTCTCTCTCTTCCGCTTATTCCCAGCCTTGTACATTTTGTTTGTAGCCGTACCAGGAATTCGCTTCGTAATGGACGTCTTCAAATACTTCAACACATCCATAAAGCTCCGCTCTTCATCAATCCTGCCTTCCGCGGACACCGGTCGCAACGCTCGACCATCACTCTCTTGTGTTCCATCGATAGGGTAGGCGGTGTCCACATCGGAGATCACAGCGCGATTCGAGTTGGTGGTCGTGAATGCGCTGCCATCGGAGTAGAGCGTAGCAGCAATGGTGGCAGCAAGGATGTAGACAAGACGCATTCTTGGTCAGTGGTGGGGCGACTGAGGTTGGACGGTGAAGTGGGGTCTCTGTGGTTTTCCGAGCAAAATGCAGAATGGAGTTTCGGATTTTTAGTTTAAGGTAAGGTGCCAGTTGCGTGCCTACAACCAGTTCCATGCCTACTTGTTTTAGCCAATTAGCATTTTCTCCTTGTTAAACTCTCGTAGTCTATTGGTAGATTTTTCCAGCGTCACATGCAGTTCCGGTGATGAGCCTCCTAGGATTTGCATAACATACAAAAATGCGATCAAAAAGAGGCAGGAAACTGGCAGCTCACTCCAAATCAACAAGCTTTTCAAAACAATAACAAGAAGTTCTGCAAATTTTACACGGACCAGCGTGAAGTACATAAATTCAGCCCAATCGCGAAGATTTAGCGGGTGCAATCAGATTTCAGAATGGACAATTCAATGAAAAGTTATGCCACAGCAAGCCCGCAAGTTCGAAGGACGGCACGAAACTGGCAGAAGACCTTACACGGAGCTTTCACAAGTAGACTACAGCGTCGGACAGAATGTAACTGCCAGCACTGAGCGATGGTGAAGAGCATGTCGCTGTACAATTGCATTGCGAACGCTGCGGTATGTCTCAAACATGCGAATTAATACCCGCAGTTGTATTAAAATGCATCTGGCTTTAATATACAGTTTGCCAGTATGCAAATTCCATCCTGGAACAGACAACGTGATCCCATGCGCTGCATTACACCCGTCTCCCGATTTCCTCGCGATCCATTCCGTGATCTGCGATTATGGTGCCGTCAAACGCAATGCTGGGACAGCCTTCCACTTGTGCGTGGCCCACCAGCATCTCTCGCTGCCACCACGGCAGTGCCACAACTAATACGTCATTTAGAAACTCGCCTTCTCGGGAGCAAACTTGACTTCAAGACAATGGTGTGCTCCTTCATGTTCAAGACCGCGGCCTTGGTTTCGGCTGTGCTGGCGACTTTCAGCGGTGCCGATGCGGAGCTGGAAACCGTGAAGCTCAACCACCCGACCGGGTCCAGCGCCGAGGTCTTCCTCTTCGGTGCCCACGTCAAGTCGTTCCGCAGCGTGTTCGACCCGAACATGGACATTCTGTTCATGTCGAACCGCTCGCACCTCGATGGCGTGAACCCCATTCGTGGTGGCATCCCCGTCGTGTTCCCGAACTTCGGCAGCGCCACGGGTTTGCCCAGCCACGGCTTCGCGCGCATCACCAACTGGACGCTGGCCAGCGTTGTGCAGGCCACCGATGAGACCAAGCCCAGCGTGGCCAAGTTCAAGATGGCGGCCAGCGAGGCGACCCGCAAGATGTGGCCCGTTGACTTCGAGCTCCAGTACGAGGTGAAGCTGTGGTCCGCCCAGCTCGAAACTACCCTGAACGTGCACAACACGTTCACTAAGGACATCGACTTCCACGCGCTGCTGCACAACTACATCGCCGTGAACGACGTACGCGACAATGGTGTGGTGGTCAATGACCTCAACGGCGTGGACTACTACGATAAGGTCGCCAAGGCTAACAAGACGGAGACTCGCGACATGATCAGCATCACGGCACAGACCGACAACGTATACAGGAACGCCCCAGTCAAGATCCGCGCTCCTATCAGGGGTGTCAACTTTGACTACACCGTGCAGGTCGAGAAGAAGGGCTCCATCAATGGCGCCGCAACCAAGACCGACGTTGTCGTATGGAACCCGTGGGCCGACCGCGCTAAGACCATGGAAGACTTCGGCCCCGAGGAGTACCTCAAGATGGTCGCCATCGAGCCTGGTCGTGTCAGCGAGAAGCAGGTGCTGCCCGCTGGCCAGACGTACACGCTGCAGCAGACTGTCTCGGCCATCCGATACTCGTAAAGAATGCAAAGTCGTCACCGGTGGTTACAATACCTAGCTGGAAATGAACACGAACGAATGCATACCTAAGTGAAGTTCTTCCGCGTGTTATCAATTGTATTACAGAAGTATTGTAAATGGCTGAACGCGGCACATACACATGCACGTCCACGTAGTATATGACAAATAGCGGCGGCTGTTGCAGCAACTGGGTTGAAGCGTTCATGTCCGACTCGACTCGAATTCTCGAGAGCTCTTTGCAGCGAAAGGATGCTTTCGAACCGAAGTACTGCGAGGTAAAATTCGCATTTTTTTTTACTACTGTAGTATTTTCCCAAGCTTTTTGGTTTTAAGAACATGTGAAGAGTAATTCAATTGTGCACGTATCATTAGAAAGATAACTTGTTATAAGGGTGCGTACTGCACAACTAAATTCCAGCGGAATGGGGCCAATTCCAGCGGAATTTGCATTACAGCGGAATGGCCGATCCGCTGGCGCGTACTGCATGCAATTCTAGCGGAAATTCGAGCATATTCCAGCGGATTTCATCCGCCCGAATTCGGGCAGGCAGCGGATTGATCCAGCGGAATTGAACAGATGGCGCCTTTGCAAAGACTTTTTCTTAGAGAGTGGGTGGACTCCATTCACAAGCGCGTCTCTGTGACTGCCCGCGGGATACTGCTTGCGGAGGCGATGGCAATGCCGAAGGCAGCGAAGAGGGGTGACGTGGCACGGTGGCGGAGTTATCGAATGGAAGCTGTCGCCGCTGTGGTAGGAAGGAAACATGTCATTCAGGTCGATACTCTCAAAGGGAGTTTGGGCCAAGTCCGACAGTACCGTATTTTAGATATCATACTACAGAGAGATCTCACAATTCAGAGCGGAGAGATTTGCGACATAATAATATTATCTTTCTTGCCAAAACTGGCCATATTATGGCCAGTTTTGGCAAGAAAGATCCAAAAATACGCACAAAAGGGTGAAATGGTGCAAAGACAAAATACAACAACACAATTTCAAGAATATGGTGTATGAAGTATGAGATCTCAAATACGGCCCCCTCCACAACTCAATACACGTTGCTTCTGATGCACGCTCTGTTTACGATATTTGACCGTGTAAAATAGCGATCCGTTGGACAGCAAAATCGCGCAAAACGAAACAGTGGATTGCTCATTCCAGCGGGTGAGTCGGTTCCAGTGGATAGAGCTATCCGACGTTTTATTCCAGCGGAACTGCAGTACGCTTTTTTTCACTTTAACGAGTCGTAGTACCGTACACTTTCGGAAAGCTTGTTTTTTTCCCGCAGAAATGGATAATGTGTTTCCACTTCTGCGTTGTCGATCCCATCAGTTTAGTACAGACTCCGTAAAACTTCCGTACACTACAAATGTTCCTCAAAAGCGAGGAATCCTCGCTTTTGCATGTCGAGCGACCTCTGTTTTGGTCGACGCGGTGTGATGACGTCCGCGGGATCTGGCTCCGTACATGTATTCGCTGCATCCCTGACTTGCTGTTGACTGATAAGCGCGGTAAAACGTCCGCTTCAAATCGGGCATCGAGCATCGAGAAAGGTTGGCAACAAGGCGCCCTCGTCCAGCGTCCAAATGCCTCCTCTGCGAAGGTGTGGTTGTTGTCACTGCGGAGCACCGCCGTGTACACGTACCGTAGACGAACTTGCCTCCAAATTGTCGGCGTCACCTTCAAGGCGGCCTTGGTCTGTTTGTCGGTCGGTCGGTCAGTCGGCCAGCCGGACTCCTTCCCCGTACCACAGCCACAGACAGGCCGAAGAGACTGTAGCCAAACTGAAGCGGGCCTCAGGCGGTGCACTGCATTCATCCTCCCAGCGAGGCGCTTGTGTGTGCTAAGAGTTCCTAGCACTCAGAGTGTCTGCCTCCCATCGGCCCGCATATTAACCTGCCACGTATTCCCACAGCATCAGCAAAATGGCAATACAGTGAACCCTGTACAGCATTTGAAACCAATAATTTTGGGAAAACGTCAAAAGGTGTATGCGTTGGGAAAACGTTTGTCAATAGGTGTAGTGGTCGTGGGCGTCACGTCGCGTCATGTCTCATCATACACGTACTGACACACGTTTTGGTTGCCGCGGTATTTCGGCCGAGGTCGGGTCATACAGACCCAGGATCGAGCTTCTAAGCACAGTAGTTTCTTAACGACACGCTCGTTGCGAACACGGTCAACTAATAATAGCATATAGAGCAACTGTACTCGACAACTTCGCTATTGTGGCTACAAGGAACTACCAACGCAAACCGCAAGCGTCTATAGCATGGCTGTACTAGGTAGGTTTTGCATCTGAATTTCGGAGGTGAAGGAACTCTAGTGAGAGCCAACCGGAAGAGAGTGTAGGTATTGTAGAACTGTGGCAACGCTGAGGCCTGGCTACAATGGATAACGACGTTCATTGTAGTCCCTCAGCCGTACAATTCGCTATCAAAGTCATGGACACCACGACCGGGCTAGTTGCATCAGGTAGAAGCCTTCCTAACCCCGGGTTTTATGGATTTGGATCTAAGCCCACACACCAGTCACCGCATTCGTTGCTGATGCAGCTTTATCATGCACCTTAGTGCGCTTGGAACCACATACACATACTGTCATACCGACAACCTAGCATACACCTAATGACACGAGTTAACCGCTTTTGACAAAACGTTTCAAATTCATACACCTTTTGATGTTTTCCCAATAATTTGTACCGACCATCATTCATGCGCGTGCCACACAAATGTTACACCACGAGGTGATGAGCCCATCCCCATTGCGTCAAATCCCTCGCAGAAGGTGGCCTCTCGGTCAATCTCGCTTTATCGCTGTCGAGCGAACTTCTCGCACTAAGCCGGTATCCTACGTTCGCTCATGGCGGTGGACCTCGAGCTGTTGGCAGCAGAGGACGCCGACTTCCTGCTGGACGACTCGACCGCAAGCGACGCGCAGGCGCGCGGCGAGCCAGACGACGCCATGGCCGGCGTCTGGGGCGACCTGGAGGCGCAGGGCGGCGGAGGGGCCCAGGCCGCCGCCGCCTGGTGGGACCTGACGCTCACTGAGGCCAGCGCAGCGGACAAGAAGCCGAACGAAGGCCTGGGCCCCGTGGATCTGCTGCTGACCGAGCAGCAGGCGGCGCTCGCGGCCTTCGTGGAGCCGTCGCGCGCGAGAGAGACCATCTCGCCCGTGGCCATCGAGGCGAAGCAGACGCGCACTAAACTGGAAGCCAACGTTATGAGCAATGCGCTCGCCGCCGCTGCCAGACAAGTTGAAGTGTCGGATGATTCGCAAACGGAGTCGGAGGCTAACGTCATCGCTCCCACGGCCTCAGCAATGCCAACGGCAACGGCAACTCGTGTGACTAGAAACTCGAACAAGAGCAAACAAAAGGCGCCAAAGGCAAAGGTATCAATAGAGTCTCCGGAGCAGAAGGTTGAAGCCGGCAAGAAGGACGCAAGCAAGAAGACGCCCAAGGTGCAACGCAAACGGAAACCCGCAGCAGCGAAAGTCCCCGCGGCTGCGGCAATAGCGAAGCAGGAAGTGAAGTTCACGCCGCTGGAGATCCGCCGCAAACGCAATCGAGAGTCCATGCAGCGTGCAAGACGTCGCCAGCGAGACGACGTGGAGCGGATGAAGTGCACGCTCCAGCAGCTGGAGAAACACTACCAGGAGCTGAACGAGAAGTCGCAAGCGAGACGTCGACGCGCGAGCAGCAGCAATAGCAACAACAGCAGCAGTGCTTTGGCGCTGGAGGCGGATTATTATGCGCTGGCGGATTTATCGCATACGCTCAAGGAGGAGAAGTTTTTGCTGGAGCAAATGCTCGTGGAGAAGCACAAGACCCACCGACGATTCCAGCAGGTGATGGTGGATCGCAAGCAGGAGCTGGAGCTGCAGTGCCCGCTCACCACGGACGACTCGACGCTGTACTCGGACTTTGAATATATCCCCATGACGGAGGACCAGGCGAACGAACACATACGCAACTGCTACCAGCAAATGCGGCTGATGGAGGAGACGGTGAAGCCGATGGTCTCGCACTACGAGGTCCCGGATGGCGACACTTCGGAAGCCGAATCCCCGAGCTCTCCGACTTCTCCTGGCGCTCCGGCACGCCCAAGTAAAGGCAGGCACTGCGTGTTCCCGCCCTCAGCGACGTTCGGGTGGGAAGTTCGTCATGAAGCGAATCCAGATGGGGACTTTTACGTGAGCTTCTCCAAGTTTTTTGCTGGCATCACACCGCAGGAAGCCATGATGGGCAGCTGGACGAGGTACGCCAAGCCCGAGTCGACACCGTTCCGCCGCCAACTGCGCTTTGAGATCTTGCAGGTCATCAACGACAGCACGTACATCGCTGGCTCGGATATTGAGCACCCCGTGCAACACGACAAGGTCATGCGAGTGATTTTCCTGAACTTCCGCATGCAAACGGACAAGGGCTTCGTAATAGGCCGTCACTCCGTGAACCCCACGTCACCTGAAGTTCGCGCGACGGCCGAGAGGGACTCGAACTTTGAGTACGTCGATAACTCCAACTGGGTGGAATTTTCTGCTGAAGAGGACGGCAACACCGGGGAGCCTGGATGTCTGGTCAGGTTCATCGCACGCACGGAGTACAATACGCAGGAGGACATGTACGTTCGTCTCGTCAACTCGATTTCTCGCACTATGATTTGGGAGCAGGCCGTCGTGCCTTCTTCGTCTCTCTCCCTCCTGCCATCCTGATAGTGGCTCACGTCGGCGAGCTATTCCATCTCGTCTTCGTCTCGGTAGCCACCGACCAGCAATTTACTAGCTCATTCTGCTCGGTTGAGTCTGTCCCAGACGAAGAATCCATTCATTAGTCGAACCTGACGTTTTCTGGATAGGCACCACTGAATGCCATCCAGCTTGCGATTCAACTTTGCGTGTTCGCTTGGATGTTCACGCTTTCATTTTGTTTACGTTTTTAAGTAATGAGGCGAGTTCAACCCTCGGTGAACGCGAACACTGGGCCAATATTTAAGTTTTCCCAGCTAAGCAGTCCAAAGATGATGTCGACTGCAGCTTGGATAGCGGCGGATTCTGTGGCATCGACGCTTATCCTGCCCGTGATCCGCACAACGCAGCACTCCTGATCTGATTCTGAGCGCGCACCCTTGAAGTCTGTCCACAGCGACATATTCTCTGCCCAAATTTGTCCTGGCTGTTGCGACGGCTTCGTACTGACCGAGCAGTTGCCTATCGCGTAGCCTGAGTACGTCTTGAGTCGGAACCGTAGATAGTATGAAGTGGTAACCTGCTCTTCCACTCTAATGCGCCTCCTGAACACGTAAGTGTCGTCGTTGATCACCTGGAATACAGTCATGGACTGTGTCGCTGCGTCTACCGGTTTGCGGTAACTCTGCATGGCCAGCTCGTTGTCCCATGTATGCTGCATTGACTGTAGAGCGGTCACGTGATAGAAGGGCTTTTCAAAGGAGAACAGCACCTCGTCGTTCTCTCGATGATGGCGCACCTGCCAACCCAAGAACGGAGGCATTGGTCGACTAGTGGGGTCCATCTGCCTCAGCGCTGCACGCTGTGAAATGGCCTGCAACGTGGCCGTCACCCTCTCGTGCGTCGCCCGGATGTAAGCCCAAACTTCCTCCTCGGTCAATGGGGTCCACGGATCGTGCGCACACTGGTCCTCGAACACGCATTTCCTCATACTGGCCTCTCCGTCCGTCAGGGGCTGGTGAAAATCGTCGTACACGCGCTCCAGCGTTTCCTGAAGCTTGTTCTTCTCGTGTAAGGCTCGTCTAAAGCGGAAGTTCTCGTCCTTTAGCCGCGCCCCCTCTTCGACCAGTTTGACGTACTCTGAAGACGCCACGTCCGAGGAGGCATCAAATGTAAAGCTCCAGACTCGTTTGGCAGCTGTATAATGCCGCGGTTCACGGTCTCTTGGTATCGAACCTCTAGACGATGCACAGTCTCGCGAAGCCTCTGCATGGTCTCCTGTAATTCCATCCAACACGCAAACACGTACGTCAGCTCAACTAGCGAGATTAGAAGAGAACGTCGCCTCCAACATCCACATACCCTCTCTTTCTGGCGCGCCAACCGCATTTGGTCTCGGTTCTTCCGCCTCCGTCGCGACCGCGGGGACAGTTGCTCGCTCGCTTGTTCGTCGTGTTTGGCCTCGCTGTCATCGGAGACCACCGGTGAGGACAGCGGCGTAGCCGCGCGGTCGTTCGGAGGGAGTTTCTCCTCGCCATCGCTCCGCTCTGGAGACTCCGGCGAAGCCTTTGTTCTGGCGGAGACGGCTTCTGATCCAATTGTAGGCGCCATCCGGCACAACTTCGTATGAACCAGCCAGAAGGAGGATTTACAAGCAAAGCGGAGGTCTAGGGTGGGCTACACTGACGATAGGGACAGCCATCTCAAGGCGGCACGGGACCAATTTGAACTGCTTATGCGCGTCCCCACCATAATTTGAGCGGCGTGGATTTGCCTGCTGCCATCCTGCTTTGGCGTGTTGCTTGTTGCTCATTGCCTGAAAACACACCGCATTCCCTGCTATTTTCTAGCCGATAACCCGAAAGTTATCATAATAGGATATTAGCGAGGACAACTTGTCCTTACGTTGTGGAAATACAGTGTAGGAGTTGTTGTACATGTGGCTCAATAGTAGCTTTGTTTATGATAAACCTCTTCAAGCGAATCTGCAGTGCTCGTGCTCAGACCCACACGCAAATCACCACTGCACGATGGACACGTTAATGAAGGCGGCGTACCGCTCGGGTACATGTAGGCAGCGCTGGGCGAAAGGTGACGCTCTTCGCGGCCAGGCGATGACGTCCTCGCCAAGGAGGAACCCAAAGCTTGAAATGACCACTCCTCGTGGGTTGTCATTTAACGCTGCATGCTAATTCAAGGTAGTTCTTCACTTAGCAATCACTCAAGGATGGTAATTGCAGTACTGAAGGGGAAATCTGCATTATCAAACCAATTGCACTGCTTGAAAAAGATTAACGTTTTAGATGTTCTACTCTGTAGTCGTCAACGATACTCACTCGTTTGAGATACGGTCTTGCTAGCGACGTCCTCCAAGTAAATCGATCTGCAAGTCAATCCTGAAGAGTGGGGGCGTCAGAATATCCTGCGTCCACTGACTCATGAATCGTAGCATTTGTTGAGTTGAATAGTGCGTTCTCCCGACCGTGGCAGATGTCGAGGAATCCTCGAGTAGGATACATGTTGGTCTCCCAAAGCATGAAGGACGACACTTTCTTGTCGAAACCGACGTCTGCCAGCTTGAGAGATCCGCGCGGTGAGCTGTCCACGGTCACATGTTCGCCTTGGCATTGACTCTCCGTGTAGAGTGCAATCTGTGATGAGTCCTTCAACGCCAACCAGGAAGCGTAAGAGCCCTCGTTGCTGAAGCACGAGTCCAACGAGTAGCAGCGTTGCGCTATGTCGAACCGGAAGTTCCTGTAGCTGTTGCCTGCACTGAGTGCGAGCTGGTTCTTTGCCGCCTGACAGGAAAGACCAGAAAGCACTAACAGCAGCGCTAACAAAGCTGGCAAGTGTACCGTCGTCATCAGCTTCTTGCTTGGTTGTGAGAAATTGAGAATGGCCCGACGCAGAATGCTGCCGACCGATGCACCTCCGGATATGAGGTGCTAGATTTAAAGGCCGGTTTGTTCGCTCGCTCGTTCGATGCGCCGAATATATTGTTCCATATTGTCTGCTTCTTATAGAATGTTACTTAAACGTGTGCACGAATTGTGAGGTTTGTACATTATCAATGTATGAATTGTATTGTGGGCCCAACTAATTGGGTTAACATCAAATTTGTTCTACTCATTTCACAACTATCGGCCTAGTTGGCCGGTGGTGCATTTACGTAAATGAAGTACACGCTTTTAGGCGCTAATACTGTCAGGCGCGCCATTGATCGTACCCTTGACAGATGCATCCACTTGAATTCCCGAGAACGTCCAGTCAGAAACAACGTTGGGGTTCACCTTGATGTCGTACAGGTTCGTAGCCGTGCCGGTGAGTCCAGACACCGTCACACCCGTGATCTGCGCCTGACTGGTGGGTGCACCAGTGTAGCCTCCTTGCTGCTTGCTGTAGTCCGCGCGCACAACGACACCGTTCTTGACGTTCGACAAGTCGTTATCGATGAACTTTACGTCGGTAACAAGACCCTTGAGCCCGATAATAGTCTTAATGCGGAGGCCGTTGTCGCTGTCGATGATGTGGTTGCCCTCGGCAGTGAGACCCTGGACCGTGGTCGTCTTGTCAACCGTGTTCCCGCCAAGAGATCCGATGGAGATACCATGGCTGTTGTAGCAGTAATTCTTGCTGAAGATAGTGTTGGTGCTGGACTGCATGGCAAGGCAGTCGTCCTGGTTGTAGATCGTGTTACCCGTGATGGTAATGTGGTCGTTGCAGCTCAGGTCGAAGCCGTCCGTGTTGGTGGCGACACCGTTGCCAGCCTTGGAATCTAGGGTGAGGCCGCTGAGAGTCGTGTACTAATGCTGAACGTGCGATACGGCGAGTCCTTGACGGTGAAACCGGACAACGTTGAGTGGGTGACCTTGTGCACCTGGAAGAAAACTGGGCGGGTGGTCGCCTGGCCCTGCTTCCAGTACCAAGGACCCTGCCCGTCCAGCGTGCCGTCGCCCTTAACTATAAGCTCCGTTCCGCTAAGCATCACAAGAGGTCCGTTCCACTTCTGTGTTCCGAACGTAGTTGTGCCCGTAAATTCAATGGTGGCTCCGTTCTTGGCGCCGCTCAGATCCAACGTCACGCCAGCAGGAACAGTAAGAGGACCGACGGTGACAGTGCTGCAGGACGAAATGTCCGTGCCCGTCTTGTAGGTACCAGTCAGGTTACAGTTGCTACTGCTAGTCTACTGCTGCTGTTGTTGCTGTTGGCTGCCTTCGTCCTTTTGCTGTTGTTGCTGCTGGCTTCCTTCGACTTGCTGCTCCTGTCCTTGTTGTTGCTGTTGCTGACCGTGCTTGGCGCCGTCGGCTGCTTGGCGCATCATGGGCGAGCCATTGACAATTGCCGCCAAAAAGGCAAAAGTAGCAATCGCCGCGGTCAGCTTCATGATGATGCTTGGGCTTTGGCTTTGTGGCTTTGTTGGTGTGCTTCTCTTGAGGCGAATTTGAAAGTGAGGGCTAGGGTGCCGCTCGATGAGGCAGACAATGGCTGCTTCGTATGGCTCGCGTGATCAAGGAGGCTGGCCTAGAAGGATCTAACATGGCGCAACACCGACTTGAAGAAGGCTGAGCCGATCCACTTTATTCGTGCAGACGACTACCGTACAATCAGACTTGCATTGACACGTCGCCTGCTGCGTTCATCTCGATCCGGATGCATCGAAAAACGTGGACAGCCAGCGGCTTGGTGAAGTTGCCACTGCACGATAATACATGCAGGTATGTAGTCTGTGGCTTTAGCTAAGAAATTAAGACATACGGAAGCGAATGGTGTGCTGTTGTTTCTGTATTAAACTGTACACGTGCACGCGTTGATTACTTTTTAAGGTTGTCAACACAGGAACAAGTGTTTCTGCGGAAAGAGGCCCCGCCTCACCTCGTCGTGCCGATGAAGTCCACGCAGGGCTAACGGGTTCTTCCGATTAAAGTACCCGGTAGATTTTATTTGTGATCGTATACGGAACTGATCAGATCGGAACAGGTGTCTTATCTTGGTTTTTGTATGGGCAAAACATATTACGGCAGTGAGGAGCGTAGCCATAGCAAACCCGCGCGGTATTTGCGGAGGCGGGCCCAGCGGCGAGCATTCCAGCGAACAGACCCGTTGCCGCAACTCGGAGTTAGTTTTCTTTATGCGAGAGTCTGGGGTGCAACCCCAGAACACCTACTAGGAGATCTGTTCAAGTCTCTGATCAGTTCCGTATACGATCCAATCCGGAAGTCCTGGAACATGGTATATTATCGCCTATAATACCTTTCTACATACCAAAGCCAAGTATAATGATTTCCCATTAGTACACTCTCCTATTATATTACCCCTTTTTCAGGGTATACTATTACTATAATACCGCTACACTAATCCGTGCTTAAGCACGGAGAAGCTCTGGATTTTATCATGTAGTTTTGATTCTAGGTTTGATTCTAGGTTAATTTATCTTAAATGTGCCTAGCAGCTCTGCCCGAGGTTCTTTGGTTAGAGCGAAGTATCCTTAAATTTCAGCAGTTGGTGTTTTTTGTCTTTATTCGGGTTTGCTACCAAGTTCCGAAACCATGAAAGCATGCACTGGCAACTATCTCAAGCCCTTACGCGAGCATGTACTGGTCACTCGCTATGCCTTAGCTATCTTGCAATAATATGCAGCCGAAACGTCAAGGCTTGAATGCGGCGGTAACGGTACGTATGCACGTGCAGAATGGTTGAAACGAGCACGTGCAGAATGGTTGAAACGAGACCAGCATCGTTTGAAGACTTCAACGACACCCACGACTTTAAATTGAAGTCGTGGGTGTTCGTGGGTGTCGTTTCATGACTTGAACGTGGTGACACCGATGTAACATCGTTGAACATACATGTACTGCAAACACAACTGCAGTTATGTTTGGAGTCATGGTCGAGTCATGGTCGAGCGACATCCGATCAATCGTGTCACGCGAATGTCGACCCTAAAAGACTCAAGCAACACGCCGCTGGATAATATATTATCCAAGCGTTTATTAAAGTTAACGGGTACGTTCCGATACGTTAATAATTCGTTCGTTTATAACCGATAGCGGAGCATGCATTTTTATAGTGATTTGCACCTGCAGTCGTATCGCCCTAACAACTCTGGATAAAATCCAGAAAACACTGTTTTAGTTTAACGAACATTTAAAAAATACTATAAGATAACATCGAACTGATTGAGAGCTCAACAAGCATTTCACGCCATGGAATCGCCACGGTACGGAGCAGACTAGACCTTTTTAATTTCAAAACTGCAAGTTGCAAGGTCAGAACAGCAAAAGGTAAGATCAAAAATTATAGAGTACCACTTCGTTTCAAAATGGAAGCATGGCCCCACAGTGAAGGCTGTTCCAGCCTTCACAAAGATAGCTCGAAACTAGACTTGGTTTGAGTATGGACGGGACTGCGGACATCTTCAACCCACGGACTTCTTGTGAATTTTCGAAAAGAAGAGCCTAGTAGTTATACAATATTCAAGTGTACAACGATCAATGGCTGTGTATAAAAGTACGAAGCTAGCCTGGTCTCTGCTCATGCAGTTTTCAACTTACCTTTTGCAGTTGAAAGACTGTAAACCTAAACAACCGTACCAAATTTGAGTTGTTTATGATTATAATCGATATGCACGCTGGGAACAAAAGAAACGATTTGAAAGGAAATTAAATATAGGGGTTGAATACATTGTAATGTTCAGCAATTTTGCCGCCAGATTTGATGTGTTATCTCGGAGTCTGATTTACCGAAAATGGAGCTCCTACAAGATAGGTAAGTCCGATTTAGCTATATCTGACTTGAGTTGGAAGCATAAGTCTCAAAGAGGAGGCATTTTAAGCTGGTCATACCTCCCCACATCTAAGGACACACGAGAACTCAAATACATTGGGGGCTATAGTACGCGTATTTATCCATTTCATGGCACTATGGTCAGCTATAGCTCTTGCGTCACCATCTACAGCAACTACAACAATATCCCACAACAATATGATAGGGCCTTATCAATGCTTTGGCAGTGGTCACTTTTGCCGGCGATAAGCGAAATTTCTCGTCGCTTCTTCGCAACTCGGAGCCCACAGGCGCAAATCGGGCCCGGTGTATCGGATCTTGGACCACGCAATTTGCTAAAACGGATGAAAGCCAACAGTTATAGCTGTGTACAAAGTTAGTGGTATATCACATAAGAAAGGGTATTGGTAAATACAGGGGCTCCCTCAGCCACGTGTTTGGCTGCGGGCCGTTGGTCAGGAAATAACCAGCACTTCGCAATCTCCCCGCCAGCCCCAATCAGCTCTTCCCTCTCCCCCTTCGCTCTCTGCAGGGCCTTCTTGTATCAGTGGTACCACTTGTTGGGCTAGACTCGACATTCATGGCCCCTGCCCGATCCCACCGTTGTAAAAAGAGCTAATTACGTACAAAACACCATGATAAAATATCTGATTTTGTTGTTTTTACGTAATTTACGTCCAAATTGATAAGTATCTTCATTCTCTGTGCGCATTCTAACAGTTATATTTATGTCTCATCTTGTCAGAATTCGGTTAATATGCTGAAATTATACTGTATTTTTGTTAACTGCGACATTTCTGGTGTACTATTTTGTGTTTGTAATAAGTAGTAAAATAGTACTGTAGTACTACTACTATAGTATTAAAGACGGGCTTACGAGCGAATGCACGAGTGCTAGTACATTTTGTATTATACTGGGATAGGAAGCGAGGAAGTGCTGATAGCCCAGCCCAAACAGGATTAATTCGGGCGCCATCTGCTGCCTCCCCCGTCGGTACAAACTGGTCATGAACCGGTAGTTTTAAGGTTGATACTGACGATAATGATGGCTGACGAGAATGATCGTTTTCATTTGAGAATCGCTCGTGCTTCGTGCTAATAGCCGGGCAGATGCTGCGACTGCGAAGCAGGCGCAGGAGATGTTCATGGCTCGTACATTATCGAGGTACCTTTTGATTATTTGTCCTGTGTGTATCTTCTTATGCAATATATAACAAGCACAAGCGTGCTCAGGCTTGCTTTTCAGTTAGGGGCTCGGTGTACGCCACAATGGACGAGTAAGCACACCCGGTGAAGTGACTTTCATGATTCTAACCATTGTTATCATGTACCTATCCCAGCCTTAGGGAAGCCCTAGTACTGATGGTCTACTATAGTATTTCGGAAGAAAATCATCATAATGGCAATCCCTTGCTGCCGGTGATCACTGGTACTGCGATGGAGAAAACCGCATCGGGATGGTTCCTGTTCTGGGCCTCTCGGACCCCAGTGGAGGAGCAAACGTGGGGTCAGTTTACCCACGACGCCCTTGCGCACTTTGAAGCGTCGAACTACGAAGAGGTGCTCCGGTAGAAGCTTCGTCAATTCTGCCAGACCGGTGACATTGAGGAGTACAATGGGAAGTACCCGTCGTTGATCCTTCGTATTGAGAACATGATCGAAGTCGACCAAGTCAGGTACTACTGCGATGGACTCAAGCGCACCACGCAGGTTTACGTCAAGCTACAGAACGCCACGACGTAAAGTGAAGCAATGGACCAAGCCTGCAAGTACGAGCTGTCCCACATCGCCGGATCGCGAGAAACCAGAGTGTGATCAACGGTTCCATGGGTCGCCGCAAAACAAGAAGCCGTTCAGCAGACAATCCTACAAGTCTTGTCACTACGCACCTGCAGAGCGAACCAAGGATGGCCCTGTGTGTTGCCAATGCAACAAGCCTGGACACTTCAAGCGCGGCCGCAGTACTAAGCTGAAGGGTGAGCAGGAAAACGACCAGCCACGCCAGTAGAAGAGGGATCTGACGTGGCGAGCGCTAGCGAAGAAGGTTTAACTGTAAACGCAGCTACGTTGAATCTACTTTGTGAAGACGCTCTCGTCTACAATCGCGCACCATTGTTCGCCGTTGAAGGGAACATGGAGCAGCGCGAGAGCAAGATTGGCGCCGTGGTTTTGCTGAATCACGGTGCTACGACTGGCTATGCGTCACCATCCTTTACAAAGAAGAAGATCACTGTTTGCCTCGATGGTGTACCAAACTACCAGTATGTCGCTGTCGTGTTCTACATTCCCGATGGGTTTGATTGTGCCCTTGGGATGCCGTTTTTCGCGGATGTACAACCGGAGATCGACTGGAAACGTCGATACTTCAAGATGGATGACTCCGTTGCAGCCTCAGTGGTGGGAACTCCGACCCCCAGCGGGAAGTGCAGTCTGACTTTAGGTATCGATCTTCACAATGCTGCAGTCAGCGAAAGATCGCGTACAATAAGCCATGATTCTTGTCGAGCCGTCGTGCCAGAAACACCGTTGGAGGGCGAAGCCGAAGTCAATGAAAGACCGATTGATGTCGCGGAGAAATTCTCTAAGCGGGGGAAGAAGAATGCCAAGGTTGAGGCAATGTTCACTCTTGGAGTAGTCGACTCGGAAGGAGTCCAAACGAAGTACATCGCGCGAAAGAAGCTACGGAAGTTTCTACGCCTACCTGCAAGGACCAGCCGGAACACAATTTCATGATTGCGCTGACAAACAACACGATCAAGGCTATTCAGCGCGACGTCAGGCGACGTGACGAACCTGACCATGTTGAAACGAAGAAAGCCAAACCATTTCAACAAACCGATTGGGAATCGTTCAAGAAGAACCCCGCGTACCCCGTCATTGTTGTGTACAAGGACAGTGTGTTTACGCCCGAACCGCCTGACAGACGGCCGATGGAGCATGATATTGATCATCGTACCGACGTGAAGGACCCGAACATCGCAATGTACCGGCAGCAGTGGAGACTCTCACTGGACCAGAAGGCCGAGATCGACAGCTGGGTGCAGGAAAGGATCGCTAAGGGATTCATTCCGCCGAGCATCAGTCCTCCTGCAGCTGAGTTCGTAAATCTGTGGGATGGCGCATCATACACGACTATCGGTATTTAAACAGCCACACGATCCGTCAGAGCGTATTGATGACGGGTAATGAGGATGTTTTCGACAGTACGGGAGGTGCCTACTACTTATCGAGCATGGACTTGATGTCAGCGTACTACCAAGCGCAGATGAAGGTGGATCACGTCAAGTATACAGCTTTCCAAGCACCAAGTGGATTGTACGAGTATCTGGTGTTACCGAGGGGAGTAAGCAATGCACCACCGACGATGCATCGACTGACTTCTTCATTGCTCAAGGGCCTCCCATACACACGTTCGTTCTACGATGATATCTATGTGTTCACGAAGTCGAAGGACATCAACGAGCACCTGCCCTCTCTTCAGGACGTGTTGGAGATTTTGAAGAAGAACAAACTGTATGTGAAGCTCTCCAAGTGTGTTTTCTGTGCGGAAAAGATTCCGTGTCTGCGTGATTTCATCGGGCGGAATGGGTTTCGCATTGATCCGGACAAGGTGCAGCCTATCGGCGTCTGGCCTGCACCACGAACCCCAAAACAGATTCGCGGTTTCCTCCGTCTGACCGAATACATACAGCGTTTTTGTGAGCGGTACTCAGAGCTTACGGCTCCACTGTTCACGTTGTTGAATCAGCGGAATTCGAAGACCTCTTTAAATCCCTTTTAACGCGGTACAGCTGCAGAACTTCAAGGCGTTGAAACGCCGGTTGTCTGACCCTCAAGTTCTGCACTTACCTCCAACTTTACGCGGCATATGCATCTGTGCACGGACGCGAGTCAGTATGCCGTTGGGGGTATGTGGAGACGGATCACAAGTCACTTGAAGGTATTTTCCAGCTGAAGATGGCGAATCGGCGCCTCGCGCGATGGTATGATATTCTGGCTGAGTACTAACCGTGTTTGTGGATCTCCCAGGCGCTGAGAACGGAATCGCTGACGCTCTGAGCCGACGGCCTGACCTTAAACCGGAGACGGAGAATTTCCACGATTTGCTCGTCCCCAGTTTCAACGATACCATCTACCAGCTACGTGATATGGAGATCAAGCCTAACGTCGATCTGATCAAGGCGATAATCGCTGGATGCACAAAGGACAAGGTTATCGGGGACATTCCGCGCGCGATCAAAAGGCGTGGAACTGCGTCAGTAGTGTGAGGGGCATCGGAGAAGCAGTACAAACCTTACTTCGAGGCGAAGAACCTGATCTGGTACCAAGGCTCTACAAACGAGCAACCTCGTATCGTGGTCCCAAACATCGTGGCACTCAAGCACCGTATCATCGCTGAAGCGCCCGATATCAACTACGGTGGGCATCCCGGTTCCGACCGCACGTACCTGAAGCTTCGCTCGGACTGGTATTGGCCACGCATGGTACTTACGATCAAGAAATACATTGCACACTGTGAGGACTGTCGGCGTAACAAACCGCGGTAGACGAAGACACCTGGACTCTTGGAACCATTACAAATTCCGGATGAGCGGTGGCGATCCATTTCAATGGACTTTATTACGGACCTACTGGAAGACGTAACTCGATTTGGGTCGTTGTTGATCGGCTCACCAAGTGGACACATACCGCATTGCAACGACGAAGAAAGTTTCAGCTCGCTCAAGAGGTCGCAGCTTTTTATCGAAAATATTTGGAAGTTACACGGTATGCCTCAAAACATTGTGTCAGGCCACGACACGAAGTTTGACTCTGGATTTTGGAGTCAAGTGTTTGAGAACGTTGGTACCAAACTGAAGATGACTGTAGCATATCGCGCTCAAGGGCGATGGACAGACTGAGAGCACCAATCGTACGCTCAAAGAGTACCTGCGTTGTTTCGTGTCACCGCGTCAAGATGACTGGGATGTACCTCTCGCGAACGCTGAGTTTGCCATCAACTCTGCCGTCAACTTCAGCATCAATATGTCACCATTCGAGGCTGACATTGGATATGTCCCTCGCAACCCACTAGTAGCCGTAGCAGCAACCAATCGACTTGGCCTGCGCAGAAGTCGACGTCAAGGCAAGTTCACTGATCACCCAGAAGCACTCCTTCGTCAATGTAAAGAGGCCCTAGAGGATGATTAAGCGCGGATGGCAGGTGCGTACGATCGTGGAAGAACGGAGAAAGTGTTCAAGGTCGGCGATCAAGTCTACCTGAGTACAAAGCTCTTGGATACAACCCACACTGGCTTTACGAACTCCCGCAAGCTGTCCTAAGTGGATCGGCCCGTATTTCGTCGTTCATACCGTCCACAAGCACGCATACGATACTAACTTGCCACCTGGAGTCAAGCTGCATCCTGTGTTTAACACTGGGTCACTCAAACCCTACGGCCCTCACTTGTCTCTCGCGGCCGAGCCAAATGATTTTGCATGACGGTACTGTTGGACAGATCGTGGAAGTGATTGTGAGCAAGCGCAAGCGCCTCAGCACCATACAGTACCAGGTAAAGTGGGTGGGTGACGAGAAGCTCACATGGGAACCCCTCGAAAACCTACACCAAGTAAGCGACCTAGTTCAAGAGTATGAAGTGAAGCGCCAAAACCAACCGCGACAACGAAGGTGAAGATAAACTTCTAGCGACAGGACTGGATATATTTCGCGGTTTTAACTTCAAGGGTCCAGATAAAAGTTCAAGAAATACAAAAGCCAAGATGAAAATGAAGTCATACAATTATCAAGTTATCCTGTAGCCTTGCTGCAATTAGACCGTCGCCCTAGCAAATCAGGACACGGCACACAAATCGAAGTTGGTCGAGCCACGAGAACGCATACTTGAGCAGGGGCATCTGGGCGACGTTGTCGTCCGAGGCGAAGCATCCAGCCGTGGTCACCTGAAGCATGAACGCGTGAGGCTTGCGCTGGGGCCCCGCCAGGATGCCGATGCAGAGGTACACCTCGGGCGTTAACATCAGGTGCTCCAACGCGAGGCAGGTCTCCACACCAGACAACCGGAACTGGGTCTGGCTGACGCGAAGTGTCTTCACAGTGCTACGGGCGCCCAGCACCACGAGCAGACAGGTTAACCTGCCGAATGAAGGACGATAAGGTGGACCACACGACACCTTCCGACGCGATCGCGTTCCCAGCAACAGCGCGTGCGCGGTAGAAGTAACCGACGATATCATCGAAACACTACGCAGGAATCCCCAGGGTATCGACAGCATGAGCGAGCGCATGGAACGTGCAGCGGCCATCTCCGCAGGCAGGCCGAGAGAGCGCATACTCGCCGAAATTATCGTACCAGCTGCCGCCTTGTAGGCGTCGACAAGCTCAAGATACTCGGCGAAATCATCTTCTTCGAGCAACCATCGGGGCTGCCAAGATCCCTCGGTCTTGCCTATGACACGATGTAGTCGACATAGTGCCGTGAGACACGAGACATTTAAGTCCCCAGTCGATCCGAGATGGCCCAGACGTACCACCGAGCGGTCGTCGCAGCTGCACGGCTGGAGGACTTCCACGCAGCAACACGGGCCAGAAATCGTCGAGGCGTTCGGCCTCCGGTCGAGCGTGCAGCCGTTTGCTTCGTGCGTGCAACACCAAGCTCTCGAGGGAGTGAGCGGTTGCGCAGGACTGGAACGCAGGAAGCAAGCAGCCACTCCGCCTTGACGGTCGCTTCGCCGAGGGGTTGAAGGAAATTACAGACTGAGGCGATGCGAAGGAAGGGCAAGATTAATAAGCGTGAAGGAGCGGCCAACGATAAGAAGCCGAGGACGAGCAACGAGCAACGGCTACCCCAGGACGAGCCGCGGCACCTCGGCGAGCCGCAGCAACTCGATTTTAACTTCAACGGACGCATTCAGCAGGTATGAAAGGACTTCAATTGGTGGAGGGATGAGTGTTACAGTTATTGCTGCGTACCAAGTTAGTGGTGTACACATCAGAAAGGGTATTGATAAATATAGAGGCTGCCTCATCCACGTGTTTGGCAGCGGACCGTCGGTCGGGCAATGACCAGCACTTCGCAATCTCCCCGCCAGTCCTACCCTCCTTCGCTCTCTGCAGGGCCAGCTTGTATCAATTGGTATTGTGCATATCAAACAAACAGGTATGCTGGGGTATAATTGATGGATGTTTGCAAATGACATACAGATTATAAATTCAGACTAATCCAGGTTACCCAGTGTGGTCAGGGTATTTGCAGTTTTCATGACTGAACATACGTCCGTAGTAAGGCTAGGAGAACAAATAGATTTCATTGTACAGGCGTCCAAAACAATAGTTAAGAACACTTAACCATTGTAAATAAGTTCAAATGAATACTGGAGGGGCAATAGTGTTTGGCCTCATTTTCCATCCTGGAGTGTGACGAGGCTGAGCGGGGTTTTGCCCCAACGGTCTGTCTTAGTACCAGTCCTTGCATACGGATAACAGCTTCGTATACGCAAAGGCGGTCTCGGTCCTGACGAAGATGAATGCTGTTTATACGAGTGCGAAGCGGTGTAATGAAGTCCAAACGTGCCAAAAGACACAAGCGCCCAACCACCGAAGCTAAGCTTGTATGTTCCATCTGTGACAACGAGCAACTCACCATTTTGACCTACCACTGTTCGTGGTGCTGCTCGAAAAAGCTTTCGCGAAGTTGAGATGATTTCGACCGAGACGTCGCCACTATCAGTGAGCAGTCCAGCACTATGAGCTCATTTTGAAGTTCGCCAAAAGGTTTGGTGAGCGATGTGCCAAATGTCGCGTTTGCGACTGCCGCTCAAGTGTATTCTCCGTAGACCCCCAGCGGAAATCATCGCATTAGCGATCCACACACATACCGGGGGACGTAGAGATCCTTCCTTCGATGACAGGCGCTATAGGTATCCAAGACGAAGGCGGAGCCAGAAGTTCACGAGGAGGTGCGTGTTGAGGAGCAGAAGAGTTGATTGTAGGCCATGAGAGGTTGCCGGAAAAATGCGTGCGCAAGGTGGATGTGCAACGATAACTGAAATTAAATAAACAACCGTAACAACAAATAAAATAAAAAACGATTTGTTAAAACATTCTTCTCCGGCCCGCTTCAGAATGACAGTTTCGGTTTATGAGCGATATTATCAAAGCTACATCTCATCTGTAAGAATTGAGCACACCGTTGAATACCTCTCAGTGGCGCGCAGAGGTGAGTATTTTTCTTATTTGCCTAGCAGCAGAATCAAGGGAGCAAGCCCTGCTCTTTGGTGCCTCTTTCCAAAGGTCATTAGGTTTTTTATCGCAGTTCAGTCAATTTTTAGCGATATTACACCGAAGGTTTAGGTCACGCAGACCAATACGTTCTTAATTGCGGGGCCAACAGTAGAACAAAGCAGGGATGCGTCCAGTTAAAAACAAAAGTAAGGGTTATTGCTGAAGTCCCAGTAAATAATGTGTACCCACACGTTAATTTGACCAATCCGCGTGAACCAACTAATTAGGTACGGAATTCGGGAAATGTAAGGGTGGAATTGAGATTAAGCGTACAACTGCATGTACCCGGCCGTCACCGCATCCGTTGCGACCACTATCGACATGGGCATCCGTCCACCGACTGCTACATGCATACCCACTCGCGGCAGTCTGAAGTCGTTTTCCCCACCACTCCGTAGAATAGCCTCCATCATCTTCTGTAGGGTGACAAAACACTTATCCAGTGTTTGCCACGGAAGCTCGTCAAACGCTTCTGTCACTGCGACGATGAGGCTATTGGTATATCCATCCGTTACTGTAACGCTTGAATTGGTTCAAAGTAGCCCAAATCAAGAACGTTAACCTCAGGTGATCGAGGTGGCTGGCAGCGCATCTTAATCTTCCACCCCTCTACTCTCCCTGCTGCCTCCAACTCGACGTCATTGTCGAGGACATGCGGTCTCGCGTTGTCTTGCTGGACGAACACAGTCGAGCCCCGGCGAACTACATACATAACATGACAGTTTTGGTCAGTTGAATCCATGAGCAGTCGATAATACAAAAACAATTACCTGACATCTTGGCTCTGATAGCGGGAAAACTTTTTCAACAAGAAATTGCCGATAAAGTGGACGTGGCATTGTCACACATTTCGTGACTGCGGTACCTCTAGGCCTATTAACGGAGTTGCGAAGAACCTCTGTTACTTCCACGATAGGCCAGATTCCTAACTTACCATCAAAATATTTCTTGCGACGGCAGTCGTAGCGCTGACGCGCTACAACTGCCAGAGACATAACTTTACCTATGTACTTTTTGTTTGGGCACGAACGGTAGGAAAGCTGCTCCGTAGCCGTCAAGTAGTATCTTGTAGCCCCTTTGTAGAGGTTGAACCACTTTTCATCCACATGCACCGTGTCGTACATGTGATGCGTGCGGTAACTGTGGCCACCTATAATACACATTTTTTGAAAACATTCCAGCCAATTAAAAAAATGAATGTGTTGATGGACCAAAATAATATCAATTGAAGTTAGAACTAAATGATAGCAAAACAAACAACGATCGCGTCGCTCTTGTACGGTGCCTAGAGGCATGCTCACGGGGGATAACGCCCACTGTAGACGTCTCAGCTTGTGGGCAGCGGTGAGTGTCGGCTTCACGCGCGACGCAGCACGGCGAAGCGATCCGTCGGCAAGGTAGCGCTGAAGTGTTGTCCTCGGGATGCCGCTCGCTACAGCGAGTGCCCGCTGTGTCTGGCGTTGGCACAGCAGTACAGCTTGTACCAGCTGTGCCACCTCCTTGGGCGTCAGCCGTCGTCCGCGCGGAGCCACCATCCGCCTCGGAGCCGCCAAAGCCCCGACGTCGTGGTGATTGCGCCAAAGGTTCTTCACACTGTTGCGGCTGACCCCAAACGCAGTCATTGCAGTGAGAATAGCTCCGCGGAGAAGCGTCCCGCGAACGCTCCGCTCCGCGAGGAAGAGCACGACGCGCAGGCGGGTTGCAGGCGGAATGTCAGCTTGACCGGTGGCTCTAGGCATTTTGGTGCTTGTCGATCGTTGGTGGGCGAGGGAAGGAAAGGTAAGTGAGAGTTGGTCTCGAGCGAGTTAGCCTGCATGATGCCGTTAATTAGTGGACAGCACCTTTCTTTATCTTTACCCAATCCGGTCAATCGCTCGATTAATTGCGATCTCAGAAAAACCTCAACTGTCATTTTGAAGCGGGCCGGAGAAGTATCCAGTAAGATAAAATTGGGAAATGTTTGGTTCCTGAATCTGTAGTTATAGATAGAACGGAAGAGAGATCAGGAACGGTGGTTTCCGAGCGCGCCAGTGCAACTCCCCACCAGTTCTGATCTCTCTCCGAGCCGAGCTACCACCTTCCGCCCCCCGCCCCCCCCACTTCTGTCGTGCCCGCTGACCAGCGCTATGGCGCCTCCGAAGCTTTCTACCAACAAGTCGACGAAACGTCCCGCTACGACAACACGGACACGGGCCGGTAAGATGTCATCAAAGTCGAAGAAGTCGAAGGCTACAACTCGAGTATCGACATCAGCCACTACTCGCCGATCTGCGCGTTCAACCAGACAGGCGACTGAACCAGGGCCAAGTGCTCGTAGCGAGACTAGCGCAGCGGTGCAAGGCAGCTCCGGAAACGATTTACCCAGCGGGGGTACGGAGCCGGTCCTGCAGGAACTGAGCGAACTTCCAGTCCAACCATCCCGTACACAACAGCGAGTTGCCCCCACGGGCTATACAGAAAACGACTCGACCGAGACGGATTACGTGCGATCTAATATCGACGCACGCCGTGATTTTGACTTGCGCGAGCTGCTATCGAGTGCAAGCCATTCAACGCATGTACCTCCGTCTGAACTATCAGCGCTGGCTCAAGAGTTAGGCAGCATGCGGGCTGATATAGCGGCACTGAGATCAAGACCAGTGGCACCAGCAGCAACCAGCAGCGGCACTTCAGCCATTGGAGCGCCCCCAACACCCACAGCGCCTGCGACCATAACGGAATTAGTGTCCGAAGTGGGGTTGTTACGTGCCGAGTTAACCGCGCTAAAGTCAGGCACGGCGGTGTCTACTTCGCCAGCGTTGGGCCATATTTCCGCCCCTCATGGCCCGGTCCAGGAGCGAGTCGTACTCCCTGACCATGACGGCCAACTTCCACCAGCACCGATCAGAACGATTACTAGCGCGGACTTCGGGGCATGGACCAAGAAAGCCAAGTCGGAATACAACCCGCCGCCAATGCACGTGACAGCGGCGCACAGAATGTTTCCCGGTATTACCAACAGTACGTACGCTTACCCTTGTTCACTACTTCATACGGTAAGCACGGACGAAGCGATCCAGTTCGACAAGTCAGAGGCGATCCTCATGGCTTTGGCCAGCGGCCAAATTGGACGCGATGGCGCGTGCATCCTTCATTTTGAACGGTCCAGTGCATCCAACTACGCTGCCAAAGTGAAACAGCGTCGGCTTCTTGCAGACTTCAGTGGACATGCAACGCTTCCAGTGATCAAACGATTGGAACCTGGCCAACAACCACTCACGTATGCTCACCTTCTTTTGGCAATTGAAGGTCTGGGGGTCTTTACCAGGCGCTACTGCTTCGATTTTATTAACGAAATGGTGAATCGGCTCCGCGATTTTGTCGCCAAGAACGCTCAGCATGATGAACGTGCGACGTTACCGCGTGTGATGCTGACACTTCACACCGTCGATATGTTTTTGTCCCGGGCGCTCAACCACCTTCGCAGCGATAGTCCGTCATGGTGGGCTAATTTCCGCGCAGAAGTTCAAAGAATGGATTACAACTCGACCGAATGGGTGCTACTACTCTCCTCACTGCTCACGTCGACGCCAGCGCACCAGACCACGGCGGCAAGCCCGACAAACCACCAAGTATCGCCAAGGGCGAACTTCAAGTCAGCCCCACGACAGCGTCCTCGAGATCAAACCAGTTACGAACGGCTGCGAGGTTTTCCTCCAGACATCGCGGCACTTGTTCTTCGGGTCAATGGGAAGGAGCCCTGCCTCCGGTTTTTCTCCGGTCATGGATGTTATGTCAAGGGCAAGTCGTGTGGCAACGGTAAAAGGCTTCACTCGTGGCAAACACCACTTCCGGACGCTCTGGTAGAGTATATCAAGACATACTTTGCTCCTAAACCAGCAGTCCCTACTAATAAGTGAAGCTGCCCAAGGCCCTCTCGTCCGTGGGGTCCTCTGGGAAACGGTGATGCTGCAATTATGAATACATATACAAACCGTTCGGCAGCATCCAACGGGCCAAACACTCCCCGGTTACTATCTCGTTCAGCTCCTAGGGTACTACTACACCCGGGTGAACGAAGCCGTGATTTCCCAATCACCCAACTTCCGGAGGGCGGGGCGGTCTCTCTACCCAACAATCACGAATGTTCCGCCGCATCCAGGACACGGGATCAGGCTCACAGTGCAGCTTCGATGGCATCTTGTCATGATTGTGCTGAGCTGCCTTCATTATGGACGAATCACGCGGCATTGAGATCGAATTCATCGCGTATCAATTCCCCGGTCACGTTTTCATCATCTACCACAAGCCATCGCTGGGAATCCCACACAGCCAAAATGCGGAGTTTATCTCTACAACGAGCGAAGACATGGACCGAGATTCGTCGACAAAATCTCAACAACGCTCTGAACAAAGTGGGCTTATCGCTGCCAGTGCCATCAAAATCATCATTACCTGCGATCATCGATACGGCATCTAAATCGACCCTCCCAGAGTTTATACGAAAGACTCGACCTCAACTTCACGAGTTTGTCGAGCCCTACCGGTGCCAGACTCTGGATGATTATCGTCCCAACAAGTCAATCGTACCTGCTGTAATTAAGGAGTCTTGTGCTTCTTACGATCAACTCGAACGCCTACTGGACTACGCTGAAAATGGAGTTGAAGTGAAGCTGTCGCGACCCATGCCCGACCAAACACGACGTCCGGCAACCATGGCTCCGCGTTACAAAGTCTACCAATTCTGTTGCGCAACCTTCGAGCTGAACAAGACGCTGGTCATGTGCTTCTGCTGGATGCTGATATTTTGGAAATCTGGCCGCACATTCAGATCAGCCCGTTTGGCATCGTCGTCAAATCTGGAAAGGACCCAAGTGTGCACGGTAGAACGATACATGACTTATCATTTCCACCAGGCCTGTCCGTCAATGACCACACGGACCGAACCGCACTTCCCCAACCAGCCTACGAGTCATGTGCAGTAATTGCGCATGAAATTTTACGCCGTCGCCGTCTCGAGAGCCATCCTCCCAAAATTCTGACTGGGGATGTGGCATCCGCGTTCCGTCACGTTGGAATTCACTGCAAGTCCGTATACCTTTTTGCCGGCATGATCCTTGAGCTGAACTTGCTTATTATCGGCCTCTGTTGTCCGTTCGGTTGGACCGGTTCGCCAAGTTGCTACGAAACTTTCGGTGGAGCCATCATCACCCATCTACACCGGACTACCTCAATCACTACGGGCAACAGCAATTTTGGCTACCACTGGGTCGACGACCACGTATGCGTGGCCGTAGACAACGAGATGAATTGCTTGGAGATTGAGCATGCGTTGCGACTGGCTATGATCGACATATTGGGCGCTGAATCTATCAACGAAGCCAAGTTCTCAGGGTGGCATCACCGATTAAAAGTGCTTGGCCTCATTTTCGATGCATCGGCCTCTACTGTCTCAATCCCCCCGGAGAAACTCGGAAAAGCACGAAATCTTGTCTCGACAACTTACCACAAGTCATCTGTATCGATATCAGAATTCCGTTCGTTGCTGGGCTCTCTTCGGCATATTTCAACTTGTCTACGCCCCGCTAGGCCTTTCCTGCAGCGGCTTCACCAACCTGAAAGAAAGCTGCTGCGGTATACAAAAGTTCACGTGATCGACCGCATGCGGCAGGATCTTTTGTGGTGGTGGTCAATTCTCCAACAACCAGTACTAAACCACTTACCGATGCAATATTTTCATGGAGAACCCGCACCCGATTTCACGGTAGAAGTCGATGCTTCTGATTATGGCTGCTGTTCGCTAGACGTCACTCGCGAGCGATATTTCTCCTACCAGTACAATGAACATGAACTGGAGCAGATTGCGTTGTTTCACCGAGACTCGCCTACTTGTTTCGACATAAACTATCAGGAACTTTTGACGTGCGCCTTTGCGGCATCGGTTTGGGCCACACATTGGAGTGGAAAATCTGACGCAGAGCTGGTTCACTTTCGTGTGGATAACATGTCAGCAGTGTCGTGGCAACAAAAACTATCATCGCCAAATCCGCTTGCTCAAGATCTGATTCGTCTTTTAAGGTGGTGGGAAGTTGAACACCGAATCCGATTTTCGGCCTCTCAAATACCTGGTATCGCAAATATTCGCGCCGACGCTGGTTCCCGTGCTTCCGTATCGAAGGTCAAGTCGGACTTATTCACTAATCTTGTTGCTGGTTGGATACAGGACAATCCCCCCAAATCCGCATCCACGATGACAGCACACTGGCGATGTATCTGCGCGAGCACTCCGTTGCTGATCCCACCCACGACAAGTACAAACGGGCCTTCGGTCGATGGGAACAATGGTGCAAGCAATTTGGCTTTCCAATCTGGCTAACGCGGGTTAATACCGATCAGCAAGCGGTTATTGTCTCGGATTTTATTGTTTCGTGCACACGTTCCGGGCGCAATGGACGGCAACCGAAGAGCGATACCATTGCAAATACACTTCATGGAATCAATCACTTTTTCAAGGCACGTGCGCTTGCGTTTCCTGTCGGCCATCCACAAGTATGCATGCTCCTCAAGGGTCTTCGTCGATTGGACACTCCGGAGCAGCGCAAAGCACCGGTCACTCTATCTCTGCTCCGGGCTGTTTTCAACCGTCTCGATCTCAATTCCCCAGCGTATCAAGCATTATGGGGGCACTGTGTCTAGCCTTCTTTTTTCTACTTCGGAAATCCGAGATAGTCGCAGATGGCACGCACTTCAAGTGGTTTATTTTACGTCATGGCGATATACAGCTATTTGGTCACGATGGGCGGCCGACTGGCGATCGGCTGCGGCAGCCTCAGTATCGATTAAACTCACGGGTCGAAGACGAACCAGACTGGACCGCTGATAACGCGTTCATTACTGTCATCCGGAGACCTCCAGATTTGCCCGGTTTTAGGAGCACTCTGTATACGAAGAGCACGCGAAATTTGCCCGATCACTTCCCCGCTACAATGTACCAGAACCGCAAGGGCGTACCCGGTGTCATCTCGGCTGAGCGTATCATCAAAAGTTTGCTCAAGGTGGCTCATCAAGTGGGCATCGACCCACGTTCTATCGGCACTCATTCTCTACGAGCCGGAGGTGCCACACACATGCATCGCGCCGGCATCGAAACAACCACCATTCAGCTACACGGTCGATGGGCATCTGATGCTTTCAAGCGATATACTCGCCTTTGTGAAGACTCCGTCGCTGTGATTGCCAAGCGTATGGTCACCGGATCAGCTCACAATGCATCACTCGGTTAGCCTCGAATGCTATGCCTGCTCTTTGGGGTTGCCCACAATTCTTGAGGGCCAGGCTGACATTCTAAGCTATCGAGTAAATACATTGCATTGTTCCCCATACGCACGAAGCAGAACGGAAATGTAAAGTTATCTGAATTCTTGTAAATGCTTTTTCAGACACTCCGATTTGGAAGGGGACTTTTTTGGAATCGAACATGTCTCTTTGCGGGCATCGTAGGTGTCTACGAACTCGGCGGAGAACGCCTCTTAGGCGACTCTTGTTTTGGTGGAGGTGTCGGTGCTGGATCGCGCTCAATGCCGTAGTGGGAAAGCTGATACATGTATTACTCCATAACTTCAATTTCCTCGTCGAGGTATCGAGGACGAGCAATTAGCCGATCTCGAGCGCGCTCTCGGCCTTTCAGGCAACGCGCGAGAACGTTCATGTGCGCTTCGCTGTCTTCGTTGTTGTTGAGGAAGCGGCGTCGAGGCTTGCGTGGCATGGCGAATTGGTTTATGCCATGCCCCACCAACCTCGCACGGTAAGTTTCAGAACAAGTAACACCTAGGTGAAAATATATGATAGCGACTTCTGTACTTCAATTGTGATCAACCTGCTCCGAATCTGCTCCGAACTTTAAAGGTCAGACATGTTATAAATTACGCTAAGTTACAGTGACAGAAACTGGCGTCGATGCAGCCCTCCTAATTGTTTCGGTACAGCACCGAACCGTTAACCCTACAAGACCTGAACCGAAAATATATGCAATGCATGGAAACACCATTTCAAATGTCTGACTGGTATAATCGATCAGAAAAGCAATGCAGCTGTCGGCAAAGCAATGTATCCCCGCTAATTTGGAAATTAGCCGGTGGGAGGATGAAAAACGATTTTCCGATTGACGGTTTGATGAACCGAAACAACTATCCTTAACATCGGTGAAGACTAGTCCACCAGGCGCAAATCGCATAGCGGCAGAGAGTGCAGTAAAGTCAAGATCTCACCGCAGTTAGCAACGATTGGCAGCGGGATGTCATGGTCGCGCCAGAAACGAGTCCAGCTGACCCTTCTATCGTCGACGGACTGGCAAGCCGCCACTCAGATGGCGACCGAGTGCGACAAGCCGATCCCCCCCCCCCACATACACACACAACTCGATACTCGTAGGGACCCAAGCCAACAGGCCGACGGATAAGGACCGGACGGCGTACCGGCGGTCAGTAGCAGTTGCAGTAGCAGCTTGACAATAGGCGAATTCAAGACGAAGCTAGAGCTGACAGGCTGTCAACCCGACATTCGCACCCACAATAAGCGGCTTAACTCCAGGCTTCGTAACCCGATGAGCAGATCCTACGCGCATGGCTGGAACGACACGAGAAAGACGGGCGTGTAAAACCAACAGAGTGACGCAAGTTATCAAGTGGTGAGGTGGAGAACCCAACCTCAACTCGACAGCGTGCACCAAGGACAAGAACTGCCCACAAGACATAAAGACGACACCATGCATATACACTACCCACATGTAGTTTATACTATAAATCCGTAGCACTCGCCCCTTTAAAGTTGGATAGACGCTCATAGTATGAAGGATGGACCTTAACGGAGCGGGTGTTACGGATTATAGTAATAGACCGGAATAAGAGCTATAACAGGCAAACTGGGGGATTGCGCGCTTTATCGATCACTCGTGTCGTCCAAGAATACAGTTCCGGGGGGGGGGGGCATTCCGTACGATCTACGTTTAAGTCCTTGTAGTCGATACGGAGTATATAACCGCTAACGATGTGCGGACGGTAGAGTATGGATCAGATCTGTGGTTTACGTGCATCTGTGGAGAGTGAAATTGCCACAGCAAGAACCAAGCCATAAAGTTGGAAGTTGGTCGGTCAAATCAACGGGAACGTTAACTGTATCGTCTAAAAAAAATGTTAGCGGATCATAGGCGCCGTCATCATTGATACAGCGCACCAAAAAGCTGGACCGGCCACAAGTCTAATAATCATGCTAACCTGATTCCGGTTTTGGTGCATAGATGTTACTGAGGAAATCAACGGTGGTATCGTTTTGGTGCCTCGGACGCCTGAGGAAACCTCGACTGCAGCTGCCGAGTGTAGCATTGGAGTCACGTCATGATTTGTGTTGGCTGCTCCAATTCTACATTATTGAGCCTGAATGCAAACATCTTGCTCCCAAATTGAACCCGGCACGCGCTCGCGGACCTCCGCAGTAAGGTATGCAAAACCAACCCATCAACATGACATGGTGGTTTGAAGCCTCGGTGGGTAACTCAGCTGAATGGGTTCAGTGGGCGAGCCATCAGGTAACGCCGGTCACGATAGGCTTGATTTGATACCATAACACACTCTGATTGACCAGGTGAAGAATTTTTAATCGGCTAAACATGTTGTGGCTCTCTACACATTCTCGATCGAACGCAAAACGTCCGCGGTTCAGGTGAACATACCGCCGCTTGACATGGGACACACACTTACCCGCTTGAAGTATGCGTGCTACAAGTACCTCTTTCTGTGGGAAACATTCCACGGGCCTGACGAGAAGCCAAAGTCGTGTCCCTCGCGCAGGTGCCTTGAGTGCATTGTCGGACCCATGTCTGCGTGCTACCGGAGGCCGCCGACAATGTCAACGCCTGAGCAAGAAGCAACATAACTCATAAGTAAAACCAAAATGCAGCGCTCCCACGAGCTAAAACCATTCTTTGTGTCTTCTAAAGCATTTTTAGAAAGAAGTTAACATTGATGCACCAGTAGTCTAAGTAAGAAAAAACATAACACAAGATACGTATGCTTTAACAACTAGCTGCCGAATGGACAGGTGATAGATTTGTCCCGGTAGTAGAGATTTGAGCGCACCATGGCAGGTTCGCGCAGTACGACCCAGAACGGCCTGTTACATTAAAATTAAGGGTCTACCGCGTAGTCACTTAAATAATACAACCACTGTAGCTTTAAGATGGCGGACGGTGGTTGCGTGCTACACCTACACCTCGAGTCGACCAAGCGGTGTACCGCGTGCGCTAAAATAGTGCGATAGAACAGGCGCATACGACAACGCCATAGGAAAGCGTGATAAGAAATTATTCGAGAGCATATCCCTCGCTTAGCCACCTTCACTCATGGTTAGACAACGAAAAGGAGACAAGTAACGAGACATGCACAAGTCATTCATTGCCTCTGATTGCCTCTGCTTGTCGTATTGTATGGTGCATGTCAATCCACTTCAGCTTTAATTGTTAGACCCGATTCATTTAATATAGCACCGCCTTACTGCTGAGACAGCCGGGGCTTAACCCACTAATGTCACTCACTTTGCAATTTGCGTCCATCGCGGCTCATCTTCCTCAAGGCCTCTATGGACCTCTAAAAGCCCCCAAGCCTCACATCTGGTAGCACTTGTTGGTCCATTTTCGCCGGGCAAGTGGTCAGAAGATCTACATCGACCGACTCGACTTCCTACGTTCGGCTCTGCTGCTATAACCTCAGGGTTATGGTTACCTATTTCACTTTACTGCTATTCTAGATGCAATTAAACTAAGCGGCATAAAGGCTTTTCGCTAGCCATAACGTGTTGCATAATAGACATTAACGCTTTTCGCTAGTCGATTACCCTCATTAGCTTTGCGCCTGTCGCTTCACTAGTCACCTTCCCGCACGCAAGCCTAATATATTACGGAAAACTTTGTTTTGACATGGCCTTGAATGACCAATGCGAACAGCAAAACCCTAAAAATCACGATTGAAACCCTCGCCAAGTATACAAGCAGTAGATAGACGCGACCGAGACACAGATTTCGCCAAGTTCCATCACACCGGCGGTGGGGCTGGACGAGCTGCTGAAGCATGTCACCCCACCGTCCAATAAATCGGCTGTGGTCCGCATGGACCCAGAGTTGTTGTATGCTCATGGGCTAAGAGACTTCAAGGGGATAACCATTTTTATGGGTCAATCGCTGCGCAGGTCAAATTTGGGTCAACGCTTTTTAACGCTTTTTTGGTCAAAAATGGAACAACGGAGGTCTACACGGTTTTTTGGTCAACTTTGGGTCAAAAATTATTACCCCCAAGAGGTTACACGATTAATAATAAATGCAAGAGATTGGGCATTTTTTTAACATATTATATATATGTTGAGGATGTTGTGTAAAATTTAGTGTTGTGTAATTGCATGAGTGCCGTGTACTTGCTAGATATTTGTATTCGGTTGTCGTCGTGTGCGGTTGAAGTTTGAAGATGTTGTGTATTTGTTGGAAACTTTTGTGTGTGGTTGAAGCTCTGGCGTTGTTACATATTTGTTGGTCAATTGTGTTTTGATTGAAGTTTTCATATTGTATTTGTTAGTTAGTGGCGTGCGTGTTAGGCTGTTGGCATGTGTATGATACACTATTGTTAGGCTGCTAGTTTGTAAGACTGTAGTGTCGAGCATCCCTATCTCGTCAGTGACACAATTAACCGCAGAGTATGTTGTCTCATCGCGGGTGCTATGTCGTCAATTGTAGTGGTTGCTCCAACCAAATCGTAACATTCATTGTGAAATCTTTAAGTTCTAAGCACTAATCCCCCCCTTCCCGCCCCCACGACGCCCACGCACCATGGCCTCAGGCTACATCTCCGACGAATCGATGTCCAACTCGCTCCTGTCCGATGGATCCGAGCTCAGCGACACCGAGACGGTTCTACTGCTCAGCCAATCCTTGGGCTCGGAACACGAAGAGAGTGATGGTACCCAACTTGAAGTCGCGCCGCCAACTGAAGATGCCCACTCTACTGGCCTCGCCGTCGCCAATTCTGGATCAGGGACTATCCATTATGGTGGCTACTCGTACGCCCAATACCACTTCAACCCTCGAACCGACACCAGGCGCTATCGATGCAGCGCCTACCGCCGAACAAATTGCAAGGCGAAATTCTACGTGAGTGGCCGTGGCGCTGTGGAGGATGGAGCACGAGCCCGCTTGTGTACCTGGTTTCTGTCGAACCTCGACTGGACCGGCCCCTGCTGTTACCGACCGAAAAGAGGGGATGCTGCTGATGACGGACACAATTTGGATCGTATGAAGCAGCGGCAAAGTTCAGTCTTCATCGACTCAACTTATCGTTGGGTGCCTGCTCCATTCTACCAGTTGGAGATTGTGATGCTCTACGATTTGATTTCGGAGCTCTTTTTGCCAATTTGGTACGTCCTTACGACCGGGAAAACGGCTCAGGTGTACGATCGCCCGTTTCACAACATTTACGTCGGGGCAAGGCAGAAAATCTTTCCAGCGCATGTTGTGTGCGACTTCGAGTTCGCCATGATCACGTCTGTCCAGAACCAGTTTCCAGAATCCCGAATTGTTGGCTGCCTATTTCACTCCAAGCAAGCGCTCCGTCGGAAGATGATGAAGTTGAAGATCACGGAAGATGAAGTGGACTTGACCATGCGGGAGGGCTGCATTGACCGCTGACGGTTATCCGACCTATGGATATACCCTCCGAGGCGCCCACGAGGTCCGATCCATGATCAAGCGCGACTGCCAAGCGAGGGGTATTGGTTACTCCTGGTCCAACTGGACAGTTGGAAGTTCTAGAAGTACTTCAAGAAAATCTGGATCAACAAGTTCAAGCCGGAGTGGTGGAACATTAACAGTGTGAGCGAAGACATCGTAAATCGGACCAACAACCCGCTTGTACGCTAGCCTACGCTACTTCCTAAGATGGGCCGAGTTATGCGTTGTGGGAGGTCCTGGCCTTCTTCGATGACTTTGAAGAGGTCGATGACACGTGAGAGTCGATGACGAGCGAGTGCATTATCTCTGTCAACTACATTGACGTTTGTATGACGCACGTCAATTCACTTCAACTTGAAGTGGATTGACCAATCAGATTGATTTACTCTAGCACCGCATTGGGCACTGCCCAGACGGCCGGCCACAGGGCTTTTTCGAAATAAACTCACTTTCGAATTCGCATCCAACCACCTCAACGGTTTAGGCATCGCGGTCAACACTTCCTCGCGGCCTCTGCGTCTCCTACTGATCAAGCCTCACAGATACCATACAGCATTGCTGGTATCACTCGGGCCTTATTAACAAGGCCGCCATCAATTTCTTGACGAGCTAAATCATATCAATACATTGCTTTTTCCTAACCAATCGGATTCACCTTATACTCTTAGAGACCTTATATATATATCAGGTGTCCGGTATTCACGCACATTACTGTACATGAAAATCGCCAAGGTTGTCAAAACAAGCTCTTTTTTTGCTGCTGTACGCCGCTTGGTCAACTATTTTCACAATTGTGCCCCACTGAATAAGGCTGGTTTAACCATACAAATCTCTGTACTAAATTTGCATCCTTACCGATGTGGCAAATCATGTTGCAGAAACTGATCTGACATGTGAGATGACCACCCCGTCTTTATCGTCCGCAACTATAATCAATTGTCATGCCCAGCACCTCTGGCCTGCTGAGCAAGCACGTCAGAGCGATGCGGAGCAAAGGCTCGGGCTTGGTTGCTCGTGACCAGAGGCTCGACACGCATGGGATTGCTACCCGAGAGGGTCAGCAGTCACAGCGAACATGCATTAAGTCAAAAAGAAAAGAAATCAGAAACAGTGAACAGGCATTTAGTAGGAAATACATGAAATCAACACAAAGAGACGAGGACAAACACATAGGTAAGAGACACAACAGAAATAAGCAAATATCGCGCTGTGCTCATCTAGGACCACAGCGAGGCATGCATGTTAGGCTAAGGATTCATTCGCAAATACACCTCGTGTCCCGCACTTCGATCTCAACAACCAAGTCTACACTTCCTGGCCCATCGACCAGGACTCTTCACCTTAACCACCTACACTCCGGAGCCAAACACGACATCTGGTAGCACTTGCGGGGGGAAGGCTCGCCGCTGCACGGCACTTCAAGGGGAGGCATTTTCAGCTTGCGGTGTAAGTGTCACGTCGGCGTGACCAACCCAACTGTTGGGGAGACATCTGTACTTTAGTAGGGCAACCTCTTACTGTACGCTGAACGTGGGAAAGAACTGCTGGGCAGCCGTGGTGCAAGTTTGTCTTTCAACTGGCCCCGGTAACAGCCCATTAGCCCAAGTAGCTACTGTTCTAAGAAGACTGCACCGCAACTAAGTCGAGCACTATAAGTCTCGAAGCCGGTTAGTCAGTTTTTGATCTTGGTAGCCCGGCACAGCACTAACTTCGACTTGCTGTTTCTGGCCCGGTAGGGCTAGGTGATGACGAGAGCACACTCCAAGGTCCACAAGGACAAGAAAACGAAGCTGATTGGTTCGTTCCTGAGGCTTGCGGTTAACAACCCACGCAAGGCGGACAAGGCTCGGCAGGACCTCTACAACTCGATAGCGAAATCCGATCGTATTCTAGAGGCTCTGTTAAAGCAGGTCAAAACGAACAAGACTGAGCGTCCGGTGGAGAAGAAGGCCATCATCAAGCTCATTAAGGCTTCGCAACCAGACGTCCACAACGCTTTGTACCGCGTGTCAGTGTCCATTTACCAGCGTCTCCGCGAGATCGAGATCCCAGTTCCTGATTGAGCCGAAGAGGAGACCAAGGACAAGAAGCGTCACCGCTCGACCTCCATGTGCATGTTTCTTCCTTCTCATGAGTGAAGGTGCCTAAGCTAGACTCATGCTTACGCCCTAGTCTTGCACTTGAACGGGGCGGGCCGACGACGTGCTCGTCACGTCTCGATCCTTACATCCTCCCGGGTTTGACTTCACGTTGACGGCGCTTGAAGTCGTCGACGAGAACTTTCCAGTTCGAGACGTGTTTGATGTCTTTCTCGAGTTCCCACGAATATTCGTGGTCTGGAAGACCATGCCACTTGACAAGCCACTCAATCTTGCGGTTGAACTGGCGCTTGCGTAGCAGTTGCTCGATAATGTGGAGGTCTTCTCCAGTGTCTTCATCTGTGATGATGCGAGATGCTTTCGGAAGAACACGAGTCTCAACCTTGTCCGGGTTGGAGACGTAATGGCTGAGAACATCTACGTTGAAAGTAGGGTTCAACGACTTCATACTGCGTGGCAAAATCAAGACGGGCAGCGTTGTCGCTGATCATGCGCTTGATCACGAACGGACCAACTTTACGAGCCGCTAACTTTGCACGTTTGACGTCAATGTCTTTCGCAGTATGCCTGAGTGGAATACGGCGTGTATCAAGCATAACCAAATCTCCTTCCTTGAATTGGACGTTGCTACGACGTTGATCGTAGTACTTCTTTTGCGATGCTTGAGCCTTGAGTAGGTGTTCTTTGGCTTTGCCGATAATCTTGTCGCGTTCATCCTTAAAGCGGTTTGCATACTCAGACAGTCCTTGTTGTACTTGAACTGTGGTATACAGCGTAGGAAATGTTCCGAAGGGATTGCGTTCGTTACGTCCTGTGTCTACTTCAAATGGCGAAAGTCCGGTAGAAGCACTGACTGGCGTAGCGTGAGCATACTCAATCGTTCCCAACTTGGCAGCCCAGTCATCACCATGATACGAGACCATGCAACGGAGTGCATCTTCTAGTACCAGGTTTTGACGTTCGGTTTGGCCGTCAGCTTGAGCGCAGTATGCCGTTGTCATATTCAACTGTACACCCATGATCTGCGCGAAAGAGTTCCAAAAACGTGACGTGAATTTGGGATCACGATCACTGATGATCACTGCAGGCACTCCATGATGCCGAACGACATTGTCGAAGAAGTAATGAGCGATTTCTTCGGCATCATCGGTAGTGTGAACGGGACAGTAGATTGGACGCTTGGACAACTTGTCCACGACGGTCATGATAGCATCATAGCCGTCGGATTCTGGCAATCCAGTGACGAAATCCATGGAGACGCCTTCCCAACATTCCTTAGGAATTGGAATCGGAATTAGCTTGCCATTCTTCTTGGCGTTGCTGTGCTTCCAACGTGTGCAGGTTTCACAACTTTGCACGTAATCGGAAACGTCTTCATGAAGCGACACCCAGTAGTACCATTGCTTGATACGGAGATACGTACGACGAATTCCTGGGTGCGCGGCAATACTGAAATCATGAAATTGCTCGATAATCTTCGTTCTTAGACGATTGCGCTGCGATCTCGGGACACAAAGTTTCATCACTTTGGACTCCTTGTCGTCCGTGAATTGCACATAAAGCAATCCATCCTTGAGTACGTATGGATCGTGTGGAGAACGACACTTGTCTCGAAATCCGGGATCAGTGTGGTAGGCTTTGATGAACTCTTGTTTGAGATTCGAAGTCCATCCTAGCGAACTTGCGTGTTGCATTTGCACAACCGATGTGGCGATCTCTGCATCTTGAACAGGGATGTGGAGATAACCATCGGAAAGATCATGTATGGCGAGGTGACCAGCAGAAGCATCAGCCATCTCCTCTCCCGAAAATTCAACAGGCGAGAGAGCCGAAGACACCATTATCGTATTCACCTTCTGATGCTGTCTTGCACGATAGCGTGATGCAAAACTGTCACACTGCGGAGTACACGTGTGAAAGTTGATCGTATTGATAGCGGGACGCACAACACTCTATGAATCTGGAACAGTCGAGCTTTCACTGTCTGAAGTCGACAACGAAGCATTAACTGCGTGTAGATCGCACACTACTCGAAAACTCGATGTCGTTTTGTCATCGTCTGGCTCGCAAGAGATGGAGCCAATACTGGTGATGGAAACGCATTCGGAGTTGAGTCCATTGGAGGACGGGACAGTGCATCAGCTACGACATTCATCGACCCTTTCAAGTGATGAAGTGTGAAGTCGAACTGAGCAAAGAAGGTCAAGAAGCGTGCAAGCTTCGAAGAAACATTAGGGTGGTGTAACAACCACTGACATGCACTGTTGTCGGTGTAGATGTCGAAATGACGACCATAAAGATAATGACGCCATTTTTCCAACGACAGCTTAATTGCGTAGAGTTCCTTCTCGTGGGTAGGCCAATTTTGTTCATGCACACCCAACTTCTTGGAGAGGAAAGTTAACGGATGATCATGTTCGTTGTGCTTTTGCGAAAGCACTCCACCCACGCAATATCCTGAAGCATCGGTTGTCACGATGAACAGAGGAGAGAAATCCGGTAAAGCCAAGACTGGGGCGGATTGTAGTGCTGTTTTCAGTTTGCTGAAGGCGATATCATGCTCTTCATTCCAGTTCCAGGTGTTGTCCTTCTTGATCAGAGATCCAAACGGTAAGGCGATTGTCGCGTAGTTGAAAATGAAGCGACGGTAGTAGCCTGCGAGACCCAAAAACCTTTGTAATTGCTTTTGGTTCATGGGAACTGGCCAATTGGCAATCACTTCAGTCTTCTTGGAATCCACCGCGATGCCTTGGCTCGACACGGTGTGACCTAGGAACTGAACTTGATTTTGCCCAAAATGACACTTCGAACGATGACAGTACAGCTTTTCCCTGGGTAGCACTTCGAAAAGTATGCGGAGATGCTGCAGATGCTCCTTCATGTTCTTGGAAAATACACAAATGTCGTCCAAGTATACCACGATCAACGCGTATTTGCCCAATAGAAGACGTGACCAGACACCTGGCATTCCAGCAAGACCCATTGGTGCAACACACCACTGGTAGGTCTCAAAATGAGTGCGGAACGCTGTGTACTGACGACTCTTCAAGGCAACCCTCATCTGATGGTAACCTTGCGCGAGATCCAAGACTGAGAAGATGACGCATCCATACATCTTGTCAAATGTCTCGTCAATTCTCGGGAGATGAATTCAGGCGATGATCGTCTGCGAGGTGAGCCAACGATAATCAATCACCCAACGAATCGGTAACGTGGCGTTTCCCGATCGTAGCCACTCAGCTCGAGAGAGTTGTTTCCATAATTTCGGGTCCTTCTTCGGGATACTAAAGATGTTGGAGACCCAGGGTGAATCGGATAGTTCGATCCAACCTTTCTTCAACTTTTCCTCGACAAACACGTGGTTCAAACATGTGGCTCCCGTGTCTAGCATAATGGTGACACGTTTGCCCTCACACAGACCTGGCTTCCGAATCAACTCATTCCGGAGCTGGTAGTGACTGGATTGTGGCAGCATTGAGATCATTTATCTCAACAACTTCAACCGATTCTGGCTTCTCTGTGGCCAAAGTGTGAGCAGCGAACTGACATCGCTTGGTGTCAGACTGATAGCTGTTGTTCGATATGTGCTTCTGTCGATTTTAAAGTTTGAAGCACTGTTCAATCGTATGGCCAAGCTTCTTACAATACCGACACTTCTTGTGGTTGCCACTGTTGCGATTGTTGCTTTGAACAGGGCGACGATAATTGTCACGGCGTGGACTATGCACATGACCGGTGTCGATTTCCATAAGCTCAGGTTCATTGTCAGCAGGACGCTGTGAAGCCGTGTTGGCACGAGTGAATGGTGAGGAGTTGGCACGTCCAAAAGTCCTTGGATGTGTCCAACGATTCTTGTAAAACGGACCAGCACGAAAGTGCGATCTGTCATACTCGAGTGCAACTGAGAGAGCCTCAGATACCGTCGTGCAACGACGATACTGAACTTCTTCTTTCGTGGGGCTAACAAGACCTCGAATGAAGTACGTGACCTTGTCAAGCTCACTCATGTCCTTGACTTGCATGATAGCAACGCGGAATCGAGAGATGTAGTCCTCTAAGCTAGAACAACATTTTTGCTTGAGACTGTACAATCGATCTCGAAGGCGCTCCTGAAGGTCCGGAGGAACGAATTCCTTCGTGAGCTTCTGGATCAAGTCTTGGGCGTCACTGATGGAATCCCTGCAAAGCATGTACCATGCAGCAGCATTTCCCCTGAAATTGGCGGTCATCATGGCAATACTGCGCTTACTCAGATTCTCATCTTGCCAATCAATGTTCTTCGCCTCAAAGTAATGGACAACTTGGTCGAAATACAACTCAACCGAGTCGCCCATGTTTCCATAGAAGCGAGGTAGGCTTATGCCCTCAACTTTGACTTCCTTGCGTGGCGAAGTCAAAACGTCGATTAGTGCTTGTTGCTTCTGCACCATTTCAACCACATACTGGGTTTGACGGTCAGCAGACCATCCGCCAGGATTCAACGAAGTCATGATAGTGTAACTTGAGCGAAAAGCTGATTAAAGTTACGCTACGAATGCAAGCTACTAGCTACTAGAACTAGAGCTACGACGACACTGTCAACAACTACTCGAAACGCGCGCGCTTGATGCTGATGATGCGATCAACGAAGGCACGAACTTTGGTGTCGATGCGGATGACACAGGTGTTCAAGTTGTCGACGGTCTCGTAGAGAAACAGTCCAAACTCAGTCTCGATGACACGGTCAAGGTGAGTCTCGAAAAACGGAAAGAAAACTTCACGGGGGTGATCCGTCAAGCAAGTAACCTCGTACTGCAAACGGGTAGCAGCACGGATGGTGAAAGCGCGTTGAACGGCTTGTTCAATGGTGAGAATGCGACGATGTTGGTGATCTTCTTCCCACTCACGAGCAGTACGCTTAGGCATAGACTGGGAAAATACCCGAAGCTTACGCCAAAGCTTACCAGATACTCGAAAATTACGCGAACAATTCAGGAAACGCTGAAAATCACGCGGATTCTCCAATTCGGAATTACACGGGTGCTGGGGTTTAGGGTAACTACTGATTGGCTGAGCCAAAGTGTAATTGCTCTAAAACAATGCGAAAAAGTACAAAAACTTCACAAATTAACACTTAAACAACGCTACTTAGCGCTAATTCAAGCGTTGGCGCTTGGACTTGGAAATGGCTGTTTTCTGGCTGACACCCTGAATAAGTAGCTCTTCCTCTTGAGCTTCTTCAAGTGCTCTTTGACGCGAGCTCTCCTTAAGTTCACGGTCGAACACAGTAATGAGCGTATACGCACTACTTGTAAACTTAGGATGTGGCAAGCTTCTCGATAAAGTATACGCTCTGATTCGGAGCGAAAACTCCCCTCCTGAGCCTGCAGGTGGTGAGTCAAGCTTGCAAGGCGGTTTACTGCGAGTAACCCTTTAAACGAAGTCGATCTACTGCTTGTAGACTAGGTTTTGGGTTTGGTTTACCTTTTTGGTTGTTCACCTTGGTCATTCAAGGCCAAGTGAAACAAAGGTTTCCGCAATATACTAGGCTTTCGTGCGTGAAGGTGTCTAGTGAAGTGAACAGCGTTAAACTAGTACACTCCTTCGGATAACTAACCGTTAGCGAAAAGCGTAAGGCTAGTTTAGCAAAAATCGACTAGCGAAAAGCGTTGATGTCGACTATGCAAGACTTTTACGGCTAGCGAAAAGCGTTAATGCCGCTAAGTCAGAGTGCACGTAGAGAAGCAGTTAAAGCGAAAAACGATAACCCTAACCCGGAGGTTGTAGCAGTAGTCGAACTGAAGCCGAAGTAGCGAGGCGAGTCGGTTGGAGCTCTTCTGACCACTTGCCCGGCGAAAATTGACCGACTTGTGCTACCAGATGTGAGGCTTGAGCAGTAGGAGACGCAGAGGCCGCGAGGAAGTGTTGACCGCGATGCCGAAAGCGTTGAGGTGGTTGGATGCAAATCACACGAGGCGGTCCCCAGAAAATTGCCGACAATGTGCCGTCACCTCTGTGACCTGGAGTTTGTATCGGATGCTGATTGGTGGATGACTTGGATACGGCGCGGCTGTACCCGTGTGACATGGATGGCGACTGTGGGAGAGAAGTGATTTCTCGGGATGAATCCAGCGTCTGACCGCAGGTGGGCCCAACTGGCTGGAAGTGTGAATCCTGGGAGTGCACGCCCAGAATTTCAGAGAACACTCAGTCCAGCCGCGGACTTTCCCTTACGATGAGTGCCTAAAGTCTGGCGGAAAGTGTCTCTGGAGAATGTATCCCAGAGTACGCCTCATCTTGCTGTGGCTCAGAGTGCCCCAGAGGATCAAATTACCCTGAGAATCAACCCACTACTACCATGATCAAGCGCAGGAGGCCGCTAAACCCACTAAAAGTGTGGCTTTGAGGAGATACACACGAGTCTACACTGCAGCAGACTTGTTACCCAGAGTGCCGCACGGAAACCTAGAGTGCCGCACGATGACCCAGAGTTCATCTCCCTGAGTGCAGGTGACCCAGAGTTCCAAAAATGATTCTCTGGGTTTGGACCATAAATCCAGACTCTCTATACTGAACTTAAGTGTTTCCCGAGCCAACACCCAAGAATCCCCACAGTTCCCCAAGATTCCTCAGAATTCCCAGGATTTCAGAAGATGACCCTGAGTGTCATCTGGTTTTCAGGGATTCGAGTCAGTTCGAAGTCAGTCTGCAATCAAAGTGATGCGTGACCTTGAAGAACCGTTGTGGATGCGCAGACTGGATACTTTCGAGGAGTCGAGAGGGAGTCCTGCACCATACTAAACCAAGTCTAAGGACCCACAATTGGCACTTCCGACGCCGTGCGACAATGGATTCGCAAGCCGATCGCAAGTTTGGACCGCTGAACCCAAGGTATACTCAAGACAAGACATTTGACCCCAAACATAGTAAACAGAAGATATTTGCCCGAAGAAGAGAGAGAGAAAGAGAGAGAAGTAGCTGATAAAAACCAAACAGAGTTCCTTTTACCCTGTACTGCGCAAGTGACTTCGGCCAAGCCTGCCGACGGAAATCCGGAGGACCCGAGACTACGACCGCGGGACGCTAAGGGCACATCAACGGCGAAGGACAGCCGTCTGTGTGGGCTCCATCAAACTCAAGTCCAGTTAGGTGGTGACCAGCGACGGCCTTGAGCTTCCTGGGGTGATCCATCTATTCCATATCCTAGTTGGGTCACTTGCTGTGCTCGTGGTAGCCCATTTCATATTATTCCAGAGGGTATTCTGGGGTGCTAGGTAGTGTGTGAAGGGAAGGTAACTGATAGTGATTGTATTTTCCTCCTTTATTGGAGGTGGTGCGCGTTTGTGTGAGTCTCAGGGGAGCTAGACCCCTGAATTTCAGACTCGAGTGAGCCTAGTGTGTATGTGACCCACCGTCCAAGGGTCCAAAAGAATAAGTGACGGCTAGTTGAAGTGTTTGTATACTCTGTATTTGTTGGTTTTATCGAGCTAGGAGGGCATTTGGCTAAGGTGTCTTCTGAGTTCCATGTCCCAGAGGTGACTGAAATCCTGGACCCTGAATTCGTGATATTCTGGGTTTCGGGGGATCTGATTCTCTGGGTTTGCCTTTTGGTGTGGAGGTGCGTTCTGAAGTAGACGTGCGCTCCCGCACTTCTTCGAGGCTACATTTTCAACCGGTGGAGTGCCGTTCCGTCGAAGACAAACGAGCCGACAGGGATTACACAAGGTACCCACGCCAACCAAGGAGTGTGATTCTCAGGGTTTAAAGCTTTGCGGCTGCGAATCTCTGGGTCTATCTTCTTGCTGTTGACGCTCAAGTCGATTCTCTGGGTCTACCCCTGGGGAACAGTATTGGGCTGCGCTATACGAACCCCCCTGGGCGACAAAGGTATCCTCGGCCTCGCCTCAGCTGGTGCGCGTGCCCGGATTCGATTGTCGAGGATTTCACCGGAATCAAGTGTTGAAGAAGTGTTGAGTGCCCGTCAACTTCAAGCTACCAAGATGCCTGGAGAACGAGGGGCGAAGAAGAGTGGACGCGGTGACGGAGGACGCGATGAGGCGTCACGTCAGTTGCGTCGTGTTCAAGGTATGGAGCCTGAGGAGCACAAGGACCTGGAAACAGTCGTCCGCGACGCTCGGAAGGTGAAGAAGGCTGCTCGCGAGAGCGAGGCAGTGCAAGGTGGGGACGTCGAGGCGTCTGCAGTCCAAGGTCAGCTTGCTGCTGGATCGCAAACTCAGGAGGAAGAAGTTTCCCCTGGGTTCCAAGGTTCGACGGAGGTGAATTCTGGGTCGCGGATTCCTGAAGTCCCAGAAGACCACACACACGAGGGTGGTGCTCAGGCGTCTGAGGGAGGCGCCAATGCGGTTGAGCCCCCGGAGGTGATTGACTTGGTCTCATCTTCGGACGAGTCTGTTGTGGAAGTGAAGTCGGAGCACGTGCGAGCGAAGGAGAAGGCGAAGACTCAGAGTTCCAAGGTGGATTCTGGGTTCGCACCACCTGAACCCAGAGTTTCAGCGCCAAGTTCGCAAGGGGCACCCAGGAAGACGCCTGAAAGCGGCACCCAGGAAGACGCCTGAAAGCGACATCCGGGAAGCTGCTGCGCCTGCTCCGGAATCGGGAGCAGCGACGTTGGACGCCGGGAGTATGGTGCTGTACGTTCGACGTGAAGTTCGACGCTGGGAAGAGGTGAATCCTGGGAAGGTGACGCCGCCAAGTGTCGTTTATGAGTGGCCGACTCCGAAACCGGATGCCAACTCGTACTTCGCGGCCGCGTACGCAACGGGACATGGCGTTTGTCTCTGGAGGATCAAGATGAAGCCTGGATCTCTGAGTTTCACCTCGCCCGGTGGGGCGTCGGAACTGCTCAGGATCTCATGGCGACTACGATTCCCCAGAGTATCATGACCACCCGCGAGTGCGTCGCCATTCTGCAGACTCTGTTTTTCGAAGCCGGATTTGAGTTTGCCAATTTGATCCCTAGCTGGTCTTCGACGCGTGCTTCCAGGATTCCAGAAAGTCTGGTGCGCTCTGTCATGGAGGAAACCCAGAATTTCATCGCCGTGGAACTGGTCGAGTGGAGATTGGTGATAGCTGGTGTGCCTTTCAAAGTAAACTCTGAAGATCACGCCGCACCAAGCGCCCAAGAGCAAGCACCAAGACTGGACTACCACAAGGAAGATGGAGACGGTGATCTATTGATGACGGACTACGATGCGGATCAACTGGGCCGACAGTTTGTCCTGAGATTCAGAGTCACTGGACTCAGGATTTCACGAGCCCACGAGGGCCGAGTGATGGTGAGCCACGATCCAAGCGTACTCAGCATGGACCGCCTCGGCCACAAGTTCCGTCAACGCCATCCGCGCTGTCTACACCGTCGCTGTCCCCTCTTTCAGCGTACAAGTCTTCGACTGGTCCCTCGCTTCAGAATTCCACTCCCCTGAATTCCATGTCCAATGGACGTGATTCTCTGGAGGCGGAAGTCAAGGACGCTACCCCAGGCGCGGTGCCAAGTGTCATCGGTACCTCGCGCGCTTCGGATGAGAGTACTGCCTCGGGCGTTCAAACGTTTTATGGTAGCTCTTCGTCTTCGTCGTTGATGTCGCTTGGCCATCGAGTTGGAGCTCTAGCGCTTGTGGCCCAGAGTACCGGTGGCTTTGCAGCTGCCGGTGATCTTGGATTTCAGGTCACCCTGACAGTCATCCCGTCGCGTATTGTGTCAGTCGACCAAGATGACGTTGAGATGGCATCGTCGGTGCACTCCGACGCAGAGATCGCACCCAGGAAGGCCGGTCTCCCCAGGATTTCAGCCACGACTTCCGAGCCGAAACTCAGTGTTTCTGCCCGATTGCTGGATTTGGTGGTCCAAGGGATGTCAGCGCCGATGAGCGGAGTCAACACCAGAGCTCTAAGAGCGAGGTGCGCTCTCGACGCTTGACGAAATCCAGAAAATCATCTGCGTCCAGCCGCTCGAGTGGATCCAGGAATCTTGGGTCAGTTCCGTGTCCGCGAGGTCTGGGCCCGACCAAATCGAGCTGAACGTCTTGCGACAACAGCAGGAGTGGCAGGCCCGCATGGAACAGGAGCAACGCGAGTTTCTCGCCAGAGAACGCCTGGATGCCTTGGAGCGCGAGCGCCTCAGGGAACACGTGACCTGGACACGCGTCGCCAGATCCAGGAACTTACGGATCGCTTGGTCCACGCTGAGATCGCCCGAGGAGAAGCGGAACGGCGTGCGCAGGACTTGGAGGCTCGCCAGACCCAGAGTTCCACTGAAACTCAGGGGATGACCCAGAGTATCACGGAAGCTAGCGTGAGCGCCTGGATGCCGCCTACGCCAAGCGCTGGCAACAGCACGAAGCCGAAGCCGACTCGGAGCGCGCGCGCTGGGTTTCCGAGACGTACGCCGGTTGGAAGGAACAAATGTCAACTATGGATCAGAAGGTCCAAGAACTTGAGGCGGAGAAAGAGCGAGAGCGGGAGTCTTCCGAGAATATCCAGCGTTTCCACGCCGGCCAAGTGCGCGACCTTCGTGCAACATTGGCCCAAGTTCAAGCGCGTCGCGCAACCGTCGCCCCTGATTTGGCAACAAATGTGAGGTCGTCAGTGGCTCAGAACCCTGAAGTTGCAACCCGACCCAAGAATCCAGTGGCGTAATCAACGGAAACGCATGTGTCACAGGCCAGAGACGGGAGACAGCTGATTCGAAGAACACTTCCGAAGTCACCGCCTCCCAGCTAAGAGCGACCCTCGCGCAGACTTCCGCCGACACTTCCGGCAGAATCGCGCGCGTCAAGCGGGGACATGGCGCTACGGAGACCAAGGTGACGCAGGATGTCAAGTTCGAGCCTGTGTCTCTGGGGAAGACGTCGGATCCCAGGAGAACAGCGACCTCTAAGGCCTCGCAGGACTCTAAAACAGACTCCAAGCGCTCTGCACCCAAGAAACACCAGCAGAAGAAGAAGAAGCGTCAGGATGTCAATCCACCCTCGGACTCAGACCCAAGCTCCGATTCCAGCAATGATGACTCGTCCTCTGAGAGTTCGAATGACAGTTCGGACGGGAACCCTGGGGTTAACCTGACGACGGCCTCTACGGCTCAAGCTGGTACTACGCTCCTGACGTTCAGGCCGTACATCAACTCGAATACTCTGGGTGAGTTCGATACTAAGGCGTCACTCAGGGAACGCGTGCATTGGTGGGAGCGTTTTGCGAACATGACGGCTCAGGGAGGTTGGTCTACGAATATGCGAATTCAGGAACTCAAGTTGAAACTCTCGGGAGCTGCGCGTGACTGGTTCAACCAGTTGCCCAAACACACTCAGCGTGACTGGAAGGAGTTGGCGTCTACATTCAGGAAGAAGTAATGGAAAGCGCGCTCGTCGTACTCTGAACGTTACTTCACGATGGAGATGAAGAACTCAGAGAGCGCCCTGGATTTCTTTTATCGTCTGAATTCCGCCGCTGGCAAGGCTGACATTGACTTTCGCAAGTCTTCGAAGCGCCTGGAGAAACATATCCGGAGGTTCATCACGAAACTCAGGGACACGCGCCTCAAGACGTCGCTGCAGGGCCAGAGATTCAGGAGTATCGCTATCTAGAGTACGCTCTGGAACAGGACGAAGATGTCTGGAGCCGCAGCGACCATGATGCTCCGCCACCCAGAGTTCGTGACTTTCGTGCCGACAACATTCCTCAGGGACGTTTCAAGCCGAAGCGACAAGGACGTGCGTATGTGACTAGGGGCGATGTCTCTGACTCTGAGTCAGACGAAGACCCTGAAATTCACGCGCGTTTCCAGGAAATCACGGACGAACCCAGAGTTTCAGCCCGAAGTGTGAGCGCGAATTCAGGGTCAACTCGTGAGATCTCTGGAGAAGAAGCTTCTACGCCTAGCGCTGGGAGTCTGGCGAGTATGATGGGTGCCGAGTGGACTCAGACGCTGACGAACGAGGTCTATCGCGTGATGGATAACATGGGATGGCGTCCACCGAACGCCCAACCAGGACCGAACGCGAACTCTGGATTCCGTTCCCCTCGCCGCGAAAACCCGAATTGGGACAAGTTCTGCGAGAAGTGCGGCAAGTGGGGGCACCCAGAGGAAAACTGCTGGAAAGAAGTGAAGTGTGATCGCTGCCTGGAAGTGGGTCATCCGACTCACTTGTGTCGCGCGCAACCGTGCGAGAACTGTGGCAAACGGCATCTCGGGAAACCGTGTGAAGACTGGAAGACACTGGAAGCTGTGAAGAAACTCGCCCGCCAAGGTGCACTGAAGGACATGCCGAGCCAAATCCTGGATAAACTCCTGGATGGCGAAGCAAACTCTGGGAGGCCGTCAAACCAATAAGCCCGCTGGGTGGGGACCCAGTACGCGCCGGGCTGAAGAAGGCCCCAGAGTTATGTGTTCTAGTGTATGTAGGCCCGGAGCTGAGAACAAGAACCCAAGATAACCAACAATGCATGACTACTTTGACTCAGGATTTCATGACTTCCCCTGAAAATCAGCATCCTGAACAAGCGAACTCTGGGTCGGTGAATTCTGAAGAATTGTGGAGTACAAGCTGAACCCTGGAGAGCGCTACGGATGGTGGGAAAACAATGATCCTGACCCAAAGAAACGTGATGTGGCGATGGTGCATGGCGCTGTGAACGACTGCCGGACGAGAGTTCTCCTGGATACCGGTGCGACTGTGAATATTGTGAGCTTCGACTTAGCGCGTAAGCTCGGACTCACACTCAAGTCGCACAAGCAAACCAAGGTGTCTGGCATGGGAGGCGTTCCGACGTACATCGGTGCCAGTGCTCAGGTGAAGATTACTCTCGGTTCGAGGGTGATATATCTCCTGGATATCTGGATTGCTAACATCGGCGAAGGGATCGAAGTTCTTCTGGGTATGAGTTTCATGTTTGCAGCTAGAGTGAGGATCAGTGTTCGCGAAGGTCTCGTGACACTTCCGGATGAAGAGGCGATCATGATGTGTGGATGGACTCCATAGGATCGCCTGGGTGTCGACATGCCTGTGGAAACCACAGGTAGTTGGTACCTGGCCCCTGGGGAATCCAAGGTGGTGAAGATCTCGTATGGACCGACGAACCCACAGCGTGAGGTTGTGTGGGCAGGACGAGGTGACCGCTGGGTAACGCACCTGATTTACGCTGCGAGATCCTGGCCGGTCGCCGTGAAGGTGGTCAACATCTCGGACAAGGACGTCTGGATTCACAACAGAACGCCAGTCGCCCGAATTGTGGAGTACGGCTTCTTCCCACGTGCTGGACGCTTTGTGGGCCCTGGTTCGTTTGCGTATCGGGAGTGGCAGACGCTTATTCTGGAGAGTGTTCAGTCGCGTGAGGGCAGACTTCGGGCGGAACGCCTGGCTGCGCTTGAGCCATCCTGTGTCGAGACCCCAGAGTATCAGTGGCCTACGAAGATTCTGCCGCGACCTGCAAAGGGCCCCGACATGGCACTGCTTGCCTCGATTCTCAGGAAACCGAAGCCTCGTCGCGTGCGCTTCGCTGAAGACGCTGCAACTCAGACTGAAGGAGTGCCTCCTGAAGACCCTCCTGAACTCCGAGACGTTGCTGTTGATACGAGTGACTTGGGTGACGTTCTGAAGGAGGCGGTGACCGATGTTGCCTCGCAGACTGTCGGAACCCCAGAGGGCATGAGTCCTGAAGGTGATACGGCCGCTGAAACCCTGAGTTTACAGGTTGAAGTTGGCAGTGATTATCAGGGTCAGTGGTGCGACGAAGGTGATTCTCTGGGATTCGATGTGGATGACGACGATTCTCAGGGTGCTGTTGAAGATTACTGGGATCCCGATCTCAGGGACGCCGGGAACTCCGTTGGAGAAGCTGAAGCAGGAATATGAGCGCTGCATGCGGCTTTCGACAGAGGACCTCGGCTACGAGCCTGCGGTCTACATACGTGAAGGAAGTGAGTTGCTCTCTTAGTTGCGTGACCAGTTGGTTATGCTTCCTGAGATGCGTGACTTGACCCCTGAGGGCAAGATCGAGGAGGCAGATGTTGGAGTCCCTGGGAAAACGACGCCCGAGATGGAAGACCAAGTGAGGCAATTCTGGAATATCATCGGAAGATCTTCTTGGGAGACGGCAATGCAGCTCCCCCGCCTGCCCGTGGAGTGGTTTGTGACCTGGATGTAGGCGACGCTAAACCTGTTGCCCAGCGTCCAAGGTCCATTGCACCACACCTGTGGACTAAGGTGTATGAACTTCTGAAGAAGCTTCTGGAGAACGGGCTGATCGAGACTTCTACGTCCCCCTGGGCATCTCCAATCGTGATCGTCCTCAAGAAGAATGGCGTCGACATCCGGATGTGCATCGACTATCGCGTGGTGAATGGCTTTATCAAGCTCTCACACTATCCGCTGCCGCTTATTGATGATCTTTTGATTGGTTTTGAGTCGGCGATGTGGTTTATGAGCTTGGACATGGCGAGTGGTTTCTGGGCTATCAAGATGACCGAGAGAGCCAAGTTGATCTCTGCGTTCGTCTGTCCCTCTGGGCACTACCAGCGGGTCAGAATGCCGTTTGGCCTCAAGAACGCGCCGCTGATCTACCAGGCAGTTCTCAATAACTGTCTGTGGGGATTTCTGCGGCTTTCCCCTGAGGAAGAAGCTGAGGTCGACCAAGATGTCTTGGAATTTTTGGGGTTGAACTCTGGGGAACCCAGAGTTTCAGGTGAAAATGCACCGCGACTTTCAGTGTTGACGGATGAGATGACTGTTTTTCAGCGTAACATCCCGGCTCCCTCTCAGATGGGCCCTGTCCTGGGTCGAAGCTCGTATATCGACGACATCGCCCACGGTGCGCCTACGTGGGAGCAGCTGTGCCAGGATCTGAACGCGCTGCTCTTCCGACTACGTTTCTGGAATATCTCTGTGAGTCTTCCCAAGAGCGAATTCGGGAAGTTGTCCATTCCGTACCTCTCTCACGAGATTAGTACTGAGGGCATCCGAGCGACCCCTAAAATCGCGAAGGGGGTCCAAGACTTGCCGTTCCCGACGACACTGAAAGGCGTCCAGAGTTTCATGGGGAGTCTGAATTACTACAACAAGTTCATTGAAGATCTGCCCGTGATCGCGGCCGTCCTGTACGAGCTGACTGAGGAACAAGTGAAATCCAGGAGAGACCTGTCGAGAGCCCAGGAAGCCTTTGAAATCCTGAAGCACAAGATTGTTTCGACTCCGTTACTCAGACATCCTGATCGTTCAAGGCCCTTCGTGATTATTCCCCACGCGAACCCGTGGGCAGCATCCGCTGTGTTGGGTCAGGAGTACGACGGGATTGTGCACCCGGTTCGATTCACAGGTCGCGTCCTGAATGACGCTGAGCTGCGGTATCACATTGCGGAAAAGGAGGTGATTGCTATCCTGAGAGTCATGGAGGTGTTTCGCACTTTGGTTGAAGCATTACGCTCACGAAGATTTTCAGGGTGGGCACCAGGGGATCACGAGGACGTACGAGAAGCTGCGCTCTGAGTTCTACTGGCACGACATGTACGCTGATGTTGAAGTTTTCGTCAAAGAGTGTGTGGATTGCGCCAGCGGCAAGGGGCGCCCTCAGAATCCAGGGCCTTCCCCTGGGAACATCGAACCGAGGCGCCCTTTTGAAGTTGTGTCTATGGATTTCGCGACACACTTGCCTAAGTCGGACCGTGGGAACACGTTCCTGCTGCTTTTTCAGGATGCGTTCTCAGGATTCGTCATGTGTAAACCCATGAGTTCCACCACGGCGCAAGATGTCGCTGAAGTGTACGAAGAGCAGGTCTTCAGGAGATTCGGTGCGAGCTCGATGCTGAGGCACGACCAAGACCCAAGGTTCATGACTGAGGTGTTCACGCGCTTCCGTGAACTTTTGGGTAGCAAGCAGCGAGCCACTCTGGCGTATCGCCCCCAGGCGAACGGACAACAGGAGCGGTCGGTGCAGACTGTCGTGCGCAGCATTCGAGCGTACATTGCTGAGGCGGACCAGAGTGACTGGGACGACCATGCTGAGCGCCTGATGTTTGCCCTGAATACATCGTTCGATGCCACTCGCCTGGGCACTCCGTTTTATCTGGTGCACGGCTGGGACACACACGGCACGGTGTCTGCAATGTTAGGACCCAGGCCCTCGAGTATCCAGGAGCGCACTGCGTACGAGTGGCGCAGGAAGCTACAGCGTGACTATAGTTATGCACAAGCTTGCGCAGAGGATCTTCAGAAGAAGGCCAAGCGCGCGCGCTCTGCCGAACAAACCAGGAAGTGGAGAGAGCTGTCCGAACGACTGATGGCAGGATTCGCAGCCGGTGATGCTGTGTGGCTGTATATACCCAAAGTGCAGCCCAGGCTGAGCCGCAAACTGGCTCACATGTGGCATGGCCCCTTCAGAATTCAGGAAATCCATGACAACTTCCGCGTGAAACTCAGGGTCGAGAACACAGGATATCGCGTGAATCCCTGGGTACACGTGAGCCGTTTGAAACCCAGAGCACTATTCCCGAAGCGGCCCACTGTGGAGATCGACGTGGACGAGGATGATGACTTTGATGCGGCGCTGTTGCCTGAAGACAGTTGGGAGCCCGACGCTGCGAACGATGAGTACGAAGTTGAGCGAATCCTGGATTTGCGATGGATTAAGCGGGCTCGGACAGCGAGACGAATTCGTGAGTACCTTGTGAAGTGGAAGGGGTATGATGAGACCGAGTGGCTGCCTGTGTCGAAGCTCAACTGTGGTGCCCTGCTCTACGAATTCAATCAAGGCGCAAGAGCGCGGGCCCGTTTCCAGGCCATGCAGGCTGGAGATGATCACCCAGGAGTCTAGCACTATGGGGTGGCAATGACCCAGAGTTACACGTGATATTCAGGGGAAACTCTGGGTGACACTGTGAAACTCTGGGGAAAATCGACAGAATGTGTGAATATTGGAGACGGAAAACGTGAATGTGATTTGACTTGATTTGATTATGGAGAAGGTGATGCTGCTGAGGCGTTGGCAGTGTGTGAGAAGGAAGGTGAAGGCGAACGACGTGGACATAGGACACCGATCCCAGCGTCGGCGCCACAGACTTCCTTCAACCCCTGAAGATCCTCGTCGGAGAGCTCCTCAAAGCCGACCAACGTGGTCGCGCCGCCGTAGCCTTCCATGGCGAACGCGCCCGCGCGAATGTCGTTCACGATCCCTGGGATCCCCACGAGATACGCGTTGGTCTTGAGATTCGGCGGAGCCGGCAGTTTCCAGTGCGGGGGGGCGTTCAGGGGCCAGGAATTCAGGGGGATCGACCTCCTCCTGCCGAAGCATGCCTGCGAAAATGAGTCCCCTGACTTCCTCTAGCGTCGCGTGTCGTGGTAACTTGAACTCAGGGGCGCCCTCCATGTCCACGTCCGGAGCCACGCCGCCTGCGTCTGGAGCATTGGACTCTGAGTTCGCGTCACCAGTTTCCTGGGTTGCAGCGTCAGTCGAGGCGTTGCCATCGGCCTCGCGCATGTCCGCGTCGGAGGTCTTGCCGGTGGCGCTGGAGAAGGAGACGCGCTTGGTCACGCCCGTCTTTGTGCTGCCCGTCGAAGTGTCGCCGGACGCTGAGTTACCCGCCTGGCCGCTGCCGCCGCCTGCTGGTGCGGTGCTCGCAGGGGCGTCGCCGGTGCGCTGCTGTGTCGGAGGTGGCGCGCTGCCGGGGGGCACCGTGCCTTGAGCTGGCGCCGTCGCTTGCTTGCCGTCCGAAGTCGCGCTCTCCGCCATGTTGACGATCTGCGAAATGGCGATGTGGCCGCGCATTGCCCGTTGGAGTTTTTGCGTTTGAGAGGAGAACCTTGAAGATAGGTCCTGACCAACCGTTGGGGAGACAGGGTGCCGCCAAAGTGAGTGAAACCCTGGGAGTCGACAGAGTGCAACGGCCGTATCGAAGTCGACGGTGGATGGACCTGTGTGTTTTTGTGGCCTGGCCATGGTTCACCAGTTCGGAGCGATTTCCTCTTTGATGGACCGTGAAAGTTAATTTAAATCGTTAAGGCCCTGTGGCCGACCGTCTGGGCAGTGCCCAAGGCGGTGCTAGAGTAAATCAACCTGATTGGTCAATCCACTTCAAGTTGAAGTGAATTGACGTGCGTCATACAAACGTCAATGTAGTTGATAGAGATAATGCACCATGTGCATGTTTTTTCCTTGTCATGAGTGAAGTTTTTTCCTTGTCATGAGTGAAGGTGCCTAAGCTAGACTAATGCTTACGCCCTAGCCTTGCACTTGAACGGGGCGGGCCGACGACGTGCTCGTCACGTCTCGATCATTACAGTATCAGCAGTAACCTTCGACCAGGCGTCCTCACACCACATCAAAGCGGTAAGAACGTCAACCTTATAAGGCTCATCTACTCCTTCTCCTATTTGGTCGAGCGCATACAACATTTTCTCCAATAATACATACCTCTTGATACAGTGGATAATACCTTGGTTGGTAGGTCGAGGCTTTGCTCGCAAATGAGGAAGTGAACGCTTTTAAAGGAAATCAAAGTGGCGAAAGCGCGCCAATATTCAAATTACTGCTGAATACGACGTCACGAGATTAATTGATTTTTAGCTCAGTACCTTTGCTCATCACCATCTCGTCACCTCGTAAGCCCAGAATTATAAATTATACAAGGGTATTAGCTGTAGACCCGTCCGGTATTCACGCACATTACTGTATAGGTTTGTGTGATACACATGAGATGCTGTGCCACATTAAATTCGATTTACATATATGGGTTTGTGGACATAACCCTAGATCATGTGGCATACACCAGTCTCGAATTTGACACGCAATCATTTCGGCGATTTCTCCAAGAGCATAGATGAGCGTGAGGTGGTCAATGTCAGTTGGCAAATTGACCGCGGGTCCGCAACCCACCTACCCATGTCGGTCACCACAGAAATCCCAAGCGCTCCGACCACCGCCTTGGCCGTGACGCTCTGCGTGCTGGCACTCACGCCCAAGATCATGTCGGTACTTGCCAGTGCGCACTTCAAGCTCACCGCGGAGCGACCAAAGCTCGTGTTCAAGTCTACGCCCAAGAACGAGCGGTTGCTGGCCAACTGCGTGCACCTCGTCAAGAAGAAGTTCTACCCGCTGTGGTATCTGTTCAACGGCCACTTGCAGACGCTGCAGTTGTCCTGGGCAAATGAGATGGAGCCCACGCCCGCCATCGCCTACGAGCGCCAGTTGCTGGATATGCCCGACGGCGGAGTAGTGTCCTTGGATTGGGCGCTATTGCCGTCGACTACCACGAAGGATACCAAGGAATCGCTGGAGGAGCGCGTTGACAGCAACAAGAAGACCGTGCTGATTCTACCAGGTCTGACGGGTGGCAGCGGCGAACATTACATTCGCAGCGCCGTCGAGCGACTGAACGCCTTGGGCTGGCAGTGCGTGGTGTTAAACTCGCGAGGATGCCAGAACACTCCGCTCCGGACCCCGCGTTTGTTCTGCATCGCGTATACGGACGACTTGCGCTACGTGGCTCGATACCTCGCGGACAAGTACAACTTCGCCGACGAGGCTTTCGTCGGACTGGGGTTCTCCATGGGCTCGAACGTGCTGGTGAAGTATCTGGGCGAAGACGGGGATCAGGCGCGACTGACTGCAGCGATCTCAGTCGGGAACCCGTTCAACATGCCCAAGTGCTCGGAGAACATTGAGGGGCCGCTCTTCAACCGCCTGACGTACAGCCGCGTGCTGAGCGCAGGACTGCGCGACCTCTTCTTTAACCGCAGCAACGCACATGAGGTGTTCCGCGACTATCCGGGCATCGATGTGGAGGCGCTCAAGAAGGTCACGAAGGTGTCGGAGTTTGACGAGCTGTTCACGATCAAGCACTTCAACTATAAGAGCGTGGACGAGTTCTACCAGGACGGGTCGTGCGTCACGCGGCTGCCCAAGGTCACGGTGCCTCTGCTGTGCCTTAATGCCGAGGATGATCCCATCAGCGTGGCCACCTCGCTGCCAACGAAGGAGGAGGTCGAGGCTAACGAGAACATTATCCTTTGCACGACCAAGAGCGGCGGTCACCTCGCATTCTACGAGGGAAACTACGACGAAGGCGAAGAGGAGAACGTTAAGGCCCAGGAAACCAAGCCCAAGCTGCGCCCATGGTCCGTCAAAGTCATCGGTGAGTTTGCGGAGAGCGTTCTCCAGTGCAAGCAGGTGGAGAAAGCCCTATCGTAAGTATTTGGAGCTTATAGAGTGCTTCGAGGCGCACCGTTTCAAATCTAGTTTATATTGACCTACTACACGGTCGAGATGATGGAGGGCAAGGTACACGGTCACTATAGCATTGATTGATGAGGCTTCCAGTGGGGGACTCACGTGAAGTTTTACGTGTGCAATGCATAGATCCAGTGGCTCCGTGACTTGGGTCTCAGTCACGACAAGATCAACGTCGTCATTAAGCGCCACTCCAATAGGTAAACATTGACAGCTCGTTCGAATTGGTTACATCGATTGCGTTCAGTTTAAATGCAAGTTTTCTTCACACGGTTACGGTATCACGCCAGTGACTTTCGTCGAAAAACTCAGGGCATCTCCCCGCTACGATACCATAAACTCTCGATCAAAAGCCGACGTACCGATCTGAATAAATATGCTTTGACACAATAGCCTAAGAATAACTAGCTATAAAGACTCATGATATCTAGATACGCAAAAAGGGACTTGCTCAAGTGAAACGCAGTTCGTGTGTAAACGGCATGAAGTTGGAGCAAACCTGCTTCGATCGGGGAAATTAGTGTTTTGACGGTATGGTCCAGGTTGGAAACAAGTCTGCTTCGATCGGGGAGGTTCGTGCGCAGGTTTGGCAAAGTCGCCGAATCGGCAGAGCGTCGACAATGAAGTCAAGTGGTAGTGATTGATGCGCTTCTTGTCGGCGCGCGTCAATCGCTGCCGAGCCTGAACCACATCCGATGCGGTATCGCCTTCAGGCAGAACACAGTTGCGCGAGTTTGGGCGGCGATTCTGGACAAGCAAATCGGAAAGCCATACCAACTGCGTTAGACTCGAAACGTAAATTGGGAAGTAGTAGTTCCAACCATTTCGTGGGGTTCACGATATCTACCTATTGTAGATGGATAATTTCAAGATATCTAGAACTAATTCTATCTAGAATTTCAATAATAATAAAAAATAAAATAAACAGACTCCAACACAAATTGAATTATTTCAACCAAACGAGTTACTATACTACAACTACCGAACCAAGCTTCGGAAACAAATTCACAATCCGGCGCAAGACGAAGAAAAAAAAATCACGAAAAACCAGCTTCAAAAAGAAGAAAGCATTGCGTTCCGAGTGTAAATTCTACGCCACTGCGCCAAAGCAGAAACTTGGTCGATCCAATACACCAGGTGGCGCATGTTGTCGCGAGTTGGTGCAGTTCCCCTACCGAAGATATCTCAATGAAATCCTCGGCTGCATGCAGAACCTCCACCATGTACTAGCCAGCTCGAGGTTTGTCGGGTTCTTTGCTGCCGGTTGAATCCCATTCTTGCGAGAGATGTCCGCCATGTTCATTCCGCTCCGTCGAGCAAGAAATGCGACTTACTTGCAAGTTAAAAAAGGAAATATAAAAGTAGCAATATAGCTATGCAATAAATGTAGCTGTATTATTGTTTATTTGAAAATTATGGATATATCATCCACATCTTCTTTGTGCGACGCGCGGCCTTGCATCAAGGCAAAGCGCCAATTTAGGAGAGAGTGCTCAGTTTAAGAGAGACCTTTTCAGCCAGTAATAGTGCAGTATTCTTTAATCAAAGCGCTATGATTGGTCAATAACCTTTTATGAACAGAGACGCCAGCATTTGCATACAAACTTCAAGCTTAAATCTCTCTTAAACTGGAGCACCTGCTATCCGAGACGTCTTCATAACTTGCTTGGTTTTGTGTTGCCTTCACAACGTTTTTGATCAGTTGTAGATTCATAAATAGTCGAAACCGTCCTCTTTCTGCTGGTGCCAAAACCATCGTTATGCGCCAAAAAATGACGCCGGGGCGACAAAACAAAATTGACACTCCGAAATCTCTCTTAAGCTGGCGCTTTGCCTTACGAGCAGGTAAGAAAAAGTAGGCAATTTAAGCGGTTTTCATTTAACGTATAATACCGAATAGTATGTCCTAAGGTATTAGAGTCCCCTGCGAATAGAGCGCCCTATGGTGAGGGCATACTATAACAATAGAGTGCCATCAAATAGAGTGCCATTTATTAGAGCGCCGTTCCGAATAGGCTGCCGTCGAACTGACAGACTGTACATACACGTTGATATTATACATGTTGAATGCGTTGGGTAGCTACTTACCGCGCTCAACTGCGATGCCATTCCGGCATTGATCGCGCTGCAAGACGACATCGTGCCAGTTTTGCTTTTTCAGGAGCACAGACAATCAACCATACGACTCGACATCAAAATGCAATCTTTTGAGTGGATTGCCAGCGCAAAACTGGTTAATAATCGGAAGTGTAGAGTAGTAGGAGAACCTGCACCCCGATTGCATGACCGAATTCGATGGGTTTGCGTTTCGGCCCTCCTCAAGAATAGTATGCCGCATACTAATGGTATTATACGTTATAGATTTTTAAATGCCTGGTCCTTTTCGCTATGTGCTCCACACAACAGTAGTGTGCGCCACAAGAACAACTCCAAGTTGAAGTTTGGGTCATCAGATCTTCGCAGCTCACTCACTCACTCACTTGCTAATCCACCACCAAGAAGCCGTCAAAGCCTACACCCCTACACCCCCACACGCCCGATGTCCGCGTCCCCCACCAAGAAGCAGAAGGTGGCCGGCCCCTTGACGGCGCACAACCTGATCGACGGCGCGTTCGTGCCGCCCTCGGGGGGCGACTACCTCAACGTCATCAGCCCCAGCAGCAGCCAAGTGATCGGCAAGTGCGCGCTGTCCACGGCCGCGGACGTGCAGCTGGCGGTGGCCAAGGGCCAAGAGGCCTTCAAGCAGTGGCGCCAGACGACCGTCAAGGCGCGCGCGGCCATCATGCTCAAGTTCCACGCGCTCATGGTGCAGCACCAAGGTGGGAGATAGTTAGAGGGCCCTGAGAACAAATTAGAGGGGTGTTTCATTAACATTGGGGTGTATTTGGGGGGTGGCAGACGAGCTGGCGGACATTGTGGTGCAGGAGAACGGCAAGAACCGCACGGAGGCGCTCGCCAGCGTGCTCAAGGGCAACGAGACGGTGGAGTACGCCTGCAGTCTGCCGCAGCTGGTGCAGGGCCGCACGCTGCAGGTGTCGCGCGGCATCTCGTGCCAAGAGGTGCGCGATCCGCTGGGCGTCGTGGCCTGCGTCGTGCCCTTCAACTTCCCCATTATGGTGCCGATGTGGACGGTCCCCATCGCGTTGACCATGGGCAACTGCGTCATCCTGAAGCCGTCGGAGAAGGTGGGCGCTGAGATCTTTGTGTTGTTATTTTAATATGAGACGGTTGAGCTGATTCTTGCGTTAATCGTAGGTTCCTCTGACTATGGCGCGCGTGGCGGAGCTGCTGCTGGAAGCTGGTGTCCCCAAGGGCGTCTTCCAGGTGAGTTTAGTTGTGTGTGTCCAATGCTGGAACTATTGCTGATGGTTTGGATGGTTGTGACTATGGTTTTAGATCATCAACGGAACGGTGGACCCTGTCAACAGCTTGTGCGACCACCCTGGCGTTGCCGCTGTCACGTTCGTTGGCTCGAGTCGCGTGGCGCAGCTCGTTGCTCGTCGATGCCGCGCTCTGGACAAGCGTGTGCTCGCTCTGGGTGGCGCAAAGAACCACTTGGTGGCTCTTCCGGACGCAGATATTGATGTCGCCTCCAAGGATATTGTTGCGTCGTACGCTGGTTGTGCGGGACAGCGCTGCATGGCTGCTTCTGTGCTTTTGCTCGTGGGGGATTGCAATGCGCTGCTCGACATGATCGTTGAGAAGTCGAAGGAGCTGGCTCGCGGAACTGAGGCTGGGCAGGTTGGTGCGCTTATTGATGGAGGCTCGAAGACGCGCGTGCTCAAGTACATCAACGAGGCCGAGGCTGCTGGTGCCAAAGTTCTGGTGGATGGTCGGTCGTGGGCCGAGGAGACGAACGGATTCTGGGTGGGACCTACGGTGCTGCTCCACGCAAGCCCGAACGACGCTGCCATGAAGGACGAGATCTTCGGTCCTGTGCTTTCGGTGTATCGTGTGAGCTCTTTCGACGAGGCTCTTCAGATCGAAAACGGAAACGACTACGGCAATGCAGCCGCGATCTACACGTCGAACGGGGCCTATGCTGAATATTTCCAGTCGCGCTTCCGCGCCGGCATGATTGGGGTCAACATCGGCATTCCCGTGCCACGTGAGCCGTTCAGCTTCGGCGGTATGTACGGCACCAAGAGCAAATACGGCGACATGGACATCACGGGCGATGGCTGCGTTGAGTTTTTCTCCACGCGCCGCAAGATCACGACCAAATGGAGCACGGTGATCCACTCGGGCGACGCGGCCAACTTCAGTGGCCAGATGTGAGCAATTGAGAGCTCTTACGACGAACGATTTTTCTTGTGCAAGATGAGTTTGGCCAAGTGTACAACCCCGCTTGATCGAGCCACAGAAAGAAAAAGCTTACAGATTCCAGTTCTTCGTCGGTATGAGTGTTTTGTTAAGCACAACACCTATTCGTAAAGTTATTGGACTTGGAACAAGCCGACAACTTGGTACTCAACTCATGCACGGCATTCAAATTCTGAGCAACACCTCCGTCGTCACAATGAACAACTTAAGTCCTTGCTGTCAGTTTAGTCGCGTACAGGACAAGAAGGGGCTGTGCGGTTGGAATGGGGTCGGAAAGCGTGTGTAGTACAACTTGCGCGCGTTATGAGCGTCCTGCTACGCGTCAACGCTGTCGGCCGCGTTGGTGGGGGCAAAGCACAGCGTGACAGCGATCGCGGCGATGAGAAGCGTCTTGGCGAACTGCATCTTGAAGCGTGGTCTCTCTTGCGTGGGTCGTAGCGAATTGGAAAGTGACGGTGAGAACACCGTCTAAAGTTTGCGTCAAACGATAATCGTAGCAGCTTCTGGCTCGCTTACACGTACTTGCCGTAGGGTGCGATTTGACAGACGGCAGGCATCAAAGTTTGCGTTAGATCTGCGGGGTGCCCGCGAAGCAGGGCCGCGCGGTATTGCGGAGGTGGGCCCAGCGACGAGCATTCCAGCGAACGGACCCGTTGCCGCAACTCGGAGTTAGTTTTCTTTTTGCGGGGGTCTGGGGCAGAACACCTTTTAGCACATCAGATCCAATCTCAGATCTGTACCGTATATGACCCCAACTGGAGGTTACCGTGCTCGCGATATCCCTGCAGCGGCAACATTCGCGAGATAAAAGAGATTGTATATGCTTTTTCGGCCCTCCATTTTTCTAGTGACGTGAATTACTATGAAACACGTACTTATTAATAAAAAACAGTATTACTAAGTTTTTTTTACACGACGACTACATCAACAGAGGGCTAGTACGACTTCGCGCGTTCTGGGATCGGAAGTCCCCTACCAGCTTTCCGAAGATTGAGCTCAGACATTCGTTCAAACTCGCTGCCACCGTTATCTTGATCGAAAGCCAACTCCTCGCGGGCGATCGCCACTGTGTCGCTCCCTAATATGTCCTCAACGCACCCGCCACAAAACGGACGCTTCTTCTCGAGAACGGTGCGGCCGTCAGACGCCATAACATAAACGATCTTCTTTACAGTACATCGGGTGCACATGAGTTGCATGCAGCTCTGGCAGGTTTCGCGGCTTGTACCAAGAAACCCGAAGCTGTTGAGGCACAAAGTGCAAGCCCCTGGACGAATAGATGACGATGGAGACGCTTTGGCATTAGGAGGCAACCCAAAGCTGGAGCTTGAGCATGTACTTGAGCTGGAGCTACTCGCGTCGGAGCTTCTACCGTCGAGACTGTTTCTGCGCAGCTTCCAGACGAGTTTCTTCATGCGTGCACACTCCACTTTGCGTCCAAACGACAGCCACTGCGACGCCAGTGCCTGCAGAGATACATTATTCAGCATCTCGTTCTTGGTCGGGAAGTCGAAAAACCCTCGCACGTAGCACTCGACAGTCGTCGGCGTCTTCTGTTTATACAGCGAGCACACCGACATGTTGCCTCGCAAGACACCTTGGCTCTTGAACTGTGGGAGTTCCGAGAACGCGACTGAGTGAGCGAAGTTGTATCCAACGCGCTCGCCCTTGCTCGAGTGCACGACTCCGGTCGCATCCAGCGAGATGTAGTCGCGTCCGTGGTAGAGCTTCCACTTGATGCCGACGTGGTGGAACGGATCCTCCACTGAGGCCTCTTCCAGCTGGCACAGCATCTTGGTATCCAGCATCCCGTCATTGACACATCTCGACTTGATCTTCAGCGCAGCGTCCGTGGGTGCCACAACGCCGTACATGACGTCCTCGACGGTCCCGTCCACCGTTCCGAACAGCAACAATGACGGCGTGAATGGTGCTTCGCCACGCCCAGAGCCCGGGCGTTCACGGTAGATCCTGAGTCCATCTTTGCGCCGCATCTCCTTCCACTGCCCCGTGGCCGAGTCCGGGTACCCGTTCTTGGTGACTAGCAGGGTGTTGCACTGCTCCAGGTTGTGCGCGACCAGAGTGCTGGCCAGATCTCGTAGCATGACTCGATCTGCATCGGAGACCGACAGCTCCGGTAGCAGATCCACCAGCCTGCTCTTCATTCTTTTGGAGCAGAAAACACAGCGGAGACTGTCGTGTCCGTGAGCAGAAGTCAAAGTGAGCCATCTTCCAAGTCGGGCATTCCGCGGAGCTGAACCGATGTCGGAGAGAGCGAGCCGAGGCTTTCGGAGGTGCGAGATGAGCGCCGCAACTTGCCGCTGCAGCATATACGCGTCATGCTTGGCGCAGGCCAATGCGCACGAAGAGACGCGAGTGGGATGCGCCATCGCCTGTCGGCCCCACGTTGAAGTGTAGGCGCATAGCCGCGCGGCGCTGATGTGTGATTGGCCCATCCCATCGTGAAAAATCGATGATTGGGTGGGCGAAAAATACTTGAAAAGTCGCTGAAGGAGATGGCTACAACTTTTTGAGAATGGATACTCTTACATGTTCATTCATACATGAGGAGTCTCCGAATGGACTCTATCATAGCGAGATCTCGACGGGGTCGCTGTCGCGGCGCATGTTGACGAGCTCGTCCCGTGCGATCGCGACGGCGTCGCTCTGCACGACCTCGTGGATGCATCTGAAGCAAAAGGTGCGCTTCTTCTCGAGGATGGAGCAGTGATCGGGCCCCATGACGCACACGAGCTTCTTGACGCAGCAGCGCGAGCACACGCTGTGGTCGCAGCTCTTGCAGGTCTTCCTCCGGCCCGGGATGAAGCTGAAGCTCTTGGCGCACACGCGGCACGTGGCGTCGGTGGACTTGTGCTTTGGCCGCTCGGCCGCGAGCTGGATCAGGTCCGAGTCGTCGCTGTGCTTGCGCAGCCGCCACGCCAGCTTCTTCATCTGCGCGCACTCCATGTTGCGCGAGAACGACAGCCACTGAGTGGCGATCGTCTGCAGGGCGAGGATGGCGTTGCTGTGGGTGCCGCTCGACAGGTCGAAGAACCCGCGCGTGTAGCACTCGACTGTGTGGTTGGCCTTCTGTCGGTAGAGTGAGCACACGGACATGTTTCCCCGTGCAATGCCGAGGTCGGTGAACGCTGGTAGTTGCGGGAAACCCACGGAGTGCGAGACGTTGTAGCCGACGCGTTCTCCCCAAGGAGTTCGGATGATCCCGGTCGTGTCCAGCGTCACGTAGTCGCGGTCTTCGTAGAGTCTCCACTGGAGGCTCACGTGGTGGAACGGGTCGTCAACCGTAGGAGATACCAGCTCCTCCAGCACTTTGCTGTCGACGACGCCGTCTCGAATACAGGAGGATTTAATCTTCAGCGACTCGTCCGTCGGCGCCAGAACGCCGTACATGATGTCGTCCAACTTGCCGACTACCGAGCCCAATAGCAAGAGTGACGGGATGGCTGGTGGTGTATCGGTCGCCGAACGGGGGCGCTCGCGGTAGATGCGGATGCCCTCGACCTTGCGGGTGGGGACCCAGAGCCGACTGTCCGGGTGACCGTCCTTGCTGACGCAGAGGTTGTTGTACTGGTCGAGGTTGTGCGTGACGAGGGTCGTCGCCAGCTCTTGGAGCAGCCTCTGGTCCGACTCGGGGATCAGCAGAACCGGCAGGAACTTGGAGATGGCCACGGGCTTCGGCATCGTCTCGGGTCTCGGGTTGTTGGTGGCAAGTCTAGCAATGGCCTTTTCAGAGGCACGCGGGGATCCGGACAGGAGCCTCGTGCTCCGACTCGAAGACGGTAAGCACTCCACTCGTGGATAAGCCTGCGCCTCACCAAATTTTCTGAGGTTCTGCACGCTACGCTAGTACGCCGCTCCGTAAGCAGTGGCGGATCCAGCGGAGACCTGGCCACTGACTTGACCGATCTTGGCGTTAAGCGTGTCAACTTCTAGTCACCTCGGAATGAATGGAACGCAACAAAAAGGTTTTTGACGGGCATTCATATTCGGAAATGCTAAACGCACGGGCGTTCAACTCATAAGATGCTACGGAGAAAATGTAGGAACTGCAAAACAACCGAGAGGCTGCTCGTCCACAATGGCGAGCAGCGCACGAACCTGAGGCGGACAGAGCCGCTCCTTGCAAAAAAGAAATGAAAGTGTAGAGTGCGACACACGCTGTCGGGGATGACCCATATCCTGCAGACGTCGCTTAGCTTGTGCGCACGCGCGCGGCGTCGGCCATGCTCTTCCAGTTGGTCTCGCAGATCTTGATGAAGGACACCACGCAGCCGAAGAAGATGCCGGCCGTGAGACCGAGCCACATCCCCTCGACGCCCAGCTCCATGCGGAAGGCTAAGTACACGCCGAAGGGCAAGCCAATCACGAAATACGCAAACAGGTTGATGTATGCGCCCAGCACGAGGCGTCCTGTACCGCGGAAGACGCCTTGCATGACGGCGTTGATGGCGTCTAACATCTGGTATGGCATGAGGAACAGCAGTGCATGACCCGCCAGTCCGATGGACATGGCGTCGTTGATGAAGATTTCCGGGATGAAGTAGCGCGTGGCGATGATGATCACAGCGATGACGGCCGAGAGAGACACAGACAGCAACATGCCCAGCGTCGAGGCCAGCTTGGCGTGGTGGGGCTTGTTGCTGCCCAAGTAGTTGCCAACGAGCACGTTGGCGGCCACCGAGATGCCCAGGAAGAAGTTGAACGCGAATGTTGACACATTCACAAGCACCGAGTGGACGCTGATAGCGACGACGCTGTTGGGCAGCCAGCCGACGATAGCCGCCATGATCTCGAACGAAATCCATTCGAGCTCCATCATGAGCATTCCCGGCACGCCAAGAATCAGAAACTTGCCCAGGTGATCTACTGCTTCCTTCGGCTGCCAGCCCGGCCACCACTCGGCTGGGATATGCGGGTTGCTCAGGTAGAACGGGACCAAACACAACGGAAGCGCAAGCTCGGACAACAATCGCGCAATCGCCGCACCATCGAAGCCCAGCGGCGTGTAGAACGTCAGGAAGACGCCCAGCCCAAGGTTCACCAAGTTGCTGATCACCGCAATGTACACCATCGGCAGCACCACATTCTGGGCTTGCATTACCTTCTTCAACAGCTCGTAGACGTACATGGCTGGGACACCAGGCAGCAGGATCTGACTGAATCGACCCGCAAACTGCGCCACTTCTGCGGGCTGGCCGAGCATCAGAAGAACCGCCTCAGTGTACCAGTTGATGACGAAGACCGGAATCATCGCCAGGCCCAGCACGATCAAGCCACTCTGAAGGTAAATACCGAGCTTCTTCGGTTTGCCAGCTCCATACGCCTGCGAGCACAGCGTGTCCATCGCTGTCGCCAAGCCGAAGCCCACACCGATGGCACTAAGGTTCAAGACCATGGTCGACAGGGCCACACCGTCCAGATACTCCTTCGTCATAGGGGAATCCAAATGGCCCACGAGCGTCATGCTGACCAATTCCGGGAAGAACTCCAGCACATACGTGAAAATAACGGGGTACGCCAGCGTGAAGAGCTTGCGGACTTCCGTCCTGACCTCTGGGTGAGCGTCAGTCTCAGGTTCCTCGAGAATACCGGACTCAATGTCGGTCTCCGAATCCCGCGCGTAGGACTGAAGCAGTGGGAACTCCTCCTTGTCCGTGTGCGACTTCTTCGCCTTGCTGGCCGCCTTCTTCACCAGCACCTGAGACTCCCACCGATCCGCGGCCGAGAAAGACGACGAGCGGATCGGAACAGCCACGGGGCTGTCCGAGCTGTACGACGAGCTGAACGAGCTCGTGGACGTCTCGGAGTCATCCCCAGACTCCTCAGATATCTTCGAGGTCGCCTTGGCACGCGCTGCAGCGCTGCGACTTGGTCCGTTGAACTGCTTCTTGATCCTCGCTCCACCGCGCGGACTCAGCAACTGGTGCGCGTCCAAGCTCCACTTCTCGACATTTGACTTCCACGACGTTGCGCTAGACTCGTCACTCGGAGGCTCCGACTTGGCCGACTTGAGAGTGCCGTAGCCGGAGAACTGTCGCGTCATCGCAGCGCTCTTCTTCTTGAGTGGCTTGGCGTCCTGGTTGGTGGTCAGCGGTTGGAGCTTGAGCTTCCGGGCGGTCTTGACCTCGCCTCGAGGCTTGGGCTTGCCGGCCGCGTCGGCGGCCTGTTGGCTGTGCCGACGCTTGGCTTGGTCTCTGGTGCGGCCCGCAGCGGACGGAGTGGGCGCCTGGCCGCCATGGTTTCGTATTAAGCCGCTATTGCCGCTACTACTGCCACTACTGCCGGAACTGTCGCTGTCCCCGGCGCTGGAGCTGTCGTCCTCGCCGACATTGGCCACGATCATTCCCATCGTCCTCCTGGTCTGGGGCTGTTGTGCCTGGCTGGTCGTCAGTTGGGAACTGGGGCTTGGGGCCGTTGAGCAATTAAAGATTGAGGCGTCTCGCGGTCTGATGCGATGGAGAGCTGCTGCTGCTGCTTGAAACGCCTAACAAGTGGGGTATCGATTGATTCTTGGATAAGCTGACGTCGCGATAGTCACACACAAAACACAGACACAGCATAAAAGTTAGTTTGGCGGCGATATAATGCGGATTCTGGAGTGAAAAACTATGGTAAAAACCCGAAGAGGCGCCCCGTCGCTATGAATAGCAACACGGTCTCCGCTAAAGCCATACAAAAACCAAGATCAACCCGCAGGGTGGCATCTCCGTGGTATCTGATATGATGAAATGTATCACTCAAAAGTACGTACACGACGTCGAGGGTGGTCCAGGTAATGCAGTCGGCAAATTTCGCCATGCAGCGGGGGTGGCGAGGCTCCCTCTGTGTTTAGTTTCGAGCTCGCGTTGCGTGGGGACCCAAGCAAGGCGAGGCGAGCGGTGTGGTGGTTGCAAAAAGTCCTGCAACGGGGGAGTCACTCCAAGGCGTTGGGTGGGTAGCTGGACTGGGCTGAGTGCGTTCGCGCGCCGCTTGGGGCTGGTTACTGAAGGTGCGGGGTCTTTCGAGGAGACTTGCGTGCGAGAGCGGAGGTTCGGAAATGATGGACAAGTCGCGCTTGGCACGCCGGCGATTGCGTAAAAAACTGTGTTTTTAGTGGGATCGCAGAAACGAATAGCAAATATTGTAACGGATTTGACAGAGAATCAGTGTAGGCAAATACTTTTGTATGCGTTTACCTTCTGAATGTAAATATTATCGAATACGCGGAGATTGTTGTATGAGGTTGTAAAGGGTAGACCAAATATCGGGTATTGCGGACTTAACGTGGGTGGAGCAGGGGGATGTGAGCTTGCATTTCTTCCTTCCGCCCTCTGCGGACGACCACGACGTCATGACCGCGCTGGTCTGGCCTGGCCTGGCCGCGGTCTATTTCGACCCCGCGCGAGGTCAGCGCGCTGATGTTACGATTGCTTGTGTTACGCCGCTGGAGTCTGCAAAGCGCGTAGCGCAAGCAAAGCACTTCTTGTCCCGACGCCAGCTGGGGTCTCGACGCGCAACCATGGCACCAGGAGCTGCGAGACCGTCGAGGCATCGATCCTGTAAATGGCAGCCCAGCGGATACTACATGTAGAGAGAGCGTACCGAGCGCTTCGATCGGCGAGCACTTCACATGTCAAACTGCGACACATGATAAGAGACCCTGCAAAACTGGCTCATGCGCTGGTTTTTATTCTTGCATGGCGCGCTTCGATATGCATGTTCTCAGCGTTTTTTAATCGCTTTTGGCTTGCGGTGCTTGTTCGAACGCTGAATTGCAGTTCACGCAGGGCGGACCATTGCGTGCCGCTCGAGACCGAAGGAAGGCAGACAGGAAGTTGGGCCTCAACTTGAGGCAGCTTGCCTCGACGGAATCTTTGGGAGATCTCGGTGCACGCCGCCTGGCGTGAGGGCACCGGATGACCAGGATCTTCGCGTTAAAAAAATGCGAGCGAGATGAATGCATGTGGGCCACATGAAGGTTATGTGCACCACGCTACATACGTTCAGTCGACCACCGATATTTATGTGGTACACATGGTATTAGGATCGACCACAGATAGATCTCTCCTAGAGGCTCCAAAGACATCGAGAACGATTACGAGCTGTAATCTGTAATTTTGAGAAAATATTTGAAACTTCAGCAAACAAGCTGTAAATTTAATTTTAATATCATGGTTCGAATCCATTTTTGTATAATCCGCTCACCATAAATACAACACAGCCATAACTATTTATATCTGAGTAGAACTACACCGTTAATGCTCCGCTTGTAGTCACTTTTCATTTTGCACCATGCCACCACACAACCAGCGACGCAAGCACACACGGAACTTTCAACGCAAGGCCGATGGATCATTCTGGAAGCTCAAGTCCAACAAAAAAATTCCGACCCGAGAGCCGTCCGAAGAGCGGAACGACGCTCCGGTCGACCGAGGAGTGGGGCTCTTCGGCGGATCCCGAGCCCGACGAGGTCGCGCAGAGCAGACATTTGAGGTAGAACGGCTATACGCAAAACGATGGGTGCACAGCCTCGAGTTCTACCTCGTTCAGTGGGTCGGCTACCGAGAGCTGACATGGGAGCCCTCGAAGAACATACCCTGGAGACTTAAGGTAGACTTCGAAATAGAAACGATAAGCTTTGTTTGGTTGTACCAACCAACACGAGGTCGCCGACGCTCCACCAAGAATCCAACTCGGCGCAGCTCGCGCATCCTGCGGGGTGCCTAGCCTAACCCCGAGATAGCTAAGTTCGCGTGGCGAATTTAATACATACTGCCATCAGTAGGTTCAATTGATCCATAAGTTGGGGACGATTCAGTACATACATACTGTATTATGGAAATTCCTCTAGTGTAGTGCTTTTGTGTAACTTGATGTTATTGACGATTCACGCGCGGTCTGGATTTGTGCTCGGAGTCCATAAGGCCAACGAGCATGCTACTGGACATGTACAGTAGCAAGAGCACGGTCCAGGTGGCGTACAGTGGACGAGCGGTCAATGTACATGGCATGGTTGCTGTTTGGACCTGGATACATATGTTAGACTAGGTCGTCTTCGACTTGGCTGGGAGCACCTGTGGTATAAAACGCTGGCGCTGGTACCGGTGCTGATTGCCGTGATAAGGAAGAACTGTGGCCCCCGCAGGGGCCACACCCATGAATATCGCGCGTGCCGCAGTTCACTTTCTGAAGCTGGTGCATGTTGTTGATGTCGCTGTGCATTTCCTGCCTTGCTGAAAGTTGCCGTTGAACCTGCTCGGTCGACATCCTTCTGGCTTGTGTAGCACGAAGGTTGCGTCAGGTTACGCTTGGGAGCTGTCCACCCCCTCATTCTTCGGGTGTTCCTAGTATAACAGTCCAATGACAAAGCAACAACGGCCAATAAATTCGTGGTACAATTCATCTTCGCTTAAGAAAACGCATTAGAAAGATGTAGTCTACATCAGGTAGACCCTACTGTTGTAGTACATGTGCTGCGTTCATCCCTGAGATGTAGAAGACGTACCTACAGAAGAGGGTTCGTTTGCGATAATGCTACACTGTACAACCAGGACTCTTATAGAATACATGTTCGTGGCTGTCTCGAGTCGAGACTCCCGACCATGCATCAAGGAAACGAAGTAGCGACCACCTGCTACTGAGGAATCACTACTCCAGTGACGTGGAAGCAAAAGCACATCACTAGGAAGACAATACTTAAGTATGTATTTATGTAATTATCTCGCTGCTATCCCGATGACTTTGATCTGACAATACAGGCAAACACACGTTTAGACTGTGTATGTAGACGTACAATGTATAGGCGGTATTCTACATGTGGTTTTTACCAGGACGACCAGTCGTTGACTGGCACTAGACTCAACTCGTGGGAATTCGTGATCCAGTAGTGCCTCATCCCTCTACAGTACCAGTACGGCACTCTCCGATCGGAGTGGCCCCCTGGTGGTCTAGTGGTCTACGTCCCTCGAAGCTATCCCATTCAAACCAACCAGAATCAAAATCAACTATCTTCAACATAAAATCAGCACAGCAGCGGACAGAATGTACCTACCAGCATTGATTCATGCTCTTTCGTAAGACGATACGGGTCCCTAGAGAACATACCGTAAGACAAAGCGTCTTACGTTTTGCAATCAACGCATTTTGATTACATCTTGATTTTAGTATACCAGTGGCTACATTGTATTTTGTCACTCAAAACGAAAGACAGTTTGTCGGACACCAGTTTGCGCCATATTATTGGTCAAAAGCTCTACTTGACGTGCAGAGCTGCATGTGCGTGCTCGGGCCCACTCAACCACGACAGCGGTGCGGATGCAGGCTGTGTTGGTGGCACCTTTGTTCGCCAAGACGACGCAGTTGCATGGCGCGTAGGTCCGTCGACAAAAGGATGATATTCTGGCTGCAGCCACGGCGGCCGCGCCAGGCCTTGCGTGAAGCCTTAGCGCTAAGGCTGTTCTGATCTGTTGCTCTTAAAATGCCACGTCCAGAGCTTTTCAGTGCCTGGATGGTAAGGAATAGTGTCAGGAGGGAAATATTGTAGGTGTTTTCGTACTGTCAGGTTGCAATGTACGTATCATGATGCGGGCAAGCCTTCCTTCAATAACGTGGTTACTTACGTAGCATATGAGGCAGCGATTCTAGAGCGCTTATAACCGCACCAGTCTATTGCTGTCTGTTAAGCTTGAATCTACGTAGTGTTTCCGTTTCGGCTTTGTTGACAAGTTTCTAGAGAGTGCTCAAGCGTACATTCTAGTCGTTTACTATTCAATGTACGCTCAAGCACAATTCAGTTCTCCGTGTACCAACCGCGTCGTGTCCTCCGAAGGGCATCTCCCTACTTACGCCGACTACGCGGCTTCATGGAAGAGCTCCTCGGACCTCATAAAATATGTATAATACACACTTTCATTTGCAGGACCTGGCATTTAGTAGGTCGCTAGTTAGGCCAAATAACTGTGATGCACTTCACATTACTACGAAATCGAAAACGAAACAAATACACGTCCATGCTGCCGATCCTGCTCGTCAGCACGGCTATCCGTTGCTGGTGCATGCCACGACGGCGACGCAGACGGCCCGGCCAAGGGCATACACGGACAACACCACGCATAATATTAGCCAATCACATGGCTAAAATTGATTTGTCGTCAAACTGTCTTACGAATGCTCGACACAAGTGATTGATGGTGAAGACTCTAAGCTCGCACATCAATGTACCTTACTAAAACAGCCGCTCCAACTGAAGGTATTCTATTGGTAAACGCATTTATTATGAAGATTTCGCAAGTTTATAGTATATTAAAGTTTGTATTGAAAACATAATCCATAAACACAAATCTACTTTGATTGGCCAAAACAATAAATTAGGGTGACACGGATAGTGCATCGTATCTTAGTTTATGCACACGGGTACCTTGCCTTTGGTTCGGTGGCAGTTCCTGGTGTCGGCAGTTGCATTCTGTCCGTTGCTGTAGCAAGTAAAGTGTAGGAATAACCAGTTAATCAGCTTCTATTCCTTCTTCTTCGATCGTACGACGGGAATTGAGTTTGCTGTTCTGACGGCTAGTTATCGCGTTTACTTGGTAGATGGTCTTTGTTAGAGTGAGCAGATGGGAGCAATGAGGGGGAGGGGGGATTGAGACAGTAGTGGTGAAGAAGTATAATACCGTAGTACGGGCGTTATATTGACGGGTTATCTACCCTTCCGCAGAGTGAGTCCGGGACCCGGTCGAAGAAGACCCCAGGCAAATAACGTCATTGCCCCTTTTTAGCCAATAATAGGTCAGTAGTCTGCGCAAGTCCTTTCACAGCTCATTGCCGCAGAAGTCTCCCTCAACCTCCCTCGTCGCTCAAGAAACAAGATGCGCTGCCACAGAGGCTTCTGGGTCTACGCAGGTGACAAAGGCACCGACATCTCGGACAGCGCTCCACGCTTTCCGCAGGAGCAAGCCTCTCAAGCGGGCCAGGTGTCAACAAGGCGGCAGAGAATTGGCTCCGAACGCGCGCTGGAAGGGCTCCGAAGAAGCGCTGGGAGGGGGAGACAGCGGAGATTCGGCAGGACTACATACTGAAAAACCCTGACTCTACCTTTTCGCTGGACGACAACCCGCTGGACTTCGCGGATGGCCGGCAGGATCGCCGGCGCTACCCTCGAATGGTGCGAGCCGACATCGCTACGCCTGTGGTACTACAGGAAGAGGCTCCGGCAGCACCAGGTACGACACGCACACCCGTCGACACTCAGTGTCGAGAACAAGTTGATGACAGTGTGTATGCAAGCTGCGCGAACACAGCTGACTATGCACTCTGATGAAGAGGCGGATGGTGCGCTTCATGAGACGCCGACTAGCGCGGCTGCCGCTAACTCAGCGCTGAGCAACTACGTGCGTGATACCATTCAAGTTAACCCAGACTTCAAGGCCATGCACGCGGGCAAGGAAAACTACACGACCCGCAGCATCAATAACTTGCAGGAGTTATATTGGCTAGGAAAAGTACCTTCGGTGCAAACTTTGCAAGCTAGTCCATGCTCGCCTGTTGTGTCAAGGGATGCTTCGACTACATCTACTACGGTGTGCCAGGCAGGGGCGTCTGTCGAGAGACTCAATGGATTGGTTGCTGATGGCGCAGCTAATAGCAGCAACGATGCTCAGATATCACCTTCGGCTCAAGCAAAACCTACCACTATTACCTCTCGCAAACGCCCCCGGTTGCTCGAAGGGAAGCAGCGACCCGCCACTGCCAATTTAAAGTCACACGCAACCAGCGGAAAAGAGCAACCGGCTGGTAATGCGGCAGATGACGAAGATAGCGCGTATGAACCAAGCAATACGGAGGATAGTGACGTGAATGATGACGATGTGGACCCCCCCCCCCCCGATTTTTCAGAAAGCGCGTGTCAAAAAATTATCCGCTGATAGTGTGGACCGATCTCGAAGATGAAGAAAACCCCCGAAGAGTGCACGTTTACCCTGCGGATTTGGATAGCTTGCAGGCTGGCGTTTGGCTGACCCAAACCGCGCTGGATTATTTTATCTGTCGCTATATGGAGCAGGTTAAAGGATTAATTCGCGTATGTGACTCGGAGTTGTACGTATTGATGGAGACTGCGCGATTCACGCGAAAGCCGAAACGACGACGCCGACTGTTAGCTGACCTGGTCGCATTATTTGACTGGTCGTCCTACCAATATGTGCTTCTCCCAGTATCGGGTCGCAACCACTACAGGTTTTTGGTAATTGAGAACCCCAGGCACCCGGGGCCAGCAAAAGTTTATCACGTCAACTCGATGAAAAATGCTCACAGCTCGGCGTATGCTTTTGGTGTGCTACAATGGGTCCTATCAGAGACCCGTAAATCTCGAGCAGAATCATCGGCTCCGTTTGAGTGGAGCACCTTTGTCCATTTGACCAAGCCCCAGCAATCAAATTGCATCAACTGTGGGGTTTATGTTCTCCATTACATGGACGTGATTTCAAAACACATTGCAGCTGAGAAGCCTGGATCGATCGAGGAGAAGATCGCCGCGTGGCCAGAGGGTGATTTCGGTGTCAAGAACGCAGCAGCATACCGAAATAAGCTGTATAGGACTATATCTCCAGAGTGATTAAGTGTAGCACCCGGTGAGCAGAAACAGAAGCACAATCAACTTCTTTTTAACATGGTTCCGGTCATTGATATCATGGATCAAAACAGCAAGTAACCGAATATGTAGTACCGCAAAATACACTATGGTACAGCAAAGCATAACTGCGGTACCTATCGCAAAACCTCACTGCGGTACCACATTATAATACTGCGGTTCAAACAATACTGGGTTATTAGGAAGGAGGGACTACGAAATGCGTTCGTCATGTTTTTCTGTGCTCGATACTCGACCGCTTGGCGATATTCTCAAGTACGAATTATAGTACTTCAGCCTGAATGTATTCAATTACTTTTAGCGTTGCTCCACTGTTCCAACTGTGATTCCTTCGGCGGCATCCGTAGGGCTACGGTGAACACATACGTCCGACAGTTGACGAGTTCTGAAATATTGCAAGATACGGTTGACATCGCGGAGTGGTGGTCTCAATCGTTACCGACTAGTCTCTCCGTTGGGGCTGAGATCGGAGATAGTAGTCGTGGAAACGGGGTAGCGAGATACAGCGATAGCTTGGACAGCATCTTTGATCTCGCCCGCGTGTTTCGCTATTCAGTTCAGAGATTTGTTATGGGTATGCCGGTACTCCTCCAATACTTGCAAGGTAGATTAGTTGCCACGACGTCAGACACCCGAGTCGCCGTAAGAATATCATCTGCAAACGCAGCGACTAAGCTGCAAATTGGCCGCCTTCTATTGAAGAACCGGCGTTCGTTCGCGCTACACCACTTTGTGCCAAACTGAGCCTCGAGATCTCGGACAGCTCTGGCGCCAGCTAAGCCGGTCGACGATTCTTTCCACAAGTCCGGCACAGTAGCCAGACCCCGCAGAACTTTATACGTTGGCCAATCACTTTGCACGTCACTAGCTATCGGCGAAACTGACGGCAGTATCGCCGTCACCTTCGCGCCCACCAGATAGAAGCTGAACTTGTACGACAGCAGTGCCGCCTTGCAGTGGAGTCGACATGCGCATTACGTCGCTGAGGCTACCTGGAACCGTCCGCATGGTCGAGCAGATTTGAGCTAAAGAACTTTTGAAATCCTGGTGTAGCCCGTCGATTTTGGCGTTCAACACCGGTACAGCTTTCTGAAGACGCTGTTCAGTTGGGGCTTCCATTGCGTCAACCGCTTGCATAGCCTCACGTTTAAATTCCGTGAACTCCCGGGATTGAAATATGATGTGCTGCCAAATTGGGTGCGTTGGTGCGGATTTATGCAAGAATATAGCATCCTGGAGGATGACCTTACGGAGATATTTAAGCAACTCAAGAAACCCTCCGGCCGCAAGCGATTGTTCCGCTGTTCCTGAAGCAATGGCCTGTTGCCAAACCTCCACCTGCGAAAATACCATACTTTGCAATGCTAACGGGGGATCAACAGAAGCTCGAGCAACAAAAACGCTCCCAATACTTGGTTCAAAACCGGCAAGTGTGCGCATCGCCTGCCTCGGAAGAGATGTGAGGTAGAATTTCTCCATTGATTGGCCGTTCCACCGACCCAAACGGCGAATTTGGGACTCACTTGCGCCTCCCAGGTCCGCCATACGCGATCCGGATCCGTGAGTTTTAGCTTTGTTGTGGACGCCGGCATGTTTCAACGCTGCTGTAATAGCTGCGTTGTGAACTTTGTACGACATTGGTTTCGTGGGATTTTACCTTTTTTAACAGCTTTACCGGATACCAGTGCTCTGAAGACGTGAAGTCGGGAAACGCCTCGCCATCCACATGCCAACGCCAATACAAGTAAAATCCAAGAGTTCCATGGGGGCAGATCTGGACATGCTTATTGCGCATACATGCACTGACTTCAATGCGCCCGACTTGGTTGGTTTTACCCTATCGCATCACCATAACCAGAGCCCTGTATGGCGTGTAGCCCTCGTTTTCGAGAACAATCGCGTGTAAGGCTGCCAATTCCATCATCCGCACCGACTCTCCTCTCATAAGGGCGTAGTGGCTCAGCAGAAAAGCGACCGAATTTCGCAAGTGTTTACCTGAATCACGTGCCGGTGTCCAGAAATACCGAGCTATCTCCTGAACTTGATCGATTGTCGTATAGCCATCCAGTAGTGTATCAGCTCCACGGTCCTCAAAAAAATTCCGCTTCCTCTCATCTTCTTCGTACTCTGTCAGCTTCAATAGGGTCGTCACAGCTTCGTCTCGGGGGGAGGGATTACTGTTCACTTTTGCGCGAGATTACTGCTTCTACAGGTCAACCATCGCCGCAACATAGGAGTTCACAGCAGAACGTCCGACGGTTTCAATTATGTCGCTGGGTGTACTTCCACTCTTGTGGCGCTTGGCCCGGCCAATTACGCGCTCTTGTAGAAAGAGATGAATCTTCTCACCAGTAACTGTACACCGGGTCAGGTCATTAATGCTACGTCTTTTTCCGAGCACCACTCTAAGAACTCCTGTTGCCAACTGCGGTACGCCCTCTGCGGGTTCTTAGGTCGAAGGGTAGTGGCATTCTTGTAGGTCCGCTGGAAGGTCCGCTGGACAGACTCCTTCAGGGCGGCCTGCATTCGACTCTCTGCCTCCGTGATGCCCATTGTTAAGCTGTTCCCTGCACTTGGGTCTCCTTTTCCCGTGCTGGCTTGGCGCGCGTCTAGCGGCTTAGCCCCTAGCCGCAAGATTAGACGTAATTTTGCCCAACCAGCATCTAGAAGACCCCTCGTTAAATAACAAGTTATTTTACCCCCAAAACGTGAGATACCTACAATGATTTGATCGAAAGCCACCAATGCTGACCGGTCCCGGTCCGGACCCCTCTGTGATAATGTTATACAGCGCCCTATTTCCAAAACCAGTTGTATAAAATTTCTAATGCTGTCCTTCTTTCTGCCTTTAATTAACGCCCGCCGGAGGCGGGAGGGTCTAGGGTTTGTTCTCCAAGGGTGAGGGGGGGGGGTTACCGACTTTTGTTAGTTCTAATGGGAGTTTAGATATACATGTAACGGGTTGCTGTAAAAAGGGCTTGCCGGCTAGGCCTTCATGTAGAAGTTTGTATGGGATCCACAACGATCAGCTCCTGCATTGGCTATACATGTAGTTTTTGCTGGGCAACTTTTTGTGGGTTCTATTGTTGGCTTAGCCTTTTCATTTTCTTATAAACAAGTACTCACTCAGCTAATACATAGTTGTTTTCCTATCTGTTGGGGTCATTCCCTCGAGTAGTGCGCCGCGACCCACCAAACTTTGCATGTGCTCAGGACGTGGGCGACAAATTGGCAGATCTCTGTCGAAGTACTTGGCGAGCGGCGCAGCACAAGCAATAGATGATCTCTTGGCCGTGGTCTAGCCATCGCCATGACGGATAACGTTCTTGCTAGTGTCGAGCTTGCGAATTTTCAGCGTTTGAATTCATGCGTAGCTAGCCTTCGTGTAGGCGTCTTCAAGATACTTTCACGCAACATCGAGATCGTACATAAGCGGAGGGGGCGACGACAAAGGTAGCATTCAGGTGATTTATGAAGTTTCTCGGGTATTAATTATGAAAAGTGACACTGTACAGTATCAGGTACCTTTTGGTATGGTAATGTATCTATATATACGAAATCATCTATATAATTCTGGGATAGCAGTAACCCCGCTGTGGCCAGCCCAACACAGGTTAATTAGGCGGCACCTCGGTAACTGAAGCCAGTAATACTGAAGCCGGAAAACTGGCCCCGGTAACTGAAGTTTACTGCCTATGCTCTCCATCCCTCAAATCCGAGACAAGCTCGAGCTCGAGATGGATGGAAATCATCTCGAAAGTTCCGTTTTCGTTGAGTGCCGCGAGCTGCACTTACCGCTGAAGCTCCCTACCAGTCCGCACGTCGTTGGTCAGCGTTACTAGGTTGTCGCTGCGCGCGGTGAGACCGTCGGCAAAGTCAACTCAACTATTATTTGACAGGTAAGGAAGTACATCGCGCACTTCCAGTGCCGCGCTTGCAGCGGAACACACCCATGAAACGATCCCTCACTTCATCAATCCCCTCGTACACAAGCACCTACAGTACATGTACTAAGTTGCTGAAGGGGTGGATAAAGATTAACCGTGTTGTTGGTTATCTGGAGTTCCCAATATGCAGAATGGCACACTAGCTATCATGCAGAAGTGTAAATACTGACGTTCTTAGACTATAAGAGTGTAGCCCGTAGGCACCCCGAGACGTTGGTATAGAGGGCAGAATGCCGGAGAATGAATAACCGTGGATGTGTTGCAATGAATCAGCCCAAGCTGGATGTAGCAGGAAACTACCAGAGGCATCGGCGAAGCCTTGCTCATGTGTCCTAAGTTGCTGAAGTAAATTGCTGAAGTGAAAGAAAAAACGTTTGTGTGCCCACAAGATGGCGTTCGACAGACTAAAGGTTCACGAACACGTACAACTGAGGGCTTGCGCAGTAGGACGTCTGTTCTTCCGGGCACGTAGTGTCAGTGGCCGTGGAGGGCGAGACACGAGAACGCAGGAACACAAGCTTGCTTGCCCACGGAAAGAATGGGATTGAGGAGGAGAAAACCTCTCGGGTGACAACCCCCTCTTGGTTAAACTATGCTATAGAAACCTCAGTATAAACAGGAGCGATACTTCAACTAGAAGCTCCATACTGAAGTATAGTCAACCATTGCAGCTTTGACGAACAGCGGAGCTCGATCAGCCACTACCAGTTCCGTCACTCCCTCTTCGAGATCCGCCACGCAGACAACACTTATTTGCCAGTGCAATCAGTCAGCGGCAGCGGCACACCATTCAGTCTCTCACGCAGTTTGCAGAACTGCGTCGATCCAAGCGGCTTAGTGAAAATGTCTGCAAGCATATCCGACGTAGGGCAGTAGCGTACATCGAAATCTCCACGTTCATACAGATCTCGCACCTTGTGATACTTCAAGTCAACACCTTTAATTTTGTAGTTGCCCTCCGTAGCCTTGATCACTTTGATCGTCGACTGATTGTCTTGAAACAGCACAGTCGGATGGCGTCGGCGGAGTTTCAGCTCTTCGCACATATTGTGCGTCCAAATGATCATCACGGAACACTCGGCCGCAGCAATAAACTGAGCACTACAGGTATCATCTTGGGTAATAGACTGCTTATGGCTCTTGTAGGCGTAAGTACATCCGTTCATCTGAAGCACAACACCCGTGATGGATTTGCGATCATCCTTCTCACTACCGAGATCCGCATCAGCGTAAGCCGTGAAATGTAAATCTGGGCTTACGGGCTTCTTCCTCAAGAGTCCATAATCACGAGTGCCCTTCAAATACCGTAACACTCGTTTTGCCATCACAAAGTGCTCCTTGGTGTACTTGCCAAGGGTTCGCACTGCATTTGCGATCTCTGGGCACGTGCCTTGCACCAGGTACTGGAGACAACCCACCAGCTCTCTGTAGGGTATGCTGGGGTCATTAACTCCGGGTTCGTCCTCCCCCACAAGTTGAGCTACACACTGGACATACCGTCTAGTATGCGTCTCCATCCGACTTTCTACGTCGGAAGGCTGAAGCCATACCTGCAGCACGAACTACCTAGCTCGGCTGAACCGAAGCAGAAGACTCGGCGGAAGCCATCGTCCTCCAGCGCGACTTCGCGCTGGAGCAGCGGGTCGAGCTAATGGTCCAGCTCGGCCGGAACAATCGAGGCGGTCTGGGAGGCCGCCACAACCTGAGGATACTTCAGAGCGCCGAACCCAGCGCTCTAGAACTACTCCACGACCGGAACTCGGTCGTGGGGAGACGCGAGATCAGGGTCAACACCAAGTTGACCACACACGGGGCGTGTTGCCACCACCACCGCCGCCAATTCGTGACGCACACGGCTCAACTCGATGGATAGTTGAGCGGATTGTTGGTCACAGTATCCCGAGAACGAACAGGCAACTGGTTCGTTTTCGTATCCGTTGGAGAGGATTCCCTCCCAACCAAGATACATGAGAGCCACAGAACGTCTTGCTCGAAGACGTCCCGGACATGGTGAGGGCATACGAAGCCCACCATGCGCTACATACTGGAACGTAATGCGAGCGCTGCTGTTAACAGCAGCGCCCTAAGACACTTCGAGGGCAGACATAGGTTCCTGCCCCCGCGGCAGCGACGCGCTTCGCACGTAGCCGCGCATGCTACTCAGCAGCAGAGAGATTCTCCGCTGCGGTCTTCAACTACGACGCGCTCATTCCATTACGAGCGCGCTCTCTTCAAACGTCACGCATTGACCAAACGGTCAATGGTGGTTAGACGTGCCGAGACCGGCACGTCTAACCTTGACAGGGGGGATGGTGTAACGGGGTTACACGCACAAGTGGCTACAGTCACTTGTTACTCTAACAGATGCGATGTCTGTTAGAGGTTTGAACACTTCCTCGACCTTGGTGTAAGGTACACCAATGGCTACATACATTTACGACCACCACGACGGGTGGTCCGTACACATTTAGGATTCCTATTGGCTGAAAGCAGCATCTTTTAGCCAATGAGTGACATGCATAGCATTGGAATTCTGCCAACCAGCCGTTGGCAGATTCCTAGTTTAGAATATTACATCTAGAGGAAGTCAGAAACATAAAACAAAAATTGCAGTTCTCATCTTTACCAAAACACGCAACTTGGAGTCTTTATCTTGTTTAAAGTATACTCGTGGATCTCGAGTATACTTAACTCAAGTAAAAGAAACCTACGCTTCCTCATACACGTGCGCATACGTGTAAGCCGTAGTAGTGAGCCAAGGTAGGCCCACTACAAACGAGGAAGCACGTGGCTTCCAAGTCTTTCGACGGCTGCGACGAGTAGGGTAGGCGCGAGTGGGCGTACACCCGAGTGGCTAGAGACGGCGAGAAGATCGGAACTCAGTTCGTGCACGGCAGGTAGACGTGTATTGTAGTTAGACGGTAGCAGATACCGCGACTAGTTCATCTAAATAAAATAGGTGCGGCTGTCAGTCGGACACCCACCGGCGCGGTGTCATACGTTTTGACATCGACGGCCAGACGGACTTCAGATCGCATCAGCACGGTCGCGACCAACCCCGAGCGTGTGGGGCTAAACACTTTGCAGTTTGTTTTGCTTTGGTTTGCTTTCGGTCGGTTCGAACCACTTCAAACCAAACCGTGAAACCGTAATGAACCTGGTTTGCTGGTAATTTTTGTTTGGTTTGAACTATGAACCTGGAGGTTGGTTTGATTTGTTTCAGGCGTGACAAATCCAGAAAAAAGCAGTTTCAAAATTGTTTCTTTTTTTACTAAACTTGGTAACAGAAGACAATGCTGCAGGCTGCAGCAGAATAGTAAATGAGCAAAATATATCTCACGCGAAAAGAAAATAGATAAACAGAAGACAAGCTTCGGTAAACACCAATTGATCTATGGACAACAAACAAAGCCCTACGTTCACTTCTTGCGCTAAGTAGGCCCACAGACTTAGAAGTTGTACTTGGATTTCTTGTTCTCGAGCACTCGGCGCACCATCCAGCCGTCCGTGTCGCGCATAGCGTTTGAAGTGAGCGCGTCCATGAGGCACGGCTTGAAGTTGGCAGGCTTCGGCTGCTGGTAAAAGTCCGGCAGTCCGAAGCTGTGGCCAATCTCGTGGGCGACGATCGTAAGCTGGTCGTCGTCGATGTGCGCCATCATGTCTTCGAGGTCCACCTGCTGGAAGTTGTAGGTTCCCCAGCCGCCACCCAGCCCCTGTGTCGGCTGGAGGTAGGCATCGTACGGCTTACCGTCGCAACCACTACCTCCGGGCGACGAGCCATCGACCGAGCGGTAGCAGCTCTCGGGGCACTGCGGGGCTCCCTTATCGTCAAGGTCGCCGATGTAGATCTTGCCAAGCGAGTCGTCCGACCACTCCAGGTTGGAGGCTTCACGAGCCGCCCAGCCCACGATGTTGACCTTGATCTCGTCGTACGGCCAGCAGTTGTAGCCGATGAGCCAGTGGTTCCACAGATTGTACTGGCGGGTCAGCATGGCTTGGAACTTGCTGGCTTGAGCCTTGCTGAGCTTCGTCTCCTTGCTGTCCCAGCGGATGCAGTAATTGAGCGTGCCCTTGTTGGCCACGATGTGGTCCATGATCCAGTTGTCGTAGGGCTCCACCTCCGCCTTCATGCGGTTGTCCCAAATCCACTGGAGGTCCTTCGTGCTGATGTAGCTGTCCGGATCGCCCACGACACACTCACTCGACTTGGACTTGATGGTTCCAAACGGAGCGTGGGCAGCGGTGCTGTTCGCGGCCGTAGCGGGCGAGGCTACCAAAGCGGTGGCCAGGGCGAGAGCGGAGACGCTGGAGAGAAGACCTGGGGCCATTTTGGATAAATGGAGAATGAGGTGTTGCTTGGCAATGCGAAGACGCAGACTCGCAATGGCGATGCTACGATGGCCTTGACGTTTCTGGCGACCTTGATGCAGCCTGCATGGTGTCCATAAGGTGAAGGAGCAAGACGATTCCACTGATAACAACAACAGTACGAACCGTATTCGTGTAAGTGTGTAAGGTAAGGTGCCAGTTTCGTGCCTACAACCAGTTCCGTGCCTACTTGTTTTAGCCAATTAGCATCTTCTCCTTGTCAAACTCTCGTAGTCTATTGGTAGATTTTTCCAGCGTCACATGCAATTTCCGGTGATGAGCCTCCTAAAAAATGCTATCAAAAAGAGGCAGGAAACTGGCAGCTCACTCCAAACCAACAAGCTTTTCAAAACAATAACAAGAAGTTCTGCAAAATTTACACGGCCCAGCGTGAAGTACATAAATTCAGCCCAATCGCGTAGATTTAGCGGGTGCAATCAGATTTCGGAATGGACAATTCAATGAAAAGTTATGCCACAGCAAGTCCGCAAGTTCGAAGGACGGCACGAAACTGGCAGAAGACCTTATGAATACCTTTGTCCAGGTGTTTACACGGACTCAAACAGGTGCTGGAAGCGAGGGGTGTCCGATAGGTTGATCGCTGGTTTTGAATGGACTTACTGGTGGTGCGTGAGCCTCGCGCATCCCCAGGATACAACTGTCAGAGAACAGCAGAATTATAGAAAGAGCGAGCCGGGGAATTGAAGCCAATACAGTACCAAATTCCGCTGGCCACGTTTGTAGTGGTACATGGTCGTTAGCATGATCCCGATTATTAATTCAAAGCATCCTCGACCATCCACCATATAAACTACCTAGGTAGTGCAAACGCGTGTGCCATTAAAGTTCAAAATAATGGCTCAATGGCTCAAGCGAATTGGTGCCGGTTGTCGACACGTGTGCGTACCACGGCGTAACCAGAGTAATCTGGTACGTGTAGTAGGATATCATTATTGATTAAACCGTTATGTAAGCCGAGAGGGAGGACTTTTCGTACCAGCTAGGTTTCACCAACTAAGAAGAGTCTCGAGATGAATGACTACCGTCTAACTCCGCAACTATGGTAGCCAGATTCACTATACACTAACAAACAGTTTGCAAATGCTAGTACGAATAGTGGGTTGTGCGAACAATACCGCCATCTAGAGAAATTGCTACAAAAGTGACGTGGGGCACAAGAGCAACCGCTCCCTGAGACACACTTGCTGTACAGTAGTGGGTTTGGCAAGTAGGCGTCGCTCTATCCTGGATAGTTTCAACACGGGCAGTTCGGTCGAGCCGCTCGACATCGACTCAAGCGCCACAAATTCTCATCAGGTGTGCGTTCGGCTGTACCGAAGTACTTGAACTGTATGGCGAACGCGCGCACGCTGTTGTTGTCATTTCTGCATCGAATTGTTGTGTACACATGCGCATGCACCGCATGTCAAGCCTATCATAGCCGCTGTTTCCAGGGAAAGCGTGTAATACCAGTCTAATAATAGCAGCTGATTCCATGCGAAGCAAAGATCACGAACAGCAAACTCAATCCCCGAATACTGTACGGGGAACGGGGCCCCTTTTACAGTCCGTTAACCGCTTACAGCGAGTTATCGTTCTCCGCAGCCCAAGACGCTTCTAAAATCTGTAGCATTGCTGTCAATTGTAAAATTTGCCGTAGAGGAGTGAGTGGAAAGTCGGATTGTCGATTCAATTATAAACATTGAATTGAATTGCATTGAGTACGATATTTTTATATGACGAAACACAAAAACAAAAGCCTTCGATACTGTACGCGGTCCACCACACCGCTGCCCGCATCCAGCAAGCCGGTGGGCACTGTACGGTGTCGTTGTATTCCCCTGAGATGCTGGGAATCCCCACCACTATTCACTTATTAAATAGTGGTGGGGAATAGTGACTATTATAATACCTCACGACTTCGATGCCACGACAAACAAGCATACTAGTTAAAAAATGCCCCGACTTTGCTGTAGGCTCATTGAACAGGTTGCAGTGTAATCACAAAACGCGAAAGCAACTCAAACAATAAAGCGACTCCCATCTTAGGTCCTGTGCCTGGTATAGGAGAGTTGCAGAGATTAATGCTGGGTAACCCAGTGGCATGTGCAACCTTGTCGTACAGCAACAGTCTGCCCGAGTAAGGAACGCCTGATATATATAAAGACGCAGAATATATAAATTGATGTTAAGTTGAGTATACTTTTCCAATGTACTGATTTAGTTATTTCAAAATGAACTGAAGAGCAGCTTTACCTACGAGTCCGGAATGATTCCAACAGTGGCGTATGGTCGAAGCACTAACCTTTGACCAGGCATCCTCGCACCACAACAGCGCTGTCAACTGGTCGACCTCGTAGGGATTATCTAGCCCTTCACCAAGCCGGTCTAGAGCCTGCATCATCTTGCGGGATAGAATGTGTCGCTTAATACAATGAATGATTCCTTGGTCCTTCTCCAGCGGCCGCCCCAGCAGGACTGCACTTGACTTGATTATGCGGCATATCGTTGTCTTGCCTGGGGCGGCCGGGAGGCTGAACTCCGTCACAGCCCACTCAGCCAGGCCCCTGTAGGAGAGAGCAGGTGTGCGGGCTGCCTTGTCGAGGATGCCCACTTTCTCAGACCAAGTGAGGCGGAGACGCTTGGACGGTGTGGACTTCATGGGTGGAGTGGGGGAGGAGGTGGGCTTGTGGGGCGAGGTGCAAAAGCAAAAGTGCGAGTCTACCACTACGGTACATGTAGTTTGAAGTCTAGTAAGATCGCTAAATGCGCGCCATTTTTCAAACGAGGGTGGAGAGCTGATGATTGGCACTGGATTTTTCACCTTAGTACCTCAGTACCTTGCACATCCCCCTATCGCCACATCGACTGAAAAATAATATAAAATATGTGAGGCTATTAGTTGTACACCCGTTCCTTATACCCGTTCCTTATTCGGGCAGAATTCTGTACAGTACATGTACACGTTCTATATACCTTATGTGCTTACTGACGTTCAGTCATTACCGACAACTCTATGAGCCAATCATGGACTTTCAAATATTGTACCGTTGTAGTTTATTTTAAGTCCTTACTGACAGCATACAAATCACAAGTCACAACACAATTTATGTTTTGCAGGTCACTTTTATTCTGAGTCGTGGGATGGTGTCTTCAATAAATGTGCTTGTCATAGCACACGTAGAGGGGGTGTTGCGATTTAGGAAAGTGCATTGCTTCGTTTGGATGAGTCAAATGACAAACCAACGCCTCCTGTAGCAGCCACAACCAGTTTCCTTAAGATGGCGCCAAGTAGATTACCAGTGCTTGTCGCGGCGACTCTAGCCGCGACGTCTTCCGCCGTTGACTTTAGCGGTCAGAATGACATCACGCAGGCGTAGGGACCGTCGCCCCCGGTGAGGAAACGCAGACCGGGACGAATAGCTTCAGGGGCTCCGAGTTCCAAAACCAGTGGACGCAGACAGCGTCTTCCTCGAATAACGCGCCCCCAACAGCCTCGAGTGGAGACTGGAACCAGCCGATGACGACGGAATTCCCCTCTGTTTGGACTCCGACGAGTGGGCAGGCCAGCGGAACCGGATGTCGCCGCCAGCGTCAACGGAGACTCCGAGTGGAGACTCTAGTGGATACGCTAATCCACCGCTTAGCGTGGACTCCAGTGGGTCAAGCGAAGGTGGATGGGACGAAAGCGTGGAATGCAGCGGGTCGGACGATGATGTGGACTATGGGAGTCTCGAGTGCAGCGGGTCGGACGACGAAGAGGAATCGCAGCAGTCGGTGCCGAGTTCGACTGGGGGATCTGAGAACTCCACTCCCTCGACGACAACAACGCCGACGCTGACCTCTAGCGGAGAAACCGATCAGGAATCATTTCAGCCGCCCTCGATAGCTTCTTCATCGGATACATCCACCTCCATGGCCTCTGGTACTGTCGAAAACTCCAGCCCGGCGACAACCACATCGAGTCAAACTGGAGCCGAGGAGGATTCGTCGCAGGCAATGCAAAATTCGTCCAAAACTTCCTCGTACGAGAGTGCGTCGTCGTTATGGCGCCAGAGCAAGACAACCCGGCGCAAACGTCTTCTAACAGTACCTCAAGCGCTAAGCACGCCCCATTCGGAGCCATCAAGTCCAAGTCGGGTGAGTGTGTCGTGGGCGACCCGGACAGCTACATCAGCACGAAGGACCTCCAGTGGAATTGGGACAACCGCATGAAGGCGGAGGTGGAGCCCTACGACAACTGGTCATGGACCACATCGTGGCCAACAAGGGCACGCTCAACTACTGCATCCGCTGGGACAGCAAGGAGACGAAGCTCAGCAAGGCTCAAGCCAGCAAGTTCCAAGCCATGCTGACCCGCCAGTACAATCTGTGGAACCGCTGGCTTATTGGCTACGACTGCTGGTCGTACGACGAAGTCAAGATCAACATCGTTGGCTGGGCTGCTCGTGAAGCCTCCAACCTGGAGTGGTCGGACGACTCGCTTGGCAAGATCTACATCGGCGACCTTGACGATAAGGGAGCCCCGCAGTGCCCCGAGAGCTGCTACCGCTCGGTCGATGGCTCGTCGCCCGGAGGTAGTGGTTGCGACGGTAAGCCGTACGATGCCTACCTCCAGCCGACACAGGGGCTGGGTGGCGGCTGGGGAACCTACAACTTCCAGCAGGTGGACCTCGAAGACATGATGGCGCACATCGACGACGACCAGCTTACGATCGTCGCCCACGAGATTGGCCACAGCTTCGGACTGCCGGACTTTTACCAGCAGCCGAAGCCTGCCAACTTCAAGCCGTGCCTCATGGACGCGCTCACTTCAAACGCTATGCGCGACACGGACGGCTGGATGGTGCGCCGAGTGCTCGAGAACAAGAAATCCAAGTACAATTTTTAACTGCAATCACGTCTTCATGGGGAAAGGTGGTAATGCGGAGTAAGCTTTTTACGGTTTTTGCAAGCAATTTTTTCTTTGTCGCTGTTATTGTGAAAACCGCTTCTTTTGCCTATTTTGGTTGTAAATCTATCGCTTAGCAGCCTGATTTAGCTCGATCGATTTGTAAATCGATCGCGTCCCTGCTAAGCATATGTGAGTGGGTGTACAGATTAGACGAACGATTCAGTCAATATAGACGCGTTTGGAGCAGAATGTCCACCTTGTACTGGGCAATCGTGCAGCCTGGCGATGTATATGGATCACAAATTGTGATTCACAATGGATTTAAACCCTGATGTGTACTCTGATTAACCCTTTGAGTACCACCCGCTTGGTAGTGACACTATATTGCGTTTTAGGGTAGCCAATAGGATATCTAGAAACCCCGTTTATATGACCAATCACGCACAGCTCTCTGCGCTTCCAGATCAAGGTAAAAAGAGGCTTCGAGTGCCAAAATGTCGGATAAAACGTTGACACCTGATTCACGCTGTGCAAAAATAGTCTGGCTTTCTTTCTCCCCCTACAGACTTTCACTCGCCATGGATGTACGATACTGCCACTACTGCCGCGCGATACCGTGCGATTGGGAGACGTACGGCAGCGAGCTCGTTGATAGTCTAAGGCGCCTACTCGACACGTACAAAAAAATCCCGCACCCTCACAACGTCAGCAAGGCGCTCTATCAAGTCTACTACTACCTGAAGCATGGTCGGCTAGACCCAGAACCAAGCTACAGCATCCCCGCCTGCATCAATATCAAACTACAAGAAGGTACATACATGTAGTATTGCTGTCGGTTGGATACATGTAACTTGACGAGTTTGTGATATGTAGCTATCCAGGCTCAGGGTGAAGACAAGCTAGTTCTCTGATAGTGGTGGGCTGTATGAATATGGGCTGACAGCGCTACGCTACAAGTTGATGTGGCTTATTTCGATATATTCGAACATTCTAATCACCAACATTCTTCGTGTTCTCACCGATTATCGTTCTACCTGTAGATGCATTCGCCAGTTTGATCGTGATTGGGATCGGCATTCTGTAAGTTTGCGCTGTTGATGACTGCTCTTATGTCTATATGGTATTCTACTACATCAAAGTACATTTCTATTAAGTGGATCGTGAAGCTTTTCCAATGTTCAGGATATCAGCCAAACGGGCGGTGGGTCGAACTAGGCACTTGGAATTGCACAGCCCTCGGCAGTTCGTGCGATGGCATCTGCATGTACCCCGGCGTCTCCAACACTTCCTCCACCCTGTTGACTTCGTCAGAGCCAGTGTTCGAATTGTACAGCGTCTCTCGTTGGATTGATCTCCCGGACAAGACTGACGAGACGCCGTCCACGATTATTGTTCGGCACGGAGACGTAACGGAGGTGCGGCTGCTGCTGAGTCACCACTCGCTCGTGGCCACTCCTGCTCGGTGCTGCTAGTGTTGTTTCTTACCAAGTTAATAACTCTTAATAACTGGTATTAGTAATTTTAGGCATTTAATAACGATGGTATTACCTTTGTGTATCATTTGTGTATCGTAATACTTAAATATTGTCTTAAGCATTTTAACTTCTGGAAGAGCAAGCTTTTGCTCATATCAGCTTCCCACACAATGCTAGCCTGCACGCGCGCGGTGCGTTCTCCGGTCCCAGGCTGGAATCTCTCCCCTAAATCTACGCGTCGCTCGGCACCAGCTCGTTGCTCGGTCAGGACGTGAACGGCGCCGGCGCCACGCTGGCCACGGGGCTCGCAAAAATAGGCCCAAGGTGCTCTACGACGCGTACATCGCCCCACATTCAAGCTGATCAGCAACGGCTCCGCAACGCAGTAGTCAAACGCCCGCTGGATGTCATCAAGGAAGCCATCGTGTACCTGCACTTCTGCTTTTCGGCCCGAGACGATGGACTGCGACAAGGCCACTCAGACTGCTTACAGAAGATCTCTTCACGCGCCATGCTAGTGGACATGACGGAGACCGAAACCATGACGCTCGGCCTGGCCCTCGCGGACCCCATGTATACGTCGACGGGCGACCTGCAGGTCAACGGCTCGTTCACCAAGGACCTGCGCTTCTTCAGTGGCCAGAAGTCAGCCATGCACGCGCTCCGTGCCGCCGGTGTTGGCGTCTACATCATCGGCGCGTCACCCGAGTTGTACACCGTTGCGGCCGGCAGTTACTTCGGACTAGGCGACATGGTGCCCAAGGAGAACAGGTGCGGCGTGCGCTTCACGACGGACGAGGCCGATGCTTCACTGCTGAGCGACAGGACCTGCGAGTTCTTTGGCACTACGGTGTCCGGCACCAACAACACCTATCTCCTGCAGGGCGGGCCTAGCCGTCAGTACGTGGACCACGTCACGTGCCTGCTGGCCGAGGGATTCATCAAAAATAAAGTAAGTGCCGCTGGGAGAGCGTGTAGCTGGATATGGTGGATCTCATGAGTTTGTGTGTTGTGCTGCAGATTCGCAAGAGAGGGAAGGGCTTGAAGAGTATCATATACATCGCCGAGGTGGCCATTATGCTGTTACATGAACGAACAGCTCGCTGGTAAGGGTTGGACGAGGCCTAAATGTTGCGCTACAAGCGTTGATGTTACATTATTACTGCATTCTTAACCAAATATGACGCTTCTTTTTTTGTGGGAGTGCTAGTGCGCGTTCTGCTGTACCAATATGCGCCGTTGCGCTGGCAGCTCAGTGACAGAAGTTCAAGTTGAGGTCATCTCGTAGAAGGGCAACCTGTTTCGGCGGGTACTGCACGATGCACTGAATATGTGAGCTAACTGATGTGAAGCTCTACGATTATAAGAAGAGCAAGAAGAGCTGGCGTTTGCATTATTTGAACTCGGATTAGTCAGGGCAAAAGCGGTTTAGCCCTCCACCTCTCCTTCACCCCTAGCAAGTTCGCCACCACTAAGGTCACCAAAGTGTTCTGCGACCGCCATGGCCACGGGTCCACACGCAGCTTCACCACGCACAAGCACAGAAAGGTTGTGTGCGCGCTGAAACAGGGTGGTGAGGCCGGCAAGAGCAAATCGAACATCCTCGGCTGCGTGCATGAGTGATCAAGGCTCGAGTAGCGCGACGACGAATATGCCGTCACGTCCGACAAGCACCATCAAGTCTACCCCTATCATGAACAACTACCCAAGTCCGCAGCAGAACCAAAACTCCTCACGAGAAAATGAAGCGGAGGAAGCTGCTAGAAATATCATCAGCCGAGGCAGCATCTAGAAGAAATTCGAAAGAGGTTGAAGCCAATGCATTGATACACATTTGCATGAGGACGACGACTCTATTTGACTAACTAGTGCATGATATGTAATCAAGAAGGCGTGAACGGAATGAAAATATGGATCGTGTTGCGCGTGAACAAAGTCAAATATGCTAATGCTCCCAGGTTGGACCAAACAGCACCCTCGGCGAGTGGTGGGTGCGTCCAGTGCTCGACTGTGGAGTTGGAGGTAGTCCACATGCTACCCCCTGAAAATACGAGACGATCGCAAGTTGGTTGACTCGGTGTTGTTGCACTTGCCGATCCGGGCGGCCTCACGACCGGTGGCACAAGCTGGCGCTCATCAGCACGCGTGAAAACGGTTCCGCTGCTTGTTGACTGCGTAAGTGCGACCGACTGCGTAGGAGCGACCGACTGCGTAAGAGCGACCGCAGCCTCGTCACTGCATACTGTGCTGGTATTCGTCGCTTGGTCGGGTAGCGGGTTGGCTAGCGCAGGCGAAAATAGTGTTCTTCGAGCTAGCGGGGGTGGGACAGCTTCACGTTGGTCGGTCTGCGAGGGCGTGAAGAATCGTGATCGGTGCGCCGTATTAGACCGACTACCGCGCATGCGACTGGAGCTGTTGGGAGCAATTGACGCAACGATGTCATCATCGCTGTAGTCGTCACTCGCGCTGCTTTCGCCCTCTTCTTCTGCATTGACTTGATAGTGCACTGCACTAGTTGCAGCCTTGTCACCCGCATTCGAGTACAAATATGCTAGCTTTTCCACGCGATCGGGTTTCAGCCGATTTCGTCGCTTGGTGCGGATGAAGGAGTGAACACTCCACGAGCGCTCACTCGCAGCGGACGACGTCGGGATGCTCAAAACGCGGGTAGCCAAAACATGTAGGAGCGGAAACTTGTTAACCTTGACCAGCCACCAGTCTAATGGCGTGTCCCTCGCGTTTTTTTCGTGGTCTTCGGCTGTCCAGGACTTCTTCACGCGAATAAAAGCCATGACAGCTCGGCGAACCGCATTTGGAGATACGTTGGAGGGTAGACCAACTCGTGTAGCTAGATCTACGCATGCATCGACTGCATTGTCCAAATCATCACCTTCAAAGTCGTCCGTAGACTTAGTTGGGTCCAGTAAAAATGCAGCGAGGATTGATTCGCGCTTGAGGAAGTTCCAGCGGGAGCTAATCTGGCCTCGGATCGTGTTAAGAATACCAGAAGCAACATCATCAGTTTCGCGGTTGTAGATGACGTGGGTTTTCAGTCCACGAAAGTATTCATACACCATCGAAAGGCAACACCCATCCTTTTCGAGAGCGCCGAGAGCTTGGATTATCGGGTTCGTCAGTCGCATTACGGCTCTGGCATTCACCCAAAACATGCTATCAGCCAAAATGGACTCGACGCGATTGAGTTTGGCAGCAGCATCTCCGTAACGAGCCAGAAATTCATGGTTGGAAAACAACTCACGCAGCACATCTTCGTTCCTCACGACACTGGAAATACAATTTGTGCTCGAGTACCACAGCGTCGAAACAGGGATGATTAGCGCGCGTCGTCGCTGCCGGGTACCAAGATACTTGCGTTGCAGAGCCCGAAAGCGATAAAGAAGCGCTGCACGTTTACGCACAAATTTGGTAACTAGGACGGCTTTCTTGAAGACGTCACTCATGAGCTCCATCCCGAACATGTCTTTGAGTAGAAGATTGATCATGTGTGCCGCGCAGCCGTTACACGTTAGACTTGGTATCTTGGCCATTAGAAGCTCCCATGACTTACGCCTGTTAGACGCGTTGTCCGTCACAACAGCGCATACGGATCCTTTTCCGACGACATTTTCAACAGCTTGAATCAACTTGTTCAACTCTGACGCCATGAACTCCCCTGTATGTTGTTTGTCGGCGCAGCGCTCCGATGACCAAAATATGGGTCGGATAAATGGAGACGTCACCATAAAGTTGATAATGGACTCGCTGTTGGGATCGGACCATCCGTCGCATACAATGGCAACGTACTGCTGCTCCCTCAGCACCTCCATAACGCTGACAACTTCCTCCGCGTACGCGCTATCAAGCAGTGAGGTCGCCAAATCTTGGCGTGAAGGGAGCGTCATTCCGGGCCGGTACTTCGTCAGGATACACCTCATGGCTCCATTTTCGATGACTCGAAACAGAATGCCGCAGGCATAGAACGCTTTGGCAATCTGAAGATGGAACTCCTTTTCAGTCACTGAGACCGGTCCTAGCACACTCGTAGCCATTTCAGGCCGCGAACGCTTGGATGGACTGTGGGGCCTATCGGAAGTGTCGGGACGATCTCGCTTGGAGGGTGTTACTGGGTAATTAGCCCGGACGTCCGCTGGGGCGCAGGGACAGCTGCGAATGTGTGGGCGGAGGTTTTTCTTGGGCTGGGCATTCTTGATGAGCTTGGAGCAGTGCGTGCACGTCACGTCGGGGTGCTGCTTCTTCGGGTTGGCCCAACGTGGCACAACCACAATGTACTCGGTCCACACGCCAACTGAAGGGCGACCAAGGCCAGACCCTTCACTGCTAGCCCGGTCCTCGTTGCGGTGGCCGTTTTGGTCCATGGAGCTTGCAGGCTCTACAGGAGCAAGTTTGCGAATGCAGCGACGAGAATAGGCCCCGTGCGCGAGCTGCCTGCCACGTGGAGCATACGCAGATTCATGTCGGTAGACCTCCACGTACGTTGACAACTTCACGAAACGCGTTGACCGAATATTTCTGCCACACCAACTATACACATGAGGTATTACCGTTAGCAGATCGAATATTTCTGCCACACCAACTATACATAAAAGTTATTGACGTTAATAAATGGAAAGTACGAAGGTAATAACGGTAACTGGTAATATCTGGATGAGGATTTGACCAACTCTAGACACAACTACTGTATCCTTGGGGCATGGTTGAGAGAGTTACCCGTGTTGTGAGAAGTTGGCTACGAATCGATCATTCGCGACGGCCCGTAGCCCACAGCATCGCGCCAATTAGATAGTTAAGCTAGTTACTTCCAGAATACCAAGATCAAATTGGCGACTTTCGTGATTGCTACAGTGTAGCGGTCGAATTCATCTCCCACATAACAAAACGTTATAACTTCTTTACTTTAAACGATATCAATATTATTTTTCTATTGGGTATAGAGAAGAAATTTCGTATAGTACCGGTTAGTTTTTGTCGGCAAGGCTGCAGCAGTTCTGACACTCTGTGCCCAGTCAAATCGACTGTTCTGAAACAGGCCACTTATCTTGCTCGGCTTGTTGAGCAAGTCATATAGCTACGCTGCGTCGGTCCTACTTCGAGTCGCTGCAACTCTAACACCCTCTGGTCGACAGCGATACTCAACCGCTGCACCCGATCGTCCGCCACAGTGCGTTCGACCGAATTTATTAGGGGGGTATGCAAACCTCTTCTACCACGCAAGTTACTGTCAACCTCTAGTCAGCACTAACCTACGATCCCGTCTCGTGTTCCACGCAGGGTTCCCAGCTCCGGCCAGTCACTCAGTCAGCGCTTCCGTCAAATCCTCCTCGGTCTCGTCCTTGTAGAGCTTGCGCTCTGTCGCGTACGTGTCCGTGGACCCGCTCGTCTTGCCCTCGTCCGCGTGCGCGTCCGAGTCTGTTGCCTGCTGCTGCTTCGGCAGCAAAATCCGTTGTGTGTGGCCTCCTCTCGCTGCCGCAGCCCGCTGCTCCGTCCTTCAATGTCGACTCAATAGGAGTCACCAACTGCAGCTCGCTCGAGCTGCTTATTGTGCCACTCTTGGACGCGTGGACCACACAGAATCCGCCCTCCGCCACCGTCACGACCTCGAGGACCGCCCCCGTACTGCCTATCGTGGACCTGCTGTCGTGCTCCTTAGCCAGCGGCTTCGTGTCGCCGTCCGTCACCACCTCCAGCGTCTCGTAGGTATCCACCACCGCTGCTGTTTGCCTCATGGGGTCCATCTGCCCGGGCCCCCTGTTACAGCTCCATCCAAAATCAACCAGCAAATGGTGTGGGTGACCCATTGGGTCCCGCTAAGGACCTGGACAGATGTATTGAATGAAGTATATTCATGCGCAGGCGAATACAGCAGCTCGTGCGGTTGTTGTATCGCGGCTTGGCCATGCCCTCTCACCTTGAGGTATCACGTAGACTGCATCAAATACCCATAGCCTCACCACAGCGTGTCTGCGTCTTGCGTCTTTACATCGCCAAGAAAATCTTCATTCTGCATTCATCCACGATGGCCCCAAGTCTTATTTCCAGCGTCTCCGCTACCGTCCCCACAACCGCTATGGTTGCCACGTCCACTGAGGCCGCGCCATCCGTGAACAGCACTGCTGCACACGCTCCCTTCGGGGTAAAGTCCAAGCCTGGTGAGTGTGTTGTCGGCGACCCAGACACGCACATCAGCCCCAAGGATCTCCAGTGGATTTAGGACAACCGCATGAAGGCGGAGGTGGAGCCTTACGACAACTGGATCATGGACCACATCGTAGCTAACAAGGGCACGCTCAACTACTGCGTTCGCTGGGACAGCAAGAAGACCAATCTCAGCAAGGCTCAAGCCGCCAAGTTCGAAGCAATGCTCACCCGCCAGTATGCTCTGTAGAAATGCTGGCTTATTGGCTACGACTGCTGGTCGTACGACGAAGTCAAGATCAACATCGTTGGCTGGGCTGCTAGAAAGGCCACTGACCTCGAGTGGTTGGACGATTCGCTCGGCAAGATCTACATCGGTAAAGCCGGTGGCGCGGTCGAGTGGGTTAAGCTTCTGGCCCTTACGCTATGGACCGAGGGTTCGAGCCCCACAGCGGACATTAGTTTCTCCGATCGAGAAGTGTATAGAACCCCCGTAGAGGAACGTCCCTCATGGCCCAGGCGGTTAGGGCACCCTGACACTAAGGGGAAATAAACGTAGAGAACAGCTGGCTTATAGGAAGGACGGTTTCACTTTAGAAAGTAACAGCAAGGACCTCGGCGGTACGAGAAATGCCCGTATCCACAGACCCCAGATGGGTTAGGGGGAGGAATAATTGGCCTATCAGAAACAAAATCCATCCTGGAAAAGCCACTTGCTTACGAAGAAGTGTAGGTAAAGGTACGCGCTAAGAAATCCCCGCACTGTGACACATAATGAGGCCCGACCGTCCCCACAAGGGAAAATACAAACTTTATTGGCCTATCAGAAAAGATCTACATCGGCGATCTCGACAAGGACGGAACCCCGCAGTGCCCCGAAAGCTGCTACCGATCGGTCGATAATTCTGCGGCGAGTTATTGGGACTCCAGTAACTGCGATGGCAAGCCGTTTGATGTCTATCTCCAGCCGACGCATGGATTGGGCGGTGGTTGGGGAGCCGGCAATTTCCAGCAGGTGGACCTCGAAGACATGATGCCGACCATTGACGACGACCAGCTTACGATCGTCGCCCACGAGATTGGACACAACTACGGTCTGCCAGACTTTTACCAGCAGCCGAAGCCTCCCAACTTCAAGCCGTGCCTCATGGACGCGCTCACTTCAAACACTATGCGAGACACGGGCGGCTGGATGGTGCGCCGTGTGCTCGAGTACAAGAAGTCCAACTACGACATCTAACTTTGTGGTTTGCTTTGTCCAAAAGACCAGTCAGGGTCTTTGTTTGTCGTTAATAGATCAATTGATGTTTACCTTGCACGTTCTTCCTAAAGGGGGCCTCACAAATATTTTTTGACAAAAAAGTTGAAATATAAAATCAACGCGCTCTCCTGAAGGTGAACATCTACTGACTGTGTTCGTTATGAACAACGAACATGGTCTTTGTGTGCTTTTCTTCATGTAGTTTCTAGACGTAGCGCGAGTCAGGGCCAATCCACATGCTTACAAGTGATAGTTGGGCTTCTTGTTTCCGAGCACACGGCGAACCATCCAGCCGTCCGTGTCTTTGATCGTGGGTGTTGAGAGCGCATCCATGAGGCACAGCTTGAAGTTAAGAGGCTGGGGCTCCTCATAGAAGTCCGGTAGCCCAAAGCCGTGACCCATATCGTGCGATACAATGGTAAGCTCGTCGGTATCGAGGTGCGCCACCATGTCGTCAAGGTCCACCTGCTGGAAGTTATAGATTCCCCAGCCGCCACCCAGATTCTGCGTAGCCCACAGAGAGATGTCGAAAGGCTTGCCATCGCAGCTGCTGTACACCGACCAGCCACCGGGAGAGCCGTCCACCGAGCGGTAGCGGTTGTCGTGGCACTGCGGAGAGCCCTTATCAACAAGGTCGCCGATGTAGATCTTGCCGAGCGAATCGTCCAACCACTCGAGGTCAGTGGCCTGTCTAGCAGCCCAGCCAACGATGTTGATCTTGACTTCGTCGTAGCGACGAAGTCAAGATCAACATCGTTGGCTGGGTCTTCTTGCTGTCCCAGCGAACGCAGTAGTTGAGCGTGCCCTTGTTAGCTACGATGTGGTCCATGATCCAGTTGTCGTAAGGCTCCACCTCCGCCTTCTTGCGTTTGTTCCAAATCCACTGGAGATCCTTGGGACTGATGTAAGGCTTGGACTTGATAAATGGGTGCCCAACGTACGAACGGCAAAATTTATGCTGGAAGTACAGCGTAGGCAGCTCGGTGCTGTTTTGCTCTGTTAAAGCACAGTACAGACGACATGGCACAACGTGGTACATGGAAGCACATCGAAGACAAAACAATTGATAACTGACCTGGTCGCCTCCGATAATACCGAGTACCGGTATTCTCTTACATCAACCAAACGCTCTTCGTGCGCCACAAGTTTCTTCGTCGGTTGTCATCTGACGTGTGTCGGCGACGGAACAGCGAATGTTGTCAGATTCTCAATCCCAACGTTAGATTTCACTACATGGATAGGAAGAGAACTCCATTGAGTCAACTACTACCCTCGTGTTGGTCGAAGGCAGCATTCACCAGATTCCAAATTTTGACCGGTCGCGGAGAAGTGTCAGAGGACGCCTCCAAGGATTTCCGGCCCTTGGCCTTCCTGGGAGGAATCCTCCCTCGGGATCACAGGAAGGAGCAAGACGACAGCAATGGCATCTTCAAGGTGGCCAGGGTCGACGAAGGGTGTCGACCTCGTGGCACAACAGGCTGATCAAGACGGTAGGCAAAACAGAAACGAAAAGCAGGGTGTATTGGTGACGACGAAGCGCGAGACGGCGGAAAGTATGATGGAGCACACAGCACTTCTTAACAGAGGAAGCAGGAGTATACAAACTCCAAGTGAACAGCCGTTCACGTGTCCTTGGTCTGAAGGGGACGACTTGACTTGAAAAGCGGTAGATCTAAGACTGAATGTATTTATAGGTTGGTACAGATTTGGCCTGCATACAAATCCTAAGTTCCCTATAGTTTGTGTCATACAAAACGTATCTGTTGGCTCTGAGGCCACTTGGGTCACTATCCAGGGGAGTGACCGATGTAGCCATCCCGGAATAGTGACAGGGTCACTATTCCATGTAACCCCGTTACAGAAAGAGTGCAGACTGCTGGCCACGCGATCTTGTAAGGCTATCGTGGCGTCAGGATCGAATTCCGACGAGCGCGGCGCAGAGGTGACCGCTGGATTGACGAAGAGCGAGACGGAAGAGAAGGACAAGAGGGAACAAAGGTGAACAACGTGTTGGAGGGACGCGTAGAGGTGGTGGACTCCGGACCGACGAAGCGCGAAAAGGAGGGGTTGCATATCTTTTTTAGCAATTGCATATCGTAGGTGTATATCTGGGTCGAATGCCCTAGTGGCATTTGGTTGGTGTATACCCGTGTGTTTGGGCTACTACCGCGGGCGGAGGCCCGTGATCCGTAGGCGAAGCTGCAGCAGTGCGCGGCATCGGGTGTAGTTAGCCGTCTAAACCGCAACAAATTCAAATTCAAAAGCATTCACCACTGTTGACCCTACTTGGGGGATACTACGTCGCCAGAGCTACTGTACTTATCAGCAACATGGGTAGTGCATGACGCTGTATTCCTGACGACACCAATGGTCTCTACATTTCTGAACGAATATTTGTAGAACTAAAAGATTTTACCAAATACTCCCCATACTAGTATTTATTAGATCCCCAACAAAATGGTCGTTGGTAGCATGAGAGTTGATATACATATGGGTGAGGCCTCTACTAGTTATCGACCGCATTGCACAGTAGTGTACTAGCGGATCTAGCGAGATAGTATAAAACGTATGCGCTTATCGTAAATCTTAGGCAATACATCTCATATTTTTCAGTGGCACAGAACGTACTGTACAGTAAAATTTTAGTAAATCGATGCTATTGCCTAGTGTATTCAAGCCACCGATCCTTTACACGAAAAGACGTGTGCTATGATAGCCATGTCGTCATGACCGTCTGCAGAGCGACGATAGAATTGTAGCGGGGGAAAGCGGAACGAAATGATCCGCTTACGAGCAAATGTCGTGGGTCGTCTCGACGGGATTCATCCGACTCTCCTTTGCTTAACTTTAAGTAACAGATCGAGGGTGAAACAGGCGTGCGCTTTAACGTAAACTGCTTGAAAAACCAGTCCGAGACTAACGGCAAATTTATCCGGGGGGCAGTGGATTCTAGCATAGATCATTTTTTATTAATATTGTCAGACAAGCTGGATGTGGTACATGTATGCGCAGCGTTGGAAGAGCCATTGCGTCTTGTGTTGTTGGATGAAACTGAGGCGACATGCAAACGCTTCAGTACCCCTCTTCGCCTCTCAGACACTCGCTTTCCGATACTGTAGTTTTTTATTAACCCCTCTAACCCCGTATTATGTATCCTACAGAATAAGCATTGTCACAGGACATAATATCCAGCAAACTTGTCCTCTCTTTCGAACTTCGCATATGGATGTTTGTATAGCCGGTATTGTGCACATCTTCCTGTTAGATTAGCGATGGGAAGATAAACGGGGTTTATTCCGCGGTAATAGTCGGACGAGTATAAACCACCAACAGGTTTGAAAATTCGGGTGGAAGCCTAAAACCGCCGCGTGCTAGCCACTCGTACTTTCCTTCATTCCGAAACTGCGCTGTTCAAGACGTCGCAATGCAAGCTTTGTTGGAGCCCGTCGAGCGCGCCCAAGTGGCCAAGGACCATGGCCGAAGACGATCATGATGAGCGCCATTGTGATCTACAGGTAAGCGAGAGCGTGTACTTTGCTCTGTAACATTGTACTAGTGGTATATTGATTCTACGTTGCGATGTTGATTACCAGGCCTGGTGATCCGACCCAGACGACGCTATGAGCTCTCGCGTGTGGCCCGATTGGCAGATCGATTGCGGAGTCAGCGCACAACCTCATCGGTTCCTACGAAGCCGGCTACGGCCGGGTCTACCGCTATATTGTAGCTGATGCAGTGGCTACCCAAGAGGCTACAGAAGAAGCGCTCCTCATGGTGTGGCTACACCGGAGACTACAGAAGAAGCGGTAGATGCTACGACGGATGCTACAGAAGAAGCTCTCCGCGTGATGAGGTTACACCGGAGATTACAGAAGAAGGGACAGAGGCTACGACGGAGGCTACCGATGAAAGCGGCAGGAATGGAGCGGCAGTGCCGGAGGCTACAGAGCAAAGCGGAGGCTGCCAAAATGGCGAAGATGACCCACGGCTGGCGCGAACATTGAAGAGCGTGCGCATGTAAAGGAAGCAGTAGACGTTGGCATGAATATCATATATTGTCCTGTTTCGTACAAGAGGAACCGTGTGTCGTGCGTGTCATTACGGGCTATTGAGCATGCAAGCTCCCTGGTGTTGTTAGAGAGACAATCGTAACAAGCTTGTTAGGTGGGCTAAAGAAATCTAATGATGCGCTAATGTCAAGCACAAGGAAGAATTCGCCCAGTTCCTCCTCACTACGTCAGTTAGGAACAGGGCGATTTCTTCCTCCGCGTTTATCGCGACGTGCCGAAGATGGGTGGCTGGAGCCGAAGTATGCTGCGTTAGCAGCCTTGCAAGGTATTACCATGTAGCAGGTTTTGAGCGTGCTCTACGCTCGCCACGACCAATAGAAGCTCGCCATTTCGGTATATGGTGGATACATTGAGCATGTTTTGTTCACTTTCGTTGCTGTTCTGTGGACAATGTACCCTGCGCTTCACCGCAAGATGCGAAAGGGCTTCCAACAGCAAATCTTTGACAGGTTTTGAAGTATACTTTAATCAAGTCTAATGTTTATTCTGTAGGATACAGAATAAGGTCTGGGGCTAGAAGGGTTAACCAATAAAATGTCATAACCAATAAAATGTCCATTTTGTTTCAAATCCCGAACTGAGACCAATGCCCGAGAGCCCCGCACGCCGGCGCGGGCCCAAGCCGCTGCTCTCAATGGAGCAGGAGAAGCAGCTGGCGCAGTGGGTCCTGGCGCAGCAGAGCTCAGGTCGACGAGTCTCACGTGACGACGTCATCAGCCAGGCTCGAGAAATATCACGACTGGATGAGACCCAAGAAGGAGAAGAGACGAAGCCCAGCCAATCGGTTGGCATGGGGTGGTGCAACCGCTTCGTGGCGAGGCACCCGGAGCTGAATTTACGCTCCGGAGCTGCTGCAATAGTCAAGACGAAAAGTACCGACTCAAATGATGCAACTGTAAATTTCACGTTAAGTGGTGGAACGCTAATGGATGCAGCAGTGGAAGGCCAAGAAGCTGAGAGCTTAAAGGTTTCTGAGCCTTCGGAGCAATTGGAGGGTAAAGAGGAAGACACAGAGGCTGAAGAAGCTGCTGAGCCGACCAAGACGAGGAAGTACAACCGCAATCATATGGAGGCGGCTGTGGAGATGTACTTGGCTGGGAAATCCATGAGCGAGGTGACGCAGCGCTTCCCGCTGTTGCATCAACGGACTATTCGACGTCGAGTGTTGCGGGTGCAACGGGGCGAAGTGGATCGGAGACGAGGACCACGCCCGCTGCTGGAGGGCCAACCAGAGCAGGAGTTGGTGGCATGGATTCTGGACATGCAATGTCGAGGAACGCGCGTGACCAAGAAGGACATCCTCGCGAGAGCTAATGAACAGTATCGAGCGCTGACTGGAGAGACGACCGAGGATCGACTGAAGGAAGGATGGCTGCGCAGATTCAAGGAGAGGCACCCCGTGCTGTCGGGTCGCGCTCCTACTAAAGTGCGCCAGGAGGGAGAAAACAACTCGCAGTCAAGTACAGAAAGTGAAAAGGAGTTTTCAAGTGGTGCAGACGGCGAGCTGCTAGGTAGCGCACAATCGATGGGTGGACAACAGAGAATAATGTCTGGAGGAGAAGAGAAGCAAGAGTCGCAGAAGCGTTCTGAGGCTGCTGTGAGTGGAGTTGAAGACTCAGCAGCGTCGTCGAAGAAGCAGAAGACGGAAGACGCACCCTCAACTCGAAGTCCCAGAGCTGTAGCTGCTACGAGTCACAGTGATAGTGCTAGTGGGGTTTCAGTCTTGCCTGAGCGACGCCAAGCTGAAAAAGCTGAGAACGTGCAATCCAACAATCGGCTGGAAGAAATGCAGCGTCAGCAGCTCGAAATGCTCCAGCAACTATGCGCGTCAAACGATGTGCTGTCGCGCATTGCTGGCTCGAAGCGGGTATTCAAGAGCACCAGCACAGAATAAGCACGTGGATGGCAACCGTCTCTTTTTCGAGCTGGATAACGTCGCTTCGCGGTCGCCAAAGGATCTTGTGTGTTGCCATGAAGGGCTGTCTTCTGGTGTTGGTGTGCATCCTGGTGTGCTGTGCAGACGCCGAAACTCTGACGTCGAGCTGCATGCGAACGTGTGGCGAGTTCGAGCAGTGCTTCGTGTACAAGGACTCGGAGTTCTGCGCTGAAGTGTGCGCCCCCGGTCGGTGCAACGACGACACCGAAATGTGCACGTTGAGAGGCGTGGTGCCGTGTACGACCGAGCCGTGTTTGCCTGAAGCAGTGTGCGAGCCTCGAGTCACGTCAATGGTGACCAACTCGACCGCAGCCTCGTCTTGCGAGCTGCGTTGTCAGCTCATAAGCTCTCCAGTGTGCGGCTCCGACGGCGCCTCGTACGCCAACTCGTGCTTTCTCAAGAAGGCGCGATGCACCACTGGAAATCCCGACTTGGTGGTGGCGTCTCGAGGGATCTGCGAGCGTGAAAAGGCTCTAAACGCCAAGTACAATCCTCCACCGTCCAGCTCAGCTGATGATGCTGCAACTTGTTTGGCTGCAATCACTTGCGCGGACGTGCTGGGTCCTGTGTGTACGAGCGCAGGCACAATGCGTAACCTGTGCTACTTCAACCGCGAGAAGAAATGCAACCAGGCAACGCTGTCGATGATCCGAACTGGGTCCTGTGAAGACTCGAATGTGGTGCCTCTCTGTCCAGCGACCTGCACAGACGAGTACGACCCAGTGTGCGCGTCCAATGGCCAGCTCTATGGCAACGACTGCCTATTTCGCCAGGCCAAGTGTGCGCGACGTGACCAGCTTGCAGTCAACATCGAGCCCCGGGTGCTTTCGGAGTGTGAAGCGTAAATTGTTTTCCAATCGATATAAAGTCTTTTACTTGCTTTGTTTAATGTGTTCCGCTCTCGACTTCTCCGAGTCAAATCAGCCTACAAAACATGCTCCAAAAGGTGACAGCGTAGTCCTAGCTCGCAGTGGTCCCATTTACTGAGCTCCCTGGGCACCCATGGGGTTGTGTTGGTGCAGGTGCACCGAGTTCATATTGCCTCCGCCGTCGCCTCCGAAGCGCGGGTCGTGGCCACTGGCCAGCGGTCGGATGCCGGAGAGGGTCTTGAGCTCTGTGATGATGCGAGCGCAGAGGTTCATGTACGTGAAGGCGTTGCCGTCCAGACGCTGGAAGTCCAGCAAGTAAATGTGCTGCTGCACCTTGTACAGCTGGAGGCCGATCTTGATGCGCTGCATCTGCTGCTGCAACTTGAGCTCGTCCGGGCTCAGCACGGCGCCCCCGTTCTGGTTGTTGGGGTCTCCTACAGGCGACTGCCACCGGCACTTTACGCGGTACGGCGCCACGACCTTCCATTCAAAGTGGAGCACGAACAGCGCCTTGTATACTTCCGACATCACGTGAGCCGGCTCCTTCTTCGACTGAATGCCCAGGTACCATCGTCGCCGCTTGGGAGTGGGGGCTGCGCCGTGCCCGTCATCAAATCCAGGCATGCCATTTCCTCCGGCCGCGGACATCCGTGGTGCTTGACCTGGGATATTAATTCCTCGTCCACCAAAATTCCGAGGGTCAGGCAGCGCTGACGAGGGCGTGACCAAGGGAGATGCCGCCATAGGAAGGGGTCCTCGTCCAGGGAGCAGCAAAGTGCTAGGTTCGGGAGTCGAGAACGTCTTGGGTTTGTTATTCACCGTTCGCACATCACGCAGTTCTAGACACAGCAAATTAACAACGTTAGATTAAGAGAGCAGAAAATAAATGGCTCTATCAGGCAAAATTCAGCTGGATGAGATCCACGAGAAGCAATGGACGTACCATCAATACGGATCTTGGCGTTCTTGTGATCAAGAATAAGTTCGTACGCCACGCGGAGCGGGTGGTTTTCTCGCCTCTTGAGCAATGCTACTAGCTGGTCGTGGCCGATATTTGCGGCGTAATTCAGAGCCAAACACTGGGACAGGCACTCCTCGTCAATCTTGAAGGTTTTGTGTTCCACGATCTCCGGCGGGTGCTGCAGGTACGGGGGCAAATCAATCTGGAACCATGGGTGTTGCCTGATCTCCGGGATCGTGATGCGCTTCATGGGGTCCACCACGAGCATGCGCGGGATGAGGTCGCGCGCCATCTCGGAAAGGTGGCTGGGCAGCGAGTACATACCGCCGCGGATCTTCTTGAACAGGTTGGGGATGCTCTCGTCGTCAAACGGCAGGCTGCCGCACAGCAGCGCGTACAAAATGACGCCACAGGACCACACGTCCACTTCAGGACCAGCATATAAACTGCCGGAGATCACCTCAGGAGCTGCGTAGTTCGGGGAGCCGCACGACGTGCGCAAAAAGTCTCCGTCCTCCATGCTGTTGGACAGCCCGAAGTCTGCGATCTTGATGTTATTGTCCGCGTCCAGCAGCAAGTTCTCCGGCTTGAGGTCTCGATGCACGATGCGGTGGAAATGGCAGTACTCCACGCCCGAGATAATCTGGTGGAAAAAGTGTCTTGCCTCCTCCGGCGCCAACTAAATAACAATAAACATAAAACAAAAAAATAATGGTTAACACCTCACAACCACGACAAAACCTCAACAACAACAAAAATCCACACCCACCCGTCCTTTCGACACAATGTAGTCGAAAAGTTCTCCGCCGGCAATGTACTCGAGCACCATAAAGATGTCCGTGGGCGTGTCAATCACCTCGTACCTAGAAAAAAAATATACACCATAAAATACCGTTATTTTCCTGGATCCCCCTAATAATTTGATGCAAATGTGGTGTGCATGTACAGTCGGATGATGTGAGGGTGGCGCATCTTGCGCAGCAGCGTGATCTCGCGCCGCACCTTCTCGCTCATGTCGAGGCTGCGGATCTTGTTGCGGTTGAGGATCTTGATGGCCACCTTGTGGCCCGTGATGTCGTGCTCGGCCACTGGTTAGACACATACAAAGACGCAGATAGGTCCGTCGGCAACAAATTCACCTAAACGGGGTGGCAACAAGTGGCTGAACGCGAGTCTCTAAACGTCTCTAAACGTACGCTTGACCTTGCCGAAGGAGCCGATGCCGAGCGTCTTGCCCAGGCGGTAGTGGCCTAGCTGCACGGGGATGTCGCTCATGGTCGAGGGGGGACGGGGCGAGCGTGCGCTGGGGGCGGGCACTCGGACTCGTTACGTGCGGGTCGGTCGGCGCTAATCGGCTTCGAGTGTGGCGCAAAGAAAAACGGGTCAGGCCGGTATGTAGTGTGCGCCACACCAACGGAATTACCGGTTGTGGTACCGGTGAGACGAGGTAGAGAGGTAGAGAAGTTGGTGTGTGCTACATTGAATAGTGAGCCCTACAGTAAGTGCGAACCCACTTCAGCTCAGCACCGGAAAATATCTGGATGCATGGCTGCTTCGGCGACAAGCAGGCGTGTTACAGCTCGCTCGGGGACGCGGGAGACAACTTCAAGCCGCTAGCTAAGGCTGTCGGTTTGCGGGCAGCTACAGTATCTATCTAGCGTCAATAGCAAGCGGGCAGAGGCGTTAGCAGAAATACGCGTGTGTATCTCCGATTTGCTCGGCGCTCTTCGATCAGCGTCATCCATCCGCCCAAGGGTTTCTGCCCGTTTCGAACGGCTCGTGACTCGTGCGGTCCGTTGGTGCGTTCGGGGCTTCTTTCTCGGTGCACGAACGCCGCTCTCTCTTGTTGCAGCTGTAGCGGTGCCCATGAGTCGGCGAAGGCACCTTGGCCTTGGGGCGTTCGGCGGGGCGAGTGTCAGTGTTGAAGTACCTTGGGCCCCGCCGAAGCTCGCAATATGCTGGGAGAACGGTGTATGTCGGCGGAGGATCTCGAGATTTTCTTTATATTTTCGACGCTGGCTGTACATACGCTGCAGTACTTGTAGCTACTCATTCGTCTGTCTTCGCGGATGACTCGCGAGTTTCAGAACTCGCGTTTTCGACTTGAAAGATCTGGCAGAACGTGGCACTGGCATTGTCGAAGCGAGCGAACCCAGGTCCGGGGACGCCAGGCGTGGCCACTTGCTTGCCGGGGAGGTGCATGCATGCGTGGACACTTTCTTGTCGAGCACACTTGGCCGATCGGCTCCTCCCCGTGTGACGGCAGCCATGAGACGACTGCCGCCAGCTGAGCCCGCGCCGCGGCGGAAGTGGATTTTTAACATGAAACATCGGGCGGCTGCAATGTGTATACGAAAACAAGATCTATGGCGGGGTAACTCAGCGTACACAAAACAACGAGGAGCAAAAGGCATGTCTGCAATGCATGTTTATCGTACTCGGCAAAATATGTGTAAAGTGCTAGCGGTGAGATGCCTCTCGTCGCGAGCAGGCACCGCCGTTGCAGACGAATTTTGTGCCTCTGCCGCCCGAACGATAGACCGTTCTCGAAGCGAGCCACTTCAAGGTCGGTGGTGCCGGCCAGCATCCCACGACGAGAGCCAATATTTGTGGCGCTCCATGGCAGCGCCTGCGGCTCGCGCCACTCGGTTTCAAAGCGAGCAGCTACCGAGTGTGGGCGCTACGAGTCCTTATCTGCTGCCGCTATCAGTTGGGCTCTCTCGTCTTGCGCGGCTGGGGAGCTCCTATACTTTCAACGTTGTGGATCGCAGGCAAGGTTGGGATTGGAGTCAATAAACAGTACCGTATCGTGTTGCGACTCGCAACTTGCGAGTGTACTGTACTACGTATGAACATCGGCTCGCAGCGCATGGTCGTCACGGCTGTCGTTGGCGGCGCTCGATGCTGCTGCTGCTGTACGCGGTCGTGCCTGCGGCCACGACTATCCCCGGCTCGCTGTGTATGTCGGCGTGCGATTTCTCCGGCGTCTCACCGCGAAGACACGTTCACTCGAGCTGGCTGCCGCCTTGTAGCTGGGTTGCCACCACTCAATTCGCCAGCGGTAACGCTGCTCGACGAGCAGAAATACTATCCTATTTAACATGTATGGATACAATATGGATACAATATGTACATCGCGGTGAACCGGATAATAGGCGATGCCACTGAATCTGTGGCATGGCTTACTCTGTGCCGGAGTAATACTTACTTGCCTAGACTTCGCGGCCTGTATTCCCACCACCGGATCCTCGATGCCGTTGGGCCGATGCAGACTGCATTGCAGTTAGGCCGATGCAGACTGCATTGCAGTTGGGCCGATGCACTTGCTCGTAAAGTAAGTATTACTCCGGCACAGAGTAAGCCATGCCACAGATTCAGTGGCATCGCCTATTATCCGGTTCACCGCGATGTACATATTGTATCCATATTGTATCCATACATGTTAAATAGGATAGTATTTCTGCTCGTCGAGCAGCGTTACCGCTGGCGAATTGAGTGGTGGCAACCCAGCTACAAGGCGGCAGACAGTTCGAGTGAACGTGTCTTCGCGGTGAGACGCCGGAGAAATCGCACGCCGACATACACAGCGAGCCGGGGATAGTCGTGGCCGCAGGCACGACCGCGTACAGCAGCAGCAGCATCGAGCGCCGCCAACGACAGCCGTGACGACCATGCGCTGCGAGCCGATGTTCATACGTAGTACAGTACACTCGCAAGTTGCGAGTCGCAACACGATACGGTACTGTTTATTGACTCCAATCCCAACCTTGCCTGCGATCCACAACGTTGAAAGTATAGGAGCTCCCCAGCCGCGCAAGACGAGAGAGCCCAACTGATAGCGGCAGCAGATAAGGACTCGTAGCGCCCACACTCGGTAGCTGCTCGCTTTGAAACCGAGTGGCGCGAGCCGCAGGCGCTGCCATGGAGCGCCACAAATATTGGCTCTCGTCGTGGGATGCTGGCCGGCACCACCGACCTTGAAGTGGCTCGCTTCGAGAACGGTCTATCGTTCGGGCGGCAGAGGCACAAAATTCGTCTGCAACGGCGGTGCCTGCTCGCGACGAGAGGCATCTCACCGCTAGCACTTTACACATATTTTGCCGAGTACGATAAACATGCATTGCAGACATGCCTTTTGCTCCTCGTTGTTTTGTGTACGCTGAGTTACCCCGCCATAGATCTTGTTTTCGTATACACATTGCAGCCGCCCGATGTTTCATGTTAAAAATCCACTTCCGCCGCGGCGCGGGCTCAGCTGGCGGCAGTCGTCTCATGGCTGCCGTCACACGGGGAGGAGCCGATCGGCCAAGTGTGCTCGACAAGAAAGTGTCCACGCATGCATGCACCTCCCCGGCAAGCAAGTGGCCACGCCTGGCGTCCCCGGACCTGGGTTCGCTCGCTTCGACAATGCCAGTGCCACGTTCTGCCAGATCTTTCAAGTCGAAAACGCGAGTTCTGAAACTCGCGAGTCATCCGCGAAGACAGACGAATGAGTAGCTACAAGTACTGCAGCGTATGTACAGCCAGCGTCGAAAATATAAAGAAAATCTCGAGATCCTCCGCCGACATACACCGTTCTCCCAGCATATCGCGAGCTTCGGCGGGGCCCAAGGTACTTCAACACTGACACTCGCCCCGCCGAACGCCCCAAGGCCAAGGTGCCTTCGCCGACTCATGGGCACCGCTACAGCTGCAACAAGAGAGAGCGGCGTTCGTGCACCGAGAAAGAAGCCCCGAACGCACCAACGGACCGCACGAGTCACGAGCCGTTCGAAACGGGCAGAAACCCTTGGGCGGATGGATGACGCTGATCGAAGAGCGCCGAGCAAATCGGAGATACACACGCGTATTTCTGCTAACGCCTCTGCCCGCTTGCTATTGACGCTAGATAGATACTGTAGCTGCCCGCAAACCGACAGCCTTAGCTAGCGGCTTGAAGTTGTCTCCCGCGTCCCTGAGCGAGCTGTAACACGCCTGCTTGTCGCGCTCGCTCGCCAACGGCCGGCGACGACACATCTTTCTCGCCCCGCGCGCCAGCCGGGCTCACCACCAGCCTGTATCGCAAGTGCAATACACCGCCGATTGAAGATCGCAAATCGGCGAGAACTAACATCTACAAGACGACGGACAGCGAGCGAGCGGAGAGAATCCGCCACCGCAAAAATGCCATGGCCATCTCCACCACCCGCTTGCAAGCCATGGTCACGATGAGGTTGCCTTGCGTGCGGCGAAGTCCATCAAATTTGGTTGACCTCCTTCATGGCACGGGTGTGAATCGGGCGAAACGCCGTTTCGAGCTTCGAGCACCGCTTTCCCGCCTCATTCTAATCGCTTTCGAAGGGCTCGGGTTTCAGTATCGCAGGTCGCCTCTCTCTTTCCCACCGTCAATCCCACCTGTATTCGTCTACTTGACCTCGCAGAGCATCAAGTCTCGCAGTGCGCATCCTGGCTTTGTTTTGCGCGTGTCTGACTAGCATGGAAGAGCCAGGCCGCCGAGCTTGGGAAAAGCAGTCGACCGCACGACGCGGTCGCCACCAGCAGCTTCCCTCGCCGACGCGGGCTCTGCGCCATTATCCTTTTCGCCTTGGCTGCCGCGTCGTCCATCCGTGCCGACGCCATTGCCAACAGCACCACAGCACAGCATACAGGCGTTAGCCATCCATCCATCCATCCATCCACACAACTACAGTACAGCCAGCCATGAGTCTCAAGCGACCGCAGCACTCCATGGACGAGCTGGCCTCGCCCGAGCGCAGCAGCTCCAGCAGGACCAAAGGCAGCAAGAGCCGCCGCAGCCGCCGCACGCTGCACAGCGCCGAGTCGACGTGCTCATCATCGTCGTCGTCGTCCTCCAGCTGCTCCAGTGACGCGGGTTTGCCGCTGGCCTCGGCGCCGCGCACCGTCGAGATCATGTGGGGCGGCCGCTCGGCGCCCGGCTTCACGCTCAAGCGCAAGCGCACGGGCGCCATCCTCGTGAGCACCGTGACGCGCGAGACACAGGTGGCCACGACGCTCAAGGTCGGCAGCGAGCTCAAGCTCGTGGGCGGCTTCCCCGTGAACCGCCTCACGCTGCAGGACGTCAAGAAGGTCATGCTCATGGCCCCCAAGCCCGTGAGCCTCGTGTTCGTGAACGCAGACGACGTGGTCATTGCCAGCGTGGACGACGTGGAGGCCGACAGGAAGGACCGGCGGTCGCTGGCCTCCACGACGCTCTCCACCGCCAGCCTGCGACGCAGCGTGAGCGTGGACATGAACAGCCTCAAGCGCGACGACAGCGGCGAGGACAGCGACAGCAGCGAGGTGTCCACCGTGTCCGCCCCCGCCTTCTACAGCACGCCCAGCGAGAGCAACAAGTCCAAGAAGCGCAAAGTCTCCACGCTGCAGGTGGCGCTGGATCGCGTCAACCAGCTGCTGAACCGTCCGGTGCGGCAGGCCGGCCTGCACATCGCGGCCGGCAAGAGCATCGTCGTGTAGACATCCACTTGTTCTTCTTCAACCACCTGCCACCAAGCTCTTCAACATCACTTCAACCCGATAGAAAAGGGAAAAACAGCACAAGACGAAGCGGAGCGAGCAGCGCGCGAGCCATTAGGAAGCTCGACGCGGGCCTGCTGCTCTGCTCCCCCCCTCCTCACACCGCAGAAACTGCTCTATATGTAGTATTTATTCCAGCACATGCGACCGCCGACCGAGATGCCAGGGTCGACGCGAAGAGAAAAATACACATCTGAAATTGGCCATGTGCTCAATCAACACTTTTGTGTCGCTAATGAAAGTTTCTAACGCGTAGGTACCTACCAATCTGTTTAACAAGAGCTTACCTATAACTTGAGTCTCCTGGGGAAGTTGCTGTACGCGCCGGCAGCGATGCGCAGCGTGTGCTTGAAGTCCTCCTTGTCGATGCTGCCTCGGCCTGACCGGTCGGTGTACTGGAAGCAGCGGTCCAAGTCGTTGCGGAACGAGTGCGAATGCTTCCCGCTATGCTGGAACGGAGTGAGCTCGGCAATGTCCTCGAGTGTCAACAGACCGTCCTTGTCTTGGTCCACCATGTCGAACACTTGGTTGGCGCACTGGGCGAACACGTCGGGCTGCTGCGTTTGAAGCTGCGGCCAGTCCAACAAGGCGGCGCAAAACTCGTCGAGAGACAACAAGCCGTCGCCATCCAGGTCCAGGTTGCGCAAGAAGCCGATGGCTTCGCCTCGAGTCAGACGGTAGCCTCCGCTAGTCACATACGCTGCGAATTCCTCGAGTCCGACGCTTTCGCTGCCATCACGAGACACCTCGCTGAACAGCACCACCACGTCCTGCTTTGTTGCCAGTGGCAGCAGCCGAGTCACCTCGTTCAGTACAGCGTGCTGCAGACTGTTGAGTGATCTGTAAAGCTGCAGCCTCTGGACTAGTGTCCCGTTCAGCACTGGCCCTGCAATGCCCTTGGTGGCTTCCTTGGCAGCAGCAGAAGCCGTCGTCAGCGCTCCAGGGGAGAGAGGGGCGCTGGGTCGAAGCCACGGATGTTTGAGAGCCTGCTCGGCTGTAAGGCGTTTAGAGACGTCGCGCTCGAGAAGTTGCCGAACCAGGTCCTTGGCTTCGTCGGAGATACCGGTCCACGGCGGACTTTCGAGGTCGATTTCTTCGTGTAAAATACGCTCGTCAAGCAACGCTCCGGACTCGAAGGGGAAGCGTCCACTTAGCAGACGATACAAAATCACTCCACAACTCCAGAGGTCTGACGGGTAGGCGTATTTGTGCTTGAGAACCTCCGGCGCCGTGTACAGCGGCGTGCCGTGCACCTCGTGCAGGAATTCTCCATCCTCCAAGAAGGCAGCTCCACCGAAATCAGTCAGCTTGAGCGGACTGTCCTCTTTCGTGTCGGCAAACATAAAGTTCTCGAGCTTCAGGTCTCTGTGCAAAATACGCAGCAAGTGGCACTGCCAGACCACGTGCAGGATGTCCCTCATGTACATTTTCGCCCGCTCTTCCTGCTTTGGGTTTGCAGTCAGATCCAGCTCCTTCTCTCTGGACAACCTTGCCGATGCGTCTCCGCCCACACAACGCTCCATCACCAGGTACACATTCTCGTCATCCTCGTACGCTCCGAAGAAATGCACAACGTTCAGCGTGCCACCCAGCAGCACCATCGTGCGCCCTTCCTGTTTCAGCGCCGCATAGTCCTTGCGGCTCACCACTCGAGACTTGGACACGATCTTCACCGCCAAATCCAACTGCAGTTCACTACCACGCGAGGTCTCCTGCTGCATCGGTAACGCGCAATATACTTCTCCAAAGGCCCCCTCACCGAGTTTATCTCCAAGCTTGTACTTCTCGAGGAAGTTCCTTGGCAGATTGAACTCGAGCTCTTCCGGCTTCGTAAAGAAGCTCGCGGCCTCAAGCGCCACGTGCTGAAGCTTCGGGTACGACGCTAGCTTGTCCATGTATCCTCTCCAGCTCTTACGGATGCAGCCGTAGTGGATCCCCAGCGGCTTTCGGGACGAGGAGACTTGGCTGCTGTGGTTCACGAACGCCGAGGCACCAGGCGTCACCGCTGCGTCTGCCTGTTGCTGAGGCGGGTGCTGGTCCGGTGCGACCAAGAAGCAGCGGCGTTGGTTGCTGGAGGAGTCGGGACGCGCGCGGACGAGGGGCGTTGAGCGACGCAAGGCGGAGGGTATCGCCTTCATGCTTGATTCGGGGATATCACGACTTCTAGAGGTCGGACGACGGCGAGAAAAGCATGTACGAATGCGCGTGAGTGAGGCGAACGAGGTGGTGCGCAGCAGATCTACAGCGAGGGCCTGCGCGAAGCAGGAGCAGACGTAGCGCGAGCCGCAGTCGCGCTATTCGTAGCGATCGTCCCGCTGACTAGGTGGCGGCCGTTTCATACCACCGAGAAGCTCCCAAGCGAAGCCATGTCTCACGGCCACACAAACGGTACGCAAGCTGAGGTACCGAAAAGATGGTACGCTCCAGTTTAACGGCGACGTCACGCAAGCACTGTCGTCAGCGGTGCTCTTGACACGTTTGCATGATGATGCGAGTTGATTGAACTCCAACTTGGAGGCGACACACACACATCAAGCGGACGGTGCGAGCTGGCGTGTGGAAGTCCTCAAGGTAGTTGATGGATGGGGTAAAAGGCTCACTACACGCTTAAATTGAATGGCTGTCGATAACATCGGCAGCTGCGGCCTCACCCGCAGGCGGTGGCACCTCCGCCCTCCTATCTGCCGGCGAGGGTGACTTGTCCTTCTGGAGACGCAGCACGCTGCCGGACAGAAGCCGACTCGCCGGCGACAGCAAGAACAGGATCGAGTGCGACAGCACAGCGGAGTCGTCGTGGATCTCGACGTTTGCTTCGTCCCCAGGTTGCCGCGGCGGCAGCAAAACGCAGTTTACCTGCACGTTGCGCGGCTGAAGCTTTGTAGCGAGGGACTTTACCAACGGCTCAATGGCGGCGTCATCTTTAGCAGACGCAATATTCACAATGGTCCCGCTGCTGGGGGCCAGCCAGCCGTCCTCACCACCGTCCGGAAAGCAGCTCGTGGACATGGACTCGGTGAGAGCTTCAACAAGGGCTCTACAACGCACACCAATAGCATACACATCAGCATCATTGGTGCGAATGATAAAACCTGGAAAAAGATACACGGGACGTACGCGCTCGAGGCGATGGGCTCGCTTTTCGTAGCATCTTCAGCAGCGTCTTCGGGCTGCTCCTGAGTCTCAGCAAGCGTCTTCACCACCTCGGTACCGGCGAAGTTAATCAGGAAATCGACGCGCTGGTATTTGGAAGCGATAGAGCTGCACCACTCAGCAACATCCTTTTGTGTCCGGAACGACCCCAGCACGGGCAACATCACACCACGAGTTGTGTCTTCGCCCTCGGAGGGGAAGCGAGCGATATGCTTGGTATTGAAATCGTCCAGCGCCGTCATATTCCTGCACGATTCAGCGCCAAAGTGAGCAAAGACACCTCTTGCATATCAACACCAGCATGAAGCAGCACTTACGTAAAGGTGAGCAGTACGCTCGCCCCCAAAACCCACAATTGCGTCGCTAGAGACGCCACAGACTTGTTGTCGCCTCCGGTGACCACCACCTATCACGATTACAGCACATCACAGCAAGCGTGTCAGCATATCGTTTTGAGCAGGACGGTAGCTTCTGTCTAAAACGTACCAGCTTGTTGTAAAAGACTGTCTGCCATTGTGCAGACATCGCGGCGTCTTGATACAGCATGTGTGAAGCCAAGCCGTCCACACCAACAGCCGCTCCATCGTGAGGAACCGCTCCATTCGCACGCAACATGATCATCCCACCGGCCGAATACGCCGACGCCGCCATTGCAGCTGCATCCTTTTCACCCGCGGGAGGGGTAGTCGCAAGCTTTGCGCGCTTGCGGCTGCCCTCCAGGTCCTCCCGCACGTTCATATAGTCGCCCAGAGCGCGTTTCTGGAGCTCGGTATGGTCCGCTGCAGTCGGACGGACAGGAGCGCCCACATTCTGCAGCTGGTTATACAGTCCGTTGTTGATCTCCGTGCGCGCATTGCAGCGGCCCTCGCGCAGGTTCTGCAGGAAGATCTGCACCGCCAGGTCTCCTTCGGCCTCGCGTTTGTACTTGAGCAGCCGCATGAACTCCGGGTGTTTGCTCATCAGGTGGTTCTCGATGCGGCCGCGGCGGCAGTTGAGGCGGCTCCAGACCTTGGTCAGCTCGCGCTTGGACGACGGGTCGTCGCACAGCATGCAGACGATCACCTCCTTCTGCTTGTCGGCGCCCGCGGCAGCTGCAGCGGCGACGGCAGCGGCCGCCGTGGCCCCTCCAGCCGTGCGAACGGCCTTGATCACTCGGCCGTCCATCTCCGTCTCGGGCAGCGACCGCTCGACGATCGGCAGCGAGTGCAGCCAGCGCTTCTGGAAGGTGAAGACGCGCTTGCGGGACCCGGCGCCGGCCGCGGCCTTGGGCGTCTGCTGTTGGATGGAGGCCGCGGCTGCAGCCACCGCTGCGTCAGCAGCTTCGGCGACCACTTGCGCAGACGAATCGTGCATGGCGGGGGCGGAGAAGGAAGATGCCGAGGTGGGGGAGCCCGTGGCGCCGACCACCTTGTCCGTCATGACTTAGGGGTGCTTTGACTTCGTGCCGGAATTGTTTATATGGCGCTTTGTATGTGCTCGAATGGTACAGTTTGAATGGAGGGCTGGTACTCGGTTACTTACTTAGGTTACTTACTTAGGGCACGGCGTGGATTGTACTCCAGAGGTGACTTGCGGTTGGCCATCATCAACGAAACAAGATTTTGTATAGTGAACATGATCTAAATCAGTATATGAAGCAGTCATTGCGGTACAATGCTGCTTATTTAAAGGTATTAGATACCATCATTCCACTACATGAACTACATTACAGAGGTAAACAACTGTGGAGAGTGTTTTGTCCTAGAGGAAGTTGATCTTGCCCTTCGAAGTTCACCATTCCCCCTCCGGCCAAAAGCTCCAAAGGCTCCCGCCGTCCTCCACCTGCGTCGCTCTCCCTCCCTCTCTCTCTCTCAGCGGCCCAGCGACGTCTCCGTGCCTCATGAACGCGCCGTCAGCTCTGAGCTCGCTGTACTTCTCGGCGCCACCGGCGACCGGCAACTTCCAGGAGCCCAAGCAGCTGCTGCCGCTGCCGCTGCCGGTGCCAGTGTCGAAGCCCAAGGCGAACTCGACCGTCACGATTCTCCCAGCGCCCACCGCCGTCTCAGTTAAGACAGATGGCGTCTCCTCTTGCCCCTCAACTTCTGTGATCGCCCCCATGAGCCCTTCAACTCCCCAAGTTGACGCATACTCGGCACTCAAGTCGAAGTTGCTGGATCATGAGAATCAGAATCAGATACAGCAACCTGAGGAGATGCCGTCGCCACTGCCATCGCCTGTGAGCGTCACGGGCAAGAGAAAGCGGCTGGACATGGACGACGAGCTCACGTCCTTCTTGGCACCCACGCCCACCAAGCGCAAGGGCAGCAGCGACTTCCTGCGGAAAGGTCAATGGACCAACACGGAGGAGCGACTCGCCAGGCTCCTGATAGAGGCCTTTGAGGACGGGTATCTCCCCATCTACACAGGTATCCGACTGCGTGGCTACTTGGCCGTGCAGTTGCAGTGCGACCCCATGAGGGTGTCCAAAAAGTTGTGTGCTGGGACCATTGACGGCAAGCCTGTGCCCAAGAACTACGGGCAGAAGAAGTTTAAGCTGCGCAAGAAGCCGCTCTGGGACTGTGAAGAGGCGGAGAGCCGCATTGCCGAGCTCGAGCGACTGACCAAAGCCTTGTGGAACGAGGCGCGCATGAAGAAGCCGTCGTTCCTTACGCTCTCGACTACGCGTAATGTGAGCAAGAGGGGCGATGATGAGTCTGCATCTTCGCCGTCTAGTCCAGCGGACGGCCGCGTGCCGTCGTCAACCCCCAAGTCGAAGAAGCAAAAGGTGTTCCCTATCATTTATTTAAACCTGTCCAAGAAGCTCAAGCACTACTCGGTTCGCGGACTGGACAGCAGCAGTAGCAGCGGAAGCGAGCCTGCTTCCCCGTCCAATGACTCCGACTCGGACAGTGAACCCGTAAGGCTTGACGGTGAGTCACTGCAAGCTGCGTATGATCTGCTGACTTTATGTAGTCCACGAGGCAGCAAGGTCAAGTCCAAGAAGCGTGCTTCGAAGAAGAGTAAGGGCATCTCTGCCAAGGAGCATACATCCAGCTCGGATGCTTCGAGCGAGGACGCTGCTTGTAAGGAGGCATCCCCGGAGGACAAATCCAGTGCGGACAAACCCAATGAGGACAAATCGAAGGAACTCAAGGCTGCAGAAGATGAACCCAGCCAGGATATCTCTACCAATGAGGCTCCTGGCAATAACGTCTCCGTTGAGGACGCTCCTGACACGGAAGTCTCCAAAGCGGATCCCCCCATTGCAGATGATGGCAACAAGGACCTGTCCTGCAATGAGAACTCCAATGAAGTCCAATCTGACAAGGCTGCGGACCCTGTCGGTGAACCTCAGCTCGTCAGCGACGACACCTGCATGGACGACTCGCTCTCCGCCTCGACGTCGTCGACGTGATGTGCCTCACCGCAGTCCGAGCAAACTCACCGCCGTGCCTCCAACGCGTTGTCGGAGCATTCTTGGGCTCCACACTTTAGTATCTGAACCCCATGTCGTTTTCCTGTAATGAACTGCGTGCCAACTTGACTACACTGTACACTGCACCTGCAACAAATCCCACTTCAACATGAAGTGGCTCCGCCAATCACAGCTCTTCTTTCGTCTAATTCGCCAGAATTCTCACTGTAGTATCAACAACTTTTTTTTGACAAAAAGTGGGGTGATGGCTAATGAATGGCTTGAGCAAGTCATGCACACTCCTCGATTCACGGTCCATGTGTCATGGTGTTTCACTAAGGTACACCGTTCCAACGTTCGAGCAAAACCTGGTATCGTTGAAGTTGAAGAGATTTCGATACGATGAACTGCATCCCTTCAAATTCGTTCGCTATCGAGCCCGAAAGAAATGAATCAATCAATGCACCAGCACCCAGGTTTGACAGGCGGGGCTCTTCCATCTACTGTTAGAGGATCCATGTTGACAAGCCCTGTTGGTTTCAATCGACAAGCATGATCAGAACCCTATTTTTATTCTCCCCATTGCGAACTGAAAATACCGTCCTCTTCGACGCTTACGAACGACATCTTATCGTGTTTACATGTCATTCAAGTTCTCACCACTCTCTCCCCTCAACTCTGCTGATCGAAGGTGATGCGCAGATCCGGGACGCTCGTTGACCTTTACAAGTCTACGCAAGTCAAGTTGCATGGCATTTACTCCTCGAAGCGAGTGCAAGAGCTGGCGAAATTCGTGCGCGCCACAAGTTGGGTCCGCTCTCTCGCACTCGCAGTGGCAACACCAGTGCTGAGCTTGCTTCCGACGCTTCTGATCGACATTGTCCCGCTCTCGAACCCGTCGGCCGGTGTCGATTCAAACAAGTTGTTCTACGTACGGGTGCCATTCACCAATTTCGCTTAGGTGTGCTCATACTTGCATACCCAATTGCGTGCGCCATCCGCGATACTCTATTGGTATCCACGCTCGCTTGTGCCATGGACTACGGCTTCGCTCTAGTTATTGGCTTCCCGACGCCGTTTATGATGCAGCTTGCGATTCCACCATGGTGTGCGATGATCTTGGTATGCTTGTCAATTCAATGGCGAAACTCGATACATCAAGCAGCGGAAGCAACCAGAATGTTGGTGGATATACTCAAGATCTGGTGCTGCGATGTGCTGCTGGTCGCGGTGTACACCCCCTACTTTGCTGCTTTCACAAATCTGTCCGCTCACCGCCAGATGTGGCTCGCCCTGCTTCTTCCAGCTTTGAAGCTGTTCATGCGGAACCTCTTCGCGAGAGCTGTTGGTCACTTAGGCGACGAAGCGCCAGAAATCGTGGTGTTCAATGCTGATGTCTTTGGCTCGTTATTCGTATCGTGCTGCATGCAGCTATCGCCTTCGTTTTGGATGACGCTAGGAGTTATGCTTGCGGATGTTTTTCTCATGGGGTTATCCCTCCGTGATTTAAGGATTGTAAACGTGGAACTGGGGGATTTACAACGGAGACTTGACCAAGAGTACACGTGGACTAGTCATCACGGCGCAGTTGGTCACATCAGCTTGCGAGATCGTGCACCTACAACGCTGGAGCGCGCTAGTATGCTGCTAGATCAAGAAGCCAACTCAATTGGTCTCACTCCAGTTGCCCCCTGTGGGGAGCCTCTCCTTTCATCGTTGGGCTCGCAACAAAACGGAGAAAGACCGACCCATAAGGTCAAAACGAAAAACCAATGCGTGCGACTGCCCCTCAGGATAAAGCGACTCCTAAATAGGCAGCATATCGTCCCCATAGGCGAAAAAGACAGCAATATTGTCGATGAGAAGCCAAGTGAGCCAGTCACACAGAGCTACACGATCAAAGTTCGGCGGATGCTTTACATGGCTGAATATCTCCTCCTTATCAACTACGTCGAGGTCATCATCCCGCTCGTATATTGTACGTAAGACTTGCGTCGGATGCATTAGGCATATTGTTTTACAGTCGCTCACAGTTTTTCTATTCTCTAATTGTGTCGAGCAGCTTGTTACTTGATCGCTACGTACCACATGCCGAACCACGAATACTACACCGTCTTTCAAGGGATGGATCACGCTCGACTGTATCAAACACTCAAGAATGTGCAGCTGTACTGCTTGTTTCAGCTCGTCTCGCTTCTTTTACTCATGTATAAACTGAAGTTCACGTTGGGGTTCCCACCGGTTCAGCACTTGGGATTTGTCCTGGAAAACCAGATCCAGTGGGTGCTACTTCACCTCACGTTCTGGATCATATACAACGTACAAGGATCGCTGGAGCACCTAGGTTGGTTGTAAGGAATGTGTATTGTCCGATGAGTTAGTGTCGGTCTAATTATTATTTTCGGCAGGGAATGACTATACCTTTAAGTGTGCGTGGCTGTCGACTGGTACCCCTTGAACACTTAACAGTAAGACAGACAGTAAATTACGCCACAACAACAGCGATCAGTGACTTTTCTTTCCATCTTGAAGTAGCGGATTGACTGATACGGAGACCAATGTACTGGTGGCACCTGTTTCCCCCAGAATTGAATTTTCTCGACTGCTACGACGATCACAATGTGGCTCCGCGACGCTTGCATACGAGCTGCTCAGCGGCAGTTTTCTTCCACTGATGTGGAGTATCTTGAAGCTGTCTGCGAGAGATTTATCGTCTACTTGCAGCGGCCAAAATCTGTGCGAGGACGAAAAAGTCTGCATTGACAACATTATCCCGTCCGTGGCAACTGTGCAGAGCTCTAGCTTCGTAGAAAGTCGACTGCTGTTTCAGCTGGCGAACGAGGCACGGCAACGCGAGGAGCTTGGAATGCGGATCTTCTACAGGTGCGCCGTGATCAGCCAACTAAGGTCTTGCGGAGATACCCTGAAGCAACAGAGCGTCTTCAGTTGTGGCTGTTCGGCTCAAGTACAAACTCACACCGCTTAAATCTCGGGCAATTTATCGCTACGCTATCGAAAATTGGTCATCCGTTGACGACCAATGGATTAAACTGTTTACAGAAGATGGAGCTGATGGATCAGTGAAAAAAAAATTGTTGGTTATCATTGACGTTCTAGAGAAGAAGTCGACTGTGAACAAGTCGGCTGAGCCTCGGGACGCCGGCAAGTTAGTGAGTTTTGCTCTTGATTCGGCAAGTGACGTTATTGCACCAGGTCCTCGTGCAGTGGATTTTGCGAAGTATTTCGCTTTGCCCTCGTTCAGGCAAACAAGCGCATACGCAAATATCATCGGTCGGGCGGAATGTTGGCAGTACTGGTCGATAGAGACGCCGAAGTTGCTGGCTTTAAGGCTCCAATCTGCTCGACAGTGAAGGAAACTCTCCCTTCGTTGGTGATGACGTACACGATGGATGCGTTCTGGCGCCGCTACTGTGATAATTTCAGTATGGACAAGATTTTGGCGCACTAATTCGGTGCGACGCAGAATAATGACGTAGAAGCGCTGACATCGTTGGTGTCGATGGGGCGTCCTCTGTGGGGTTGTAGCACGTTTGACGGCATCCTGGAGACTTATCGCTTCGCCAACCAATTCGATACTGTGAATAGTGCAATCGTCCTGGCATCGTGCAAGTTGATGGCCGGACTGTATCCGAGGATCTCGAACTACACCGAGTACACCGGGTTTGGTGTCGCGTCGGTACTGTGTGGACTGGGGCTTCGTTGGCGTTTCAATGCGTCTCGATCGGTCTCATACTTGATGGGGACGCTAGCGTACTTACTCCCGGAGTGTGACAAGCTTCTTGCTGTCAACTCCTCGAACCTGGTGCTGGCTTTAATTGCAATGAGACTTTGGTACACGTGGGGGCGATTATGTGTCTTTGTTGTCCGAGTATATCGTATCCGGCTACTGGTGTTAGAGGGGCGTGCTGTACACAATGTAAACAAACTGGTGGCTTGCATCGTGTTGCTGCTGGTGATAGGCAAATGCTCGTGCTGCAGAATCCGTGGGAAAATCACGGGACATGTAACTTTCGAGGTGATTTTGTGAGTGCGGGGTTGCTCCTGAAAGCTCTTGGTGGGGCCAATCCGCCTCTGGTGCGTTCAAGAGACAGATGTGCCGATAGGAACTCTTTGGTGGAGCGATACAAGCAGTGGCAAGTACGGCGGGCTGACTGGAAGCTGGGATTTTGCCACTTCATTCGGCTGCAACTGGAGCCTACAGAAGAAACGCTGTGGTATCTGTTTGATCGTCGCGCTGCTGGGGTATTTCCGCGCGACCGAGATAATGAAGATCTTGTGATCCCGATGTGCCAAAGACCTGAGGCATCAATGATCCTAATTCAAGTGGACCGGGATGGCGACTTTGATGAAAATATTGCGTTGATGCAGCGTCCCTGCGTATTTTCAAGTGAGAATTCTCTGTCGACAATTCCGCTTCAAGATATCGCGAGTTTCAATGGTCTTTGAAGGAGAGCGATCGTCGTGTAGTGATCCCGATCAGTACTTTGTTGCTGACGAATAGGATGGATTCACGCTGTGCATTCGCTCCGTGTCGCGTCCGCGGGATGTCACGGTGAGCAAAGTCACACTTCCAGTGATTTCGCAAGGTGTGGCGCAGAAATTGGCGGGCATGGTGTCGTCCAGATGGAGCTGCCAGGACTGATGGCCACTGACTTGAACAACCGGTGTGAAAAGGAGATCGAGTGGGCTGATGTCAGATTAAGCCCGCTCATATCGGAGACTCGTCACCGAATAGGGAATTCTTGACGTGCTGTTGTGGGCGTCGCTCACGCCGCTGGTGTTCCTGACTTCCCAGTGTGCACTTTGAATCTGATATCTGGTCTTTTCCACGACGATGAGGGAGATTACTGTGTCAAAAGCAGATTTTTGAGTTAGATAGGTAGCAGTGGCGCCTGGTCGACCCGAACGACTACTAAAAGGTTGGTAAGAATTACAGTGACACCTCCCTAAATGAACCCCTCTAACTGACCATGTGTTCCCTATCTGGTTAGGATTCCTCGACTGTGGATTTCACTATAGGTGTTCTATAACTGATCAAAAACCTCTTTATTCTCTAAATGGTCGCAATTGTTGGCGCCTCAACCCTCTAAATGGACGCCGTAGTAATAGATCCAAACTCATATATTTTTCTCAATCACTTGCCAGCCTCCTCCCACGTATGCCATTGCTACCACTACTCCCGCCACAAGAAATCGAGCGAAGAGAGAAATTTTATTTGGGATGCTAAGTTGGAACAAAGAGTTTGCAGTAACTGCAAGCTTGTGATAAATAAGCTAGCCACAGTATTTTACAATCAGCGCAGCCTACATATATATATATTACGAAAAACTAAAATATTATGATGTCGAGACAACTAGGGGCTATGCAGTACATACCAAGCAAAAGATAAATCTGCAGGCATGGTGGCAGGATATCGGGACAACAAATATTCCTATAACCTCCCTGTATTGAAACTCACGTACAACCTGAGGGGATGCGATTCTGCTAATACCAATGAGAATAAGGAGTAGGAACAGACAATACCGCGCCTACCGTTATTGGTTGAGTTCTGTTTGTGTGAAGACGAAACAAAACAAGAGTACAAAAATGCTGGAGGGGTACCAGGTAAAGAAAGCCCTTGTGCACCTAACATATGAAAATGTAGCCATTAAAAGTGTAGCCATTTCTTTATCTGATCAATTCTTTAACTGAAACAGCGTATTAGACCGAGCGAACTGGGTGTCATTTATAGAGGTGTCACTGTATGGTGCTTTGTTTGTTGATATGAATGACTCAGCGATTGCTTGCTAGTATGCTGGGACCAAGTAAACGCATGTCAAGGGTTGTCCATCGAACTCTCTTCAGTAGTAGCTAGCAGCCCCAGCGTTCGTTCATTTTGGAATTTACCAACCACCAAGTCACCACCAACTATCAAGCACTCAACGACCACTATCATGGTGCCTGCAACTACGACGACACCAAGTCTGTTGGCATGACCTACCGTTTCCTGGGAAATTCAGGACTCCTTGTATCCAAACTCGGTCTGGGGAGCTGGATGAACGCCAAGGAGGCGAACGCAGCGGAAGCCTAGTACGAGATGATGAAGCTGGCGTTCAAGCTCGGCATCAACTCCTTCGACAACGCGGACGCCTATGGGGAGGGTCTCGCCGAGAAAAACATGGGCATTGCTGTGCAGAAGGGTGTCGATGAAGGCGTCTGGAGCCGGGAGGACCTCGCGATCGCCACCAAAGTCGGTCTGGGGACGAAGGGCTTCCGGGACGCATCGGGACCGAACGACCAAGGCTTAACGCGCAAGCACATCATTGAAGCGACCAAGGCCTCGCTCAAGAGGTTCGATCTCGAGTACGTCGACGTCATTTACTGCATTCGGCCCGATGTGTGCACGCCCATGGAAGAGACTGTGCATGCCAAGAACTTCGTCCTAGAGCAGGGCTGGGCTTTCTACTGGGGCACGAGTCAGTGGAGCGTGGCTCAGATCGTCGAGGCTTGCGATGTTGCAGACCGCCTCGGCCTCGTTCGCCCCGTCGTGGAGCAGTGCGTCTACAACCTGCTAGACCGCACCAAGGTGGAGTTCGAGTACGCCGACCTGTACAAGAAGTACAAGCTCGGTCTCTCGACTTGGTCCCCTCTCTCTGGCGGACTACTCACGGGCAAGCACAGCCAGGAGATCGTCAAAGGTTCTCGTATGGACGGCCCCTTGCGCACATTCTTCGCGCCTGATTTCGTCGAGCGCCAAGCCAAGGCGGACAAACTCCAGTCGGTGGCCGCAGAGCTTGGCATCTCCCTGACTGAGCTCGCTTTGGCGTGGTGCATCAGCAACGAGAACGTCTCCGCGGTCATGATCGGGGCCAAGAACTTGGCGCAGTTGGAGCTCAACCTGAAGGCGCTGCCTGCGTTCGAGAAGACCACGCCGGAGGTCAAGGCCCAGATCGACGCGCTCGTGCCGTTCGTGCCGCAGCTCCCAAAGTCCGATGGATTGGAGAACCGACGCACCAAGTTCCTCTAAGGCACTGATTGTGAATGCGGCGGGCACAGCTACAGCAATGGACGGCACCGATAAATCCTTCAACATGAAGCAGCATACTTAGTACAGGTATTGATCTAGCAACTAAGTTGCAATTGATGAGTCAAAACCTGGTCTGTATCGAGGGCTTCGAGTGCGTAATATACTGAAATTGAGCTGATCCCACGACGAGCCATCGCTATCTTCATCACAACTGCGGCTCTAGCATCAGTACATCTGCTGCAGATGCCGTCAAGTCCTCGTCCGGCGCTGTCACCGATATGCGCGGTTTTGAACTGACATTGGCCCGCTCGATCTCCTTTTCACACCGGTTGTTCAAGTCACTGGCCACCACTCCTGCTGGGCTCCATCTCGATGACACGAAGCCCACCAATTTCTGCGCCACACCTTGCGAAATCACTGGAAGTGTGACTTTGCCCACCGTGATATCCCACGGACGCCATACAGAGCGAATGCACAGCGTGAATCCATCCTATTCGTCAGCAACAAAGTACCGATCGGATCACTACACGACGATCGCTCTCCTTCAAAGACCATTGAAACTCGCGATATCTTGAAGCGGAATTGTTGACAGAGAATTCTCACTTGCAGGATGCCTGTATGATTGCCCTATTCACAGCATCGAATTGGCCTGGTAAGCCCCCAGGATGCCGTCGAATATGCTACTCCACAGAGGGCGACCCATCGAAACCAACGATGTCAGCGCTTCTACGTCATTATTCTGCGTCACAACGAACTTGTGAGCTGAAATCTCGTCCATACTGAAACTATCACAGTAGCGGCGCCAGAACGCTTCCGTCAGCACAAACGGAGGGAGAGTTTCCTTCACCGCCGAGCCGATTGGACTATTATAGCCAGCAACTCCGGCGTTTCCTTCAACACGGCATCGTAGGGGCAATCGAGGAGTTCATTTTGAATATGAGCCGAGGCTTGAACTGCACGGCGAAGCGGGGCTGTGAAAGACTAGCCCCTGTGATGTGGTGGGCGGGTTGCGAGCGAGCATCTTGCTGGTGTCGATCGCTGGATCATCGACGCTGCTCGGACTGTACGCTGCTGCTAGACTTCCTGAATGAACTCTCGCTAACTAATTTGCTCTGACGTCCTCGCGCCTGAAACTACTGTTATCTTCGTCCAGGTATTCTTGTCTGGATGTACCGCTGATCCTTGGTACTTGGTACTTGAAGTACTTGCTTGTACTCTGCCTCTGCAGGAAACCCGAGTATGCTTCAATCTGCGCCTCTCTTCACTGCACTTCGTTACGTTCCGCTTGCTTCGCCCGAATGCTCGCCATCTCTATCGGGTAGTACTGAGAAAATTTCACCCGACCGATGATATTTGCGAATGCGCTTGTTTGCCTGAACGAGGGCGATGCGAAATACTTCCGTAAAATGCACTTTGCGAGGGTCTGGTGAAATGACTTCACTACTTAAGTAGCTGAATCGAGAGCAAAAACCACTAACTTGCCGGTGTCCTGACTTGCTCACAATAGCCTCCTTATCTAGAACTTCAATTTATTTTTCACTGACCCATCAGCAGACATTTAATCCATTCGGCACCAACGGATGGCCAGTTTTCGATAGCGGGGCGATAGATTGCCTCCATCCCCAGACTTCAGCGGTGTGAGTTTGTACTTGGATCGAACAGCCACAGCAGAAGGTGCTCTGCTCCTCGAGGGTATTCCCCCCCCAAACCTCAGTTGACTGATCAAGTGCGCACATGTAGAAGACCATTCAAAGCTCCTCGCGTTGCCGTGCTTCGTTTGCCACCTGAAACAACAGTCTACTTTTTCCCGAAACCAGAGCTCTGCACAATTGTCACGGACGGGATAATGTTGTTGATGCAGACTTTCTCGTACTCGCAGGGGGTTCGGTACACATTCCAGCACCCCGGCAAGTACACGAGAAATTCCTCGCAAAGAGTTCCAAGATAGCCCAGATCAGTGAGAGAAAACCGCCGCTGAGTTGCTCATATGGAGGAAATTCAATTCTAGTGGAACCAGTACCCTGCGGGATGGAAAGAAAGTCTAGATTACTGTCAATATTTTACCTGCTGAGTGCTTAAGGGGTACCAGTCGACAACCACGCAAATTTGAAGGTATAGTCATTCCCTGCCACACACAATAATTAGACCGACACTTCAGACAAGTCTACATAACTTCTAGTACAACCAACCTAGGTGCTCCAGCGATGCTTGTACGTTGTATATGATCCAGAACGTGAGGTGAAGTAGCACCCACTGGATCTGGTTTTCCAGCACAAACCCCAAGTGTTGGAGTCCCAACGTGAACTTCAGCTTATACATGAGTAAAAGAAGCGAGGCGAGCTGAAACAAGCAGTACAGCTGCACATTCTTGAGTGTTTGATACAGTCGAGCGTGATCCATCCCTTGAAAGACGGTGTAGTATTCGTGGTTCGGCATGTGGTACGTAGCGATCAAGTAACAAGCTGCTCGACACAATTAGAGAATAGAAAAACTGTGAGCGACTGTAAAACAATATGCCTAATGCATCCGACGCAAGTCTTACGTACAATATACGAGCGGGATGATGACCTCGACGTAGTTGATAAGGAGGAGATATTCAGCCATGTAAAGCATCCGCCGAACTTTGATCGTGTAGCTCTGTGTGACTGGCTCACTTGGCTTCTCATCGACAATATTGCTGTCTTTTTCGCCTATGGGGACGATATGCTGCCTATTTAGGAGTCGCTTTATCCTGAGGGGCAGTCGCACGCATTGGTTTTTCGTTTTGACCTTATGGGTCGGTCTTTCTCCGTTTTGTTGCGAGCCCAACGATGAAAGGAGAGGCTCCCCACAGGGGGCAACTGGAGTGAGACCAATTGAGTTGGCTTCTTGATCTAGCAGCATACTAGCGCGCTCCAGCGTTGTAGGTGCACGATCTCGCAAGCTGATGTGACCAACTGCGCCGTGATGACTAGTCCACGTGTACTCTTGGTCAAGTCTCCGTTGTAAATCCCCCAGTTCCACGTTTACAATCCTTAAATCACGGAGGGATAACCCCATGAGAAAAACATCCGCAAGCATAACTCCTAGCGTCATCCAAAACGAAGGCGATAGCTGCATGCAGCACGATACGAATAACGAGCCAAAGACATCAGCATTGAACACCACGATTTCTGGCGCTTCGTCGCCTAAGTGACCAACAGCTCTCGCGAAGAGGTTCCGCATGAACAGCTTCAAAGCTGGAAGAAGCAGGGCGAGCCACATCTGGCGGTGAGCGGACAGATTTGTGAAAGCAGCAAAGTAGGGGGTGTACACTGCGACCAGCAGCACATCGCAGCACCAGATCTTGAGTATATCCACCAACATTCTGGTTGCTTCCGCTGCTTGATGTATCGAGTTTCGCCATTGAATTGACAAGCATACCAAGATCATCGCACACCATGGTGGAATCGCAAGCTGCATCATAAACGGCGTCGGGAAGCCAATAACTAGAGCGAAGCCGTAGTCCATGGCACAAGCGAGCGTGGATACCAATAGAGTATCGCGGATGGCGCACGCAATTGGGTATGCAAGTATGAGCACACCTAAGCGAAATTGGTGAATGGCACCCGTACGTAGAACAACTTGTTTGAATCGACACCGGCCGACGGGTTCGAGAGCGGGACAATGTCGATCAGAAGCGTCGGAAGCAAGCTCAGCACTGGTGTTGCCACTGCGAGTGCGAGAGAGCGGACCCAACTTGTGGCGCGCACGAATTTCGCCAGCTCTTGCACTCGCTTCGAGGAGTAAATGCCATGCAACTTGACTTGCGTAGACTTGTAAAGGTCAACGAGCGTCCCGGATCTGCGCATCACCTTCGATCAGCAGAGTTGAGGGGAGAGAGTGGTGAGAACTTGAATGACATGTAAACACGATAAGATGTCGTTCGTAAGCGTCGAAGAGGACGGTATTTTCAGTTCGCAATGGGGAGAATAAAAATAGGGTTCTGATCATGCTTGTCGATTGAAACCAACAGGGCTTGTCAACATGGATCCTCTAACAGTAGATGGAAGAGCCCCGCCTGTCAAACCTGGGTGCTGGTGCATTGATTGATTCATTTCTTTCGGGCTCGATAGCGAACGAATTTGAAGGGATGCAGTTCATCGTATCGAAATCTCTTCAACTTCAACGATACCAGGTTTTGCTCGAAATGAAACGGCGGCAACTGGCGTACCATTTGGAACATCGTGGCCCATGGGCCTGGCCGATGAGTCAAGGAGCGTGCATGACTTGCTCAGGCAATTAGCCATGGGTCCAGCGTGTCCTTAGACCCCCCTCCCCCTCTTTCTACAGTATCGCTTTCCATGCTGGACTCCTGGAACTCTGAGCTTGCCCAATATTGAGGGAGATCTTCTGTAGACGATCACGGCTCATCCTTGCGTGCTCGTTAGCACACGCTTGATTTTGAGATCGAACACTAAGCTAAGAGCGTCATATACTGTGTACCATCATATCATATGAGTATTTCACACCGATGTCATATCATATAAATGTCATATCTTTTATAATATCTTATCGCTCATATTGGTCAAATCGAATAGGTAGTGAAAAATTACTCCTGAGGCTTGAGAGCAGTGAGTTTCACATGCGAATTCGTCGTCGTAGCAGCAACTGACGCATGGCCGCAGCTGTCGAAGCGCGGTGGACACTGTGTTTACTAAAGCTCTGCCAGCGGAGTAAACCATGCCCGTCCACCTCTCATTGCGTCCAAGCAGCTGCAACCGCGAACCTCGTTTCAGACATCACAAAGCGTGCCGGACTGAGCAACTGGTGGTTCAGGTGCGCTTTTTTCGGTGGGTGGCCAAGTTTGTCTTATTCATTGGTTGAAGTTGTCTGAATTACGCGCTCTGATTGGTCTCGAGCACGTGTTGAACGTATTGCCAAGCCTGGACGATTTGTACGCTACGTGGACAGCAATGCAGCAATGCTGAATCAGCATTGCTTCGGAGCAATCGCAGTCAAACCAGTTCTGTCACAGTGCGAGGCATTCACGCTCTCTCCACAACTGCGCTGATGGTCACCGTCCTCCTGCGGGCGGTTTGTGCATGTGGGTGCCGATCTGCATTGCAGCTTGTTTTATGACCAAAAAGCGCGTGCCGTACCCAAGAAAGCATCAACTTCTCGAGTGTATTGTTGATACTCCTCTTTTCATGCTGCTGCTAGCATGACAAAGATGAATGGACAAGATCGGCCATCAGAGTGTCCGAGCGGTCCATTGGACTAAGACGCATGCCGCCGCTGAACACCATACCACAGCGGATCGACCCCCGGCACAGTCCGGCTCGTGCCACCGTCCAACGGCAGTCGAGCATCGTTTTCCTACTAAAACTAAGCTCAAAATGGAGCTACCGCTGTGGAGGACCGGAACCTGGAGGACATAGTGCGATCTATTATCGATTGTGGCCGCTGTTTTCTCATGACGGCAGGTGACTCCGTTATCCGGCAGCGCTGCCCGCAGGATGCGTTGTTGCATGGCGCGCTTTGCTTCCCGAGTGCTCAATGGATATCCGTCAGATGCTTCGCCGCCGGCGAGATTCACAACGATGCTTCATGCCACCGAGATTCAACACTCAGGACGCACTTCTAGCCGACCAACACCGGCTAGAACTTGGTCCATAGCCCACTGTGAGCTCACATTTCCAACGATAGCATTGCCATCGGAGGCGGGCCTTGCAGGGAACTCACTTATTAAAACTTAGGTAAAAACAAACAGCAAACGCCGCCGAAGTGCGCGGCTCGTTTGCTCGCTAACGCGATTGGGCTTGCGCGCGAGTCCTGCAGGCGAATGGAGCGGCTGCGCGGCGCTCACTCAGCTCGCAAGAACGGGTCGCGCCGGCCTCACGGTCATAAGTCACAGCGATGTGGTCAGCGCTCTGACATTTTCGCTCGACTGGCCACACGCGCCGCACGGCGCTATGTCTGTTGTTCCTTCAAGGTTCGCCACGGGTGGCTTTGTCTTTTAACGAACTCTTAGCCCAGCTCATAGAAGCGCAACAGAGTTCGAGTATCCGATATCTCGGTCCAAGATCGGCGCCAGTATCCAATCTGCTCCATCAAGACCAAGATGCCATCTCTGAATGCCATCGCTGGCCTGCTGCCTCCTCTGGAGATCTCCATCCAGGAGAGCAGCATGCTGGTGGACCTCACCGAGACGCTCACGCAGCACAACATCGCGCAGTGCAGCACGGTCATTGTGACCAGGGACGGCCACGCCGACTCGAGGGCCTGGAAGGAGCTGCGACGCAGGGACAACATCCGCGTCTACAAGGAGCGAGCGCGCTCCAGGGCCACGCCCACCACCCCGTCCCTGCTGCTGCTCGGCACCGTCAAGGGCAACCTCGACGACGTCATGTACGCCATGGTGACCCCCACCGAGCAGGCCATGAAGATCAAGTCCAACTGCACGCACGACGGCGTGATCGACCGCAAGGTGCTGCACGAGATCGTGCGCCCCAGCGTGGACGACCCGTTCCGCCACGTGAGCGTCAACTGGTCGCTGTACGCCGACTCGGAGCCGCACGACTACGTGTGCGTCGAGGCCACGGGCGTCACGCACACGCTGCGCGGCGAGCGCGTGGGCTTCCACCTGTCGCACTCGGTGGCGTTCTCGCAGCTGCCGAGCTTCTCCGAGTCGCACGGCGTGGAGCGCGGTCACCGGTCGATCTGCTCGCTGTACCGCGAGACGACGGCGGGCGAGGTCGAGTGCTACGTGCGCGGCTTCTTCGACTTCCGCGACGGCGACAACGAGCTGCTGACCAACATCGCGCTGCACGCGATCGCCAACCAGTGGCTGTCGTTCTCCCGGCAGATCGAGTTCGCGCACATGAAGAAGCTCGTGTGGCGTCTGCGTCGCAACAGCAGCGACTTGGACGACTTCGTCATGGCTGCGGCCGTGGAAGAGCACAAGCGGAAGATGTCGGAGGCGGCTCTGAATCGAGAAGCCACTTGCCGAGTGTGTAACAAGACGTTCGGGCTCCTGGACCGTAAAACCACCTGTAAGAGCTGCGAGCAGGCTGTGTGTCCTCGGTGCCGAGTCAAGAAGCGCGTGTGCGTGCTCGCTCCGGACCAACGTACGGTGCTGGAGAAGAGACGCAGCTTCTGCGCTCCGTGCATTGCTGAAGTCACCACGAGCAACGCGCGGGCTATTGCGCAGGAGGAACTTCAGGTCCAGGAGGAAGATCAAATGAAGGAGGCGGAAGAGCAGGTCGTCTCGCTCTCTAGACAACGCACGACGTCGTGGATGGCTACCAGTGCCTCCTTTCGATCGTGCATATAGAAATAGGTAAAATGAAAAACCAAGCCGTGCTAAAGCACGGAGAAGCTCTGGATTTTATCATGTAGTTTTGATTCTAGGTTTGATTCTAAGTTAATTTATCTTAAATGTGCCTAGCAGTTCTACCCGAGGTTCTTTGGTTAAAGCGAAGTATCCTTAAATTTCAGCAGTTGGTGCTTTTGTCTTTATTCGGGTTTGCTACCAAGTTCCGAAACCATGAAAGCATGCACTGCCAACTATCTCAAGCCCTTACGCGAACATGTACTGGTCACTCGCTATGCCTTAGCTATCTTGCAATATTATGCAGCCGAATCGTCAAGGCTTGAATGCGGCGGTAACGGTACGTATGCACGTGCAGAATGGTTGAAACGAGACCACCATCGTTTGAAGACTTCAACGACACCCACGACTTTAAATTGAAGTCGTGGGTGTTCGTGGGGACTTGAACGTGGCGACACCGATGTAACATCGTTGAACATACATGTACTGCAAACACAACTGCAGTTATGTTTGGAGTCATGGTCGAGTCATGGTCGAGCGACATCCGATCAATCGTGTCACGCGAATGTCGACCCTAAAAGACTCAAGCAACACGCCGCTGGATAATATATTATCCAAGCGTTTATTAAAGTTAACGGGTACGTTCCGATACGTTAATAATTCGTTCGTTTATAACCGATAGCGGAGCATGCATTTTTATAGTGATTTGCACCTGCAGTCGTATCGCCCTAACAACTCTGGATAAAATCCAGAGAATAAGCAGTTAAACGAGGTGCTTCGAGGGCCCGGACGAGTTAAAAAGTGCCGCAATTGTTTATTTTAACTCAAAAACTCACTAGGACCAAGCGGTATGTACCGGTTTTTTCAGCGCTTTTAGCCCGAATTTCAATCGTGTTTCAACCGTTGATACACTGATCAAACACCGAGCAATAGTATAGTACTCTCCATAACAATTGTAATATTTAGTATTAATGCTTTATTACTGGTACTACTAATATTTAGAATGACAACGACTATTCGCAGTTCGAAGAACTGTCGATTGGGGAAGGTTTTTGGATGACATCGAACGACATTCACGCTACATTCGTCACTTCACCCCGATGACATCAAACAACATTCACACAACATCATACCGCACTCGATCGAATCGGTCTGAATGACACTTAGAGGTTTTGATGGGTAACCTCCAGTTGGGGTCATATACGGTACAGATCTGAGATTGGATCTGACGTGCTAAAAGGTGTTCTGGGGGTTGCACCCCGAGACCCCAAACTAACTCCGAGTTGCGGCAACGGTGCTCGTCGCTGGGCCCGCCTCCGCAATACCGCGCGGCCCTGCTTCGCGGGCACCACGCGCGGGTTTGCTATGGCTACGCTCCTCACAGACGCACCTGGTGGTACGTCTTCTCCGGAAAAAGACTAAAAGCTAGCTGCACTAGCTTAGGCGTTTATCTACGAAGAATGGGATGATTTAAGCTTGTCTTGTGTGAGACTACATTGCGACCCGCAGAGATCCACCAAATTGGTGGTGTAGAATGATCTACTACTTGATCCTGTTCTTGTCAAGACAAGTTCAAAGTACATTGTTACCGATATTAGTTAAGATCATCCTAATGCCACACGGCTGCGAAGCAGGCGCAGGGGATGCCATAGTACATCGTCTCCCTGTAAGGGTATCCGTACACGCTAGCTTCGAACTGCGAAACCCCCCGGGTCCACCACCCGGGTCCCCAATTAGGCTAGTATTTAGACGGACGGCGATCCTTAGGCACTTCAACTTGAGTCACTTCAACACTTCCGCTGATCGCGCTGTTTCACTTTGTGTCCTTTTTGTCCTTGCTTCAATGGTCTGGACTCGACTTGCGCGTGGATGCAAACGAGTGGCGGACAACGCATTGGAGGGCGAAACTGCATGCTAACACGTTGGACGAGACCGACATTTCAGAGCCCCGTGACCTGTACCTAGACAGCAACGACCCCCCCCTCAGAACGCCACGAACGCTACGCGTAGTCAGCAGAAAATTTTAATGCACGTTGGTGCGAGGTTATCCATCGCGTGCCTCCACATCGTGGTCAACCGCCACAGGTTTCGACGCTCCATGCCTACAAACGCCACCGAAGCTGCCTTTCGTCATCGGCCCCTTTCACCGCTCGTCCCCAGCTTGCAGTGCCGGCAAGGGTTACACAGATCAGTTTGTTCCAGTCCGTCATCGACAGCTCCAGCTCCATTCCTCAACTTGCGCGCCCGATGCCACATCTCGATGTTCTTCTCCAAGTTGTCGGCCCTCAGCTCGATTCATAGCTTCGTGTCTCCATTGGACCTTTCAATGACAGAGGCCCGTATGCTCCTCGTCTTAACCAACGACCTCGTCCGCCACTGCACCGAAACAAGCAGCACGGTTCTAGTTACCAAGTGTGGTCACGCCGACGCCAGAGCCTGGAAGGAGCTGCGACGCAGGGACAACATCCGCGTCTACAAGGAGCGAGCGCGCTCCAGGGCCACGCCCACCACCCCGTCCCTGCTGCTGCTCGGCACCGTCAAGGGCAACCTCGACGACGTCATGTACGCCATGGTGACCCCCACCGAGCAGGCCATGAAGATCAAGTCCAACTGCACGCACGACGGCGTGATCGACCGCAAGGTGCTGCACGAGATCGTGCGCCCCAGCGTGGACGACCCGTTCCGCCACGTGAGCGTCAACTGGTCGCTGTACGCCGACTCGGAGCCGCACGACTACGTGTGCGTCGAGGCCACGGGCGTCACGCACACGCTGCGCGGCGAGCGCGTGGGCTTCCACCTGTCGCACTCGGTGGCGTTCTCGCAGCTGCCGAGCTTCTCCGAGTCGCACGGCGTGGAGCGCGGTCACCGGTCGATCTGCTCGCTGTACCGCGAGACGACGGCGGGCGAGGTCGAGTGCTACGTGCGCGGCTTCTTCGACTTCCGCGACGGCGACAACGAGCTGCTGACCAACATCGCGCTGCACGCGATCGCCAACCAGTGGCTGTCGTTCTCCCGGCAGATCGAGTTCGCGCACATGAAGAAGCTCGTGTGGCGTCTGCGTCGCAACAGCAGCGACTTGGACGACTTCGTCATGGCTGCGGCCGTGGAAGAGCACAAGCGGAAGATGTCGGAGGCGGCTCTGAATCGAGAAGCCACTTGCCGAGTGTGTAACAAGACGTTCGGGCTCCTGGACCGTAAAACCACCTGTAAGAGCTGCGAGCAGGCTGTGTGTCCTCGGTGCCGAGTCAAGAAGCGCGTGTGCGTGCTCGCTCCGGACCAACGTACGGTGCTGGAGAAGAGACGCAGCTTCTGCGCTCCGTGCATTGCTGAAGTCACCACGAGCAACGCGCGGGCTATTGCGCAGGAGGAACTTCAGGTCCAGGAGGAAGATCAAATGAAGGAGGCGGAAGAGCAGGTCGTCTCGCTCTCTAGACAACGCACGACGTCGTGGATGGCTACCAGTGCCTCCTTTCGATCGTGCATATAGAAATAGGTAAAATGAAAAACCAAGCCGTGCTAAAGCACGGAGAAGCTCTGGATTTTATCATGTAGTTTTGATTCTAGGTTTGATTCTAAGTTAATTTATCTTAAATGTGCCTAGCAGTTCTACCCGAGGTTCTTTGGTTAAAGCGAAGTATCCTTAAATTTCAGCAGTTGGTGCTTTTGTCTTTATTCGGGTTTGCTACCAAGTTCCGAAACCATGAAAGCATGCACTGCCAACTATCTCAAGCCCTTACGCGAACATGTACTGGTCACTCGCTATGCCTTAGCTATCTTGCAATATTATGCAGCCGAATCGTCAAGGCTTGAATGCGGCGGTAACGGTACGTATGCACGTGCAGAATGGTTGAAACGAGACCACCATCGTTTGAAGACTTCAACGACACCCACGACTTTAAATTGAAGTCGTGGGTGTTCGTGGGGACTTGAACGTGGCGACACCGATGTAACATCGTTGAACATACATGTACTGCAAACACAACTGCAGTTATGTTTGGAGTCATGGTCGAGTCATGGTCGAGCGACATCCGATCAATCGTGTCACGCGAATGTCGACCCTAAAAGACTCAAGCAACACGCCGCTGGATAATATATTATCCAAGCGTTTATTAAAGTTAACGGGTACGTTCCGATACGTTAATAATTCGTTCGTTTATAACCGATAGCGGAGCATGCATTTTTATAGTGATTTGCACCTGCAGTCGTATCGCCCTAACAACTCTGGATAAAATCCAGAGAATAAGCAGTTAAACGAGGTGCTTCGAGGGCCCGGACGAGTTAAAAAGTGCCGCAATTGTTTATTTTAACTCAAAAACTCACTAGGACCAAGCGGTATGTACCGGTTTTTTCAGCGCTTTTAGCCCGAATTTCAATCGTGTTTCAACCGTTGATACACTGATCAAACACCGAGCAATAGTATAGTACTCTCCATAACAATTGTAATATTTAGTATTAATGCTTTATTACTGGTACTACTAATATTTAGAATGACAACGACTATTCGCAGTTCGAAGAACTGTCGATTGGGGAAGGTTTTTGGATGACATCGAACGACATTCACGCTACATTCGTCACTTCACCCCGATGACATCAAACAACATTCACACAACATCATACCGCACTCGATCGAATCGGTCTGAATGACACTTAGAGGTTTTGATGGGTAACCTCCAGTTGGGGTCATATACGGTACAGATCTGAGATTGGATCTGACGTGCTAAAAGGTGTTCTGGGGGTTGCACCCCGAGACCCCAAACTAACTCCGAGTTGCGGCAACGGTGCTCGTCGCTGGGCCCGCCTCCGCAATACCGCGCGGCCCTGCTTCGCGGGCACCACGCGCGGGTTTGCTATGGCTACGCTCCTCACAGACGCACCTGGTGGTACGTCTTCTCCGGAAAAAGACTAAAAGCTAGCTGCACTAGCTTAGGCGTTTATCTACGAAGAATGGGATGATTTAAGCTTGTCTTGTGTGAGACTACATTGCGACCCGCAGAGATCCACCAAATTGGTGGTGTAGAATGATCTACTACTTGATCCTGTTCTTGTCAAGACAAGTTCAAAGTACATTGTTACCGATATTAGTTAAGATCATCCTAATGCCACACACTTGGACGAATCGAAGCTGACAGTTTTTTTGTTGTTAGATCTTCAGGCGACCCGGACAAAATATGTGTGCGGCTGCACCATGTTTTATCGAACAGAGTTTGAATGCTCCTACGTTGTCGCTGAACGCCGCGGATTCCTGTGCGAGAGGAAGTCCCGGGCGGACATCGTCAAAGCGAATGACAAACACCCGGTGTATCCTACTCCTACATGCGATCGAAATCTGCTAGACCTCAGTTTTGACTCATCAAACTTGAAACAAATTGCTGGCTTCATCGGGTTATCCAGCAAGTTCGGTTGAACAGTTATCCAGGCAGCGCTAAATATTCGATTGCACGTTTTTTTCTTGTTTTATCGCCATCTGTAAGTTTCCGAGCACAACACTGCAATCTAAGCAATACAGGATTCTGCCTGGGCATCAGCGCACATTTCAGTAGCAGGAAGGAAGGAAATTACGTTGATTAGCTCGTTGTTGATTACTGTTCTATGCTATGTGCAAAGAACTAAAGTTAAAACTAAATCCATGGAGTCCTCATCCGACGAGCGGGAGGAGGTAGAATCACCACGGTTGGTTTGTCAAGCCCAAGCGTTGAAGTATCAATTCGTTGGAGTGACGATACATGTATATGAACTGGCAATGCCTTTGAAAAGAAGCGATCAAACTTGGTACACTTGGTTGTACAGTGGTAGATTAGGCAGATGCTGCGGCTGCGAAGCAGGCGCAGGGGATGCCATAGTACATCGTCTCCCTGTAAGGGTATCCGTACACGCTAGCTTCGAACTGCGAAACCCCCCGGGTCCACCACCCGGGTCCCCAATTAGGCTAGTATTTAGACGGACGGCGATCCTTAGGCACTTCAACTTGAGTCACTTCAACACTTCCGCTGATCGCGCTGTTTCACTTTGTGTCCTTTTTGTCCTTGCTTCAATGGTCTGGACTCGACTTGCGCGTGGATGCAAACGAGTGGCGGACAACGCATTGGAGGGCGAAACTGCATGCTAACACGTTGGACGAGACCGACATTTCAGAGCCCCGTGACCTGTACCTAGACAGCAACGACCCCCCCCTCAGAACGCCACGAACGCTACGCGTAGTCAGCAGAAAATTTTAATGCACGTTGGTGCGAGGTTATCCATCGCGTGCCTCCACATCGTGGTCAACCGCCACAGGTTTCGACGCTCCATGCCTACAAACGCCACCGAAGCTGCCTTTCGTCATCGGCCCCTTTCACCGCTCGTCCCCAGCTTGCAGTGCCGGCAAGGGTTACACAGATCAGTTTGTTCCAGTCCGTCATCGACAGCTCCAGCTCCATTCCTCAACTTGCGCGCCCGATGCCACATCTCGATGTTCTTCTCCAAGTTGTCGGCCCTCAGCTCGATTCATAGCTTCGTGTCTCCATTGGACCTTTCAATGACAGAGGCCCGTATGCTCCTCGTCTTAACCAACGACCTCGTCCGCCACTGCACCGAAACAAGCAGCACGGTTCTAGTTACCAAGTGTGGTCACGCCGACGCCAGAGCCTGGAAGGAGCTGCGACGCAGGGACAACATCCGCGTCTACAAGGAGCGAGCGCGCTCCAGGGCCACGCCCACCACCCCGTCCCTGCTGCTGCTCGGCACCGTCAAGGGCAACCTCGACGACGTCATGTACGCCATGGTGACCCCCACCGAGCAGGCCATGAAGATCAAGTCCAACTGCACGCACGACGGCGTGATCGACCGCAAGGTGCTGCACGAGATCGTGCGCCCCAGCGTGGACGACCCGTTCCGCCACGTGAGCGTCAACTGGTCGCTGTACGCCGACTCGGAGCCGCACGACTACGTGTGCGTCGAGGCCACGGGCGTCACGCACACGCTGCGCGGCGAGCGCGTGGGCTTCCACCTGTCGCACTCGGTGGCGTTCTCGCAGCTGCCGAGCTTCTCCGAGTCGCACGGCGTGGAGCGCGGTCACCGGTCGATCTGCTCGCTGTACCGCGAGACGACGGCGGGCGAGGTCGAGTGCTACGTGCGCGGCTTCTTCGACTTCCGCGACGGCGACAACGAGCTGCTGACCAACATCGCGCTGCACGCGATCGCCAACCAGTGGCTGTCGTTCTCCCGGCAGATCGAGTTCGCGCACATGAAGAAGCTCGTGTGGCGTCTGCGTCGCGATCGAAGCGACTCGGATGGCTTCAACAACCAAAACCATGCAATACGAGACGAAACCTGCTGCGTCTGCTTCAAGTCGTTCGGGTTCCTGGGGCGGAAGACGTCGTGTGCCAGTTGCGTACGAGCGGTGTGTCCTCGGTGCCGCGTCAAGAAATTACTGTGTACCGAGACGTCCGATGGGCGAATAGTGACCGAAAAGAAGGTCGCGTTCTGCAAAACATGCCTGCGTGAGAGCTTATCGAGCAGCGCCCGCGTGATAGCGCACCAGGAGCTGCAGTTGATTGAAGACAAAGCTCTTGTCCAGTCCCGAAGCGAGCTGATGAAGCTGGCACGGAAGCGAACGCCCTCCTGGATCGCCACCACTTCCTCGTTTCGGGTGCTTCGTATGTGAACTACACACTTGGTAGTTGATCAGTTGAATAACCACGCAAACTTGAACGTGTAGTCGTTGCCTGCAACACCACAGAAGAGCAGTTAGACTAGTACTTCGTCAATGCGAATCAATGCACAAGGCCTAGCAACCGTACCGTAGTGCTCCAGCGTTCCCTGGACATTGTACATTATCCAGAACATGAGGTGAACTTGCACCCCCTGCATTTGTTTTTCCAAGACGAAGCCCAACTGGTGGAGTGGTGCTAAGCCCAGCGTGAATTTCAGTTTATACATTAGCAAGAGCAGCGAGGCGAGCTGGAGCAAGCCGTTCAGCAGCACGTTCTTGAGCGTTTGGTACAGTTGAGCGCGACCCATCCCGTAAAAGACGGTGTAGTATTCCTGATTGGGCATATGGTACGTTGCAACCAAGTAAAATGCTGCTCAACATACAGTCAGTTCACCGCGAGTATCACTGCAAGCTCATATTATATACCAGGACAACACGTACAATACACAAGCGGAATGATGACCTCGACGTAGTTAACAAGCAGGAGGAACTCAGCCATGTAGAGTAGTCGCCGGACCTTGATCGTGTAGCTGCGAGCAGTAAAGGCGCTTGGTTGTCGAAGCAAAATCGTATCACCTCCATAAAAAATAGGCCCAACTCGGTTTCGACAAAATAATTGTGTTAACCCGTGAAGTCGGGTGAGCTAAGACGTCCAACGTGGTTTCTTGTCTGAGCAAAATCCTCACCAACTTTTTGCAATCCCGCTGATGAAATATGAGAAGCCGCATGCGCAGCCACCAGCGTGAGGTCCCTCGGAGCAACATCTTTCCGACTTATCAATATATTTGCTCGTTCCAGAGTTGTTGGCATACGATTTCGTGAATTCGTTTGGCCAATCGCGCCACGTTGGCTACCCCATAGACACTCCCGGTCGAGTAGACGTTCAATATTCACAAGCTCCGTACGTGCAACGCTCAGATCGCGGATAGATAGCCCCATCAGCAAGGTGTCGGCAATCATAATCGCCAGTGTCGTCTGAAACGAGGGCGATAGCTGCATGCAGCACGATACGAACAGCGAGCCAAAGACGTCGGCGTTGAACACGACGATTTCTGGCGTCTCGTCGCCAAGGTGATGAACAGCTCGCGCGAAGACATTTCGCATGAGCAGCTTCAAAGCTGGTAGAAGCAGTATAAACCACATCTGAGCCTGACGAGACAAAGCTTTGAAAGTCACAAAGTACGGGATGTAGACTGCGGCCACCAGTACATCACAGCACCAGATTTTGAGCATATCCACGAGCATTTTGGTCGCCCCCGGGGTGTCCCGAAACAAATTTCTCCATTGAATAAATAAGCAGAGCGAGATCAGCATGGTCCACGGGGGCATCATATGCTGAATCGAGAACGGAGTTGGAAACCCGATAGCTAGAGCAAAACCGTACTCGATCCCACAACTCCCCGCTGCCACAAGCACTGCATCCCGGATCACTCGCTTGGTTCAGTACGGGAGTATTGGGACTCCAAGGCGAAATTGGTGGAAGCAAAGGAGTGCACACGTCAAAGTAACGGAGTATAAACGCACGTAGAACAACTTGTTTGAATGGACGCCAGCCGATGGGTCGGGGAGCGGGATGATATCGACAAGCAGCGTCGGGATCAGGCTCAGCACTGGTGTTAGCACCGCTAGTGAGACAGAGCGCGCCGGGTTTGTAGTACGTGTGAACTTCGCCAGCTCCTGGACTCGCTTCGGGGAGTAGATACCGTGCAACTTCACCTGCGTAGACTTGTACAGCTTGACAAGCTTGCTACATCGTGGCATTATCAATCCGCACTTCGGTGAGTAGTGAGTTATAAGTTCTTGGATAAGTATGGTTCATTTGTGGACGCAAAAATAGTTTGAAGTTTGCTTACTGATCTTCACAGTGCCGCTCACTACAGATACGTATTAGTCGTGCTTCGTCCATCAACGTTGTGTAGATATTCCATTGCCAAAATTAACTTTGAATTTGGACATGGGTTTCCTACTTACTCCATCAGACTCTCGCAAAAGCATTTTGGTTTTGCTAAGCTTACCTTCTGAGATGTCACACGATGGTACACAACGGTGCGGATGAACAACAGAGTGAGACTTGGGTGTTTTGGGTGTTGCCACGCTCGTTCAGAGACGACTTAGCTGGAACTATTTGCCCTGACATCTGCTTCTAGGCTGCTTCCTGACAAGTTTCTTCATTTTAATGAAGAAATTTAATGTATCGCAAAATGATTGTTACATGTCGATGTGATCCTCGGACGTGCAGTCATTTTGGTAACCTAACGCTCACAAAAGGCCCCAAGCCTCGTGCCAACACTTTATTCACGAACTTCTCATCCTTTTTGTGCTGGCGTTATGCTTCATCGTCGTATAACCACGCAAACTTAAACGTGTAATCATTATCTTCAACACACACAAGTTAATTAGAGCGATTCGTGGTCATCACGAATCAATACATGACCAAACCAACCGTAGTGCGCCAACGAACCCTGCACATTGTACATTATCCAGAAGATGCGATGAACTTGCACCCACTGGATCTGCTTTTCCAGGACAAAGCCCAGGTGGTGGACAGGTGACAGTCTCAATGTGATGCTCATTCTATACATAAGCAAAAGGAGCGAGGCGAACTGGAGCGCGCAATACAACAGCACATTCTTGAGCGTTTGTGCACGATCCATCCCGCGAAAAACAGAGTAATATTCCTGGTTTGGCATGTGATAAGTTGCAACCAAGTAAAATGCTACACCGTTAAAAAACGTGGCACCGTAAGTAATAAAAAAACAATATCTTCGACTGCCAGTTCACGCGATACGTACAGTACACAAGCGGAATTATGACCTCAACGTAGTTCATGAGTAGGATGAACTCAGTCATATAAAGCAGCCGCCGCACCTTGGCCGTGTAGCTTTGAGCAGTTAGAACGCTCGGTTGTCGAAGGAAAATTGGGCCACCTTCGTAAAACTGGAGGCGAACGCGGTTCCGACATAATAGTTGTTTCATCTTGTGAAGTGCTGGCAAGTCGCGTGAACTAGGACCTTTGGCGTGATTTTCCCTTTGGTCATGGCCTTCATCAATTTGTCGTGATCCCGTTGATGAAACTTGAGGAATCGCATGTGGCTTCAGAGCAAACTCTTTCCGACCAAGCAGCATGCTAGCGCGCTCCAAAGTTGTAGACAAATGAGCCTGCCTATTAGCGTGGTCAGGACGACTACTCACTATACTCTCCTGGTCCAATACTCCGAAGTTCCCTGCACGCAACACTTAAATCATGAATAGACAGCGCCATCAACAAGGTGTCCGCGACCATAATAAAAAAAACCGGGTCGTTCTCGACCACAAAGATCGCCGTCACCTCCATAAGAGAGCGTAGCACTGCGACGTAGCTGAAAACCCAATTCACTTCACTTGTGTTTACTTCAAGGCAATCGATTGCTGCTGCTCCTCGGCGCAGCTTAAATACAATCAAAACTATTCGCTCACTCGGACATCGACCACCAGTCCGAGTCGCGGGTGTAGACTCGAAGATGAACCTCGTCTCGCGCGACGTCCAGGGCGTTCTCACTGAGGACGTCCTGGATGCACGGGCCGCAGACTGGCAGCTTCTTCTCGAGGATGGCTGTGTTCTCCCAGGGTCTCACAGTGCACACGGTCCTCTTCACCTGGCACTTCGAGCACACCAGTTGGCCGCACACTCTGCAGGCTTTCTTGCCCGAGCCGAGCAGTCCAAAGCTCTTGGTACAGATACCGCAGTGGCTTGAAGCTTTGGCTGCCGCTGAGCTCTTCCGTCTTTGCGCCAGTGTCATGGAGTCGAAGCTGCTCCCGCTGGAGCTGCACGAGCTGCACGTGTCGATGCTGATGCGTGCCGACTTCTTACGCAGACGCCACACCAGCTTCTTCATCTCAGCGCACTCGATCAGCTGCGAGAAGGACAGCCACTGGTTGGCCATCGAGTTCATCGAGATGGCGGAGAGCACGGTGTCGTCCTCCTGGAAGTCGAAGAAGCCGTGCACGTAGCACTCGACGCTGTTGGGCGCGCGTTGGCGATACAATGCACAGACGGACAAGTTGCCTCGCTCCACGTCGGCGTTCTGAAAGGGAGGCAATTGCGGAAACCCGACGGAGTGTGCGATGTGGTAGCCGATGGACTCGCCCTCGGTCGTGATCGCAACACCCGATGCCTCGACGCAAATGTAGTCGCGGTGTTCAGGCACGGAATACAGTCGCCACGCCACGTTCACGTGCTGATACGGGTCCTCCACCGTCGGACGCACCACCTCGTGCAGCACCTTGGCGTCTACGATGCCATCCTGCACGAACTTGGACTTGACTTTGATGTCCTCGTCGCAAGAAGCTGAGACCGCGTACATAACGTCGTTCAGCGTGCCTTTAATGGTGCCGAACAGCAGCAACGAGGGCACCGTCGGTTCAAGGGCATCGGGGTCTTTGCTCTTCTTGCTGCGTTGAGTGTACACCCGGATGGAGTCTTTGCGGCGCAGCTCGCGCCATTCGCGAGGCGTCTTGCCAGTCTTGCGAACCCGCTCCGAGACGTGGAGGTACTCGTCGATGTTGCTCAGCACGAAGTTCTCCGCCAAGTTCTGGAGCTCGATCTCCTCAGTGTCGTTGAGTTTCAAGGGTGGCAAGGCGTCGACGAGTGAGTGGACGGACTTCATGCTCTGCTCTTCGTCCGACGGAATCGCAAATGATCCCAGTCGCAGCAGCAGCAGGTTCGTCGACCAGAACAAGTCGGTGGGATATAAGTCCAGCTTGAGGCGTTCGGCGCGAGGCCTTCTCCTTAGGCCAATCGTCGACGCTAGCGCCGGCAAAGTCCAGAACGCGTGATGGCTCCGACCAATGGAGCGCCACGCGTGACAAGCGAGCTGCTCATCAGTCGAGAGCAGCAGGTGCTCGAGCCAAGTTGAAGCGAGAAGATCGCTGAGCTTTTTGACACGGACGGACGGAGTCACGTGCATTCCTGTTTCTCTTTGGGGCTATGGTACTAGTGCTGGACTACTCACTCACACGACGACGGCCAGCAAACAAATTGTCCTCGAGGTTGCGTTGCCTCCGAGGGGTTCAGTTCATACAGCTTGTAGTGCGCAGGTCTCGTCAATGTGCGGCGTGTCTTCGTCGTCCTGTGGCTGCCGCTCGTGCAGCTCTCGGATCTCGTCCTGGGCGATGGCCAGCGCGTCGCTCTTGGCCACTTGGCAAACGCACGCGGCGCAGAACGTGCGCTTCTTGTCCAGCACTGTGCGACGGTCGGGCGCCAGCACACACACGAGCTTCTTGACGCTGCAGCTGGAGCACACGCCGCGCTGGCAGATCTTGCACGTCCGACGCAGCGAGAAGCCCAAGCTGCGTCTGCAGACAGCGCACCCACTGCCACTACCAGCTTCACTCTTGTCGATTTGCTGCTGCGCGGTCTCCTCTACCGGCTCGATGACCATGGGCCCGTTGACTGGGAGGCCCGAGTTCTTGCGCAAGCGCCACACGAGCTTCTTCATCTCTGCGCAGTCGACGTACCGTGAGACGCTGAGCCATTGCGTGGCCACCGCGTTGATCGACAGGCTGTTCATGAGCTCGTTGCTGTCGCTGCGGAAGTCGTAGAAGCCGCGCGCGTAGCACTCGACGAGCTCGGGCGCCTTTTGGCGGAACAGGCAGCACACCGACATGTTGGCGCGCTCGACGCCGAACTTGTCGAAGCTCGGGATCTGCGAGAACGCCACCGAGTGCGAGATGCTGAAGCCGATTTGCTCGCCCTTGCTGCTCGTGGCAAAGCCCGTGGCGTCCACGCACACGAAGTCGCGCGCGTTGTTGTGCAGGCGCCACTTGACGCCGACGTGTCGGAACGGCTGCTCCTCGCTCGGAGCCACGACGGACTGCACCACTTTGCTCTCGAGCACGCCGTCCTGCAGACACTTGGACGTGAGCTTCATCTGCTCGTCGGTCGCGGCCGCCGCCACGAACATGACGTCCTCGAGCTTGCCCACGACCGCGCCGAGCAGCAGAAGCGACGGGATGCAGGGCAGCGCGGGGCCGGATGCAGTAGAGTGCGTCGCCGACCGCTCCTTGTACACGCGGATGCCGTCCTTGCGGCGCAGCTCCTTCCATTGGTGGGCGTCCGCGTGGCCGTCCGCCGTCACCTGCAGCGCGTTGAAGCTCTCCATGTTGTGGACCACCAGCGTGTCGGTCAGCTCTCGGAGCGACGTCACGTCCGACTCGCCCAGCTGCAGCTGCGGCACGTAGGCCGCCAAGTCCTGCGATCGCATTGCGATGGAGTGAATACCTAGATGTTCTTGCGCTCTCGTGTCCAATCCCGGAATGAAGCCCTCTGGTAGCGGAGACCGTCATTGCGCGCGTCCCGCCACGCACTTCAAGCTCCTCGAGCCATCGTAAAAGTTCGAAATCAGAAAGAGTAATTTTTGGAAAGGCAAAAGTACACTATCTATCAGATTTACACGTTTTGTTGACACTGTAGTATACTAAGATCGGACGATCTGTTGTGTTTTATGAACACTCTTATGCATACTTTCATGAAAGTTTTTCGACCTGAATTATGTCCCGATGACAGGTCATGTCTTAGCGACCTGAACGGCATCGCTCTTCACTCTCCACGCGTTTAGACTAGTCTGGTAGTCTGAGCTGGTCGTGGAATCCGGGCGCCTTAACCCAGTCGCCCCCCCATGTAGTGCATCAAAACTTTTGATTCAAAAGTCGCGGCCAGATATCGGATGATCCGAGCCCCTTGGCGTCGTTTCAATTTTCGAACGCGAACTTGAACAGGAACGACTCACTTTCGGTGCGGCGTCGGAGCAGCGTGCGCACCGAAAAGCGTTAGGCATGATTCTGAGAGCGCCAGCAGCATGTTGCGCTGGCCTAATCGAGTCGAGTTCATTGCTGCAGGACCCTCAGGTCGGAATCTACATGTACTAGCCGCATTTTGATGCGAGGTCCGTGGCCGCGCTGATGTTCCAGAGCGGGAAAATGCGTGCGAGGTGGAGCACCACTCCTTGTTTTTCCAAATACGAGAACGATCTCAATCCTGCTTTCGCAAAAAGCTATCGTAGTTTTGGTAAAGATGCGGGCTTTGAGCAGAAGAGAACTGTAGGTTCGGACCGGCAAGCAGTCCGTCCTTCTCCAACATGCACAGGCCTGGTCGTACATCTAACATTGCTCTTTCCTTGATTGCGCAGCTCTCGAGGTCGCTCTGTAATGGTGAATGCCGTACTTACACAACGTGGTCCGTCAGAAGTAGGCCGCCATCTGCTTGTCAGCGTTCAGGATCTCCTCACGCGCCACGCACACAGCGTCGATCCGCACGACGTCGTTGATGCATTGTGCGCAGAACACACGCTTCTTCTCGATCACGGTCACCTGGTCGGCGGCAAGCGCCGCCACCGTCTTCACCACGGAGCACCGCGAACAGACCTGCTCGTTGCAAGCCTTGCAGACCTTGCGGCTTGTGCCGAGAAACCCGAAGCTCTTGGAGCAAACCTTGCACAATCCCGGAGTGGGTGGCGCCATTGGTAGCTTCGATTTGCCCTCCTCGCTCGTTAGCGACATGATAGATTCGCGGTTGTTCTTCTTGTGCATCGTCCAGAGCAGCTTCTTCGTCTCCGCGACCAGGCGCGGGAAGGACATCCACTGAGCTGCAATGGTTGCGAGGGTAGCGTTGTTGATACTATCATTCTTACCCAGGTCGAAGAACCCGCGCGCGTAGATTTTAACCGTCGACGGCGTGTTCTGCACGTACAGCGAGCACAGCGACATGTTGCAGCGCGGGACGTCGCAACTGGAGAAGCGCGGGACTTGATCGAACCCGATCGAGTGCGTTAGGTGGTATCCGATCCGCTCCCCCTTGGCGGATGTGGCGATGCCGGTCGAGTCGAGGAAGACGTGGTCCCGGAACTCCGGCTCACCAAACATACACCACTTGACGCTGATGTGGTGGAAGGGGTCGTCCATAGTAGGCCTCGCCACATTGTGGAGTAGCTTACAGTCCACGATGCCGTCTTCGATAAGTGCCGACTTGATTCGCATCGCTTCGGTGGAAGGAGCGACTACGGCGTACATGAGGTCTTCCAGCGTACCAACCACAGTCCCCAGTAGCATGAGTGAAGGCATCTCCAACGGCTCGCGCTTGGTAGCCCTCTTCTTAAAGACCCTCGTGTTTTCTCTCTTGCGAACCCCCTTCCAGCGGTTCTTGTTCACTGGTGCACCAGTCTTCCCGAGATCTAGGCTGGCGTATTGCTCGATGTTGTGCAGGACCAAGGTCTCCGCTAGCTCGCAAAGGTTGGTGTTGTCTTGCTCCGTGCATTCCAATGGCTTGAGCAAGTGCGAAAACTTTTGCGTCGGCATGCATGGGCGTATTTTATCTTCGAGTTGGTGATCTCTCTGCTGTCGGTCCTTTTGGGTTGTGTGGTATGATCTACCTTCGACGAGTCTCGTCTTAGCTGCTTCAGCCCTACAGTTCGTGCCAATGCAGTGCTGCTGAAGCAAACACCAACCAATACGTCCAGTTGAGTTGTCTTCACGTTGCGCTCGATAGCACCCAAAGCTGAGGTTTGGCTGGTTCCGTGGCGAGTCTTTCGTGGTGGTGGAAATCGGACTGGCGAGAAGGCGAGCCAAGCGTTTCCCATCGAGACGATGCGGCACTACGCTCGCATTGAGGCCGTCGTCTTGGTCTCCGCTGAATGCGGCGGTCCAGCGGTCTATTGATTCGGCCCGGACCCCGCCGCCCACAGCTCGAGCGGGGCACGGAAGACGCTATACTCCCTGGCATAGTTTCCGCTAGCAACACCAACGTACGGCGCGTCACCTCTTTACTGCCCGTGAGGCACACTGTCGAGATGTCCACTAGCCTCACAATGGCTCGAAGGTCGGACCAAGCTCATGAAGTAGCAAACTGGCGCTGCTGCGGTACTGCAGTCGAGGACATTGATCTCGGTTTCTTGATACCGTTTCTGTGAGCCCATACAGCGAAGGCTATCATGAACGCGGCAGTACAGAGGTTGGGATGGTCGTGCTATCATGGCACCTTTGAAGCCTACGCTTACAGCAAACGCATCCCCGGACATGGCTTACACATCGCGACGCGGCGTATGCAACATAGGACCAAGCTGAAGGTAACTTGACGACACTGAACTTCGCACCAGCGGAACCAGTTCTACAAGTGACTTGGGTTTTGTATGCCTTACGTTGAAGTTGACAGTCACTTGAAGTTTGACAATCATTTATTGTATTCACTCGACTCGATCTCAGATAAACGAGTAAAATGGTAGCGACGAAGGCCTAAAGATGTCGCTTGGATACATTTCCTGCTCCTCGGCAAAGTTCACGAACTGCTCCATGTCGTTCATGCTCTGCTGGAACTGCCGAATGGGCTCTGCCAGCACTGTCTCGCTCGCGAAGGGCTCCTCCTCGTAGAAATGCAAGGCCGACGCGTTTACAGGCACCTCCCTACTGAACCACGAGTAGAGATACGCCATCTTGGGCACAGTCTCGCTCTGCACGGCGTAGTCGAGTGGGTTGACCTCCACACCTTTCTGGGTCGGCAGAGGCTTGTTGTAGAGCGCTGGGGCGTGGAAGGGAGGCGCGATGCTGTGCCACGACGCCAGGCCGTTCATGAAGTGGTGCTTGATAGCGTTCTGGAAGATAAAATGCGTCAGGACTCGTACCAAATCATCGGCGTTAGAGAACGATGAAGGAAAATCGTGAATGTGCTCGAGACAGGAGCTTCGTTCAGCCCACGTCTGTAGCTCGGAATCACCTCGAATCGCCTCGTCGTCGGCATAGTATGCTCGCACGTACTTCCTTACAAACGTCTTGACCGCATCGTAGTACTTGGTTCCGTAGCGATTGAGGCGATAATCGGGTAAGAATTCCATCTCACGGGCAGCCAAGTCCGTTGGGAGGTCGAGCGCAATGGAGGTTGTCTCGAATTCGCGCATCACGGCTCGTAACGATCCAGTAGCGCCGTAGCCCGTGACTTGGTCGTACGGAGTGCCGGGGCTTAGCAGCTCTCGTCTGGCGAAGTACTCCATTCCGAAATCTGCGAAGAAGTGATAGTCCAGCAACGCGTAGATCGGGTGTTCAGTCGCTAGACTTCGCATCATTTCAACTTGAACGGGGACCGAGACCAGGTGCGTCTCGACAAAGTGCCGCATCTGCTGGAAATTGACCTCCGTGGCGTGGAATGCCATCTTTGCAAGTTGCCACTCACCCGGTGAGTCCGCCTTCGTATACGTCAGCTCTGAGTTAACAAGCGTGATCGCAAGTGGGAGGAGCTGCCGCGTCTTGACGTTGTTGCAGAAAAACCCGATGGTATTGGGGATGTACTTGCTGTCCTTGGCAGCTTCGTCGGTGAGCTCGCCGTAGTCCGACAGGTCGGCGACAAAGAGCTTGTGGTTGCTCAGAGTACTTGCCAACGTCGGCTCTCCGCATACGTCTTGAAACAGAGGAAACGGGATGTCCCACAGATACTCCGCGTACTCACCGCCGTGCACCAATTTCAAGTTGTTGCCGAGAATGCTGAGCCGCATGGCGCCGAAGTTCTCGTCACTCGAGTCGAGTGCCAACGGCGCTGGCATCATCCCAGTGTGGGCTAAATCCTTGTACGCTTGATGGAAATCCTCCGCATCCCCAAACGGAAGCCGTTCCTCCAGGAAAGTCTGAACCTTGGACGCGTTGAAGTTGGTTGTCGCTGTAAGAGCCGTAGCCTGCTTTACCAGGTGCTCGAAGTACAGCATCCACTCGGTGGAAACCTCCGGCCCCGGGTTCAACACGAACGTTTGGTCTCCTACCGAGTACGTTCGGTTGACGTTGCGGATGAGCATGGAGCTGGCTTGGACGATGGACGCGCGGTGGCCATCTTCAGGATCTGGGATGCCCAATGCACTTGTGCTGAGCAGCAAAGCGCTGAAGATGGCAGCAACCTTCAGGAGAGCAGTCTTCATCTTGGACGGGAGAAGTCTTGTCCAGTCGACGGCAAAATGCAAAATGAGCCTTTGCATTGAGTGCCTCAGGAGAGACCAGGAGCGTTGTCACCGTACGTGCAAGGACCTTCACGGTGTGGATTCTTGGCTTCAAGCCACGTACGTGGAGGTCGTTTCTGAAGACCCGCACTCTCAGCGAGTGGTTGCTGCACTCCATGCAGGCAACTATCATGCAACGTATCTCCCCAACCGCGTAGTTATGACAGAAGGGCCCCTCGCAAGCTTGGGTTGCCTTGAAGACCATCAATCCCTTCCTGCAGACATTCAAAATCCAACATGTTGAATCGTGGTACGAATCCTCTGTAAGGACGTGCGTACGCTGAGCAGGTCTGGACAATGCGTACTGGGGCCATTACGTAGTCCTACCAAAGTCCCACAGACAGCAGAGACACGGTGCATACAGTACTAATATCCGTCATACGAAAAAGAAATCCCAGCATGGAGTGTTGAGACCATACTGGTAGTGAGATGTTAGCTACGGATTTCCAGCTTCAGAAAAGATCTGCACTTTCTTCCTTACCTCCTCGCCTACCGGAATATCAAATGATACACTCTCGAGCTAACTCGCCGATAAAGACTTATTTAATCCTTGTGCGCGCTGGTGATGTAGTTGAGCAGATCAATCCGCGTGGCGAGACCCGCAATCTTGCCGTCAGTTGAAGTCACGACAGCGAAATAGTCCTTGTCAAAGATCGTGGCGAGCTCCGCTAGCGAGCTTTCGTGGGTCACGCGGCTGAAGTTTCCGAAGGTCACAGCCGCCACGGGGTCCGCGCGGCTCACGCGACCAGAAGACAGCATGGACAGCAGGTTGCCGATGGTCACCACACCCTGCACCGTGCCGTTTTCTTTCACGACGGGAAGCTGGTCGTAGCCGTGACGCTCCATCGTTTCAATGGCGGCAGCGCACGAGAGATGTGGCGCCACCGTCGACGGGTGCGGCAGCTCCAGCACAGACACAGGCTGCGCCGACCACCAGGTGCCCGTTTCCTTGCGGTACTTGGAGTAGTTCTCGCGCGTGTGCACCGTGTTCTCCACAAACTTGTTCTCGTACATCCACGCGTCGTTCAGGAACTTGCTCATGTAGTTGCGCGTCGAGTCCGGCAGGATAACAACGCAACGCTGGCCAGCCTTCAGAGTTGAAGCAGCGCGCACAGCGGCCGCCATGGCAGAGCCACTCGATCCACCGCACAGCAGTCCCTCCTCGCGGATCAGGCGACGGGACATGATGAACGACTCCTGGTCGTTCGTCTTCTCCCACTTGTCGACCAGGTTGCGGTCAAGCACATCCGGGATGAAATCGTAGCCGATCCCTTCAACCTTGTACGACTGGAGGCGGTTCTTGTCGTTCAGGGATTCGGGCTGAGCCAGAATCGATCCCTCCGGGTCCACGCCCACGACGATCACATCAGGGCACTTCTCCTTGAGCTTCTTGGCGATACCGGAGATGGTGCCGCCAGTGCCGACGCCCATAACCACCATGTCGACCTTGCCGTCACACTGGTCCAGGATCTCTTCGGCAGTGCCTTCGTAGTGAGCCAGCGGGTTCGATGGGTTGGCGTACTGGTCGAGGATGTGGGCGTTCGGGAGCTCGGCCTGCAGCCGCTTGGCGATGCCGATGTGGCTCTCGGGCGAGTCCCACGCAGCCTCCGTCGGCGTGCGGATGATTTCCGCGCCCAGCGCCTTGAGGACGTTCACCTTCTCCAGACTCATCTTCTCTGCAACAGCACAATTGCACCAATATCCATGTAAATAACCCCCATTCAACCACTGGCAGCACCAGCACAGACAACGGCAGCCTTACCGGGCAGCGTGATGATGCAGCGGTAGCCCTTGATCGCCGACGCAAGCGCCAAGCCGATGCCTAGCACATAAAGGAACACACAGCGTCAGCCCCCCCTTTTAAGCAGCCAAACAGCAGCCTACCACTTCACGCACCAGTGTTGCCCGACGTGGGCTCGATGAGCGTGTCGCCCGGCTTGATGCGGCCCGCGGCCTCGGCGTCCTCCACCATGCGCTTGCCGATGCGGTCCTTGACGGAGCCGCCGGCGTTGAAGAACTCGCACTTGGCCAGGAGCTCGCACTGCAGATGCGCCTTCTTGCCGATGCTGTTGACGCGCACCATGGGCGTCTGGCCGATCGCCGCCTGGAGAGGAGAGCGCGAGGACGATCCAGGTCAGCGGCTAGCGGACACCATGCCATAATGGCTACATCTCGGCTTCTACGCGGAATTGGGAGGTAATTCCGGTATGCACGCAGAGGGGAGATGCGAGGCTACGCACCATGATGTCCGGCAGGATCTCCAGCGCCGCGGGGGGCAGGGACGACTCGAGCGAAGTGGAGGAAGCCATGGCTGCGCGTGTGGAGTCGAGGTTGAGGTGGTACGGGGGATGCGCTGCACCGAGAAGGCGGAGTGGTGTGGCGAACACGAAACACCACCTTCACTTAAAACGATCTTGTGGCAGTGTGAGCCACTCCAGGAACGTGCCAGGGCTAGGGCTTTCATCTTGGCGTGTTTGACCTGTCAAATCGGATGGAATTCGTTGGCTGGGCGCTCTTTGCGCCGTCGGCGAGAACTCCGATCCTCGATGTACGTGTGCCACACAGGTCCTCCGTCAACGCAAAAACATTCAAATCTACCTCAATACAATGCATAAACCGCGCAACTCGATCGGGATCCGAGATGATGGTGCAGAGCGCGGCCACCCGCAATCTGAGGTCTCCATTCCGCGCGCCGGGACGAGTGCGCATTCCGCATTTGGCTCCGTCCCGACCAAGCAGCTTCAACCCCCTCCGCCTTCACACACACTCCGCCACCATGGTTCTCGTACGTGCGCGCGCTCTGCCTTCTCGCCTCCTCAGCGGCAGCCTGTGACGCTGCCGCTGTCCGCGCCGCCTTCTCCTCCTGCGCAGAGCCCAGCCACTGACGCCTTTTGCCGTGTTGCTTCTTCTCTACCTCTTTACAGGCCGGTAACGCCACGATCGAGGAGCAGGACCCCGAGATCTTCAACCTCATTGAGGCCGAGAAGAACCGCCAGTGGAAGTGCCTGGAGCTCATCGCCTCGGAGAACTTCACGTCGCGCGCCGTCATGGACTGCCTGGGCTCGTGCCTGACCAACAAGTACGCCGAGGGCCTGCCGAACGCGCGCTACTACGGCGGCAACGAGATCATCGACAAGATCGAGATCCTGTGCCAGCAGCGCGCGCTGCAGGCCTACGACCTGGACGCCGAGAAGTGGGGCGTCAACGTGCAGCCGTACTCGGGCTCGCCCGCCAACTTCGCCGTGTACACGGCTCTGCTGCGCCCGCACGACCGCATCATGGGCCTGGACCTGCCCAGTGGAGGCCACCTGACCCACGGCTTCTACACGTACTCGAAGGCCGAGAACACGCGCAAGGCCGTGTCCGCTACGTCCGTGTACTTCGAGTCGCTGCCCTACCGTGTGAGCGCCGAGACCGGTCTGATTGACTTTGAGAAGCTCGCTGAGCAGGCCGCTCTCTTCAAGCCCGCCCTCATTGTGTGCGGTGGCAGCGCCTACCCGCGCGACTGGGACTACGCCGCCTTCCGCAAGATCGCCGATGACAACGGCGCTCTGCTCATGTGCGACATGGCCCACTACAGCGGCCTGGTCGCCACCAAGGAGCACGCCAGCCCCTTCGACTACTGCGACATCGTGACCACCACGACCCACAAGTCGCTGCGTGGCCCCCGTGCCGGTATGATCTTCTTCCGCCGCGACGAGCGCAACTTCGAGCCGCGCATCAACCAGGCCGTGTTCCCCGCTCTCCAGGGCGGCCCCCACGAGCACCAGATCGCCGGTATCGCTGCTCAGCTGAAGGAGGTGCAGACCCCGGAGTTCAAGGCCTACGTGCAGCAGCTCAAGGCTAACGCCAAGATCCTTGCCAAGACCCTTACGGACCTGGGCTACTCCATGTGCACGGGCGGCACCGACAACCACCTGATCCTGTGGGACCTGCGCCCGCAGAAGGTCACGGGCTCCAAGCTCGAGAAGCTGTGCGACCTGGTGTGCATCACGCTCAACAAGAACGCCGTGCTCGGCGACCGCAGCGCCCTGACCCCGGGTGGTGTGCGTGTCGGCACGCCCGCTCTGACGAGCCGTGGCTTCAAGGAGGCTGAATTCGTCAAGGTCGCTGAGTTCCTCGACCGCGCCGTGAAGCTGTGCGTTGAGATCCAGGCCACGAGCGGCAAGAAGCTGGTGGACTTCGTCAAGGCCGCTGAGGCCCACGAAGGCGTGAAGCAGCTCCGTCGCGACGTGAACGCGCTGGCCACGTCCTTCGAGATGCCCGGCTTTAAGGTGTCGGAGATGCGCAACAAGACGATTGAGGAATAAGCGCCTCGTATAGATCGCTTTTCCACTGCCTATAGATTGTGTGCGGTGTCAAATTCGGGAGCTGCAAGCAAACAAAGCACCTTCCGCCACTGACATAGTAATGCATGTCGTGTGATCTAATCCAACCCACAAAACAAACCCCACTCAATATATTCAGCCGCAGTCGATGGCTTCAACCAAACACTACAATCCTAGCTGTACGCTGTCCGTCGAGCAACTTGTTCAAATGTCAGCCGCTGACCCAGTACCGTCGAATGTTTCCATTGTCTCCATCGTTGTTCGGCGAGTCGAAGAGTACGAGGAGCGGTGACCCAGGAGTTCCTCGCGGAGGATGAGCGCGGCGTCGCTTTTGGCTCCCTCCGCAATGCACTGCGCGCAGAAGACGAGCTTCTTGTCGTTCACCTTGCTCTTGTTGTGCGACGACACCACGCACACCTGCTTCTTGACGCAGCAGCGCTTGCAGACCCACTCGGCGCAGCAGGCACAAGCTCGCGGCGTCGTGCGCATGAACCCACCAAAACCACGATTGCAAACGCGGCACCGAGTCCCCGCCTGTACCTTAGGCCGAGAGTGCTGCCGGATGCCCGCGATGCCACCGGATGACGTCGAGCTGGAGCTCTGGCTGCTGCTGGCGAACGAGTCTCGACCCGTTCGGATCCGCATCCACCACACGAGCTTCTTCATCTGCGCGCACTCGACGTAGCGAGCCATCGACAGCCACTGCGTCGAAATGGTGTGCAGCGAGATGTTGTTGAGCATCTCGTTGTTCGAGTGGAAGTCGAAGTACCCGCGCGTGTAGCACTCGACGAGTGTAGATGTCTTTTGTCGGAAGAATGTGCACACGGACATGTTGGCTCGCTCGACGCCGTAGTTGCGGTAGACGGGGAGTTGCGCGAAGTCGAGCGAGTGAACGAGGTGGAAACCAACAAGCTCGCCAGAGTCGTTGGGCAGCAGCCCCGTGGCCTCGATGCACGTGTAGTCGCGCGGCTCGGACAGCGAGTAGTAGCGCCACGTGACGTTAAGCGCGTGGAACGGGTCGTCCGACGACGGGCTCTCGACGCAGCATAGCACCTTGCTGTTGACCACGCCGTCCTGCACAAATTTGGAGCGCGCTCGCATGGAATCCGTGCTGGTGGCGATCGACGCGTACATGACGTCATTCAGGCTGCCTGCTACGGTACCAAGCATCAACAGCGACGGGATGCCCGACTGCTCTGGGTGAGCGATCCCCGCTCTCATACACGTAGCGCTGTTCCCGCTGGGCATTGAGTTCTGGGGTTGAAACTCCTTGAACACGCGCACTCCTTCCTTGCGCTGCATCTCTCTCCATGTCCGCGAGTCGGGGAAGCCGTCCCTCGTTAGACGCAGCTCCTTCTGCTGGGCCAGGTTCGTCTCGAGCAAGCTCACAGACAACTCCAAGATCGCCTTCATGTCCAGACTCGACAAGTGCAGCCGCAGCAGCGACTGCGCCATCAGGTCGTCCTTGGACATGGTGGTGCTCAGCTGTGGCTCCGGAATGGTTGCTCGCTCGCTAGAAGACTTAATTTCGTGTGCCGGAGCGTCGGATCTTGAGACGCCCTACGGAGTATGGAGCACGCCGTGAAAACCACAATGCCACAAGCCAAGTTAGCGACTGGTTAAATGATTCATTCACCTCCATCGCTCGGCGTTACGGAGCCACAGAACTGCCGAACCGGCGACGACAGACAGATTCCGGGAAGGAGTGTGTCAGGTCGGAGGACGCCATGACATGCAGGCGCCCTGGAGACGTTTGCACGGCCTATTACACCCACCTCTCGCCACAAACTTGACGCCACAGCGTGACCGCTCGGCTCAAAACGAACAAGTCTCCCGCCTGTCGCTCCTGCGTGTGCGCTCTTGAGTCGTAAGCTGGCGAGGAATTCCTCTACCTGCGAACGAAAGCAATTCAGCGAATGCAGTCGCCTGGACGACGCGCAGTGAAGACGCTCGTTGCAAACTGCATAAAAGACTCGAATGAGTGCAGCGGCGCGACTCATACCGGGCGAGATACTTTTGCTAGACGCTCGCCACAGTGGCGTCGGCTTGACCTGCCCGCTCGCCTCTTCTCCGGCCAGTCTTATTCGCGCTAGCCACGTGAGACTTGCCTCAGACGCATCTGGCTACGCGTCCTGCGCCTCATTCGTTTGCAATGCGATGCTGCGGGCACGCGCGTGTACAGCTCTGCTCTGCTCCGCTCCGCTGGACGGAAGCGCCTACAGACAACGAACGACTTACAAAGCCGGCAGACACAAAAAGCCGGCAGACGAAGTCAAGCAAAGCTTAACATGAGCAAACCAGCCAATCAGATTCAATCAAATGACTTCATCTTTGTATACCATCTGGTTTAGTGTACTTTATATGCTTTCTTGTGTACTTTATGCAACACGCCGTGTGTTTTATGACAGTTTTACAGATTTGACGGGAGGGAATGTATCGTTGTTTTTATATAGGAGGATATGCCGGCTTTGTAAGTCGTTGTCTGTAATGCAGTTCAAAAAGTGACAGGCAAAAAGTATCCTGACTCGAATCGAGTCGGAACGTGGACCACATACGAATTTCAAGATGTACAAACCCTTTCAATCTCGATAGTTGTAGTGAACTATTGCAATAAAGAAGTTAGGTAGAGCATGATACGTGTATTTTTCATATCGCCCTAATGCTCGCTTTGATCGCGTGTGGCAAGATGCATCGTTGTTGCTTGTGCCAGTCACGTCGGCAGCGCCTGGCACCAATGCTCAATGCTCGCAATCACCGTGCTTTTCTTGAGCTACCTGGGAGAGAAACGACGAGTCAGGTGCAATGGTATCTGCGCACCTGGCGTTTCATCAGTAGCGGCGTGTAAACCACCAGTCGAGCGCGAGCCACCTACAAGACAGGCAACGAAGTCGCTGCCGGTCGTGCGGGTGGTTCGTCTAGGCTGTCCTCCAGTCTTCCAATATGCACGTGAGGAGGCGGCACAACGTCGTCCGCGCCTAAGCGCGCCGATAGCGGAGACCGAAGGTGGGTTCGCATAGGCGAGGTAGGAACATTACGACAATGCAAGTGCTCGGGTACAGATACTCGTTGATGCTTACGTTCAACTTGCGCGCTCTCCACCGAATTCTCTCTGCAGATTGGTGAAGAGAACGAGATTAGCCTCGTACACCCCATGCGTTTGGGTCGCTAAAATCGCTGAGAAAACAAATACTTCACTTTGTAAGTATCTACGGCGGAAATGCACACTACTCGCGCCCATACCCACATACACCGATCATAGACGGAAGACCTGTATTCCTTCACGCCGGCGCTTCAAGGCGAGCACCACACGACTTGGAGCTGATGATGATCACCAGCAATGCGGCGGCACTTTCATACTGCGCAGATTTCCTCTTGATCTGCAGGCCCAGCGACGATAGTCTCAAGGGTAGTGCTCTTTCTTCCGAGGAGTGGTGCAATTGGCGGCTTTTTCGACGCTTGACATCGAGGTTCAAAGCTACCAACTGTGCTGGGCTTGTGCGGCCGCGACAAAGTCGTCTCGTGCCACCGCGCCGGCCTCGCTCCTCATCGCATCGGCCACACACTGCTTGCAGAAGTTTTTCTTGCGTTCCCGTACACACTGCCGAGTGCGAGAAAACAGCACCAAAGTCTCCTTCACGCTGCAGCGGGAGCACACATCATCGTCGCAGGCTTGACAAATACGTCGAGATGCTCCGAGAAACCGAAAGCTCTTACAGCACAGCTTACACCGGGACGCCGGAACCCTAGCCGGCTCAGGCGGTGCGGGTAGTAACACAACCGAGTTACTTGAGCTCGACGTAGAACTTGACATGGTTGGATTGTACGGGTTGCTGCTGTAGTGTCCAAAGCCGCCGTCTCCACTGTCGCTCTCACTCCCGTCCGAAGATATGGCTCCCTTACCGCAGTTCAGCAGCCGAGCGAGCTTCATACTTTGAGCGTACGCCACGAGCTTGGCGCACGAAACCCATTGCGACGCGATCGCGTGCAGTGAGATGGAGTTGAGCATGGCGTTGGTCGTGTCGAACTCGTAGAATCCTCTCGCGTAGCACTCGACCAGCGACGCGGTTCTCTGACGGAAGATCCAGCAGACGGACATGTTGGCGCGAGCAATGCCTTTGTGGTCGAAGTTTGGCAGTGTATCGAAGCCGACGGAGTGGATGAGGTGGTAAGCAACCTGCTCTCCATGCGTAGTGTGCCCCCAACCAGCGACATCCAAGCACACGTAGTCTCGGGGCTCGGACAGCGCGAAGTATCTCCAAGTCACATTGAGGAAGTGCATCGGGTCTGCCATCGTAGGCTCCACAATACGCGCTAGCACCTTGCAGTCGACAGCTCCGTCATCGATGAACTTGGATTTGGTCAACATCGCCTCGGTAGTCGAGGCTGCTGACGCGTACAGCAAGTCGTCGAGGTTGCCCTTGATCGTGCCCATGAGCAGCAGCGACGGTGGCACCTTGGCCGTCTTGGCTGAGCCGTTTCCTGTTGCTGCTTGGGACCTGAGCTGCTGTTGCTGTTGGCGCGAGCTTTCCTTGTAGACCCGCACACCCTCTCGCTTCTGGATCGGCACCCAGGAACGCGAGTCCGGATGACCGTCTGAAGTCACCGCCAGCCCGCTATACTGGTCGAGGTTCTGCTGCAAAAGGGTCCCTGCCAGCTCCTGCATCATCTTTTCATCGTGGCGCTCCAGCTCCAACGTCGGCATCGTGATGCCGTTCTTGGGGGGAGACATGCTGTCTGAGCTCGGAATTGTTCCCACGTGCTAGTGCTGGGTTCGACAATGAAACCCAACGTCAAAGTGGTTTGAAATGCGTTCTCTCGACTGTCACGCGGCGATTTAGCAAGTGAGCAGTTCCTGGCTGGTCCGAAGCCCAGATTTGAAGGCCAAATACGCCACAAAAACGTCGTCGCGGGTTGAAGCGACTGAAGCCTGTCCGGGCAGCGAAACTGGAACGAAAGCGGCACGACGGCGTCGCCTTTTAGTTGGTAATCGCCCAGCACCTTCGTCTGGATCGCCATCCCTCGTGCCGCGCGCCAACCATCTGCATCGTTGGAAGTCAAGTGGGTAGTATGACGACTAGGTCGCCGTGACTCGCCGTAATACTCAGGCAAGTCGCCACCAAAACGCTTGCGCTCTCGCTGGAACGCGAGCATGTGAGTGCCCTGCTTTCAGTTTCGTCGGGTCGACAGCCGGCTGAGGGGAACCGCCTGCGCACTCAGGAGACCCACTACTTCCTGCTTGCTCTTAGTATGGAGAGCAGCGTGAGTCAAGCGCAGCACTGGCAAAACCTACCTTTAGAGGCGAGAAGTCATGCCCGATCCTTTGGCGGAGCGCCTAAGCCATCATGCTTCACTCCAGAAGTTGCTGGACCGACAGTGAATTCCTAGTGTAGCGCTAAGGTCGAGTTTGAAGCACGGCACTGCTGTGGCGGGTGCCCAGCGTTCATATTATTAGTTTGAGGCGGGCACTAATGATCGACACGATCACGACGCGAAGACGCTGACTTCGGTATGCTCTGATACAGTATCTACACCATGAGGCCTGCAGCGTAGCCACTTCATGCCATAATCTTAGGTGCTAGACCACGCGTTACTTGTGTTGCAGTGCACCTGCTGTCAGGAAAGTCCCCCAACGTAGGTAACCTATGAGAAGGTCAGCACTCAAGTGCTGAGTGCTGGGGCTCAAAGTGAGGTTAGCTGGATATGTGGGCTAAGTGTTGCGCGAATCCCCCTTCAGTATTGCTACGAACAGTTTACGCTTAGTAAATTTGGCGAGCTAAAGATAAAGGCACGTGCGCTTCAACGCATGGACGAAGTCCTATTCGTGTCAGGTAAGAGCACGAATCTGTGCCAAGCTACAGTTGGGATGCCCTTGCTTCGAGTTATCTTTGGCCCTCTGCTCTGTTCGTAGCTAGAGGTTCAATCGTCAACTGGTTCTCCGGCGTGAAGCTCAGCGCGGGACAAGAGGCTGGATTATTACAACCCCAAGGACGAACACAGCTAGCGATGGCCATCACTCAAGATGATATGGACTCGCTGGCTCGAACGCTCTTCATCCCCGTAATGCTCGTGCTCGACTCGGCCATGTTCCAGTACCTCGTGATGGTGTACTACTCGAGGAGAGAGGAAACCCGCGTCCGACTTCTTCTGTTGGCGTCGTTCCTCGGATTCGCGACTCAAGTTTACTCGCACGAAAGCATGGAAATGGCTTTGGAGCTCAACGATATCTAGGAGACGAGCCTGCAGCTGACGTTCCTCGCCCAGATTTCTCTCATCGGCCGCGCTGTCTGCACCAAGGTCAAAGTCCGGGGAATTTACTGGTTCACGTGCATCTCAGAGGTGCTGGTTGCGTTGTGTTGGCTTGACGTGGTGTGCACAACCTTAGAAGTCGCGGATGTCATCCAAGGAGACCTGTTTCATTTGTGCGGGAACGTGCTCGAGTCCTTCTCGCTCCTCTTCGTGCTCGCCTTTCGCTTCTACTATCTATCACTGACGAACGGCTTTCGCTCGGTGCTGCTGGAGCGCAAGCTCGACATCTCACTTTACGTGATTTTTGTGCTTCATGAGTTCCCGTTCATCGTCCTTGAGCACAAAACCGGCATCTCGTGGGAATTTGCGCAGGGAATTTTCAACCGGATCATGATCGTCGCCTGCATCCTGCAAAACCTCCGGCAGAAGGCGCTCCCAAGCAGTGGCAACAGCAGCAGCGCCAAGGGCAAGACGTATGCCATTGGCTCCATCCCTACTCGAATCGCATCGTTGAAGTCCCAAGGCTCCATTATCAGAAATGCTCTTGTCTCGAAAACGGGCTCGTTCCGGTAGTACCAAGCGCCACTAGAAATCTCCAGAATTGCGGTATCTTCCAGCATGAAGATAGAAAGCTTGGGGCCATCTGCAAGCATGATTGAGCCTGCAGGTAACGTCGAGACATTCGAGTGAATAAAATACTGGCTGATATCCACCATAATCGACAAAGTTCGGGTCAGACAGAGATCAGTGAAAGTAGCTTCGACTTGACGACACGCGCGCCAAGCCGTGTGCCAAATAGCGCGCTCGAAATGCCAGCTCAAGTGCACTGTGAGGCTCTGGGAAAACATAGCCACCCTCGAATAGAAGTTGCCAATCTACGGTCCGTGCATCCAGGACGTCCTCAGGGACAACGTACTAGGCGTCGCGCGAGACGAGGTACATCTACGGTCGATGAGCGAATAGTTTTAACTGTATTGCTGCTGATAAGCAGCAGCAATCAATTATCTCGAAGTGGATGCAAGTGAAGCAAATTCTTTTTTTTAGCTACGTCGCAGTGCTATGCTCTCTTATGGAGGTGACAGCGATCTTTGTGGTTGAGAATGACCCGGGTTTTACCGAAGTCGACTTCAGAGCTGGTGTGTGGGTCGTTGGTGCTGCCAGTTGCTTCTGCACTGGAGCAGGCGCATAGCGCTTGCTTCTCACGGTGGAGTTCTTGTTGCTGCTTTTGCTGCTGCTTCTGCTTGAAATCGCCTTATGACGGATATTCTGCACGATGCACGCCACGACGAACACACGGTTGCCAATTCCCTGGGCGAACTCCCACGTGACTCCAGTGTAGTATTCAAGCATCATGAACGGGAACTCGTGAATGACCAGTAGCACGTACAGAAACATCTCGAATTTTCGCTCTTCAAGCACAGTCTTGAGCCCGTGGGTGAGTGACAAGTAGTAAAAGCGAAACACTATGACGAAGATGAGCGACGTCGACTCGAGCACGTTCCCAATCAAGCTGAGGACGTCGCCCTTTATCACGTCGGAGACTTCCAGGATTGTCCAGCACAACCAGCGCATCCGCAGTGTACGTGAAGTAGAAGATGGAGCGAAGCTTGACCTTTTTGCAGACAGCGCGACCGATGAGAGTGATCTGAGTGACGAACGTTAATTGCAAACTCGTCTCGGAGATGTCGTTGAGCTCCAGGGCCATCTCGCGGTTGTCGTGCGAGTAAACCTGCGTCACAAACCCCAAAAGAGCAGCCAACAGCAGGGAGCGCACGCGGAACTCTTTTCTTCTGGAGTAGTAGACTGCCACAAGATTCTGGAACACCCACACGTCTAACACCAGCATGACGGGGATGAACACCGACCGGGATATAGCGTCCATGCCATCTTGCGTGATTGCCATGACTCGCTATTGAGTTGCTTAGTACACTGGAAAACGATGGTTTTTTTGACACGAACTGCTAAAGCGAGGGGTGAAAGTGAAAATGAGCAGACTAAGTTGGTTCGCACCAGAACACTCTTATCGTCATTGCACACCTAGAATAGCTGTGCCGAACAAGTCCCTAGAATTTAAAAAAGATCAGTTATTGCACGATGACATTAGGAATTGGACAGTTTTCAGCAGGTAAACAACACAAACGATAAATTAAAAATGCAATTGAGATCGCGTTTTTAATTTGTACCGACAAGGACTTAAAACTCCTCACTCCAACGGACTTCTCGACTAACTCACGCAAGAAAACATTACACGGTACAGTAAGGTTGTCAGATTTTACAAGTAGACGCAGGTAAAACCGTACGGCCTACTTTCCGAAGCGAATCCACGAGGTGGTGATATTCATGCATAACAAAAACTCCGTGCGCTTGCTGCACTAGCGGTGGATTTACGCTGTTTGTTGAAATTTCCCTGCTTGCTGAACATTTGTCGTGTTGGCCTAGAACGCTCGGTTGTCGAAAGAAAATCGAGCCACCTTGATAAAAATCGGGACCAATTGTAGTTGATGCGATGCTTGGCGTCAGATTTTTTTTCACACCTTTAGTATTAGTTTTGCACACATACATCATCAGACAACTACAGTAGTACGATTTCGCGCGTTCAGGAATTGAAGCCACTTGGTGAGCTCAGGGATTCGTTCAAAGTCACTTTACTTCCGCTATCTTGGTACGTGTAAATCCGAACGTAATAACTACCATTTAGATTATTGCGCAGCAAGAAATAGAGTCTAACATTTGGGAAACTCGGTGGACGGTCTGTTACCGCATATTCGTGGGGCATACCTTCTTCAGTATGTTTTTTTCTTCATAAATATCAATATTATACATAGTTTATGTTAGGAGGTTCTGCGTAGGTATCTAATCGGTATTATACGTTAAATATGCTACTTTTGCATTATCCAGAATTTGTGGATTTCCTTTCAGCAAAGAAACGACGGAATACATGGCTAGAAACTTATCGGCTTTGATTTACTTAGTAAATACTACTACAATCGAAAATAGAAAGCAAAAGACCAGTATATTATGTGCAATTATATGAAAATGCCACTGTTAAGTGAAATTGAGCATGAAATATCAACGTTAAAGCGCGTTCTTGGCCTGTTTGCGCTTGTGCTTGGGCTTGGGTCCTGGTTTAAATCCGCGCTTGCCGATGCGTGCTGGTTCAGCTAGGAGCTCGGGGATGCGCAAGGTCGAGCCTACATTGAGCGTCACATCCGTGGCCATGGACGGAATGCGAACGTGTACGTCTCTCGAAAATGTTCAATGGACATGCGTTTGGCGTCGTAGAGATCATTGACCCGCTTACCGTCTTAGATGGCCGCGCAAATTGCGTGGATGCACGGAAAAGCTTCATCTTGCCATCCGCCACATGTACACTCCGATTCAGGCAAATTCACGAGTCGCCATGTGTGGATGTGACTTTGGCGCGTGCGTGGGCCAGATGCTGCACCGAATAAGCGCCCTTCATCAGAGGAATCTTCGCGCACATGTTGGCTGCCGTAGTCCTGTCCTTCAGTTGTTTCTGCAGGATTGGATCCAACTCTGTCCCCGCTTTGGATGCCGCCCAGTTCGCCGCCATTTGCCTCTTGTCAGAAGTGAGCTCGCTTAGCTTCATGAAGTACATGTTGAACGCGTCGAGTGGCTTGGCGCTGCGCAGCTCAGTGCCCAACCAGTTGTTGGCTTGCTCAGACAAGTTGGACGTAATCTCGTTGAAAGTCGGGAGGCCGAAGGCTTCACGGAACTTGTACTTGACCCAGTGTTTGTGATCGACGTTGTCCATGTACTCCGCCGCCTTGGGGTTTGACGCTGCCAGTTCGGTGAAGAAGAGCTTGTAGTCATTTTCACAGTCGCTACGAGCAAGTTGACAGGTTAGGCGCCTGTCTTCGTTTGTTAGCTTCGCCCCAGTGCAATGCGCGTTGTCCATCAGGTGCCGAAGGCAAAAACGATGTCCAGCCTACGGAAACACCGCGGCGACAGCTGCGAGGAGCCCTTTTTGGCGGTCGGATAAAGCTGTGAAGCGGTCGATCTTCGTAGCAAACTTGACACAATCCATGAACCAGTACCAGTGCTCGTAGTTCTCAGTCGGGACCAAGGCGAACGCGAAAGGGATCACGTGATTGTTGTAGTCTTTTGTCGTGGCGACCAGAAAAACGCTCCGCTTGTTCATCTCCCCCTAGAGATGAGCAGCGTCGAAACCCGGCCATTGGGAGGATGTGAATCCCAACATTTGGGATAAACACGGCACGCTCAAATGTCACGTCGTCCTTAGCGCGATCGAGACGCCAAACTGATCCGGGGTTTTGGTCGAAAACCAGCTCCAGGTAGGATCCCAACTTCTGGTAACTTTCAACGAGGTCACCGTGGAGCCTATCGTCAATATCCAGCCGAATTCTGGAAATTGCGCTTTTAGCCAGGTGAAATCCCCTTGATATGAGGAAATTCTTGATAGCCTTGCCCGTGAGCGTGTCGATGGATCGGTTGTGAGCTGGTAACATCTCTTTCATCACAAGGAGAGTCAACCGCTCAATTTCTTGGGTCGTGTTACGCTAAGCCCTAGCCGGGCGCGCAATCGAGCCTTCGACACACGGTGCTTGAGTGAAGCCAACGTGTTTGGCGTGGTTGTGGGCAAAGTTAGCCCGCGTAATTTTCCATTTCCTGTCCAGCCCGAAGACATTGATGAAAAACGGACACTGCAGCTTGTCCACCGGAGTCTCGCTGTCGAAAACCTGGACACCGTTCAGGTTTTTACACTGGTACTTGGCGTTCCCCGAGTTGTTTGGCTTCACACTGCTTTGCTTCACTATAAGATGAAACCCGCATTTGATGGCGAACTCTTTGCACGTGGATCGGAGGGCCTTCTGTGTCGAAAACGCTTCCGTTGCGATGTTGTCTTGGCGGTCGTACGCGAACCCGAAATCTGGACGTGCCAAATCTTCACAGTGAACATGGACGTCTTCACGTAGCAATCCTAGCTCCCGTGCGGCATGGAGGTCGGAGTCGTCGACCTGGAAACGCGCCTTGCCAAACTTGCTGGATGGATATGCTGCCGGCGCCGCCATTTCGAAAATTAGGCCGCAAGAAGAGAGATACTCGACTAGCCCGTGGAAATTTTCATGTAACTATCCGTTGGGTGGTTTCACGTGTCTACTAACCGAGAATAATTCACCTATTTGAAATATAACAGTATCTTAGTGAAAAATTATTTTGCAATTGTCTTGGGTTTCCATATAATGTTAGTATTGGTATACGTTCAGCAAAATATGTATGGCAATCTGTATGGTAGCAGTTTTTCACTTTTACATGAAAATTTGAAATTGAACGAGCCGTGAATTTGTTATTATAAAATTCAGCCGTTATATCTCCCCCACCGCCAAACCGTAAATTCACCCATCTCATAAACTGCTATATGTGGTATATGCGATGCTGCGCAAGATGGGATCGGCCAAACGGCCATGTTGGTTACAAAACTGCCTATTTGAAAATATACGCACTTAGTGATGCACTGATTCGCTGTACAGGCGAACTTACGCGGCATTCGTTAAATATTGTACTGACCCGCACAACAAGTCAAGTAATTAGTTTGTCTATTCGGACAACTCAGTACATATGTACTGAGCTGTGGAAATTCCTCCACTACACTACTGTCGTAACAGGAGTCTCTGCTGTTGCCCTCACCACCGCTTTGGTGGCAGCTCCTGCTTCTGCTGCTGGCACAAACAGCAGCGCCTCCCACGCTCCGTTCGGAACCATCACGTCCAAGCCTGGCGAGTGTGTCATCGGCAACCCAAACACCGGGTTTGGGACAACCGCATGAAGGCGGAGGTGGACCCCTACGACAACTGGATCATGGACCACATCGTGGCCAACAAGGGCACCGTCAACTACTGCGTCCGCTGAGACAGCAAGACCACCAAGCTTACCAGGGAGATCGCGGCTAAGCTCCAGCCAATGTTGGCTTGTCAACACGCCGCGTGGAACCGCTGGCTCATTGGCTACAACTGCTGGCCGTACAACCAGATCAAGGTCAACATTGTCGGCTGGGCTGCGAGAGAGGCCTCGGACCTGGAGTGGTCGGACGAGTCGCTCGGCAAGATCTACATCGGCGACCTCGACAAGGACGGATCTCCCCAGTGACCAAAGAATTGTTACCGTTCCGCGGAAGGATTTGGTGGCTCGCCGGAGCCTAGCGGCTGCGATGAGAAGCGTTCGACGTCTCGCTGTGGCCTACGCAGGATTATGGTGGCGGCTTGGGAACGTACAATTTCCAGCAGGTGGACCTCGACGACATGCTTGCGCACCTCGACGACAAGGAGCTCGAGATCGTGTCGCACGAGATGGACCACGGCTTCGGACTGCCGGACTTTTACGAGGAGCCCAAACCCGACAACTTCCCGCCCACCCTCATAGACGCCTTCACCTCGTCCACCGTCCGCGACACGGACGGCTGGATGCTGCGCCTCGTGCTCGAGAACAAGAAGTCCAAGTACGACTTCTGAGTGTCGACCCAGGACACAAAACACTAGAGTTTCCGTCGCTTGTCGCTGATAAAAAACACCTAAATTGATGTTCGTTATCACTAGTAATTCGCCTTAACGTCCCCAACAGCAAAGAATTTTTTTTAGTTTTTTGGCAACCTTATAGTGAATTGACATGTGAGGAACTTGTTGAAGTGTTTGTTGCTACTTTAAGGTCATGTTGCAACTTGGGGGTAGGCGGTGTCGGTTGAGTCAACAGTCCACATTAACCTCGAAGATGCGGGTGCCGAGCGCTCGGCGGTTCGTGACGGCGCTGTGCGTGCTGCTGCTGATGGGCAGAGGCGCCCAGAAGCTGCGCCTGTTCGTCACCTCTGCGCTGGCCAAATTCCGCGCCCTCACCGCCGCTGGGGCGCCCGCGACGCCGTCTTGGAGGCTGTTCAGCGCCTTCCTGGGCGACTTGAGGGACCACCGCGTCGGGAAAGTGCTGCTGGCGGGTGATCACTGCATCGTACAAGCTAAGGATGGAGCGGATACATACAAGTAAGTGAAGGCGCGTTGATCCACGGTGGTTTGGCGGCTGTATGAGCCGTAGCACAGGAGATATGGTGGATATTAGTTTAGACATTCCATGGTATAAATTATAACATTCTTTGGTGTATCATGTGACCTGTAGGGTGCTGGTGCCGCCGAGGACCGAGAACACGTACATCCTGGACGCTCTAGTGCGGTCGGGGGTTGAGTTTGGCTCCGTGACGCCGTCGACGACCAGCAGATTGGTGCCAATTGCTATAGCGCTGATGCCATTTCTGTACCTGGGCCTGACCTACAAAATGCTGCGGGGCATATACGGCACGGACGCTGGAGGTGTAGGCAAGGACGGCACCAAGAAGGTGCGCAAGCAGCAGCAGGTGATGCGGATCTCCTTCGACGATGTGGCGGGTATTGACGGCGCCAGGAAGGAGCTGGAGGAGGTTGTGGACTTCTTGAGACACCCGGCCAGGTACCAGGCCATTGGCGCCAAAGTGCCCAAAGGAGTGATGCTCTGCGGTCCATCGGGCACCGGCAAGACGCTGCTGGCTAGAGCTGTTGCATCTGAAGCGGGGGTGGCCTTCTTGTTCTGCTCAGCGTCGGATTTCGTCGAGATGCTGGTGGGTCGAGGCGCTGCGAGAGTGCGGGACCTCTTCACGCAGGCCTCGCAGTACCCGCAGTGTATCATCTTTATTGACGAAATCGATGCGTTGGCTAAAGCTCGCGGTGGATTCAACTCCAACGATGAACGGGAGCAGACGCTGAACCAGTTGCTGACAGAGATGGATGGCTTTGAGGGAAACGTCAATGGAGTTATCGTCATTGCCGCTACGAACCGCCCGGAGGTGCTTGATCCGGCATTGTGTCGCCCCGGTCGCTTTGACCGTCATGTGTATGTGGGTCTACCAGATGCCAAGGGAAGAGAGGCGATTCTGGAGGTTCACTGCCGCAATGTGCGCTTGGACAGCGAGGTCGACCTGTCAGTCATTGCGGAGGAGTGCGGCCAGTTGGGCCAGCGTTCGGGGGCTCAGCTAGCAAGTCTTGTGAATGAAGCGGCGTTGCTCGCCGTGCGCCATGGAGACACAAGCATCAAGCACGCGCACTTTGAACTGGCCATGAACCGCGCTTTCGAGTCGCAGACCCGCAACATTGCAGGATCGTCGTTTGAGTTCACGATGGAGGAAGTGTCGTAGAAGCACACAATATGATGGAAGTCCAATGCTTGAATTCTTGTGGATAACGGGTGGTAAGAAAAAAATATTTGTGAGTGAACATTAGCGGCAACGAATCACACATTCCTGGACTGAAGAAAACATCAATTGATTTGTGAACTACAACAGCAACTCTAGCTACGTGCTTCTTTCTCGCACGATCCAGATCCCCCGAAGACGCTTAGAAGTCGTACTTGTGCTTCTTGTTCTCGAGCACGCGGCGAATCATCCAGCCGTCCGTGTCCTTCATCGTCATCGACGACAGCGCCCACATGACGCAGGGCTTGAAGTTGGGCGGCTGGGGCATCTCGTAGAAGTTTGGCAGTCCGAAGCTGTGGCCGGTTTCGTGGATGGCGAAGTAAAACTGCTCTTCCTCCATGTGCTCCAGCACAATTTCGAGGCCGTACTGCTGGAAGTCGTATTTGCCCAGCCCACTCGTCATACCCTCCGTGGGCCACACCGAGATGTCGAACGGCTCGCCTTCACAGCCGCTGGACTCTGACCAGCCACCAGACCCGTCCGGCGTGCGGTAGCAGTTCTGCGGGCACTGCGGGACTCCGTTTTGGTCGAGGTCGCCGATGTAGATCTTGCCCAGCGAGTCGTCCGACCACTCGAAGTCGGACGCTTTGCGACCAGCCCAGCCAACGATGTTGACCTTGATCTCGTCGTACGGCCAGCAGTCGTAGCCGATGAGCCAGTGGTTCCACGCGGCGTACTGACGGTTCAGCATCGTCTCGATTTTCTTCGCGTTCTCCTTGGTGAGCGAGATGGTCTGGCTGTCCCAACGGACGCAATAGTTGAGCGTGCCCTTGTTGGCCACGATGTGGTCCATGGCCCAGTTGTCCAAGGACTCCACGTCCGACTTCATGCGGTTGTCCCAAATCCACTGGAGGTCCTTGGGGCTGATGTAGGTGTTCGGGTCGCCGACGACGCACTCACCAGGCTTGGACTTGATGGTTCCGAACGGAGCGTGGGCAGCGGTGCTGTTTTTGCCGGCAGCAGCAGTGGGAGCCGCCACCAGGGCAGTGGCGAAAGCAACAGCAGCGACGCTTGAAAGGAGACTTGGGGGCATCGTGGATAAATGGAGAATGAGGTCACGCTGGTAGACGGGATTCCGTGGCCAGGGTGTTGCCTGTGCGCTTACAGTAGGTAAGTACAGTAACATGATTGTACAGGTATTTAAGTCGCAAAGGCGATAGTTGACGCTCACGAAAACGATACTAAACATTTTTGTAACTTACTTTTTTACCAGGTGGTGATGGTACTCGTGGTGCTGGGGGCACCTTTGCTGTTCGAGCAGAGCTGTCGCGCTTCGTGAATGCAGATGGGTAGATCAGCAGAATGGCATTGCCACGTGATGATAATAGCCATGTACATGAAGTGCTTACTTTGTACTGTAGTTATTCTGGAATGCAAGCTACTGTACTGTACTATACTACTTTGTATCAATACAGCGTAGCACGTCTACTTACAGTACTTCGACAACTTGATAGCTTTCAGCTCATGATGTCAGACACTTTGACGCCACATCGCTGACTCACTGCTTCGCCTTTGAAGGTCCCTACCACTATACATGTAATACAACTTGTAGTGCAATACAAGTCACGTTATACATGTGCAAGGGTTATCGTTTCGAAGACACATTAATTGATC